GTCGCCTCCGTCAAGACCGACGTACCAACTGTCGCTGACGGAGATGGACGAACTCAAGCGCCAGTTGGATGACCTCCTCGCCCATGGGTTCATCCGCCCGAGCCAGTCACCGTATGGTGCACCAGTGCTCTTTGTCAAGAAGAAAGAAGGTGATCTCAGGATGTGCGTCGACTATCGCGCACTAAACAAACAGACCATCAAGAACACCTACCCGTTGCCCAGGATCGACGAGTTGATGGATCGTCTGAGTGGAGCAAAGGTCTTTAGCAAGATAGACCTCCGCTCAGGCTACCATCAGATCCGCATCCACGAGGATGATGTCCACAAGACCGCCTTCAGGACTCGCTACGGACTGTACGAGTTCCTAGTGCTGCCGTTCGGATTGACGAACGCACCTGCCACGTTCATGCAGCTGATGAACGATGTGTTCCGCCAAGAGCTCGACAACTCTGTCATCGTGTACCTGGATGATATCCTTGTGTACAGCAAGGATGAAGCGACCCATGAAGGTCATGTCGCCCGCGTGCTGGCCAAGCTACGCGAGCACAAGTTGTATGCCAAACTGTCCAAGTGTGAGTTCTTCAAGAATCAAGTCCCGTTCCTGGGACACGTTGTCTCAGGAAGAGGAATCGAAGTCGACCCCGCCAAGGTCAAGTCTGTGGTCGAGTGGCCGCCGCTCGCATGCGTCTCTGACGTGCAGTCGTTTCTCGGTCTCGTCAACTACTACCGCCGATTCATCCCCGATCTGGCGCGCACTGCCGGTCCACTCACAGACCTACTCCGCAAAGAGTGCCCCTTCGTGTGGGACCACCCACAACGCCAAGCGTTCGAGACCCTCAAGCACGCCTTGACGAACGCTCCTGTCCTCGCTGTGTTCGACCCGAACACGGATGTCTCCGTGCACACCGACGCCTCCGACTTTGCGGTGGGAGCTGTTTTGATGCAGGAGGGAAGGCCCGTTGCCTTCGAGTCGCGCAAACTGTCCCAACACGAGATCAACTATCCCGTGCACGAGAAGGAGCAGCTTGCGATCATCTACGCGCTGCAGAAGTTCCGAGTGTACCTCCACGGTACCGCCAAGCCCTTCAAGATTGTGACGGACCACCAGTCACTGCGTTACCTCGACACCAAGAAGAACCTGAGCCGACGCCAAGCGCGATGGATGGAGTTCCTCGCCGAGTACAACTACGAGGTTGTATACCAGAAAGGCAAACTCAATGTGGTGCCTGACGCACTGTCCCGACGCCCCGACTACCAATTGGCGTCACTGTACGAGTCGACTGTCAGTGTCGACAACACGATGCTGGATGTTGTCCGAGACAACATCGCCAACGACAAACAGTTCGGAGAACTGTTCCGAAAGGTGTCTAAGCTCCCCAAGGACGACGAATCATCCGAGTACACAGTGCGTGATGGCCTGCTCCTCCTGAAGAAGGACAGCCGTGTCTGTGTGCCGGACATTCCGTCGTTGAAGACCAAGTTGCTCCAAGAGGTCCACGACTCGCCCCTCGCTGGACACTTTGGAGTCGAGAAGACATACGACCGACTGGCCAAAGTCGCATACTGGCCTGGAATGAAGCGCACCGTCGAGAAGTACATCGAGTCCTGCCATACCTGCAAGATGGTCAAGTCACGCACGACCCGAGAGCAAGGATTGCTGCAACCCCTGCCTGTTCCCGACCGCCCCTGGACCAGCATGTCCATGGATCTCATCACGCATCTACCGACGACCAAGTTGGACCACGATGCAATCGCTGTCTTTGTCGACAGGTTCAGCAAGATGGCACACTTTGTGCCGTGCCAGACGACATGCTCCGCGCCTGACCTTGCACTGCTGTTCTTCAAGCATGTGTTCAAGCACCACGGCCTCCCAAAGTCCATCGTCAGTGATCGAGACCCCCGATTCACCTCCTTGTTTTGGACAAGTCTGTTCGACCATCTCGGCACCAAGCTGAACATGTCAACCTCGCACCACCAACAAACGGATGGACAGTCCGAGCGGACGATCCGCACCCTCGAGCAATACCTGAGGACATACGCCTCGACCAGCCAAGACGACTGGGACATACAGCTGAGTCATGCAGAGTTTGCATACAACACCGCCAAGTCGAGCACAACTGGCTTGAGCCCCTTTGAGGCGCTCTACGGATTCCAGCCTGATGTTCCCACCTCCTTGACACTGACCGAGTCCACGGCTGGATTGCCTCCCAAACCAAGTGCCTTTGTCAAAGATCATCAAGTCCGACACAAGATGATCGCCGACGCGCTCACGGATGCGCAACAAGTGATGGCGAAGTACTACGACCGCCGACACCAGGATGTCTCCTTTGAAGTTGGAGACCTTGTCTACCTGGACGCCGACAACATCAAGGTCCCCGAAGCCCAGTCAAAGAAGTTGTTGCCCAAGTACCGAGGACCGTTCAAGATAGCGGCCCGACCCAGTCCCCTCAACTACCTGTTGGACTTGCCACCTGGAAGCAAGCTCCATCCTGTCTTCCATGTGTCCAAGCTGCGTCGCCACACGACCCGCAGTCCAGCACAGTTCCCCGACGCCGACGAAGGTGTCCCGGACGACGCACCACTGGAAGACGACCTCGGACAATACTATACTCAAGAATATGAAGTCGAAAGGATCGTGAGGCACAAGAAAGTGGCTGATGGGTCACTTCGGTTTTATGTCAAGTGGGTTGGTTACCCACACTCGGGCAACACATGGCAAACACTGGAGGACTTGTCCCATGCACCCGAGGAGCTGAGTAAATACGGTAAACACCTCGAGGAGCCCCAAATAAAGAGCACACGCAGGGCTCCTCGCAGGAAGCCTTCTTAAGTGTGGGAGTGTAGGAGATGGTATCTCCGACGCTGTGCTGCGCGTACTGCGCGTACTGCGCGGCGCAGTGGGTCGTGACCTGTGCTGCGCTTTGCGTTTTCACGCACCGCAGGCAGGCCACCGCAGGGTATACCTGCGGGTTGCCCCCGTTCCCCCCGTTTGTCTGGAGTTCGGTTTTATCGTGAATAAACGTAAGTGCTCCCCGAGCTCACCCGTCCGCTAGAGTAGCCTAGCACCGCCCTGTTCTGCCCCGTCCTGTCTTGTCTTGTACCCCCTCCCTCCCCGTCTTGCCCCAACGTCCCAGTAGTGGACGTTACACTGGGGACTATGGGCTGGGAGACTTCTTGGCCATCGCCTCTGCGTTTCTTGGGCGTGGGCTGATCCGTGAGATCGATTGTTTCGGCCTGAGCTTGGGCCTCAGGGGGTGCTCTGGAGGGTCCAGGGACACTGTCATGGACGTCTACGGCCATTTCGGGGGCAGGCGAGTCGTCGGGGGGCATGGTTGATACCGGGTTAGTTTTGTTGGTAGGCAATGGGAGGGCAGTAATTCAAAAGGTGCGTCCGCGGAACACTCGATAACGAGATCGGGGCAAACCTGGGGAATTAGCTCAGATGGTAGAGCGCTCGCTTAGCATGCGAGAGGCACGGGGATCGATACCCCGATTCTCCACTTTCACTGCCCGGCTAGCTCAATCGGTAGAGCGTGAGACTCTTAATCTCAAGGTTGTGGGTTCGACCCCCACGTTGGGCGCTAAATGTTCTTTTGCTGTTTATGCCTTCCGCTGTCTGGTTCATCGTGAAACGTACTCCCGTTGATGATGTAGATGTAATTCTCCCAACCTTTGGTCCATCTTCTTGACCGTCCTCACCTCTGTATTTTTTTTTACCTCATTTCCATATCAGATTCAAAGCCATCAGCCCCTTGTCGACCCTCGTCGCTCGGGGTCACCGGGTCGGTTGAGAAAAGAGAAAACGAGTACAAAGGCCGGCTTTCCTTGTTTTGCCCCTCTCTCTCATAGTCTCCCATCGTCTCTGGACCTTCCACCAGGCCTTGACCGTGTCGAATGGCCTTAGTACTCTGCCGAGAGTCCTCTGCAGTATTTCGACATCCGGGTCTTGTCGGTCGAGCATTTGCGCGCCCTGTCGTTTATAGTCATCATCCATGATGGTCCCATCAAGCAGCTAGTCCACTGTCCCGATGCTCTCACGACTACTCTCGTTCCACCCGGGATATCTGAGTTTGAGGATGCCAACGAGGCATCTGATCCATCTTCTCTTGTCGATGTGCTTCTGTGTGCTGCCGTTGTCCACCAAAACAACCTCACCGCTGTCATCAACGATCGGCAAGGCAGCACATGGGCTGTGGTTTATATATGTTTCAACTCGCCTATGGGCGAGCACAGAACGAAGAGAGGAGCCATCTCGGAACCACTCTCCCCAACTCCAATCTGGGACTCGGTGGCGGGAGGTGTTCTTCCAGGGGCTCCAGTCGCTCCTGGACACAATCGTGTCTGTCACTGCTCTTTTCCCACTCTTGTTTCCACTCGCACTCGCATTAATCCTCTGTTTTGTTTTGTAAACGCGCCTTTATCCGTTGCTTAGGTATCGGATATACTATGTCAATTCCGGTCGCTCGAGCATTTTCGCTTATCGGAGCCCGGTCTAATTATCCATATCCACTTGCGGTGTATCGGTTCATATTTGTTCAGTACCCCACAGCCCAAGTTTTCTTTACTCTCGATACTCTTCGCCTCCAGTATTGCAACAATGGGATCTTTGGTGGCCAGAGGCGTGACTGAGGAATTTCCAAGCATCGATAGCGTTTGACCCTTGCGGAGTCGAATCCTGATGCGAGCTTGCACTTCACCTCACTTCACCTCGCCTCACTCACAACCATAATGACACGTGCTTCATTCACCATCTGCGATGGTTGCACCGTTATTTGGGATATAGATATTCCTCACATTTATTGTATCTAACTTAATTATTGGTGGTATGAAGCCCCATAATTCCAGTTAATTTGCATAAGGAGTCACTCCATAATATCGAGGTAACCTTGATATCGTACATGTTTCCTTGAATCCATATTTCTCTCTCAATATCTTGTGACCTCAGCACGTGAACTAAATTTTCTTATTCGATTCAATCCAAAGCTTTACACCGGTACCTCAGTAGAGGCTATGCTCGTCCCTAGGTTTTTGAATAACACGCCTTCCAACAAAAGCAGATTACAAGTCTCATGAGACCGATAATTCGGTTACTTCATTCCCTCCCCCTTCCAAAAAATATTAGCACAAGAAAGGGCTCTGGTTGATATTGTGGACACTCAGGGACATTGCTGTCATGTTTTGTTCCCATCAAGCTGCTTCATTGAGACGGAGCACCCGAAAGTGATAATTATTGCACAGCTCTCACAGGTTTCCTGTTCGTTCGGTTTGGGCCATCATTTTCTCATGCTCCTCACTGGTTCAATCACATCGTCTTGTGGCGCATTGTTATCGTGTTGGCGCCAGCTGGTCAAGCTTGTTATGGTTCTCTGCTCAGCGAAAACCAGCGATTGTAATCAATTCGCAGCAGGAGCTGGCCGAGACACGTTGCCTGTGGTGATGAATTTCTAACCCCCGAGAACGTTCGAAATAAAAATGCGACCTTTGAATCAAATTCCTTCAGGAGCATAGAGAAGTTGATCAATTATTAATCATCTCTGATCACTAACCCTGTCCGATATCAATATCCATTCAAAGTCGAAGTGCACAATACAGTTCGATATTAACCGGATCGCGAGTGGCGTCTAGAATCATCGCACTCAAATCCGCTCATATTCTCATCGCTCTAGGTTGACTGGGATGAGCTGGGTGCCGTGATATGTCGAGAGCAAGTCCTTACCAGCGCAAGTTGTGCAACTGTTGCTGATTCTGCAAACGCGCTTCGAGATGCCTGGGGTTTGTCGCATGGATATGAAGACTTGATCTCTCGATCAAGCACCCCACAATACTTCTCACACATATCCAGTATCTCCACAATTGTGCCTCCGACAAGTCGAAGCATCACTGGTTCCAGAAAAGTTCCTCTTACGACGGCTGTTAGAAAGTCGGCATGGGCACGGTGTATCTCTTCAAAATTAATCTGAGAGAGGGCCGTTGGTGGGCGATCAAGTCGGAGCTCATCATCTGCCCCATCGACTGCCGTATTGATTGCGAGGCTTCCAGATCTTCTATCAATATTTGAATAACTCGAATTGCATCGAGACAGCCGGGTAATCATTTCTTGAAAATTTGTATCAAGAATATCCATCTGTTCATATAAAAGGGTTGGTCAGCACGAGTGAATGAAGATGGAGTCTCATAGGACGATACTAGCGGATCGATAGTGATGGTCTTCAAAATCGTGATCCAATATGGATTCGATGTCGTTTGATGATAAAATCGATCGTGGAATTTTCGAAGGTGCACTCACTTGAACATAGGACCAAATTGCGTCCACAAAGAAGAGCATGCTACGTCGGAGATGCCACCATTGGGGGTTGATGATCGTTGTGTTGGCAGGACTTGCTGTACGGGATATCCTCCGGTGAAAGTAGTTATCGAGAGACCAGACCTTTTGCAGCCGCATTTGTGTTCGACGCAATATCAGCAAAAATGACAGGATCGAGTTGTATCTTGATCAAAAGGGGAGAGTATGGGCTGGGGGATTAGATTGGCCGATATACCGTATATCTAGCAGGTACCCTGGTATTCCGGCGCGTTACTCACTTTTGAATATCATCGTTTGTGAATAGTATCGTCAAGGGCCATTGAATATGGTAATCTAATTGTAATGGGGTCCCAAGCAACTTGTCGCGAAAGGGAGACGGGAAACCCCCTCCGGATTCTTGGTTGTAATCATCATTCAGTCAATATCGAGGTCGTGATGGAACTGCGAGAATTCTCAGCGAACTGACCATCGTTCCTTAGAAGCCGAAATGTCAAATGAACGTGCGGACCATCGCTTTCTGTCACGTATTGTGCGACTATCCTCCTGAAGGAGTTGTTGATATCTTTGACGCGATACTGGATTAGGATCGCCGAAGGGATTGCGGACACGCGAGCTTCTGATTTGTGGCGTGCTTCATTCTTACCGTGGCTGGTTATTTTCGCTAGCCGTTGGCTCGCTTGTGTCCGCAGTGCCTCGCAAGATTCTATAAAATCCGTGAAAATCTCGCCCTTGCCGATCAAAAAATAGTTTTTGAACACCTATCACCCCCGTGGCGTGTGAGTATAGTGAACCAAGGATATTTCCAATATCTCAGTGCAACTGCATGTGGACCTACCAAGAGGTGATTAACCAGGTCCTGGTCCAATACCACAATCTCCCACAGCATCGAGGCAGCTCGATGGTGTATCCTTTCAATAACAGCGCTAAATTCGATGCCTCGGAATTCAGCGCAGCAAACCAGTGATTTTAGCTCGTGTTGTGTTTGACTGGCATGTTCCTTCAAATATAGATCGGCTGGAACAGACAGCACAAATATTGATGTCAGCCCAATGGAACCTATCGTATCGACACAATCTAAGCCATGGACAGTATAGATCTCATGGAATCGAAGCTCGTGTGATAGCCTCTACCTTTAGGGCTTGCCGCGTGGCGGATCGTAGCTACGGCCTTGCCAACAAACATAATTTTGTGACACGATGCCTGAGTAAGCATTGTCGGTACCAATTCCTCGGCGATTCCATAATTTGCGAACCTTTCCAAGGCGACGTAAAGCGAGGACAATTATTATCTCGGTTAATGGGGTAGATTACGAGCGAAGAGGCCAAACCATGATCTGTTGATTTTCAGGCGGCCTCCATAACGAACCATGCTGATGTCGCATTTCCTGGAGCTGTTTGGGCCCTCGATTCGTTTTGGTACTTGGATTGACGCAATAACCAAGACATCCATGTCAGAGCACAGAATCTCGGGATACCTTCTGTCGATCGAATGTGTCGCGTGGCGTGTACGATCCTCATGCTATGCAGCAAAGCAATCTGCGTTGGGCTTCACAGGATCGAATATTGCTCAACAATGCTTACAATGAAAAACTCCCCAAAAGGATCGTGGAGCCTTCCGTGCGCCATCCACGATATTAAAAATCGATAAAAGACAGCCAGACAAGACCCCCGGAGACTGAGTAGTCGCATGGAGAAATATGTCAGTGTGCGGAGGCTCAAAGTTGTATCCAATGCCACATTCGCTCGTCTGTTGCAAGCACATACTCAATCATCAGACGCATGATCTCAGGGATCCCGGTAATGGAGTTGCCATAGAGGAGATCGAGGAGACGGGCGCCATGATATGCACTTGGATTGGAGTCGAGTTCGCTAACGAGACCAAGGATATAGTCAAATAGGGTCTCAAACTGGGGATGAGTTAGCACGGGGTTGTCTTGAACAAACCGCCCCCCCCCTGCCAGTTCGCTATTCCTTCAGCTCCCATAATCAGTGCTTTATGTCCTATATCGTACCTGTTCAAAATCCTTCTGGATCCAGAGGAGACCATATTGCTGCCCCGACAGCTTCGACGAGAGGACCGTTCGCTCTGCCTGAGCGAGCGCCTCGCGGTATGGATCTAGAACATGCGCTTCGATGCTTCCGACCAACGCAGAGAGGAAGAGCTTGGCATTTTCCCTCGTACTCGTACGGAAATCGCCTTGGTGTCGTTGCTCGGACAGGAATCGCGCGATCTGATTGAACTTGAATCCGAGCTGGGCAAGTCTGTTCAGTCCAGAAGCTTCTGATGGATGGACAAATGGAAAGTCTGGCTCAATCCTCTGAGTTCTGGGGCCCTCGGCTGGGAAAGGGGAAAAGACGTTGCCGGAGTGCCCGGACATTGCAAGGAGAAGCTCATGCAGCATGGTGCAGAGCGTGATCGGCTCAGGGTTGCCTGGTGAGCGTTGGAGGGTGGCCAGATCGATCAAATCCATCCAGCCCGCTGGATCCGGCTGGTCCGACCTTTGCTGCCGAGGGAAGCAGGGCTGTTGGACGCCACTGATAACCCTAGCCCAGCCCTTGCCCTCATGCGTCAGCTCGGCTGTTGGTTGGGCGCCAATCAAGACGTGTCGTCACGTCCGCCGTTGTGACATCATCCCGAAGGGCACATCCCCCCAACCAACACCACTCGCAGAGAGCGCTTCTGCCGTGCAGCTCTTCTTCTTCACCATCCTTAGCCCAAAAAGCTCTCCTGTCCAGACCGTTTTCAATGAAGCTCTACTGCTGGATATGGGTCGCCTTTTACACATATTGCCTTGGAGCACAGGCGATGAACTACAACGGCTCGTCGGGCATGGCCAGATATCCCACCAGCGGTACCTGCGGAGGACCATATAACCTCGGGCAACTTCCCATCGGTACCCAAGTTGTGATATCGACCAATACGAAGCCATCCAACTATCCGCCCAATCTCTACTGTGAATGGGACATCGTGGTCTCCCCTGGCTCCTTAATTCGGGTAGCGTATGCCTTACTGGTGAATTAGCAAGCTCGAGAGACTCGATATGATCGCAACTGAGATCATCCCACTCATAAATTTTCCATCTGCAGCTTGACTTTACCTATTTTGAAACAGAATGCGGGTGAGTTTGAATGAGACTCTGGAGACACGTCCATCATGTTATTGCATCCCCTTGTGACGGTGCTTGGATTATTCATACATCACATTTCCAGATGGGACTATGTGACCATCGAAGACTCCAATGGCTTCTTTGCGAATCTCTGCGGCAATCGAGATCTCACTCAGGGCCTCCAGACCACGTTCTCCAGCAGCGCCTCAAGCTTGAGTGTGATCTTCACTTCAGATTCCTCTATAAACGCCATGGGCTTTGAAGCTATAATAACGATTCTAGGTGAGTCGTTATATCAGTGGCCACATAGGCGCTGCCTTTTATATTTCTGCCACTTGTATTTTTGAGACTCCATCGATGTGTGGAGATTCAGTGCATTTTGATTTGAGTCTCGACATCATCGCTGGTTGCCCTTGAAGAGTCAACTGGCTCAGTTCAATATCAAAGACTTTGCAGCTACTGATATAATACCCATCCGAATATTCCTTGGAGCAAACTCAAATGATTAATCTAAGCGTTACGGGAGGCCGCTAACGCTATTCTCCATCGTTGCAGACCAAGCCAACACATGTCAGGCGGATACTGACTGCGTCAGTGGCCATTGTGTGTCTGGAGGCTGTGTCTGCAGCACTTGTCGCGCTGGAGCTTTATGTGAATCAGGTTTGTTTGCGGATAGGTTCGGAGCAGTATCATATGTGAACAGCTAGTGCCAGGATTTTGCAGAAATTGATAATTCATTGATTTTTAATTGATTCTCATCGTTACAATCGGAATCAGCTACCGCCGGGTATCGCCCTTTTACCCCAAGAACCCAGCTCTCGGCTACATACGATACCAGCAGCGATGTACTGTACCAGAACATGGCAAACATTTGCGTCGTTACAGTTCGTCTGAGCGAACCGCCGTATGTTTCTAAAACGGCTCAATCTTTTATCCAGTCGATGTATATATTCGGAGGGCATTCAAATTCACCAACGGACGTGCTATACAACGACTTGTTTGTTTACAACTTTGGTACGTCGAAGGTTCACTCTTTTCGTCTACATTGGAACCTCGTATTTGAACAAGACTTGAAAGGCGCTGACACGTTTTATTATTCGACAGCTTCGCAAAATTGGACTACTTTGATGTCGGTCGGTGCCACGCGACCATCAGGAAGGTGAAGTCCCATGTTCATCAAATGAATAATTTTACTTTATTGCAAGCCACGCCAATCGAAAGAACTGTTACTTTTATTATATTTGAGATGATGCTCATATTTGGAATATCGCGGCCATTCTTTCAACTGATCCACCTGTGTTCCATACAACAGATACGGTCACAGCTCAGCGGTGTACAATGGGAACATTTTGATATTTGGTAGCGCAACGCAGCCCTTCGAGATTTGGGCATACAGCCTAGGTATGACCGTTGTCACCCAACTGCTGACAGCTCTGTGTGCGGGAAGTTTTGTTCAATCGGCGACAGATCACAGTCAGGATAACAGTCAGCTGATTTGTACAATAGCAACCCGTGTATGGTCACTTTTACCATACGGGAACAGTTTTTCCCGCCCAAGTATTCAACAGCCAATGACGGTGTTTGTTCCAAGTCAAGGAACCCAGGCTGCACGTATATATTCCTTCGGTGGAGTGACACCCTATGGCGCAATCGACAGAACAATGTGGTACTATGACCTCGGTAAGGAAGCCAAGCCCATTTGACCCTGTTTCACGGATCTGACATACCCGAATATTTCACAGGGAGCTTCCAATGGGTCGCTGGGCTTAGCAACGACTTTGGTGTATTTTCCGGAGCCGCTCTATATCATGCGACAACCAATACGATCCGTGTGTACGGAGGCATCCGATCCGACTCTGGAGACGCCAATTTAGAGCTCATATATGACCTCGACTCTGGCTATTGGCATCACTGGAATGCATCGCAAAATTTTCTGTCGTCCAAAATGGGGCTGACGGCCACATACGCAAGCCTCGACTATGCTGTGGTTTGGGGTGGACTTCAATTGGACATTTATGGTTTAAATGAGCAAGTCAACAAATGCCTCTTTGGGGCTGTGCAGATCCAGGACCTTGGTAAGATTATAATATAAACAAAGGCATAATATCGTGCTGGCTGGTGATGAGCAATTCGTATCTCGGACGCTTGGCTTTTGTTGCAATTACTGACTTTCACATCCCCTTCGCCTGAATTTTTCTCGCAAAGTAACCGATACTTGGAGCAGCATATCGGTTCCGAGCATCTCTGCCTTGAGTCGCACAGGCCATGCAGCTGTCGTTCGCAATGATACCCTTGTCGTAGTCGGCGGATGGTCAGGAATCGCCCTCAACGACATACAATTCATTCCACTAAACGTGAGCTCGGTCGATTCAAGCGTGCGGCAGGCCCTGAGAAGTATGTACCAGCAAGAAAATGACTTGAGACCATATGGATATCAGGAGCATGTTGATTCATATATGGCCTATCCTACACATACTATTCGACACTGAACATGTTCCACAATCGATGCAACTGATAAGGTGTCGATTGGTGTACAACGGGATTCTATGGGTGCAGCGATTGCACTTCAAAAGCCTACTGTGCATGGACAGACACCGAGTGCGTTTTCTCCTACCAAAAGGCATCCGGGCTTTCGTTCAGCTCCGAGTTCATGCCGCTCCCAGAGGCTACAAACGCCATTTACAATCCCAGCAGCTGCCCCACAAGTAAGTGCCTCGTTGCTTGCGCTTCGAGAGAATCATTGTAGCAACAAGGTATTGACCGTATCCCAACTCCGATTTTCCTTGTCAGCGTATCCCCTCCAGCTTGGAAGCAATCCAAACATCACGATTGGACCCGGCGCATCGCAAGTGTTTTACATTTATATCGATTTGCCCTCTGCTGGTGAGTTTCTTGTCCTGTTGTTGTCAGTGATATCGGAACAGAAACCTTACGGCAGCTATCTATGATAGCCCCACAACCGAATCATAGTATTCGTGATCTGACTCACCCTTCGTGAGCATGAACATTGAAAGCAATCGCTTGTGTAATGAAAATGCATTTATGGAGCGTGCTGGCATGCCGATTCAAAAAGAATTCTTATGGATCTGTGTTCCGGAACCCGGATTTGCAGATCTCTACTTCACAGCAAACATTCTTTCACCCAGCGATGCGGTGCTCGCGATCGATTTCATCTCACTTCATAATGCGGTGTTTGCACCGCTCCAAGGCACTTCCAACCAAATTTATATCTCAGATTCATCGATTTTCAAGTACAGCGGCCCATATATCTTTCGACTTACCAACCAAGACTCCACTAGCCCGATCCTCTTTGACTTTACGGTATCGCAGCAACCCGTATCCACCAACAACCCAAACATATTTTCATCGGGCGGCGCGGGTGCTTTAGACATTATTACATTTGTCGCCATCTTTCTTGGCAGTTTGCTCACATCGCTAGCAATCACATATTTCCTCAACCGCGCGCGTGATCGAGTTGCATACTATCGCCAAGTTGCTGCAGGACGCTTTATTCCTCCTCCGCCACTGCCACCCACGTTATGGAAAGTCGAAATGGGACTCTCGGCAGAGATGTTGCACCAAATCGAAGAAGAGTACAGGACTGGAAGGGCTTCCCGAATTCACTACTCCGCAGCTTCGGGCGCATCACCCGCCATGGAAGCAACTGCACTCGCAGAAACGTCCATGATCACGCTTGCCTCACTTCGACATGGAAATTGCGGCAGGTCGGACGGTGGCGAATACCCAAGTATGAGGAATGCATCCGATCAAGGGGTAACAACGGAACCAAACGAGCCCTTGGGATTCTCTGGAAAGGGCCATAGCCATAGGGCAGAGTCAACCAAGACAAAGCCCGACCAACGCAGTCCCTCTAAACTCGAGTCCGGCAAGGGTGATGCCGATGGCAAATCGGGGGGTCACAGGTACGCAGGACTCGCTGCTAGTGGCATATCAAAAACCTGCGCGGAGGAGCCTCTCGAATGGGTAAGTTGTTCCCCCGCTCTTCCAAAGGCATGTGACGAATGTTATTGGACGAGGGCGCACAGGCAATGCTTCGGTACATTCGCTTACACTCTATATGTGCTACAGCCACTTTCGGTCGAGCGTATTGAGGAATCGAGCCAGAACCACCTCTCCGTGGCTGCTGTGAACTACATGATTATCTTCCCAGGCAGTGCTGGCCATATTGCTTCTGGCTCGTTGCCTCCGTATGCGATTGGAAGCAGATTTGAGCTCTGCAAAGAGAATGCCGAACCGAACCACGACCCAAAGAGCGCCGCATCAGCCGTGAAAAAGGGATGGCGGCGTTTATCCTTGGCCTTGAAAAAGGCCATGCCATTCAAGTAGCATTTGAACAAGGATCTTACTTGCGATGTCACTCCGGTACCAAGCGGATTCCGGAATAATCTGGTAATGACGGCGGTATAGTGCATCGAATACATCCACTTGAAGCGCTGTCGTGGACCATGATATTGTGGGATACCTTGGGCCTTCTCGAGTCGCTTTGCTTCCAGGCATCCTGAGCACACCGTTTGGTCATGGTAGCGGTGTCTGTATATTCAGGACCAGAAAACAACGGCAGCCCTGACTCAAAACAGGGTATCCCGTTCACAATGGGTACGCTGTATCTTTAGAGTGACTGAATAACAATGGCGCTGGCACCGCCGCCGCCGTTGCAGATAGCAGCAACGCCAATCTTGCCACCCTTCTGCTTGAGCACGCTGTTCAGGGTAACGACAATTCGCGCACCGCTGCAGCCAAGAGGATGTCCAATGGCAACAGCACCGCCATTGACGTTGATGTTTTCGGCGCTCAGGCCCAGAATTTTAGCGTTGGCCAGAGCGACGACTGAGAAGGCCTCGTTGAACTCGTAAAAATCGACATCGGATGCCGAGACACCAGCATGCTTCAGGGCCTTTGGAACAGCGAGCGAGGGAGCTATGGTGAAGTACTCGGGCTCTCGAGCGGCGTCACCCCAACCAAGGATCTTGGCAAGGGGCTTGAGACCGAGAGACTGGACAGCCTCGCCCGAAGCGATAATCAAGGCGGCAGCGCCGTCGGAGAGGGTGCTGCTGTTGGGAGCAGTGACCGTGCCGGAACCGTCGGTAACGAAGGCCGGCTTGACAGCTCTGAGTTTCTCGGGGTTCAACTGGAGCAATATGCGGAATTTGGGCGGGGCGTCATTATGGATAGGTCAAGGAGGGGCAGACCGGTGCCACCCTAAAGCCATGGCGAGGCAATCGGCGCGCTCCAGTCACAGCGGATTCACCATCCAATGAGACCCACAATTGCTCGCAACTTACGTTGAAGACTTCGTCGTCAGCAACCACAGTCTTGCCGGGCTTGCCACGGGCACCGGGAATCTCAACGGGAACAATTTCCTCGGTGAACAAACCGCCCTTGGTGGCAGCCTGGGCTCTCTCATAGGATGAGATGGCATAGTCATCCTGGGAATCAGCGCGGATGAATTTGTAGACAATCGGCGTGGGGGGGGGACAAATAGGGATACATAGTGATGCAATAGCGTGAAGCACATAGTCAGTGGAAGTGCGGCCCTGGACGATCCAGACGAGTATGGACGAACCACCACAGAGTATACTGGTCGCCGGTTCAAGCAGATGTCTGTCGGCTAGGCTTTGGCAAATTCACCACAGGCCCGGATATGTCAAAATCCAAAGCCGGTCGCCGCGACGCACCTGCTGCTCACGGGTAAAGTTGTGCTCCTTGGCCAGAATCTCGGCGGCGTTGCCCATCAGGAACTTGTTATAGACGTCATAGAGGCCATCCTTTTGGATACCGTCGACGATTTCCTGATTGCCGTACTTGGAGCCCCAGCGCTGCTGAGGAAGATAGTACGGAGTGTTGCTCATGCTCTCCATACCGCCGGCAACGATCACCTGTAGCGACAAATGCAACAACCCGACAATTAGATTCGGAGGAGCAGGAGGGTCTCTTGTCCGATCATGCAGACCTTATGTCGCAAACAGCGGCCGTAGGACATGGCACTGACAAACAGCACCGAACAGCCTGCTGGAAAAATGAAGCGCGAGAGGCTGCAGTCAAGGACCACTTACGTCGGCGTTGCCGAGAAGAATGCTCTGGGCAGCGAAAATGATGGCTTTCGCACCCGAGGCACAAACTTTGTTGAGGGTGGTGCACGGAACCGAGTTGGGGAGACCGGCACCAAGGGCGGCCTGGCGAGCAGGGTTCTGGCCTAATAAGATCAAAAGCGGGTGGTGAGATACAGCACAACATACCGGTGTGTGGTATTACATGACATGAAAAGAGAGCCTTATAGTTTCATGGTGCTTGCACAGGGCAATCGTGTATCTGAGATGGGTTTGCAGCGGGGATCAAGGACGAAGGCCAATTCTTCCGCAAGCCGAACTTTTGAGGCACGTACCGATATTGGCAGAGAGGACGTTTCCGAAGAACACCTCATCGACTTTGTCAGCGGGAACGTTAGATCGGGCAAGGGCAGCTGTTGGGACCGATGTGAAGAATGTCAGGAGGGGGAGCTTGGAGTTTGGCATTTGACGAAGACAGACTGTGATATCGGCGAAGAAGTCGGAGCCAGAAAACACAAACCCTTGATGGCGATCGAACCCAGCTGAGTGGCATTGAAAGATGCCAAGGATCCGCCGAAGCCGCCGATGGGAGTTCGAACGGCAGAAACGATGAAGGCCTCTACGAGTCAGGCGCAGCGGCCGGAACAATGACGACGATCGGGACGAAGAGACCGAGACAGAGTTACGGAGTGCGCACACGGTCGTCAGCAGAATCCAGCGGCGACGGCGAGCCAGCACTGGAGAGAGAGGCGACAAAAACAGCGGCGCAGGGCCTGCATACCTCGCGGCTGGGACATGGTATATCAGATGCGATGCGCTGGGGGACGGGGGTTGATCCAGGACGATGATGGTCAGGGCGCTTGCGGAGGCGAGGGGCGCTTTTATGGATGTCGGCACGTGATCTGCAGGGGCGAGGCAACGAGACGATTGGCCAACGAAGGCTCATACGATCGCACGCCAAGCGTCCTGCCCGTGGCTCCATCGGCGGCCGCAGCGACCGACAAACAAGGTGCGAGTGTGCAGGCACCACCTCTGGCGACCGGCAACGTCTCGCGAGAGGCAGCCAGGCGGCATGCGGGTCTGCATCGGGTGGCCTGTCGAGGGCGGCTATCTCTGGCCAATCGTTTTTTGCAGCGGGAGTTTCGGGTTGGTCCGTGTGCGGTGGGATTGCGGGGGTGGCACGGCGTGCATCCAGCAGGGCGAGGCGGCGATCTGCTTGGAGTGCCGGCTGAGTGCTGGCTGGCTGGAGTGCTGCTTGGACGAGGCCGATTGCTCCAATCGCCCCAATGGCCGCGCGGGTGATGGCGACGGCAAACGGCAATAACAGACGGATAGAAGCTGGATCAGGGCGCCGCACAAAGCTTGCCAAAGACGCAGGACCAACAAATGAGCAACAGCAACAGCAACGGCAGCGTGCAGCTCGATAATGGAAGCGAGGCGAGCAACTCCAAAAAGAAAGAGGTCCCACCGAGATTTGAACTCGGGTTGCAGGAGTCAGAATCCTGAGTGCTAACCGCTACACTATGGAACCAAACACGATTGCGCTGTGCGCCTGGAGACTGCGGGGATTGAACCCACGGCCTTCTGCATGCGAAGCAGACGCTCTACCACTGAGCTAAATCCCCGAGCTTGACCTTGATCTCAACTTTTGGATCCACAGGCACAGGCTCTCCGTCGCTCTTTTATCAACAAACCGCTCAACACTCTCAACCAACGACCCCCTCCACATGCCCCCGACCCAAACGGCCATCAACGAGATGGCCATAGACACCTCGGGCAGCCCTGCTGCCCAAGAACCAGGCCAACCGGACGAAAATCGCAGCCTAGGAAGCAACGGCCATCAGGTCAGTAGCGCCAATATCACCGAGGCCACCGAATCAGCACCCACCAAAAAGCACCGCAGGGATGGTGAGCCCATCCAGCTGCACGTCGGTCGCAAGAAGACCGTCGAAGAAATTATCGAAGAGCTCTATGCAGATTCGGCAATCTTTCCCAACCCGCCCGACGTGGTTGAAGAAAAGAAGTGGGCCCTCTCGATCCTCGAGAAGGCCAAGAACAACACTCTCACCGACCAGGACTTCATCCCGGTCGATTTCAAAGACATCACCTACCGCCGCTTTAGGTTTGTCTTCGCTCTGAAGGCAGACCAAGTTCAATGCTCCCGTTGCAGAGGGAGCAAGCCCCCCGCCTGGCGTATCGACGACGCCCAGCACTCGGTCGTCTGCAAGAACATGCTGATGAGCCCGGACGCCGCCACCAAGGTGGAAGAATGCGGGAAGCATTTTTCCATCCTCGTATTCTGGGGCCTGATGACCCGCCATGACGAAGTCGGATGGAAGCTTTTCGAACAACGGGCCTCCCTCGCCGATGCCAGGGCTGTCGGGAAGCGCGTCTGCGCCACCGACATGCGCAAGAAGCAGAGTCCCCAACAGCAGCTTCAGCACATCCAGAGTGAGCTTCTCAAGAAAGCTCAGAAGATTAACGAAGAACTCGCCAAGCTGGACCTCAGCAAGCCCGAGGAAGCTGCTAGAATCAAGGCCCTGACCCAGAGCGCCACCGAGTGCATGCAGACGCTCGCCTCCGAGCTGGAGCATGCGTCCCGGGCCATCTCGGAACGCCCAGCTCCGACATCCTACGCAGCAGCCGCCCAGCGGGGTGCCAAGAAGCAGCCCGACAACAAGACAATCGACGCGCGCAAGCTGGCGGCCCTCGAAAAAGTCCACCAGGAGGCCGATGCCGGCAAGAAGAACGAGGCCATCGGCGCCATCCTCCGCGGCCGTGACCCCACCGACGGCAAGTGGCTGGTGCCCAAGACTGCCACGCCATTCAGGATGATCAGATCCTCGGTCCCTGTCGAGGAAGGACCCTTAAAGGATAGGATGGACAACGCCGCTTGGGTTTACGTAAAGGGTATCCCTCGGGGTAGCTACCGCACGATCAGACAAGCTTTCAAGGAGAAGGGCTTTGCCACCAACCAGATTCTCAATATCAGCTTTGTCAACAACAGCGTCTGTGAGTTTGTTCTCAGAGACAAGAGCTCGAGAGAAGAATTCTTGAAGCACATTACGGACATGAAATTCACTGAAGTCGCACACATGGACGTGTCGAAGATCACCGAGGCCGAGAAGGAGTCCAAGAAGCTCCAAATCAAGAGCTTCATTGAACGCGCTGCCAGGATATGTGCGGAATCCAATGACCTCCTCACGGCGACCTTGTACCAACGGAAGATGAACGACCCAGCCGTCGCCGAGCAGATCACTGCTAAGGCGAAGGAACTGGCTCGCAACAAACCAGGCCGCCAAGAAAAAGGCGGACGCGAAGGAACCACTCCTCCCCGCAAATGATGCAGCCCCAACCTACGCCCACTATTAGGTTCGCGACCCTGAATGTCTGCGGACTTGAAACCTCTATACACGAGGTTATCGAAATGGTAAAAGCAAAAGACCTCGACTTTATAACAGTCCAAGAAACGTGGCTCAAACCACAGCAATCCATCGGACCTTACAAGAACCTCATAGTTTTCGAAACCCGAGAGCCATATGTCTCTGTCGACGGCCTCGCAAGAGGCACCGGAGGAATCGCCCTCATTCGGAACCCGAAAACCACCAACCTCGAAGACTTTAGCAACTTCCGCGTTGGACCTCATCACACGAGCATCTGGTTCAAGTTCCGAGGCATCGTCTTTGGATCTTTCTACCTCAAGCCTGCTCTGTCAGCCAATGCGGCAGCCCTGCAAAAGTTCCGAGAAGCCCTGTCGGCCATCAAGACCAACACCACAGAAATGAACAATCCTATCCCATCTGTGATCATGGGCGACTTCAACACCCGCATGGGCCAGACAAGCAGAGACACCCATGAAACCGCCAACCGTTTGCAACCACTGCGGACAGCTGTAGCGGGCGGCTTCCTGGAATTCGTGGATTCGACCAACCCCACGGGGCAACACTGGACCCACGTCGTCAACGGGAAGAAACCACAACACTCAGTACTGGACCTCTTCTTTGTCTCGACGGCACTGAGACACAACGCCAAGACGGTGACGGTCCACTCCAACGACACCTGTAACTCAGACCACCGCATGGTGTCGATGGAACTTGAATGGAACGCCGCCAGAGAGCCTGCCCGCCCACCAATCCTCGTGTGGCGAACCAACAAGCTCGAAGATCCCGAAACCCTCCAGCAATACACGGAAGCCTTTAGAGTCCACCACCCAGTAGTCGTAGAGCAGATCACACAGCTGGGAACCCGGCTACCACAAGAGGATGGACCCATGGCACGCGAAGACGCCGAAGCCCTCGTTGAATCTGGGTGGAATATCATCAAGAACCACGTCACAGCGGTGGCACAAATCGTCATTGGGAAGCGAAAGAAGGATGGCCCGGCTCCCCGCAACGGCTTTTGGACACCGGAAATGGCTGACATCAAGAAACGACGAAACACGGCTTATCGAATCGTGAACCAGTCGCCACAAGGCTCGAGAATCCAACTGCAGGCCATGGCCGACTACGAAAACATGAACAACAAACTCAAGGACCTCATACGACGACAGAAACGCGCCTTCTACAACACCTGGGCCCAGTCTCTCTCCACCAAATCGGACTCTGAGCTCCTCAAGGAAATCAGCAAGCGAGACAAGGTCAAAAGCGGCTTCTTCAACCGGTCGATTCTTCCGAACGACCAAGACAGCATGGACCAGTACCGGGCCCACTTTGGGAACATCTCAAGTCGTCTCGGTGTTCAAGAAGCCAACGATACACCGCGTCCTCAGGAAATACTATTCAGTCGCCTCTTGGGCCGCGAAATCACAGCAGAAGAAGTAAAAACAGCCATCCGACGCATGGGGAAACACAAGGCCCCTGGGTCCGACGGGATCAGTGCCGAGCTCCTACACCCAGTAACCGACCAAGTCTCGGATTGGCTGCGTCAGCTCTTCAACTGGTGCATGTGGACCGGCATCGTCCCTCAAGAATGGAATGTCGCCATCAACCACCCCATCTGGAAGAAGAAGGGCGAAGAAGAGGACATCAAGAACTATCGCCCGATCTCTCTGCTACAAGTTGTCCGAAAGGTATTCGAAAGGATCTTACATAGCCGACTCCTCCAGGAGATGGGCCCCATCGACATCTCCCAAGGAGGCTTCCGCAGCAACAGGGGAACCCTGGACCAGGTATTCGCACTCGATTCAATCGTCAAGTTCCTACAGAACGACGGCCACACCCCGTGGATCGCGTTCATGGACATCAAAGCCGCGTACGACTCAGTTGACCGGGATCGGCTCTGGCACAAACTCGAGCAACGAGACATCCCCCCGCATACCATCCGCATCCTACGCGCGCTCTTCGACAACGTGACCACCGCTGTTCTCGTGAGCGGCACCAAATCCCGGCCGTACTGGCTGGAGATCGGGCTGCTGCAAGGGTCGGTTCTTTCACCCACCCTCTACAGCCTCTTCATGGATGACCTCGCACAGAACCTCCGAGCAGTCACATCACCCAGAATAGGGAACCTCATCATCAACAATGTCATGTACGCGGACGACATGGCGTTGGTAGCAAAAAACCAAGAAGACCTCCAAAGACTTGTTGACATCTCCGAAGCACACGCAGACGAAAACAATTACGCTTTCTCTCCGACCAAATGCGAAGTGCTTACCGCGGAAGCAAACCCGACCCCAATCACACTCAAGGGAACACCTCTTAGCTTCGTCACCAGCACCTACAAGTACCTCGGGGTGCAGTTCGGCCCTGATGGCATCGACGCAGAGGCCCACGTCACTCAACTAAAGCACAAAGCCCAGTTCCGAACCAAAGAGTTCAAGGAACACGGCATCTTCAGCAAGTCAGTCTACCCTGGACTGATCGTCAAAATCTACAAGGCTTTCATCCGGCCCCGTCTGGAGTACGGCCTTGCCATCGTCAACATGAAGGGCCCGATAATGAACACTCTACAGGGGTGCATGCTGGACACACTGCGATCGGCACTCAACATACGCCAGAACGCGTCTGGTCCGGCTGTCATGACAGCCACAGGAATCTACACCATGGCGACCAGAAAACAGATACTGATGATCAAGTGCTTCGGACGGTGGTTCGACAGGAAAGACGACCCAGGATATCTTGGATCCCACGTGCTCAAGTACATCACCGAGTTGCCCCCAAGAAACCCAAACAAGAAGATACTCTCCAAGCTGACCGGAAGCGCCGCATGGAAGGAGCTCGAGAGACAGCACCGAGACTCCCCAGACAGAACAAGACTGGACCTGTTTGAATCTGGAACTGGCACCGGCACACCCATCAAGAAGGCGGTGATCGTTCACAGTTTTGAAAAAGAGCGGAAGCCCGAGAAAGTAATGTCGATCGCAGGCACCTACAAGTGGGAAGGCGACCCCATCCTGACAGCGCGGATGCCAGTAGCAACAGTTGCCCAAGCAAGGAGAATGCTCCTGTGGCGAGTCGGGTGTTTCCCACCTAAACCCGACAAGGAGTGCAAAAAGACCGGACCCAACGGCCCCAAGGTGTATGTCAACAGAAAACATGCAGCAGAATGTGTCCGAGCCAAGGACCGACTCGAGAAATATGTTCACCCCACATCGATCCCCGAAGGCATCACCTACATCGACCTTGCAATCGACGCACTCCCCAAGTTGGCTCGAGTGCCAACAAGACCACTCACCACCGATCCTGAAAAACAGAGAAGATGGCGTGCCAAGCGCAGCCGAGTACTGAACAACAGACCAGCGATCTGGCTGGATGTCGTGGCGGTGCTGGATGACATCGCAACCAAATGTCTGTCGTGGACAGCGGCCCCTCGGGCTGACCAATCGCAGCAAACAAGTACCTGAGAAAGAAACCCTCCCAGACGCATGAGCAGACACTTGGACAGGGAAGCCGGAGCTGGAGTCCCAAACTGTCACTGAATGGATGAGTTCGGCAAAACTTGACATCGCCGTCCCTCCGCAAACAGGCCCCATGGGATAGAGAGCTGTACACCGACGACCCAAATGTCCCGGTTGGCAAAGCCAACACCCAGTGCCAGAGCCCAAAAGGGACGCTAAGGCAAAGTCTTTAATAAAGACCCACCTATTGACTGAGCTAAATCCCCTGACCTGGATGGCCGAGTTTCAATACATGAGTCTGGTGATGCAGCTGATGCCAGCATCACATCTCCCCAACAAGGATAAGAAGAACGGGAACGGGACATCCCGTTTTGAGCAGGGCTATCGCTTGTTTCTGGGTTATGAATACCCACCCATCCATTGCTACGATGCAGTGCTGCAGTTCCAGCTGCCGTGTAGTGCGGAATCGTAGTGTCAATGTGGCGCCAACATGATCACTTCGTGCAGGGCGATTGTGGACAGAGGGCAACGACTTCGAAACGGCCTGCTGGATATGGACCATCCAGGCGATGCTGTCACAGCGCAAACAGGTACGTCTCGCTTTCGCACACCGTGTTGAAGAAAATGCGAGACACATCGTCTCATTCGGACAAGCCCAGCGTTGTCGGATCATATCTCACGCCCGGTCAAATGGGTCAAATCATTCCCCTGTGTGAGAGAGATGCATGGAGTGCGTGGGCACGACGGAACCAGCGAGCCGCTGCAGATGCAGTCGCTGCAGGTCAGAGTACGGTGACATAACTGGCACAACAGAGCGAAGAGCAAAGTCGCTGCAAGACCTCGGCGAGCGGATATCATGGAGTTCGGGTGCCAATCGTAGCCGTCTGATTCACACAACCCACACAACCCACTCAAGCCATCCGTATGTGACATGCCTCGTTTCAAAGTAAGATCGCTGCAGAGCGCAATCGGAGCATCTCCCGTCCACCACGCAAATGCATCCACGCCATCCATCACGATCCGTCAGCCGCCGGCCCCTGTGCGCCCAGCGCCTTGCTTGTTGGTCTGTGACACTCACCGGCGGCTTGTCTGAAAGGCGTTCTTGGAGCGATGCCCCTCGCCCCTCACCTCTTCCCCCCCCCCCGACATGTCTAAATTCACGTTCTGGAAGCGCCCGGACGGCCAGCCCGAGTCTCCTTCGGAGCCCCTGGAGTATTACACCCGGGCCAGCGGCCGATCCAGCCTCAGCCGTCGAAGCCGCACCCCCGCGGCTCCACCGGGTTCCTTGCGACGCAAGCGCCGTTTCCTCTGTCTGCATGGCCGGGGCACCTCGGCTGATTTTATGGACTTCCAGCTCGGGAGCCTCAAGTCCATCAGCCGAGATGACATGGAGTTTCACTTCATCAACGGACCCAATCAAACCGAGCCCTTCGACGATCCCTTCATCATCGAGAACTTTGCGTCCCATGGCTTCTACTCCTGGACCGATCCAAGCGAGAATGCCCAAGTGGCCGTGTACGAGGTCATCAAAAAGGCGTCGCTCCTGGCTCCGCTCGACGGAATCATCGGGTAAGAGCAGCGTAACGATTGCATCCCCCCCCCTGGTCCCGCTGATTGGGTGGAGAGATGACGCTATCGAACCGCTTGCTGACTCAAAGTGCATCCATCTATCATCGCCCGCTGTCTGCGCTCCCCGACCCCTGACACGGACCCAAAAACCCTCCGACGTCGGCTCTTGATATGGCCCTTGATGCAACTGCTGCAACAAAACCATCCTTGGCGGGGGGGGGCGGACGTATGGTCGGTGCTGTTCTTCCGTCTTTTACCTTCTCCAGATTCTCACAGGGAGCCGCTCTGGCCACGTACATGACGGCCCTCTCCGAGAAGGGCGATCTACCAAAACTCTGGAACATGGTTGTGTTGCTCTGTGGAGTCGATCCGCCACAAGAATGGTTTGCCAATGGCATCCTCCCGACCGGCAAAATCCTCACACCCTCGGTGCATGTCCATGGCTTGGCGGACCCATACTTGTCAAGGTCAAAGCTTTTGGCCGACATGTACGAGCGCCCCGTCGTCTTGAGTCACGACCAAGGCCACCAGGTCCCGTTCAAACTGCCTTTCAACCAGTCGATGAAGGAGGCCATTATCCAGGCCATCCCATCCGCTCGGCCCTAGCCAGACCCGGCCATTATGTTTCTGTGATTCCTCTATCGATTGCTTTATTCCCTCCAAGGGAGGACGGTGCTTGCCATTTCCCTGCTTCATGAACCAACGAGAACAATACCACACCGAAACGAACCGGATCATCCCGCGATTGAGTCAGGTGCGACACTTTTCTCTGGTCCCGAATACACACCCATCTATCGTCTATAATGACCAAGTGCGCTCGCGGTGCCTGGCAGCAGAACGACTCGCTCGACCCGACCCTCTTGACGTCAAGAAACCAGACTTTGTACAAAGCTGTCCAGAGGGTCGAGTGCATCCCTCACACTCCCACATTGAGATATCAGTGACAGCCGATCCTCGCCACAGGAGATTGACCATATGCGTTCAAGACTGTGTTCCTGAAACCAACCAAAGCCACACGATTGCCAACCATGATTGGGCGCAACTGCGTGACTTGCCCACTGAGGTCCACAGATCGCTGCACTGAAGGCAATGGCTGGTGTGAAAGACGGAAAAATGAGGCACCATTCCATTTCGTGCTAAACCGGACCCTGTCATGGATGGAAACGATGAACTGTTGATGGGCATGAATGTATTGCAACTACAGTCAATCCAATAAAAAACGGGACACCCGTGATTTTGACGATTGACTGTAAGCGCTTGACTGTGTGGGCGCAACGGATTTGTGGGCAGGGTCGGATCAATCTTGGATGAAAAATGCCCAGTCCATCGAGGACCCAGCGGTGCTCCGTGCTGATTGGAGCAAGTTCTGGACGATCGCTGCAGCTCCAGCCGGAAAGCACCTTTGTTTCCCAGCCGACGATATACACTATTGTCCCATGAGCCGAGATTGCTCCGAGCCCCAAGCCGAGATTTGCCGTAACTCAAACCGAGATGCATGTCCGAGCCTGACCGCAGCCCAGGCCGTTGCTGCTGTCGCAATCGTCGCTGCAGCGACAGGGCGAACCGAGCTGGCCAGTAGAACACTCGCCAGAAACGCACAGGAACTTGCAGTCGGCGTCGCTCTGACATAAGGCCCCGGCCAACCCTTGTTGAGCCGTACAGAGATACGTTGTTGGGTCGCAGATGCGTTGTCCGAGACAGTGATTGTTGGACATGCAGGGCGATCCCACTGCGCCGGAGCGACAATAGCCATAGAGGCAGATGAAAGAGCAGTGTTCGCTGCCGCTGCAGGGCTGCAGTCTTGGTGGTGCGGGTGTTGTCAATGCCTGAGTTGTTGAAATAGTCGATTGAGCGGCAGCTGTAGCCAGGGTGGTGGAACCCTCTGGAGAGGTAATGCTGGCTGAAGCAGCAGCGGTGGTTGTTGACAAACAGATGGGCGCCGCCGACATCGTCGTCGTGACGGTAGGGCCGAGCGTTACGCCGACTGAAACACTAGCTGAAGCCGAGGGACCAGAAGCAGTCAGAGATAGGCTGAATACGTGCGATGATGTGAGCTGGATGGCTGCTGCTGTGGTCGTTGGGTAGTTTTGAGTCGTTGTTGTTGGGTAGTTTTGGGTGGTTGTTGTTGGGTAGTTCCGACTGACGATCGAATAGGCTTTCGTGCTCGACATACCCACAATACCTGGCAAGTTTTCTGTCGCCGTGACCATCACGGATGTGGTGGTAGCCAGATTGGTTGTGCTCAGGGCAGGCTCCGTTGTCAGAGCCAACGTCACACTTGACGCAGCTCCAGTTGTGGTCACAGCCAACACACTCGCAGAGCCTACTGTTGAAGCAAGCTCCGTGGTCGTGAGAAAAGTACCGGTGGTCGTGAGAAAAGTACCGGTGGTCGTGAGAAAAGTACCGGTGGTCGTGAGAAAAGTACCGGTGGTCGTGAGAAAAGTACCGGTGGTCGTGACAGCCGCCTTTGTGCCTATCGTGGTTGCAACTGCAGTTGTAGTCGCCGTTGTCAAGTTTGGAGCCGTGGTAGTTGTTGTTGTGGGTTGAGTCGTGCTCGTTACAGGGGCCACGACAGTGGTAGCGGTGACTGATGTAGCAAGGAATGTCGTGGTGGCGGAAACGGCTGTTTGTACGATTGCTGGTGAGGTCCCAGTCGTGGTGAAGGCCCGGACAGACACTGGTGTTGTTATAGCATCAGTGACCGTGGCCGATGTGTCTGTCAGAGAAGTTCTTGCCAAGTTTTGCCGCGTGATGGAGTTTCTCGGCAAGTTGATGCACTGATAGAGATAGGTATCGCATACGTTGTCCTTCTGGCACTGCGCATCGGTATCACAGGCTGACCCCAGTCCACCGGAGCGACAAAATCCTCGAACACATGCAAACGAGCAGTTTCCGTTGGTTGTACATGGCTGACCGTCTTGGTGCATTGGCGTGGCCAACGTTCGTGGGCCACTGTGTGTTCCGGATGGTGTGTGAGGGGGCAGTGCGGTTCTATTTGATCGCCGGACCATGCAGAGCTTCTGGCCAGATGATCCGACATCACAGACCGAATTGAGACCGATGCAGTCGTAGCTAAACTCGCATGGCTCGTTGAGTCTTCCCGTGACACATACTCCGCGAATACAATCAAGGGCGTTGGGCTGCTGCGATTTGCAGTCATTCAGGGAGCGACAGGGGACCGGATTACCCTGCTGTCCTTGTTGCTGACCACAGGTAGAGTTGGATAAACAGGTCAGATCGACTCTACAGTGATAGTTGTGAGCACATGGTTGCTCGGACTGTCCCGAAGTGCAGATCTGCATCGAACTGACACACATGAATGTGCAGTCGCTATCGCTCTTGCAGGAGGCGGAAGATGTCTCGGGGTATTGCCGCGCTGTAGGTTTGGATCGGCACCAGTGGCAGCACAGCAAAGAGGGGTAGTTAGCACGATATGGCTTTGGAGATACGATAGCGGCACGGGCCACCAAACTCAAGAAACCAACATACCGCCCTCAAGACAGAGTCAACGGGTATTCGCGGAATGATCACAGTGCCGGGTGTGGCGATACTCACGAAGGGCAACCGCCAGCTGCACGATGACCGCGCTGATGTACAATAACACGGCCAGAGCAGCAGAGTGAGCGACCATCATTGCGTGACGATGTCAGGCCGAAGTAGGGTGAATTGTAGGGGGGGGGGCACCAGTACCAAGTCGCCATCGGTGGCACGCCTTGGGCCCAAGCCAGCGCTTCTATACTCGGCGAGCCAATCGAGAAAAGGCGGGAAGCCCACTGCGCGGTATACATATATATTGTTTTTTTGGCGGCGGAAGCCAACAGTGCGCCAAAGCCAGATGGCGGCCATTCCGATCGCAGCGGATCCAAATACAGGATGATCAACAGCAATTTGGCGCGCGCGGGCAAGTGCCCCAGGGGCTGGGCTCATGATGTCCCCCGCACGAACAAGAACCGCTGTGGGGGAGGCAGGACCGAGTCAGCTAGAGGAGACCGAGCCATTCTGACGGCATTGAGTGAGATTTTCCTATGTGAAAGGAGACAATGCCAATAGTACATAAGTGATCCGATTTCCGACGAAACATCAACAATAATATCGGTCCGAGACCCTCCCCCCCCCCTTGTGCCCAAAGGTGTTGACGAATGTGCATTCTCATGGGGCGCAGTAGCGGCTTCCGATGTTGATAGAGCGAAAGCGGCGTGTTCTGATGCCCAGACGGTGACAGCTTCAAGTTGACTCTGCTGGACAGCGCGGTCTCAGCGGCGTCGAGCATACGCATCGACACCAAAGTCGACGCTCGGATCCAACACTAGCGCAACGGTGCCAGGACAAGATATTACACCACGACTCCGATCACCTACTTCCTGCGAGGCGGTTGGTTCCGAATCAGTTTGCTATCCGTCTCCGGCTCGTCCCAATGCTCCTCCGGCGCGGGCATATCCATGGCAAACCCGCGGGAATCGCCTCCTTCTCCGACGCCCAGAGAGGGGCCCTTTCCAAGAGGCGTCTTTCGCCGCGAGGTGAAGGCATCGCCAGATTGTAGATCATTCAGAGATCTCGAAAACGACGGCGCTCGTTGGGGTGCCGGCAACCCAAACGCACCGAGCGAGGCCAGATCCCACTCGTCTTCGATGGGCATAAACAGATCTGAGCGAAAGAGCCGATTCAGCTCACGGTCGACTCTGGATGACAATGCAGTCAGAGGGTAGGCCTTGATCACTAACGATTTGGTAAAGTCATAAATCGCCTGTACACAAATTTTGATCAGCGGGGTCATCGAGATACATGGGCTGGGGGCACACGTGCAATTGGCCGATTAAACTGGCGGGGCGAGCAGACCTCAAAGTACATCCGCTCTTTGGCCGGCTCCTTGCTGTTGGCCGAGACAACAAGCAATAGGAAGCAGTATGCCGTTGCGAAGGCCCGAAGGGAAGACTCCTTGTGTGCGACGGCTTCGTCCAACGTCCACACATTGCTTCCAAAGAGAAGATTTCTTGTTGCGACAGCGCATGCACGATAAGTATCAGGAGCGAAATCGTGTGTGATCCTAGCTGGCGAGCGGCTTCCGAAGGTGCGTTTGCGGCTTACTGGGTGTTGTCTCCAAGTTGTCTCGGGACGTTCGATGGAAAGTCGACTCCGAGGCGATTGGTGGCCTTTTGCTTTTCGAGGTAGTTGACTCGTAAAAACCAGCTGCAGCAAACAAAGGCGTGTCGACGAGTGGTGTGAGCAAACCAGCCCTGTTGTGACAAAGGCGGGGACATACTTCCGCTGGATGGATCAACGAGCCTTCACATGAACCAAGCCACGAGGCGGTGGTGTGGATAGCGAAAGGGCTTATTTGGACGTTGTGCCTCTACGATGAACAGGATCAGCCGGAAATAAGCTCACTTGCAGTACTCGAGAGCAGTGTTGAAGAACTCATCTAGCTGTGTCGAGCTCAGGATCTTGACAAAGCTTTTGGTCATCCGCATTTTGTTGGCGTACTTGTCGAGCATGATTTCTGTTGTATCGGTAAAGCACACAGGAAGCCTTTCCTCAGCAGCTGCGCTTGGATGTTTGGAGACTTATGTCAGCCTGTGACTTACTTTTCGCATCAGTGAAGTCTCGGTTCTGGGAGCCGTCTCTGTGCACAGGTGGGATGCAGAGTGAGCGACCAGAGAGAGAAGCGGAGTGTCCAAATGGCGACGGTATCGGCGATGCCAACGCTATGAAGCAGATAACGGACTTGCCTATATGCGGATGCTCGTGCGGATGGCAGATCAATCCTATATGGCAAAGTCGTCCAAAGGAAAAGGCGGCAGAGAGTGAGAAACACCCTGCTCGGAGTGCCGAGCTCGACTCACGGGATGCAATCTGGCAGCCCCCGAACGACATTTCTCTCGGAACGGCTGCACGAGTTGCCGAACGCGGAGTAGATACAAACCCCGATGCGGGATTGACCTGAGGAAACAGTCCAGTTCCGTCGGCATCGCCGACTTGGTCTTTGGTGGGGTCGGCCATTGGTGCTGAACGCTTGACTTTCGGTACCCTACCCGAGCGACCTGGGCCCGTGGATTTTTTCCATCCAAAGGCTGTTTTGACGGCGATGTGAGTGGGGCTATGATCTGGATTGGTGGTCAGAGAGGCTTGGTTCGGGCTGGTGGCGATTGTCTCGGGGAGCCTGGGCACCGCGGATTCGGTTGTTCGTTGAACCATATATCGAGTGGAAGCAGCACCCCAGGGTCAAAGACAAGGGGCAACGTCGAGTCAAGCAGTGCAGCAGACATCGGGGGTGGTAGTGGGCAGGATACTCTCCGGAGTCGACGGAGAGTGAAGAGCAGCCTTTCCAAATCGAAATGGAACACCCAGACACGTGTGTCGACGGATGTTCGATCGATGCTCCCACCACAAAGCGAACTGGGACGCCTACCCATGCAGTCGGCGATAGCCTGGGTCCGTGTTCGAAGTGATCACTTTGGCAACCTCCGAGTGGAGAGATCGGGCCGCCCTCTGTCCACAATCGCCCTGCACGCAGTGATCATGTGGCGCCACATTGACACTGCGATTCCGCACTACACGGCAGCTGGAACTGCAGCACTGCATCGTAGCAATGGATGGGTGGGTATTCAGAACCCAGAAACAAGCGATAGCCCTGCTCAAAACGGGATGTCCCGTTCCCGTTCCCGTTCCCGTTCCCGTTCCCGTTCCCGTTCCCGTTCCCGTTCCCGTTCCCGTGTGAGTGCGTTTACAGCTTGCTCGAAGCAAAACGGGATATGGAATTGCACTCCTGTCTCCGCTGATCATCTAGTTGTTCGTTGCTTTGGGAACACACATGGTCGATTTCCGGTCGCGCCGATTGACTGGAATCGATGTCACAGTTGGGACTATGGTGCATGCGTTCGACCCTCTGCTCTGGACAGCTCTGTGCAAATATGGTTTCTTGTCGCCGAGATGGCTAGGTCGAACGAGTCGCTCGCCGTGTGTTCTGGGACATGGCCACCTCTGGTGATGGTGGGATTGCCCTAAATGCTTGGCGAATCCGGGATTCATGTGTTGGAGAAGCACATCCCTTTCCCTGTTTCCAGGGGCCATTCCCAAAGGCATCTCCAAAGACAATCACAAAGGCAGTCACAATCTCGGTCTCCTTAGATACTCAGAACAGGGTGCCCCATTTCGTTTTCGACTCGCTGTATTATCAAGGAGATAGCCAAAGTAGCAACAACGGCGTGAAAAGCGCCGATCGGCCTCGGCATCGTCAAGGCCTTGGGCAATTAGCTCAGTTGCCCTCTATTTCACCATCTCGGTACCTTTACCCTTGGCGAGCAAATAGCGCCGCCCAGAATGCAACCAGCATCAGCATCCAGTTGAAGGGAGTAAGTTGCAGCTGGCCCGCCCCGCTGGTATGTCGGTTGGCGGTTCGTGGATCGACAAAGGACGACGGTACAGGCGAAGGGCCGCTGCCGGGGCTGAGGTTGGAGGTGTTGGTGTTGGGGACCAGGAAGGGATTGGTTTCGCCAGGGACAGTGCCGTCGGCATTCATAGGCACGCCAACGATGCCTCGTCCGGCCCGCTGGTCGGGAGTATCGGCTGGCCACTTTGGAACAGGTTGGTCCTTGTCGTCGTAACACTGTGAAATAACAGGGCAGCCATGTCGAGCGATGTTGTCGTGGATACAGGCCGATCCGATCAGGACCGTAGACAGGGGAGGGATTAGCGACGCTGGGTATGGCAAGCACCTCGGAACCTATCTATGCCCGCCTCCAAGGCAGACCGAGACGGCCGCTCTGCCAAGGAAGTATTGCTCAAACGTAGCGTGACGACGTACCTGGACTTGGACATATTCGAAGATGGCGTACCGACCGTAATTCGGGTCAGCACCGCTCCAGTCGGTTGCGCCGCCGGCCCACTCCCGTGTGCGATCGGAATCGCCGGCGTCCCAAAGGGAGAACTGGATGAGGGATGGTGTTGTAGGATACCAGTATTGAATGAGGCCACTCTGGACTTGCTTGGACTGTTTGCCGTCGCCGGCCTTTGTGAAAATCTTTTGGACGACGCCGTCGATAGAGTACCTGTGGCCAAGCAGACGAGGCTGGTGTTGGATGCATGTGCGATACCGATACACGAGGTTTCTTCAGTGTAACTACATCAACGTACGTGATCTGGTTGTGGGTCCAGTCCATTTCATAGATGTGCCAGTCGTCGAAGGCGCCCGAGGGCACAAAGGCCCCGTAGTGAGTGCCCTTTTCGGGGTCGAGCTTGGTCAGGTTCCAAGGAGACTGATCTTGGTACTGGTGGTAAAAGACGTTGCTCTGAGACTGGCCCTTGACCATTTCCCAGTCGATTTCGTCTCCAATATCGGACATTGTGATGAAGGACGTGACAAAGCCGATCTGACGCACGGCCTTGAGGCGGGCGGTGATCTTGCCGTACAGGATATAGCGAGTCGATGAAACACGGGTACTGGCTGTGAGATTGCAGAGACAGACGGGATGTCAGACGGGGTGTCAGCGGCGACTGCACGCAGGGATAAGGGCAGCGACCCTGATGGCGTTAGGTTGGCAGGTGGAGTTGCAACCATGCATCAAGAGGAGGGGCACCAGAGAGGACGATCGGAGATGGAGGACATGGTTCGGTCGGCGAGTCAATCGTGATGATTCCGGATCTGCCAGCGTCTCGAGGAGGATATCCGCGGAGCTAGAGCGGCGACTTACATCCATACGGGTTGAGAGTGTCCGGCGGCTTGGCCGAGAGCATGAGCCCACCCGTTGCACCAAACTGGTTACGGATGAGCATCAGAGGTGGGATGGAAGTCAGCGACGATGCATGCAAATGAGAGGATGCGCATGGAGATGTCACATCGGCAGCGACTTTGAAGATGCCACCAGCGACATCATCGGCGAGAACAGGCACCAAGTGGCCATGCAGCAGCGGCGGCAGCAACAACAACAGCGACACCAACGACAGCAACGACAGCAACGACAGCAGCGACACTCACTGTGACCAGGTCCTTGGCGTGATCGATGGTCCAGTCGTAGACGGTATAGTCGATCAGCGGAGGGGCTCCTCGGCGCTCGGGGTTGGTCGGTGCCGGGGCGGCGATGCGGGAAGGATCCTTGAAATCATACCGAGCCGAGATGCAGTTGCCGACCACGCTGGGTGGGTCGGTGGACGAGGTCGCAGCAAGGGCGAAGCCGGATCTCGGGGTCGCAGCTCCGAAGCGGCTCTGGCCCTGGGATGAACCGGACTGGGGTGTGGTATTGGCAGAGGAAGTCACAGCGGGAGAGGTCATGGCGGGGCCGGGGGGATGCAAGTTCGGAGACGTGGTAAGAGAGGGGAGCAAGAAGCGGCTGGACGAACGAGCGGATGAAGACGAGAGAACGAAGACGAGAGATTTAAGGGCAACGGACGGCAAAGCGGCAACAGAGATACAGCGGTGCGGCTCTGTATGTCTGTGCAACGTGCTGCTGGGCACAGGTGTGGTGTGGTATTACTGTGTGATGTGATTTGACTCTGTGCTTTATCGCTGGGCTGGACCGCGTACGATTTTGGGCTGGGTGAGTTGTGGAGCAAGAGCAAGGGCGTCGGTGGGGGCTGTGCTGTGGTGGTGGGAGCGAAGAGATACTCGCCCAATGCTCCCCTCCAACTCTTGCTGGCAGCCCTGATCACCTCCACTCCAGGCCAAGGTTGACGAGGTCGACAAGCTGCTGCGTCCGGAGGCTGTGCTATGCAAGGCTTTGAGTTGCACTTTGTTCGGAACAGAGCGAGGCAGTGTGTCCCCGAGTCATGGGCAATCCAGTGGCTCTGGTGTCGCTTGGGCGCCTTCAGTGATCGCCGGGTGTGTGATATAATCCGACTGCGCCGTGCTTATCGAAACGAGACTATGTGTCCCAGTGTCCATTCACCCTGACCACTCTGGCCCGACCTCCGGGATCTGCCGAGTTCAGTGGTTCAAGTTTCGGACAGCAAGGCGAGCGAGCCAGCCTCCATCTCCAGATTCAAGGGTCAAGGGGAACATACAAGTCGTATATTTGCAGATGCAGTCAATGCATCCCAACACACGAGCACAGCAGCATTCAGTAGCAAGTACACATTAGCGACAACGGCATAGAAGGTTGGTTCGAAGTGGGAGTCGGGGTGGCGAGAACTTGGTGGTCATGGCGTCGAAGCATCATTGTCCGTCAAAGGGCGCAGTCCTCGGGCAGCCACTGGACTGACGGCCAGATGGATGAGGTTTCTCAGTTGCCGCCAGAGGTGGTGAAGCCATAGGTCTGGTCGGTCGAGCCAATGCCGCACTGGCCGTATGCGATCCAGAAGAAGCCGTCAGTGCCCCAGGTGGTGGTCCAGGAGTTCTTGCAGAGCCAGGCCTGGTTGCCCTCGTCCCAGCCGACGATCGAGACAGCGTGGCCGCCCTCCTGCTGGTCGGACTGCTGTGTGTAGATCTGGTTGTTGGAGCAGCAGTTCATAAAGTCTTGGTCTGTTGGGAGCAAGGGAGAGTGTGGTGAGTCGGTGCCATGTCCACCCAGATGCACTGTTGCATGTGCAGGTACTTACAGACAGTGAAGGCAGTCACCACGGCGCCGTAGGTCATGATGTGCTGTTTGATCTCGTCGACGCTGCCGAACGAGGCCACCGAGAGCCCGCTGGTGCGCTGGCAGCTGCTGTCGTCGCACTGCTGATCCTGACCGTCGCCGGCGGTGTAAGGGAAGCAGTCGGCCGAAACGACGCCGTTCTGGGCAATGTCGTTGGCCGCCTGGCCGGTCTGCCAGCCAGTGCTGCAGGAGGCGCCGTCACCCGAGCCAAGACAGAAGAAGAGATCGGCGGTCGAGACCTCGATGCTGTTGCCGGTCTGGCTGAGGAAGGTGCTCTCGACGGTGGCAGCCGAGGAGAAGGCAACGCAGCTGCCGCACTGGCCCTGGTCCTTGATGGACGAGACCCAGTTCTTGTTGCGGGAATCCCACGAGTCGGGGAGCATGGCGGCTCGGACGGCAGCGGTGTGGATATCAGAGGCGTTGCTGCCCTGGGTGGGGAAGACCACAGACGCCGGTCAGTGCAACGGCAGAGCGATGCAGAGCGGGCCGGTATCGATGTGGAGTGTGCCAAGCATCGATCGACCATCCACCAGGCATCAGCTGAACACTCGCCAGGCATCGCAGCAGCAACAGCAGCCACTTGCGGCATTGCATCGGACAGACCACTTACAAAGACCGTGGTGGCAAGCGACTCGATGTTGTCATCGGTCATGGTGAAGCTGGCCATGTTCTTCTTGTTGGACTTTGTGTGGGTCTTGACCTTCTTGACGAGCTTCTTGAAGGCGGGGTCCTTGCGCTGGGTGGCATGGGCCTGGACCAGAGCCTTGGCATCCTTGGACATGCTGGCCGTGTTCTCGGCAGAGCCGATGACCTTGTCGAGCGACTTGCGGTACTTGTCCCACTTGCCGCCCCGAGGGACAGTGGCAGCCTCGATGGCTCCGGAGAGGGCGAGGAGGGTGGTGAGAGCAAAGCCGAGGTTGACGAGCATGGTGGAGACTGGGAGTGAGGCCAAAGATAGAGAGGCGAGAGGCTGGTCTTGCGATGGAGGCTGGTGTGCCGGTGGTGGTGATGGTCCAGGACAGGCGGGAGCGGTGTCCTTTTATCCCCCAGCGCACATCGGCGCATCGCCAGAGGGCCTGGGAAAGACCATGAGGCATGGGGGCGCGGATCGAGAAGGCCCGGTCGATGGCAGGATGCGGCTGGAGTGTGATTCTCGAGCATGGTGGTTGTGGAATCATCGGGCAGGTCATGCAGCAGCAGGTGGCTCGTGAGAATCGGAAGGAAACAGCGAGCCGACGACCGCCGTGACAATGCCCATGATCCTGCACTTGGATGGGATGCAAAGAAGACGGTGCCTCCGGGACCCAGATGGAGCCGCCACAATGTCCATTCCGCTGGGTGGCTGGGTCTGGTGATCTGCCTTTCGTTTTCCTTGCTGGTCGAGCCTCGCCGGCAGGATGGCCGGCTGCTGAAGCAATTGGGAGACAGCTGCAGAGGCAATTGAAATGCATCAGCACTGGTATGCGCTGCCCGATACAGCAGCATCGGCCGTGTGAGATTCGCCTGGGTCGTCTGCATGAACATGCACTTCGTGGCCAACTGAGAAAGGGCTCGGGGACGGACCGCCTCGGCCCCAGTCTCCATCTGCTGCGGATGGCTGGTCAGCAGCATTGGCACTTTCCGGCGGAGCTGTGGGCTGACTGTGTCGAAGCAACCGTGGGGCTGGCATGCAGTTGATGGGAAAGACCAAGGACCATGGAAACGGGCCGCATGACGACGGGGCCACCGAGCGAGAAAGACACTGGCGCATGACCTCGAGCCGATCCAGAGGAAAGCGGCAGGCGAGCCACCGAAAAAGCAAGGCGCATTCGGCTGACATGGCGGAAAGTCGCCAGGACAAGCGGCATCCGGGATCCTGTCGATTCGGCATCTGGCCCCATGGGAGTCTGTGTCCCGAGATCATGCATCGCAGCGGCTGGGCATGTTGATGCCGGTGTCGAGCCCCGTCGGCGCCCCGCACTGGTTCCCATCGTGGAACCAGCCCATCCTCGGATGCCATCGACCTCAGGTGATCAATCTGCCCGTCTGGCGGCTTGCCTGCGGCCTGCCGATGGATGCTGTCGTTTAGCGAGATGTGGTGCTCGGGCAAGACCTCCTTTGCCGACTCGCTTAGAAGGAAATGGGGCTGGTGCCCAGCTGCATATTGCGTGGGCCGCAGTGACAGCCGTGACTTGTGCAGAGGGCAGTCATGAGGCAGAGGGCAGTGGGTTGATGGTTGGTCTGTCTCATCTGCCGTCGCATCCGAGGTATCGGAGCCATTGCATCGGCACCGTGAGTATCGACGAGTCACTTGCTGGCATCGCCCTCGCAAGATCGCTGGTCCGGATTGCACGATGGGCGAATTGTCGACTCGGTGAGCAATGTGGATGGGCAGTGTGAATGGGCAGTGTGGATGGACAATGCCGAGATAGGCGATGGAATGCGCTGGCTTGGAAGTGCAGAGATGCAACAATGGAGGAATCAGCGAGCGTGGCTCATGGCGAGAGACTTTGGTGATCATCAGTTGAGCCTCGATCGTGATGTGCCAGAGGACGACTCTGCTTTGGATTATCTGATGTTCCCAAGACGGAGACTATCCAACAACCACAGCTATTGTTTCATAAGAATGGAGCCCAGCCAGTGACTCTAGCCGCGATGTGATGGTTCTGTCCTCAGCATTGAATGAATCGCCAGGTCTCTTAATCTACTCACGATCCTACAAAGTTTGAAGGACGCCACGTAGTGCGGATATGCGTGAGTCAAGCAGACGGCATGGCTCGACGGATGCATGTCTGATCTGGATGCATTGGAGTACTGACTCGCTTGGGGGAGAGAATGTCCACTCAGGTTTGGTTTCAGCTGATGATGGCAATGGCCATTGGCGACAGCGAGGATGATATTGGAGTGAGAAGATGTATTCACAGACAATCTGGTGGGAAGACACCACCATGAATTGGTGGACCAGCGAGCCACGGCTGATGAGACAAAGACCGTCGAGACAAACGACAGGGATCAGACTGACGTGAAGGAGTGAATGGAATACAACACGAGTAGATAGGATATGGCTGGGAATGTGACAACAATCAGACGATGCGAGTGGCAACGGGGACCAGGACAGGGTTGTTCAATCGATTGATGCCTGACAATCTCGGAACATCATGGAATGCCATTCGCCGTGGCTGTGGATAGTGTCTGTGCAGTGGTGTCGGTGTGGAGAGCCTGGATGAAGTGCAGCGAGATGGATCAAGGCTGTGGCAGATGGGAGACACGAGCGTGAGCGAGTGGATGATGATCGATGAGAGTCGGAGGAACGAAGGATTAGGCAGAGAGAACAAGAGTAGGAATGTGAATACAGCAGTGGAGTGAGTGTGGCAATCAAAATGGATGGGAACATGGATGGAATGGAGTGAAAACAGAGAAGGGAAGCAAAATGCTCCGCACAGGGATCGAACCTGTGACCTTGGCGTTATTAGCACCACGCTCTAACCAACTGAGCTAGCGGAGCGAGAGAATGGTTTCGTCCGGGATCGAACCGGAGACCTTGAGTGTGTTAGACTCACGTGATAACCAACTACACCACGAAACCCCGTGACTTCCAATTACACCGGCTCACTCTATGAAACAGTGCACCCCATTTCGATCATCGAATGTTCCATCAACGGGCTCGACCACAGAGTGATCCAGGATTCCATGCATCCCACGCTCCCACGCGCGTTGCGGGACTGACCGCACGGATGCCAGTGATATCAGTCGCTCAAGCCCGAAGAATGTTCCTCTGGCGGGTCGGAGGTTTCCCTCCCAAACCTGACGGAGCGTGCAGAAAGCCCGGACCCAATGGTCCCAAAATCCCGGTGAACAGGAAACATGCGTCGGAATGTGTCCGAGCCAAGAACCGTCTCGAGCAGTATGTACATCCTGCGAGGATCCCCGAAGGCATCACGTACATCGACCTTGCAATCGACGCACTCCCCAAACTGGCTCGAGTGCCTGCAAGACCAGCCACCATCGACCAGGAAAAACTGAGCAAATGGCGTGCCAAACGCGAACGAATCCTCAACAACAGACCAGCGATCTGGCTGGATGTCGTGGCGGTGTTGGATGACAACGTAACCGAATGTCTGTCGTGGACAACTCGCAGCGTCGTCACCGAAACTCGACTCTTTGAGATCGTCAATGCCTATGGCTGGCCCGTCATGTTCGAGACCCGCGAGCGATTCAAGGCCCTGCTTTACCGACCGTCGCTGCCCAACGGCTCGTCGATGCTGACGCTCATGCATCTGATCCTGAGCATGTCCTTCCTGGTCGACAACACCAACACCCGGTCGATCTGTCCGGCCCTCGGTTCCCAGGCCGGGAGGATCGCCGGGCGAGGGCTGCTGTACCTGACCCACATCGGGTATCTGCCACCTCCTCCGAACCCTCCGTCGCCGCTGAGACCCGAGGAGCACCCGCGGCCAACATCTTCCGTCCCGACACCCACAACTAGCTCGGTGGTGGAGGTCACTGCATGTTTGGCAGTGCCATTCATGGTGCATCCCATGCACAGCCATGGTCCTTCACTTGCACGGTGCCTCACAACTCCCTGACACACACTCCTGATCTATCGCTTCGGAGTCTGTGCACGACATCCAGAGCTTGCCAATGTGTCCCACTCTCACCCCGTCCACATACCCCGATGTCGCCCCAGTCGCCCTGTCGGCAATTGACTGTCTGTCCTGGTCAATATCACAGCCATATTGGATTCTCCATGCGACTCCTCCGTCTGGTGTCAGTGCTGGTTGCGAGTACTTGTGGACGGAGACAGGGTTGCTGATGCAACAGATCGAGCCGCATTCATTCGATGCAAAGGGGGAGACATTCTCGAGCCACCACGGCAGCCGCCCTGCTGTCTCGCATCCTGTTTCCTCGTTTGCTGCCCCGTTCGGCAGCACCACACAACTCGCCAATCGCAGCGAGAATCGAACTTGGCAGTCACAGACCCCTCGCCAGCACCAACAAGGACATTGCATCAACAGCAGAGGAAAGGGCAGGAGAAGGCGACCAAGCGACCGGATCGAGTGGTGAGATGCAGGTGGCACCGACGCCTTTCCGCATGGCCAGCAAGGCGAGCTGTGCAATATCCCCCACAACCAGCCACAACCAGCCACAACCAGCCACACCCAGGCCACAGAGGAAGGACAGAGGCCGCCAAATGCAGACCGACTGAGAAGCACAGCCGAGAGTGGGTGTGATGTAATGCTGCTTGCGGCTGTGTCGATGGTCTTGTGCTGAGAGCAACTGTCGGTGTGGTCCGGCAGGAGAAGGAGCCAGGAATATATGAACAGGCCAGCCGGCCTCCTTCGTCGCCCCTGTCTGCTCCATCGCCTCTGTCTTGCTGCTGTCGCTCCGTCGTGGGTGCCGACACACTCGAAGATGGCCCTCCGGTCGCTGATGTGCTGTTTCTCGTCGCAGGACGAGGATGATCCTTCGTTTGGCGATATGCCCAAGACCAAGCCCAATCCTGTTCCACCCGCCGACCCCTTCGACCCTTGGGCGCACCCTGTCGAAGCCTTCATCCGGATGGCCCGCGACGAGCCCGATGCCCTCTGCATCAACACCTACGAGAGCGGCGAGTCCGTGCGCTACTCATACCGCGATGTGTGGAAACATGCATACTCAATCGCCCAGGCTCTCAAGGCGCTTCCTGGCTGGAACGACGACGGCCACGATGCCGTCGGCACCTTCTGCGAAGGCGAGGCGCACTGGGTGTTCTTCTCGCTCGCCGTGTGGATGCTGGGCAAGTGAGTATCGGCCCAGGTGCTGTGATTCGATCTGTCTGTTGCATGGTCCTGGCTGCGGATGTCGCTGCCACCAGTCCAGGGTCAGAAGGATTGGCTGTGGAATGTGCTGTGAGTGAGTCTCCCTCCAGGGATGACAGGCAATAGCCGTGGCTGGCTCACCCACGTATCCATCGACAGGAAAACCCTCAACTTTGGTCTCAAACTTCCCTCACCGGCCCGCAAGACCCTTTGTACGAGGTAGGATCGACATCGTGGCTCGTAATGGTTCTTTTCACTCAGTACCATGAAATACGGAGCTGATTGGTCAATGAAACTGCTCACAGACACTGCATCAAGTACATTCTCCATCAATGCACGAAGCCAGGGCGCACAGAGGGTGTCAAGCTACTTGACTCATCCTGCTTCTCGATCCTGGATGTCATTCCACCCCCTTCTCTTGAGCTCTGCGAACCTCTCGACGAGTTTATTGTCTACCTATGTACCTCAGGGACAACTGGTGAGCTTCATATCGCTGGAGCTCCGTTGGTGTTCATTTTTTTGAATGTATCTTCGTTTTCTGATATTCTGAATCTGAGACTATAGGTATACCTAAAACGTAAGTAGAATCACAGAATTCACTCGACCAGATCATGTTAGTCATAGATGGAAAAATATTTTTCAACAAAAATTTTCTTGCAGGTTCAAATTTTCTCATTTCGGGGCGACAACGGTTCGAGCTTCCATAAAAGATAATTACTCAAGCGTTGGAGTGACCCAGGTATTAAAATTGAAATTCTCTTGAAATTTCGAATTACTGATGGCTATGATTTGTAGCCCCCTTCATTCACAGCAATAATGGGATGCTCTCTCTCGGCGCTCAACTTGAGAGGATCACTGTGGTTTGGAAAACCTTCATATGACAATGTGGAAAAAGTTGAAGGCATCATCAAGATGATGAATGAAGGACTTCAGTTCATGTTTATGGTACTGCAAATATTACACGATGCACGGCAGCGAAATATCATGATCGCTGATATATATCTTTGTTCAGCCTCCGTCCTTCATGAAGTTGATTTTGGATGTTGCTACAAGCCTTAATCCGAATATCCAGTGGGATGGAGTAAAACGTATTCTCCTAGGATCGGAAATCATTCCTCCTAGCATTATAATCGATACGAGAGATCGATGTCCAAATGCTGAATTGCAATTCGTGTATGGATCAAGCGAGGTAATACCGAATTCAGGAGTAAACCCAAGGGGGCAAAACACGCTGACCTTGACTATCAATCATTTCTTCCTAGGCTGGGCTTGTTGGCGCAGCAGCGTACTTTCAACTTGCAGTAAACGAGCCGATCACATTTTCCAAATTGAGATACAAACAAACCAATCCTAGTGTTCGATGCCTTCTCATCGATGATAGGGGCAACATTCTCGACCAACACCAGACCAAGGAAGGAATACTTGTGTATGCGGTCGATCCTAAGCATCCAGCCAAGGATCATCCAAATTTTACAACATCTGATCCAACCGAGAAGCTTGCGACATTTGGCTTCCTCGTGGATGGCTCGCCCCGAGTCTGCACCATGGACTGGGTCGAGATGGTTGGTGAGAACGAGTTCAGTGTTGTTGGAAGGTGAGTCTGGAGACTATTGTGTTCCTGATCCATGAGAACTGCCATCCACACTCTTGGTTCCGATCCTTTTGCTCGCTGGATACTTATCACTCTCATTCTCACACCTCACACCTCACACCTCACACCTCACACCTCACACCTCACACCTCACACCTCACACCTCACACCTCACACCTCACACCTCACACCTCACACCTCACACCTCACACCTCACACCTCACACCTCACACCTCACACCTCACACCTCACACCTCACACCTCACACCTCACACCTCACACTCCAGATTCGACCAGAAGATCAAAGTCAACGGTGTCTATGTCGACTTGAACTACCTCAGGGAGCTTGTCCACAAGCACCTGTCCCAGGTCATCGCCGATTGCTACTTCATCCACACCTCCGAGAGAAAGATCATCTTGCTCTACGTCCTTCAGAAAGGATCCAATCCCGACTTGATCTCGGCCGATATCATTCGAGTCGTCGAGGACATGTTGTTGCTGCTGAACGTCTCCAAGTTCCCCATCCACAACTGCCTCAGGCTCCACGAGCTCCCCTTCAACGACTCGGGCAAGGTCGATCTCAAGAAGCTCAAGCGCATCGCCGAGAACATCGAGCAGTACGGCCAGGCAGTCGATTACCCACCCCTCATGGTCACCAGGACGTTCTTGACCAAGATTGCCTTCAAGATCTCCGAGTTCAGCAGCCAGATCCTGGACAGTCCTGGTCTGTACGGTCGCAACTTTTACATTGGCGGTGTCGGCTTTGACTCGCTGAGCATCGGCCGCCTGGCCATCGCCATCAAGGAGGAGTACGGTGTCGAGATCTCGCCAATGATCCTGCTGTCGAACAGCATGAGTCCCAAGAATGTCGCCCAGCTGGTCGTCGACATTCTCGACGACAAGCTGGTGATTCCGCCGACAATCGATCTGGCTGCCGAGGCTGCCAAACTCGACGATGCGAGTGTGACGGCCGAGGGTTTCCCTCCGTTTGTCTATCCCAAGGAGGTCCGCGGCATCGTCCTGACGGGTGCAACCAGCTTCCTCGGAGCATTCCTGATCTTTGAGCTGGCACACAAGTTCCCTCGGGCCAAGATCTACTGTCTGGCACGAACCGAGACCGAGAAACTGGCCTTCCTCCGCACCTACTCCAACGCCTCGAGGCTGGTGATTGCATCGCGGAACAAGAACGATCCGTGGTATGACGTGCGAGACCGGTGGGTTGGTCTGCGCGGCGACGTTTCCAAGGAGCGATGGGCACTCTCGGACGAGCGATGGAAGGAGATTTGCGAAGAGACCGACATGATTGTGCACAACGCCGCCGAGGTGCACTGGCTCTACAACTATAACACGCTCAAGGCAACAAACGTCCTCAGCACGGTGACGGTGCTGCAGCTGGCCACGACGCACCATCTCAAGGTGGTGCACTACATCTCGACCATCGGGACGATTGCCATGGCCAAGGGCTCCGACAAGCCGCTCGAGGAGAAAATGTACTCCAACTGGAACCTGTCGGGCGGCTACTCGCAGACCAAGTGGGTCTCTGAGCAGCTGATCAACAAGGCACGATCGAGGGGAGTGCCTGCAACCATCATTCGGCCAGCGATGATTGCTGGCGACAGCGGATACGGAGGTGAGCCGTGGTGTGGTGGTGTGGTGGTGTGGTGATGTGGTGGTGTGGTGGAGAGATTCCCTCCTTCGTTCCCTCGACTTGGCCATGGGTTGATGATCTTGTTTGTCGAGTGGCACCCATCCATCGACCGACACTGTTTCTCACCCTGTTCACTCCATCCTCCAGTGTGCAACACAGACGACTATATCTGGCGATACATCGAGGGATGCATCAAGCTCGGCGTTTGCCCGGCAAACGCCAGTCCCGTCACTTGGACCATGGATCCCGTCGACCATGTTGCCAAGGCGATTGCCGAGATTGTCAGCTCGGAGGAGGCGCTGTCCAAGTTTGTGTTCCACATCAGCGACTCGGAGCACAGGTGAGGAGTGCGTGGAGTGGAGTGTGAGTGGAGTATGTGAGTGGGTGTCAGTCGATGCTGTGCTTGGCATTGAGGGTCGCAGATTGACATGTTTGATGGCGGACATCGTGGGCCATCGCAATCACCCCTCACTCACTCACTCACTCACTCACTCACTCACTCGCAGTGTCATCACCGAGAAGCGTGTCTTTGAGATTGCCGATTCCGTTGGCTGGACCGTCCTGCAGGACACTCGCGAAAAGTTCAGGACCATCATCTGGCGCAACCCATCGCCCGATAACCACGCCCTGCTTGCGTTCATGCGGATGCTGATGGACCTGTCCTTCAGGGTCGACAACACCAACACTCGCTCGATCTACCCGACGCCGTGTCCCTCGCCCGAGCTGGTCGTCAGGAAGAGTCTCTTCCACTTGGATCGGGTGTCCTATCTCGACCAGCCCACGGCGGCGGAGACCGAGCTCAAGGACGAGGAGTATCCCGATGTCCGTCCCTTCACCCGCACCGGCCGCCACTGATGTGTCTGTGTGCTGGCTGGGCGGCCGCCATCGGTCGATAGTGGGACATTCGGCTGCCGTGGCCTCCGAGCCTCGAATCAGGTTTCCCGTTTCTTGAACCCCGTTTCCGTTTCCGTTTCCGTTTCCCCTTTTCCGCTTTCCGTTTTACTCAACGTCCGTGAATGAAACACCTCCACCTCCCCGCTTTGTTTCGTGGGCGAGGGCCTGCTCGGTCGTCTCAGTCCAGCTGTTCTGCAAGTCGTCATCGCACAAACAACCAATACACTGGCCGAGGTTTCAGAGTTCCTCCCTCAGTCCCCTCCTTGTGTCTGCGCCGCATCGACCGGCCACTCTTGTTGTCGACCAGGTGCGATGCAACGATTTATTCTTGAGAGACATTGCAACCAACGATCGAACCTGCATCTCATATATATCTCAGGTTCCATCGCCAGCATAGAGATGAACATAAATGCGAGGCTTTGCGTCACTGTTGCTGCCGCTGTTGTTACATCTGATTGCTGTTCGCGATTTCATCGCCGGAAATGTGTTCTTGGGTCCTACTGTTCTGGGGTCGTTGGTTACTCTCGCCAAGGCTAAGAGCTGTCACAGAGAGCAGGAGGACTATCGCCAGGCCAGCAAACTGTGACATGGTATCCGGGGGGGGGCATGATTTTCCACCAACTACCGGATTTCCGCGGCCCAGGCATTTCGCCGTTAATGCTGGTGACTAGTTGCCCATGCCCAATATTCGAGCCTTTGGTAGTTACATTGCTGCATGGCAGTTGCACAGAGTTTATTCATCAATGCTCTCTTGACATAGCAATCAATTCGACTGACCGGGACAAATGGCCAGATCTACTAAACACTCGTAGCACCGTATTCGAACAACCTGGGTGCGCTTAGAATCCACGTACTTCCTCCACAACGTCACGGGCGCGATCCGCTGCCATCAATCCGTAGCCTTGTAGGGTCATGGAAAACGTGCCGTTGCCAGCGGTGAGCCCACGCAGAGCTGTCGAATAGCCTACCATCTCGTTCAGCGGAATCTTGGCCTCGATTATGCGGTAGGCAAAGTCGTCTGTGTCACCCTGGGCATCCATGCCGTCGAGCGTAATGATTTCACCGCGACGCACACCCGAAACATCCTTGGCCACTGCGCCGACCAGCTTCGCGGGCACGCATATCTTGACATTCATGATGGGTTCTAGAAGCTTGGGAGCCAGGGTCTTGATGGCCAGCTGAGTGGCCTTCTGGGCAGCCGCTCGAATCGCTGGCAGCGTTGACAGCTCTGGAGTATATAGCTGAACATGGGTGACTTCGACTCTGGCATTCGTGATTGGGAAACCGAGCAGCGGGCCGCGGCTGAGTGCTCCCTGGATGCCACCATAGAGAGCGGCCGAGATATCGTCGAGCCCGGGGAATCCAGCCTCGGTTCCGTGACCAGATACCCTGGAGGCATCAACACCGGCCAGAACAAGGTTGCCGTCGTCGTCGCCGATCGGAAGCAGCCCGGGGTGCTCAACATTGTCGTCGGGGTTTTGTCGGGGGGTGATTCGCAAGCTGACCTGGGCCTTGGACTTTTTGCCAAAGACCTCGCGGTCATACAGGTAGGTCTCAGTGTGCTCGTCTTGGATCGTCTCGCGGTAGTTGATGCGCACCTGTCCCATCTCGCAGCTGACTTTGCGCTCCTTGAGTCGCTCGGCGAGGATTTCGAGGTGCAATTCGCCCATTCCCGAGATCAACGTCTGCCCAGTTCCCTCATCAACACTGACGTGGAGTGAAGGATCTTCGCGCTGCAGTATCTCCAATGCCTCGGTCAAGGCCTTCTCCTCCGAGACAGACGAGGCCTCGATCGAGCGCACAAAGACCGGCGGTGGGACCGGGATTGGATGCAGTTCCAAACCACGGTGGTCGTTGCTCTGACAGAGAGTGTCGCCGGTCTTGGTCACTTTGAGGCCCAGAATGGCGCACACGTTGCCGGCAGAGCACTCGGGGATTTCCTCGAAATCATCAGCGTAGATCTGCAGAAGCTTGCTGCCACGTTCCTTCTCGTTGCGGGTGACATTCTTGAGCACCGACCGAGCCGCAAGAGTTCCAGAGTAAACACGCACAAAGACCATGGTGCCTCGCTTGGGATCGTGTATGATCTTGAAGGCCAAGGCGCACAGGCTGGGGTCGGAGTGGTGCACAGGCACGGACTCGCCGGTCTTGCGAATAATGCCCTCGGGGGCTGGGCGATCGACGGGAGATGGGAGGTAGTGGATGGCGCCGTCCATGACCGTCTGCACGCCAATGTTTCGGAAGGAGGCACCGCAGTAGACAGGGACGACTTTGCCGGCAAGCGTTAGTCGACGCAGGGCCGCATGTAGGGCCCCTGTCGAGATTTTGGACATGTCCCCGTCGGCTTCGAGGAAGAGGTCCATAAGCTCGTCATCCAACTCGGCCAGGGTTTCGACCATCTTTTGCCGGGCAGCAGTGGCCTCATCAAAGAGGCGCTCCTTTTGGCCAGGTCCAGTCTCGAGCTTTTCACGCCGGACGATGCGGCCGGTTGGGTCTCTGGACCAATCCAGGCGCTCCATCGAAACCAGGTCGATAACGCCTTCAAAGGCCGGACCGCCACTGCCGATGCCCGAGGCCGAGTGGCTCTCGTCCATGACGACGGGCCACTGTACCGGCAACGAAATGCCCCAGCCTCCGAGACGCTTCTCCATGGACCGGACGGAGCGCACAAAATTAGCGCCTTCCCGATCCATTTTGTTGACAAAGGCGATGCGGGGAACTTGGTAACGATTGGCTTGCTTCCAGACGGTCTCGGTTTGGGCCTCCACGCCCGAGACGGCATCGAGGATCACGACGGCGCCGTCCAACACCCGAATCGATCGTTCGACCTCCATGGTGAAGTCGACGTGTCCGGGAGTGTCGATCAGGTTGATTAGATGATCCTTCCAGGCGAGCGGAATGCATGCCGACTGGATGGTGATGCCGCGCTCACGTTCTTGGGGGAGGTAGTCGGTGACGGTCGAGCCTTTATCGACGTCTGTGGAGTCAGCACGCAGACCGAGTTGGTAAACGAGGCAGGTACGAATTAATTAGGTTAGCAGCTCTGGGCTTCATCGGATAAGCCCGAGTACGATAGCGCCGCCCGGTCTGCGCCGATAAGCCGACCTCCAATTTTGCTGGTGTGTCCAGCATAAAAGAGCATGCGCTCGGTGCTTGTGGTCTTGCCAGCATCAATGTGGGCTATGATTCCAAGATTGCGGATGTTCTGGATAGGGAGATTGGGCTCTGGTATGGTGGATCGCAATCGCCAGCCGCACGATCAGTTTTGCAGTCCATTTGTCGGGGACGCACATTCCTCGGCAGCCAGCCACCGATCTGCTGCTAACAGGAGACGGAGATTCTTACGGGATGCATAGAGGCGGTCGCTGCGAGGAAATCGCAATGGAGGGAGAGCGACCTTGGCGCAGCTACTCAGATTCGGCGGGGCAGCCCTGCGGGCCGGCAGAGCCGCACGCAGCAGGAATTGAACGACCGGCATGGCTCAGCTTGAAAGCATGCGTGAGCAGATGTGCGATGCGGACGACGGGATGGATCTGGGCACGGATCAGATGGGGGCGATCGGCCTGAGATCTGGAGGACGAGGATCTGGAGGACGAGGATCTGGACCAAGTGCCGAGAATCGACCAACGAAATGCGTCTGTGTGTGTGTGTGGCTGTCACAAATCCCGACAGGCAAGACAGAGCGAGGAGTGTGGATGAATGGTGTCGGTGAGGACGATCATCGCAGGTCGGTATCGGTGTTATCCATTTCCATCGGTGTCATCCATTGCTGTCTTCCATCGTTGTCTTTCATTGGGGTCTTTCATTGGGGTCTTTCATTGGGGTCTTTCATTGGAGTCTTTCATTGGGGTCGTTCGTGGCTTGCCCAGGCTTGTGTCGTACCAAAAGAGATCAAATAGTATTACAAAATACGCTCGTGCAACAGCGACGCCGTGTCCGAGCGGTTATGGAGCTTGACTAGAAATCAAGTAGGCTTTGCCTGCGCAGGTTCGAGTCCTGCCGGCGTCGGTGGGCTGCGAGTGATTCTCAGTCACGGCAGCGTCTCTCTCTGGCTTCTTGGTACAGTGGTAGCATACTCGCTTAGGGTGCGAGTGGTCCCGGGTTCGATTCCCGGAGAAGCCCTTTTGGGATTTTGTTTTGCCCTGGGTGTCGTCGCCGCCTGTGCGAGAACGCAGACGAAGCCCATTCACATAATAGACACAGGTCGCCGACCATCCGTCGACCACATGGGATCGCTTGGCTGTGGCTTTCTCCTCGCACTTGCCTTTGACAAAAAGGCAAGACGGAAGTGCAAGCCGGAATGGAAAAGGCGCAAGGGCCCGTCACGTTCTTCGCCGTTGCCGTCACCCGCGATCGTTGTCTGGCCGCCCTCTGATCGCCATCGCCGCTGTTGTCTCAACCCCATCAAATCTCCCCTTGTCTGGTCTGCAGCCGCAATGTCCAAGAATCCCATCGATCTCTTTGGTCCTGCCGATGGCCACGATGCTCCCTCCGAGCCGGCCTATCCGCCTTACGAGGACTGGATCATGACCATGTTCCCCCAGCTCTCGGCCCAGGACATTCCTCCCGAACTCTGGCCTGAGCTCTACCAGCATCTGCTCAACCAGACCTTCACCGTCGGCGAGGCCCTCGCCCTGACCTTTGACGAAGACGCCGCTCGCGGAAGCCAGTATGGCCTCGTCACCACCAAGGACATCCCGGCCCTCGGTGCCATCTACCTGTTGGATCACATCTGGTCCTTCCCAAGCGCCGAGATCGCCTTCAGGCAGCTCACCGGCTCGGCACCCCTCCGTGAGCGAGTCGCCAGTCTCCTCGAGCTCGACCACGACTTTGTATCCGAGTCTCCCGCCGCCATCGTCGTTGATGAGATCCTCAAGTCTCTGTGGACCCTGACGGATACCTATACCGTCGGCAACGATCAAGTCACCTTTGTCCTCGACGAGGTGGGCTCGAGGCTGCTTCCCGAGACCTCTGAGGAGCGCCAGGGTATGTGGTCTTGGTTTGGGTGGTGGCACTGTGGTATCGTCGGCCAGATTGCTTGCGGAAGCGAGGCGATCTTGTTGCGAGGCTGCACTTCAAGCAGCTATCTTCGCCCCGTATTATCTTGGGATCGTGATCGGGCCCGCCCCCAGTCGCTTCAGTGTCGCAGCCGTGCTTTGCCCATCGCCTGCCCTGGCCCGTTGCTCTCTACACTGTGCACGCCATGCTTAGTCCCCCTGCGCTGTCCCATCCAGACCAGGGTCCGGCGTTCCAGTGCGCCATCTTCTACGACGCCTTGGTCGACCAAGGATACACCCTGCTGTGGCCCCGAAGAGCTGTTGTCGAAGGCCAAGTCGCCACCTGTGCCAACCTGAGCTTGTCCCGCCGCAAGAAGATTGCTCTCCAGAATGCTCTCTCATGTATGGACGCCTTCGACACCGATATCTCTGAGGACGATGACGAGCCGGAGGCCACCGTCGTCGAGCTGAAAGATACTGCCACCAAGCAGATCCAGAAGCTCAGACAGGTCTTGATCGAGAACGACTACACAGTGCAAGGCGTCGCCCGGCTCCTCAGGATCAGTATCGCCGACACCGCAGTCGGATTCCCCGTCCAGAATTTGAGCGACCCCAAGTTCAGCCTCAAGGCGGCCGAGACTCTGCCGAACACTCCCTTAGCCAATCTCGTCCGGCTCTTCCTGCTCAACATCCCGCTTCCGCTCTCGCACATCGAGCTGCTTTTTGGACACGAGTTTGTCGATCGGCTTGATGTCCTTGGGCTCTTCTTCAGTATCCCTGCAAGCCGAGCCAGTGCCAAGCTGCCTGAGACGCTGTACGCGGCGCTTGTCCAGCTCGCACCCGTTGCCCGCGATACCGTTGTTGCCACGGATCTCTTCCAGACTCTATCAGCGGCATGTGGCTTCGATCCAGTCATGTACATTGGCGTGGATACTCTGGGCTTGCTGAATCTGATCCCGAGATCGCCGCGAGTGCCGAAGCTCTTGGATCTATGCACCGGCTCCGGAGTCCAAGGCATTGTCGCTGCTCGCGAGTGTGCAGATCACGTCTCGCTCGTCGATCTAAACCCACGTGCGGCGCTCTTTGCTCGGTTCAATGCGCATCTGAACGAGGTGGCCGATCGATGTTCCGTCCAGGTTGGTGATCTGTACGAAGATCTGGACGAGGACCTCAAGTATTCGTTCGACACCATTCTCGCCAACCCGCCGTACATCCCCAACGGAGGATCGTCCCGAGGACTCGAGACATACGGCGATGGTGGTGCTGCCGGCGAGGATTTGATCGAGCGGATCGTTGGCGAATCCAAGCGCTATTTGACCAGCTCTGGGCGATTGTTCATGGTCTCGAATCTGGCGAACCCGGAGGCATACGAGGCCAAGATTGTGCGCTGGTGGGATGCCGAAGAGCCCGCCGGCCTGGGCTGCGACAGCATCGTCCTCTATGGCAAGCTGTGGAGCGCCATCGACTATGCAAGCCTGATCCTGAGCCGCGCAGCTTCAGAGGACGTCGTCGTTCAGTACGCCGAGGGTCTTGAACAGCACGGTGTGAAGGCCATGACCAATGGCTTTGTGGTACTCAAGCGAACCGGAGCCAGCACGGCCAACACAAAGACCCAGGTCATGGCGGATCAGATCTGGCAAGAGGTTTCGGGTGGCACGGAACAGGGTTTGGCAGTCGCGGCCCGTGTTGGCGAGTTTCTCCGCTGAACGACTCTGGCCATGTGCAGACGCTATTAGAGCGTCGAATGGGCTCGGCTCGAGCTCTGATCCGAAACAAACACCACCGCCGTACATTGCAGCGATCCACACATCGAGACAGGACGCCACAGCTCACGGATGGCTTTTGAGCGCTGAACGATGTGGATCGGCGCTCACGCCCCCAATATAATCCGCCCGTCGCAGCGATCCAGTGTTTTGTTCTTTACCATGCGTCGTCCTCCCTCGTCTCTGGTGTCCTCCCTCGTCTCTGATGTCCTCCTGCCCTGGCTTGGAGCGCCCCTGGTCTTGATCTTGCAACCACCCAAAGCCAGGGCAGCAGGACATCAGTCTCCAGCGACACGGCGCGCCGTCGCACAGACGCGTCGACGCACAGAATTCCGCCGAGCCCGATCAAGCGACCGCCACAGTTTGTGTGGGAGGGCCGGTGCTGCGCGGGATCGCTTCTTTTGCTCGCTTCTTCCCTTTGCATTGGCGTCGGCAGCGCCGTTCTCAGTCGAGCATCTGTCGAGCATCTGGCCTGCATCTGGCCTCGCGCTGTCTCGCCATCTTCGTCGTCTCGATCCCCGGGCGATCCCCATAATCAAGCACCACCACCACTCCATCCACGCTCTGCCGCCATGGCTTTCCAGTGGTCCTCCAAAAACCAGGCCCAAAACGTAGGTTCCTCCAGGGCCATCCCATCCGCCACCCACCCCCCTGGTCCGAGTCCCCCTCCCACTCTTCGGATCCTGGAACGGCAGCGGTCGGCGGCCCCGCTCTGCAGCAACCTGAGATTCACATGCTGTCTGCGGTTTAAAACTCCAGGGCGTCGAAGACATGGTCCTGCTTTCAAAGGTGACCGACGACCAAATTACCGATAACCTCAAGAAGCGGTATGTGTCTCTGTTGTTCGCCGGCAGCTCTTTGCCGTCCTGGCTGGCTCCGGTTTGGTTCTGCTTGCAACTTGTTGTGCGATGGCGTTCGCTGCAGACAGACACAGACTCGTCAACCGACAGCATCTTCGGGGCACTCTACGTCGTCCGCTTACTTATCACGCCAAACGGCTGTCTCCTGCTCGTCATTCGCAGATTCATGACCGACCTGATGTACACCTATATCGGTTCGTCCCTCGTCGTCTGTGCAGCGTGTCCACCGTCCAGCGCTCATGCGCTCCCATTATCGCACCGTCTTTCGACTATAATCCGAGATACAGCATCCACAATTCCGGTCCTGGCCACAGTTCTTGCTCGCTAACTTCTTCGTTGCACCGATCCAGGCCCAACCCTTGTCGCAGGTTTGAGAGGTTTCCACATCGCACTGATGCTTGCTCAGACCTGCTGGCCCTCTTGATACTCACAGGGTCTACCGACTGCCTCATCGACGCCGCTAGTCAATCCATACAAGAAGCTCGGCTACTTCACTGAGAAAGAAATTGGTATGTCCTTGCTCCACATCCCTCCCTTTGCTCTATCCAAAGACTTCTTCGGCAAACAAGCGCTGTCGGGCAATCAGCCATTGCCGCTGTCAGAGACCATGGCTGATCCATTCTTTCTACTGACTCCTGTGGACACTAGACATCTACCACGGTTCGGTGAGCAAGTGCAATCCTATCCAGCGTATCCAGCGTATCCAGCGCAGGCTCATCGACACAACTTGACGCTCGCTCTCGTCGCCTTTCTCGCCTTGCAGGCCGCCTACGAGAACCCACCCCACATCTATGCCTTGGCAGACAAAATGTAATGCCGACAAAGACAATCGCCGTACTGGAACACCGGCGCTATGCTCATATCCACGATGCTTCCGTTTGGAGCCTCTCCATACGAGATAACACAGCCTCGACGCTCGTTTGACGCCATATCCCCCTCGCTCTCGATTACCAAATGCCAGGTTCCAGTCCATGGTGACCGACGAAGAAAACCAATGCGTTATCATCAGGTCTGCATCCGCACATCATGCTGCTCGTGGGAGACTTTGAGTTGGTGGTGCTCACATATTTTTTGTATCCCACGCCGGATCAAATGCACACTTATGCACCGTCCAGTGGCGAAAGTGGAGCAGGTCAGTTTGCGGCGCTGGGCATACGAACCGCACTCCCCCTCCTGGTTGCTGTGCATTGACTCTATACAATCCTGATATTTTGCCGTCTCTCTAGGCAAGACCGAATCGGCCAAGCTCATCATGTAAGGTTTTCGTAGTAGAATCGATGCTACTGGACCGAAAACAGATCTGTACTGGATTGTGGGGCCAAGACCAGATGTCGCCTTCTCGATGAAGCCGTATCCGCCCATGTTGCTCTTGAGTTGATTCAAGATCTGACCGAGCGATACATCGTGTACCCTTGATTCATGTCCTCATTACCCAGGAACTACATCGCCGCCGTCTCTGGAAAAGGCGGCAGCATGAACACTTTGGTCGAGAACATCAAACAGATCATCCTCGAATCCAACCCGTTGCTAGAATCGTTTGGAAATGCCAAGACTCTGCGCAACAACAACTCGAGTCGCTTTGTGAGTGTCATGCGTCGACACCTCGATCCATAGCTGGGAACGGCCGTGTGTTTGCCTCGTGTATCATCCATATTCTTTGCATATTTACAATTTTTCTGTTCTCCGATCCTTCATGCGCTTTCCTGTTTTTGTCCATACTTGACCGTCCCTCCTTTGGGAATGTCCTGCGCCGCCATTACATTGATGCGCTCTTTTCCTCTGCAAACTCGATGGGATTCCATCTTGGCTGTGGTCGTGCTGACTCCTCTGGCTTCCAGGGCAAATACTTCGAGATCAACTTTAGTCGTGGAGGCGCTCCTGTCGGTGGAAAAATCTCAAATTTTCTCCTTGAGAAGGTGCGAAAGAGCCCTCGGATGCCATAAGTGGACCCGGTCGTCGCCACAGCTCGTCCTTGCCTTGTCGAGGCAGAACTTGTGTTGCCATTTACTCACATGGTCGATTGCTGGCTATTGTCGATAGTCCAGGGTCGTCGGCCCCGGTGTCGGCGAAAGGAACTTTCACATCTTCTATCAGATCACCATGGCAACGACTGGACAGCTCAAGGAGAATCTCGGCATGACCGACCCCAACTACTTTCATTATCTCAATGCCTCACGAGAGTACAAGGCCGATGGTATCGATGACAAGCAAGAGTTTGAGGACATGAAGAGAGCCATGGAGGTCTGCAACATCAGCAAGCAGGATCAGAGCTCGATTTTTGAGATCTTGGCTGGGATCCTGCATCTTGGCAACGTTGATTTTACCGAGGAAGGCAATAACGCCGCGATCGCTGACGCTCAGAGTATGCTATCTAGCACTGCACTTTGCATGCGTGGAGTATTGACGCCATCCGGAAGGCAAGGCTGCTATGATGCTGGGGAATCCGAATGCGGCTACTTATATCTGTTCACTTGGTGTGCGTTTCCAGCACTTGAGTTTCCAGCGTACCTGCTGGTGAGTATCGCGCCTGTCACAACGATGCTTAAATGCTCAAATGCACCCGTCCCCACGTTTGATTCGTCGCCACGGCCATATATCCGCACAAGCTGAGAACCCTTGCTCCGTGTTATGATGAACCACTGATTTCCGGTTTGGCTGCCACTATTTTGTTGCTTGTGTCCAGGGCGTCGACTCCAAGCTTCTTGAGGGCAAGCTACTGAGTCGTCTTATGACAACCGGCGGATTCGGCCGAAGAAGCTCGGAGTATAACGTTCCCTTGAATGCCCAACAAGCTCAAGGAACCCGCGATGCCTTGGCCAAGGTTAGAGTCCGAGACTCCCTTCAGCTGCAATGCACTGACGTGATGTCCGTCGCCCAAACGGACACCGTGCATGAGCGGCTCAAGTGAGCTATTACTAGATTGCAGCCAAAGTCAACCGATCGTGGTCGCGCCGCGAAAATTGTGGCTCTGACTCTTTCATTGCATATAGGCTCTGTACAGCCGTCTTTTCGACTGGATTATCGCGGTATGTCTGGTTGAAGCAGCTCTGTTGCCCCTCTGTTCTACCTCAGTATATCGTAGCCTCATACCTATGGCTTCTTATCCTTAGGCTGTCAACTCTGCCCTCGCCACGGTCAGCGCCGGTGCCTCAAAACAGTCTCTTTGTCTCGGTGTTCTGGACATCTTTGGCTTTGAGGTAAATCGTCGTTTGCATCTGCCTTACGACTCTCCCTCGCGGTTCGCTGTAGACTTGGGGTGAACACCCAACTTTGCGTATCCCTGGGTTGAGATCATCACTCGAGGCCAGTGCGCAGACCCTGCGCATTGCACTAGGGTGTCGGCGTTCTGATCACGTCCTTGTCTTTCCCACAGATCTTTGAGGTACTTCAATCTGAACAAATCATGCATTCCCATTTGCTTGTCCGGGATGCCGTGCACGCTGCTGTGATCGCACCAGATACGCGAGGTGCACGCAATCCGCTTCGGTCTAAATCAGTATTCCGGCCTCGGTCGGTGTGTTAATCGGCGCCCGCTCCTGCACTCACTCGGCCGATTCTGTCTTGCAGAAAAACGGATTCGAGCAGTTCTGCATCAACTACGTCAACGAGCGTCTCCAGCAAATCTTCATTGAGCTGACCCTCAAGTCAGAGCAGGTGAGCGACTCGACGCCACACTGGCTGCTATTGTTGAATCTGAAGATGGCGCACCGGCGACAGCCTTTTGTGGCCATGCGCTGTGTCCCAACTTTTTGGCTTCTGCGGCGATCTGCACATCTCCAGATCACCAAGTGAGATGCTGAGCCTATGTTCTCTGGCCGTGTCTCGCGCCAACCCTTGCGTCGTGGCTTTGCAGGAAGAGTATATGCGTGAAGGAATCCAGTGGACCCCGATCGAATACTTCAACAACAAGGTCGTCGTTGATCTGATCGAGAGCAAGAGACCCCCCGGTGTCATGGCGAGTCAGTATCTGTATCCCGACACCGCCACCGAGTTTCGAGCGATACGCCCTTACATGCCGGTTCGAGCCTTACCGTTCGTCTGTGTCCCATCCAGTTCTGGACGACGTGTGCTTTACCATGCACGCTGTTGCCGAAGGTGCCGATCAGACCTTTGTCCAGAAACTCGACGGCGCGGTTTCCCAGAACAGAGTAAGCCAAGGTTCTGACGACTGGAAGCAATTGGATTGGATTGAATTCCGAGCCGTAGGGTCCAGAGTTCGAGGATGTCGCGCCGCTGTTGCTCCCGTCGCTCATCACGCCGTCGGTCTGTGCAGCACTATCAAGGCATGCAACAGCACTTTGTCATCAAGCACTATGCAGGCGATGTCACCTACGACTGCGCCGGCTTTACGGAGGCCAACAAAGACACGCTGTTCAAGGATCTGGTGCAGCTGATGAAGTCCACCAATAAGTAAGTTCTGCTGCGCGGCGGAGCAGTGCTAGGGAGGCGTATAGGCAAGTGTCCCTGTGCTCATCTTTGGTGTGCTGGTTCGGCTCTAGACCTTTTATTCGCAACCTCTTCCCGGAAGAGTATGAGGACAACGATCGCAAGCGTCCCACGACCGTATCGTTCAAGATCAGGGTAAGAATAGATCAAGTTGCTTCGTCCCCGTGTTGCTTCGCCTCTGAAGCGGCCAACATACACATGCACATGTACTTGCTCGGGTGAGATAAGCAGGGGCAGAATCTGGATCGCTTCTCGCTGCTGGCCGTGCATGACACATGTACACCTTTTCCCCAGAACCAATGCCAGGAGCTTGTAGAGACTCTGATGAAGTGTACGCCCTCCTATGTGCGTTGCATCAAACCTAACGAAACGAAACGAAGCCACGACTGGGACGCCCGGCGTGTCGAGCACCAAGTGCGCTATCTCAACCTCAAGGAGAATATCAAGGTCCGCCGTGCTGGCTTCTGCTACCGCAACACCTTCCAGAAATTCCTCAAGCGGTAACGAGACTCAGCTATCGTTGTCGCTTGCAGCGGGCTACGATCATCCGATTAGTCTTTTTGTGTGTGTGATGTCTCCGACCACCTCGGGCGAGTATGACTGACTATTTTGTCTTCAACGACTCCATCTCAACCCGATTGACTCCAACCTGGGGATGCTGTTACTTGGTGGTTCCTGATGGACACGATCTCCATCGTCCTTTAATGCAGATTTGCCATCTTGACACCGGAGACCTTCCCCGCATGGAGCGGCAATCCCCACGATGGCATCAAGCTGATCATGAACAGCGTCAACATGGATGCCAAAGAGTGGCAGCTCGGTGCCGCCAAGGTCTTTATCAAGTCTCCCGAGTCCTTGTTCCTGCTTGAAGAACAGCGCGACCGCAAATACCACTCCTATGCGATTGTTATCCAGCGCGCCTATCGCCGGTGGAAGTCGCGAAAGTATTTCTTGGAGATGCGCAAGAAGGCGGCCGAGGTCGTCTACGGCAAGAAGGAGCGAAAGCGCTTCTCGGTCAATCGCGAGTTCCTCGGTGACTACCTTGGCTACTTGAGCAACTCGATTCTTAAGGCCCTCGTTGGTAAGCATGATACACGGTCAGCCTCGACGGAGCCCTTGTGGTGCGAAGAAGTGAAGCCCTAGGGATACATGGCTACGTGACTGAACAGACATCCAGGAATGATCTGCTGGCTCTGCTGGCTCTGCTGGCTCTGCTGGCTCTGCTGGCTCTGCTGGCTCTGCTGGCTCTGCTGGCTCTGCTGGCTCTGCTGATTGCGGGGTCGACCTTGGAATGTGGTCCCTGATGAGACGGTATTTCTGCTTCTCTGCTTCTCGGCGCCGCACTCAGGCAAAAACGAGAAGGTTTTCTTTGCCGACTTTGTCCAAAAGTATGATCGCAAGTTCAAGCCAACCCAGCGCGAGTTTATCATCACCGAGAATTCGATTTTCATCATCGGTGTCGAGAAGCAGGCTTCTGGTCCCAACAAGGGAAAGATGCTCAAGGTCGTCAAGCGCAAGATCGAGTTCAATGAGATCGGCTCGGTGTCCTTGAGGTGTGTGCTCCGAATATCGAGATTCCAACTCGAGTGTTTGGTCGAACTGCCGCTGTCAACAGCCCTGTGACGGTGGCGGAGCTCGTGCTACCAACGCAAAATCGGCATCCGTGCACCCCTGCCGCTGCGGCTGCGATTGCCATGCCACAATATATCTCTGCTCGCTGCATCCGATCGTACCGCACTGACAGACCCTTCGCACGCAGCACCAAGAACGACGACTTTTTCGTGGTCCACATCCCCAAGGAATATGACAATGTTCTCGAAAACCTCTTCAAGACAGAACTCATCACGGTGCTGAGGTGAGCTTGGCAGCTGATTGGATCTCCTTCTCACCTCCACTGCCTCTGTCGGCTTGGGCGGGTCGGTCCTGTCGTGGAAAGACAGCGGCATTCATGTTTGTGACACCTTCCCTTTGCCAGTGAAAAGTATGAGCTTCATCTAAAACGCCCGCTCAAGATCGATTTTGTGGACAGGTAGGTCGTGCAGACTCAGCTGAGCCACCAGAGTGAGACATCCTCCGCATCTGCAGCGATTATGCCGACTGCCATCACTAACAGCGTGGCCTTGGACCAAATGCGCCATAGCATCAAGTACTCCGTCAAGAAAACTACCTGGCAGGCTGGAGGCTTCCAAGAGCTCAAGTTCATCGCCGACAGCACCGCAAAGCAGCCCTTGATCAAGCATAGTGGCAAGACCACCGAGATTCGAGTCGCCCCTGGCATGCCCAAGGACTCGCGCCCCAATGCATCTACGCTGATGCAGCGCGAGACCCGCCGTCCTCAGGCCCAGTCGAGCGCGCCGGCCAACCGTTTTGCCAATGCGGCGCAGGCTGCCAGCAAATTCACGCCGCCTGCTGCCGCTGCCGCGACTTCTTCCCTCGCTCAGAGTGGCCGCGCGGCCTCAAACAATGCTGTCCGCGCAGGAGGATCGCCCCCCTCGAGCAACTCGGGATCGGCTGCAAACTTGGCAAACGCCGCGGCAGCCAAGCGCAAGCCCCCGCCCGTGCCTCCCGCCAAGAAACTGCCGACCTGCCGCGCCCTCTATGTAAGCACTGCGATGCAGCCTTGATTTATCGAGTCCAGCGAGCTTCCTCTCCCCCCTTCGCCTGCCTCGGTTTGGAGACTTACCCGTGCGGGCAATCTAATGCCGATATCAGGACTATGATGCCACCGAAGCGGACGAGCTTTCATTCAAGGCCGGAGACACCATCACAATCATCAACTCAGGTATGTGCCTGCGGCACAGCGCGCTTTGAGCCTGAGGACTCGGTGTATGGGCTGAAAGGGTATGGCGAGGGCTGTTGGCTTGGGGCCTTTTGTTGGCCATGCCAGCAGCTTGCAGGCGGTGCTCTGATCTCTGAAAGGCATCGAACGTCGCTTATTCGGATGTTGTATCTGCAGACGATCCTGGGTGGTGGACTGGCAACCTGAACGGCAAGCGTGGCCTGTTCCCTATGAATGTGAGTTGCCTTCTCGTTGTTATCGCACCGCGCACAATCACATCAGAGCTCGCCTGTGAATCCCGCCGACTCACCATCGCCCTCTTGGTCTTTCGAATGAATCGTGCTGGTGCACATGTTCAGTATGTGGAGAAGCTTGCTTGAAGGCTGTGAGTGCCCTCGGGATTCCCGTTTCCTCCCTCTCCAAATGTCTCAGTCGCGGATATCCGCCAGCTCAACATTGGACAGGATTTGAATGCCCCATCGTCTTCCCTCTCCGTCATCCTTGTCGTTGTATTAATGGCTTGATCACTCGCGCTCCCTGTCCAGCAACTTTGATCTGCGCTGGTTCAGCCCACTTGTTGTGCTCCTTTCCTTTCCCTTCCCTCCTGCCATGTTGATAGATGGCGCTCTCGAACGCGACCAAAATACAGAGATGGGCCTCATTTCCTTCCAGTGTCGTTGTCGTCGCCAAATCAATGGAAGGATGAGTGGAAGGATGTGTTCGACTGCACTGCCGGCCAAGTTTGTCGCACGCTTTTGGGTCAGTGCCCGTCATTTCAGACCAAGTCAAGCCCATCCCCGCTGACCCGCGTGTGGCTGTGGAATTGGAAATGGAGGCGGCGCTCGTGAAGAGTCAGAAGATCCATTGGGACAACCATCGAGCTTTTATTTGCACGACGGCAGGAGATGCTGGCGGATGGGAGGTGAGCGGGTGGGACTGCAGGAAGCCGGCAAGCGCGAATCAGTTGGAGGGCCTCTTGCCAAGATTGAGAATCTGGGCGGCGGTCTGAGGATCCTGGCCGATTCGGCCGGTGAGAAATTCGGCACTGCTCGAGGAGCGCATCTCCGGGGGCTTGCGGTCGTTGACTGTGATGACGTGGCGTCCCTGGTGGTCAAAATCAACATCGACGACATAAAAGATGGCCTCGGACTTGGACTGCGACACAACCGCGACACTGGACGTCGGCAGGTAGGCGACAAAGCCAGCAATGCCGACGCTGTAGCTGTTCTGGATCGACAGGCGGTTGAGAATGCGACCCCGCACGGGGATCGGGATCATGCGTCCCTGGTGGGCTGACGAGGGATCGAGGTGGTATACCGGCGGGTGAACAGGCACGCTTTCGACCTCGGTGGTGATGTTCAAAAAGTCGACACCATCGGAGCTGCTCTTGAGGCCGGCATTGATCTGCTTCCGCCACTCGGGGGACAGTCGGCGGGCCTTCTCAACCAGATCCCGGTACTCCTTGTGGCTGATCCGGCGAAGGTTGATGCGCTGGGGCTGGGCCTCGGTCTGTTGGAAGGTGACTTTCTTGACGTTCCCGTCGTCAACCGTCACCGGCTTGACTAATGACGATGTGTATCGCAGCGAAACCGGAGGCTGCTTTGCCGGTGCCGGGAAGAGCTCCTTCCATCGGGCGATCGAGCTGACCTCGTCCGAGGCCATCGAGACGACGGCCGATTTGGTGTCGGGGTCGTCGTGCTGCTGGACCTTGATGTATTGTGCCCTCAGATCGCTCGGGAGCGCCTGCTTGAGACCCCAGTTACCGACAGCGCGCTGGGACTTTGGGGCTGTAATCACCTGCGCAGGCTGAAGTGATGCGTATTTGGAAGTGCGAAAGAGACGAGCAAAGCTGTTTTCCATGTTGACGGTGCAGATCCAGGTCCAGTGGTTGATCGGGTGGCTATGGCCCAGACGCGAGTTGTGGGCTTGGATCTGGAGTTCCTGGGCAAGACTGTGGATGCGAGAGCTTGTGGGCGATCTGGCAGAGACAGGCTCGGGCGCTTGGTCGCGGAGTCGACAGAGGGCTTCGAGGGACTGATGCCAAATGCCTGGCCGCTGCTGTTTCCGGATGCACGATCTGGATCGTGCCGGTGCTGGGAAGCAGAGCCGATAACTCGACGGCTTTTGCGTTTGGCTTTTTTTGCACCCATGAACACGTGTGCCGCTGCGCATTGAATCCGGGGCGGATCGGAGTGGTCACGTGGATGCTGCTGCGCATTCGACCGGCCCTTTCTGGTTGTCATGTCGAGTCCACCCGAGTGCCGAAGATGTCGCAAGTATTGAGGATGGCCGAGCAATCCAAATCACTCAATAGGTCCAATGTGCTATATATATTAAATGTACAAACGTCTTTGGAGGCTGCATTCTGCACGCACATGCGACCGGCTTGTCGAATCGACCGGCTCAGAACCATGCCTCGCAACACAAATCCGATCGCTCGTAGGAAACAATGGCCATTGCACGGCTGAGAGCTCGCACCATACCGATCCCAGTGACAAATCACAATCTTGGCAGGACGGCTTTGTACTGTAGTCAAAGCACAGCGTCCGTTCGTATCGGGGCTCTCTCGCTCGCTCTGGGCCGTAACTCCGGGTCGTGGTGGTGTGTCGTGGGTCTTGCCAGTGACAGGCTGATCAGATCCACCAGTCAGGGAAATCACGAACGATCGTGCGCTCCAACCTGTAGCGGGATCATGTGTATATTCAGAGCCCACGGGAGGTGACTGGCGGTCGTCCGTCCAAGGCTTCATTTCGCTTTGCGGGTGGGCTGATGCTTGCCGTCCTCCCCGAAAAGGCGGGTGCCTGGTTTCCTCGGCTCCTGCCCACATTGCCTTCATCTCGCTGCGTCGTTACCCGCGGCCTGCCCCTACTGCTCTGCTGCCCTGCCCTGCCCAGACCAAGCGGGCTTGAGCTGTTTTGGAGTGCTAGGATTATAACCAACCTATGGCATCAGAATATGGCCCCGAATCCTCCCCCTGGAGACCCTCCGAGTCGCTTGCCCACTCAGGATCGATGCCCCAACAGCAGCAGCTGTCGGCCCCTGCCGTCCACTCAGAGTCACTGCCATCGCCAGCCACCTCTTCTCCAAGCGCTATGCCGCATCCGCAAGCTGCACCCACAGGGATCTTTTACGACCCCCGATCCGGATTTCACTCGCCTCTGAGTCGATCGCAGTACAATCCGGAGTTGCCCCAGCGGGTGACCGTGGCCTTCCAGAAGCTTGTCGAGCTCGGGCTTCACAATCGACTGGTCATAATATTTGACAAAATCTGCTTTTCTCTCGATGAAGCCCTTGGTATCGTTCACGCCTCGCAATACATCAAAGAAATCGATAATACTGCCGGTATGGTTGCTGGGCTCTGTGATTGCGGCCAGCTGGAGCCACCTGGATGGAGTGCCATTATTCGGCCATCGGCTCGCCTGCGAAATGGCCTCGACCACGCCTCCAAATTGCTTCGTGACCCGGCCCATCTTGCTTCCTGTTACTCTTGGTTGCAGAGTCGAATGAGTCCGATCTTCGCGAACAAAGCGAGAAGTACATCGACGTTTATTTCAACCGATCGACAGCATTCCTCAGCCGTTTGGCTTGTACCGGGGCGATTGCCGTATGCGAGGCCGTCTGGAATGGCCAAGTCAGCAACGCCATCGCACTCATCAGGTCAGTTCCACACGCTGATAACCGCAACCCCGATGCTGGAGCCGATGCTGGAGCCGATACTGGAGCCGATTCGATGGCTGGATTGACATGAACATCAAGAACGAGTGCGCACACTACCTGGATTCCAAAGATGCAGCCATCAGCACCGCGGCGATGCAAGCCCAAAGATATCTCACGATTGAGGGCGGCAAGCTACTGTGGAAACAGATTTTGGATCGAAGCTCGATCGAAGCTGCCACTGCGACGAAATAGAATGCATGCACAAGGCAGATGCTGCCACAACAATCGAGCGTCAGACTGGATTCTGCAGCATCGATATCGCTCTCACAGTGTCGCTTTGCTTCATCAGACCTCCGGGACATCATGCTGAGCGTGACGAGGTAAGTCCTCTCAGGCAAGTGAGCCAATACGATGCAAAGATCTGATTCGACGATACCTCTCCCCGCGGTTGAAAATGGCTTCCCCAACTTGTCGATGCATATGGATGGCCATGATTCGTTGGGATCCTCGGATACGACTTTCAAACTACCCGGCAGGCCATGTGAGTTCGGTGCGCCGCACCCTTATGGTTGACAACGGGGTTGAGGCCCGCAAATCGATCCAATATTCTATCAACTCTGTGAAGCGACGCTGGCGAGGGCCTATAGCTCTTGGTCTCTGTCAGCCGCCATTTCAACTCACCGATGTATCGTGTTTGCCATTACTCCGACTCGCGCAATTTCCATTCATCAGGGGATTTTGTGTATACAACAACGTTGCTGTTGCTGCAAGATATATGCAGCGCAATTACTCTGTCGGTCGCATCATGATATTGGATTGGGATATTCATCATGGTACGGGATCAGGATGCATCAATCAGGATTCCCTCGATGTTGCTACAGAGGCTGAAACCAGTCCATTTTGGATGAACATCTCGCTGATGACGATTTCTCACTATTTTGTGCCCATTCTCGTGGTGTCTTTGATCAGGGAACGGCATCCAAAATGAATTTTATGACGATCCGACGGTGCTCTACATTTCCCTGCACCGCTACGAAGATGCGACTTTCTTCCCAGGGTCGACTGATGCTAATTACGATCGAGTCGGTGGCCCAACGGCAAAGGGAAGGTAGGCGGCTCGGCAAGATACCCGTATGCTGTGGCTTCGCGACTCATTTGCTATCACGAGCGAACGGATATTGCTTGCACAACGAACTCGCTTCAAAACGAGCTCGAAACACAACCCGCCCCGATCCTTGATCTTCATGAAGCACGCCGTTTTCACAGAAACGTGAACATCCCCTGGTCCCGGAGTGGCATGGGCGACAGGGACTACCTCTACGCCTTTGAAACATTAATCATGCCGATCGCGCGGGAGTTTGGGCCAGACCTGGTCTTAGGTACTGCCTGCCATCCTCGCATCATCAAGATGTGTCTGGGCGCACTCTGTCAAAGGCTGACCATATTCTTCCTTGCGATCGAACAACGCTTCTTTCTTGAATCCAGTTTCTGCTGGCTTTGATTCGGCCGAAGGCGACGAGCTTGGTGAATGCCATGTGACTCCACAAGGCTTCTCACAGATGACCTCCCTGCTCATGGGCCTGGCTCAAGGCAAAGTGGTGCTTGCACTCGAGGTATTTGGTCGCCTGTGTCCAACATAGCAATTCACCGCCTCCATGTCTCAGCGGCAAGACAAGCGCGACTTATTCTGGGTGGCGGGATCGAACGAAACGCAGGGCGGATACAACTTTGAGTCCGTGGCCAATTCCTTGGCTGCTTGTGCCAGGACGCTGCTGGGTGAGCCGACAACTATCCAAGCGTACACCGTATCGAATGACGCTAGGCTCAGCGTCCACCAGGCGCTATTTGAACAGGCCCCATTCTGGACGTGCCTCAAACATTCCAACATCAAGCCCCCGCCCACACCAGGCACGTCATATGGACTAGAGACGATCGCCACCCTCGTGTTTGCCGCTGAATCTGCATGGCCCGGCGACACATGCTTATCAAGTCCTTTGTTCTCATCGTTCTTTCCGCAATCTCCAGCAAAGCCAAAGGCGGCCAAGGAGTCAAGCTCAAATAAGATATCCGTGTCGAGGCCCATGATAGGTCGGTACTCTGGTTTATCTCCATCAGTTGATCAAGTGCCATTTGCTGGTTCTGTGTGGCATTGACGCAGTCTCGTTCCATGCTATAGACATTCTGTGGGGGAACTACTCCGACTCCTTGAGAAAACGAGGCTTCATACCCGTCCGGCTGCATGAGGAATGGCAAGGCCGCAAGTACCAAGGCTGCATCCACCACACGTAAGATGACTGGGTCTGGATATTCACGGAGCTACGCTTCCGAAGGATGCAACTGATGCCTCCATGTCCACAAATATCGCCTTGATGGAAGAGCAGTAAGAACCTGCTTTCATACGAAGGAACATTGGTTCTATTCTTGCATGACAGGTATATGATCGTGGTGCAAATTGTGAAGCAGCGCTGTTTTATCGATCAGGAACCAACTGACCATTGTTTATCCAAACTAGATCTTTTATGCTGGGGTATGTTCCCAAAGCTGACATCGGCAGATTCATCGGCGGATTGTTGACTGAGCGAACGAGTCTTGGTTGGAGGCGCCACTGGACTTGCCACCTTTCCCCTCGACTCACGCGTGCCTACCGATCCATCGACCTATCAGCCTGGACAGTACCGATGATCCTCTTGTCGAGCCAGAACACACCCACGTGGTATGTTGGTTGTCGGCTCCGCACACGCCGGATCGGATGTGTGCGATCCTTTATCTCCAGCGGCTCTTTGTGCAAAGCCATCGTATTTAGAGTGAGATGCCGACACGGCGGCATTGATATCGCGCTCTCCACCGCGTCCTGACCTACCCCACTGTTGCACAGATGGATTCTGCGCTCCCATTTATCGACGCCTTCCTGGATGCCAAATACACTATTATCGACCTGGGCTTCTACGTTGATGGAAAGCCGGTAAGCCACAGCGGCATCACTATGCTTCTATGTGCATCCTCGATATTTTCTCACATCTCCGATCGTCACCTACGTTACAGTTCACCGGACAAATGAATGCCGCCACTGGGGCTGTAGAATGTATATGGGACCGGTTTGTGAAGTAAGCTATACTGCTTTGCTACTCCTCGGGATTGCCTCATTTAAGGCGGCCTGGCCCCTGCACCTCTGCAGTCGTGTGTGATCGAGCTAACGAGATTAATTGGTGGGTGTTTTATTGCCAGACCATCTCCAGCCAGCCGTGTTCTGATTTTGGCTGTTGGAGCCCTGGCAAAGAGCATCGCCATTCTCGCACAAAATCGAGGTTTGTGTGCATGTGCCCTCTCAAGTTCAGATCGAGTAGTGCCAGTGGGGTGGCCGCGAACTATCTATTTGAGTTCATGCGTCGGTGGGCGTTCCGTTGCTGCGTCGATCACAGCAATGCTCGGTCCTTTCATTTGGGACATGTAAAGAACAGCAGACAAGCTGACGCTGTTGATCCGCATGCATTTGAACAGTGTCAGACTTTGAGTCTCTGGTGTGCGGCATGGTTCTGGTCCACCGTAACGATTCAGGAAATCTGGCACCCGTGCCGCTTTCAAGCACACTGCAACAGGTAAGAAGTAATTGTCTGACACACACCATCCGGCGGCTGCTTTCAATCGGCAAAGATGCCATGTCTTTGGTACCTCGTCCGAAATCTCATGGGATCTGGATTTGCAGGTAACTCGAGTATTCGCCCCATCAACACTCCCAAGGGGCCATCTCCTTGCTCCAAATACCTATTCCTTTGGTATGTGCGATCGGATTGACACAGCTTGCCGCAGCTGCGCCACTGATTGCACAATCCCGTTGCTGCGCCTTTGTCTACTCACACACTGCCGCCCCCCCCTCGCTAACGAAACGATAGGCTTAGCATCCTACCACTCTTATCGTACGCTGGAGAGCATCCAGCAATCCAGCTTTTCGTTTTTTTCAAAGTGTATGGAGAGACTATATGACCCATGATCCGACCCAAATCCCCTGCCCTCAGTATGCCTCTACCGCTTTCCAAAGCAGGCGAAGGAAAAGAAGACGAAAAAACAAATGGCACGCCCTGAAATGCTTGGTCTAGGACCGCTATTCGTTCTAACTTTGCGTTTACTTTTCGAGCAACGTGAAGCAGTCGGTCTTCCATTGACTCGGAGCAAACGGTGCACCACTGGTCGTATGAAGTGAATCGCGGGGGGGGGGATGATCGGTGTGCATACTGTAGCCATGCCTTTGGCAGCGCTGGCCCGATGACGGGCTCCACCGGCTCCAAATCGACCACCCATCGCATCTCAGAGCCGGGACACGCACTGATGGTGCTATTCGCGGCCCTACGAGTAGTGTGGCTTGGATCCCCAGTTGCGAAATACATCTCGCCCCTATTGAACCAGTTCATCAAGCGCCTCCCCGCCTCCAACTCCACTGCGGTTCGAAGCAAGCGAACCATGAGCCAAGATTATCAAAGTGCAATGTCGGACGATCACAGGAATCATATTACAATATCATACCATGTCGATACATTAGAGACCATAGCCTCAAACCGAGCAGCATAGATAACACCGATAAAGGAGAAGGCAAGAGGAGGCGCACCACGTTTAAAAGCGCCAAAGCTCTGCCAAGGAAGCCGAGTCGCAACGGTTACTGCATCAGCAGCGATCGTGAACACTGGAAAGCGGGCCATGGGGTCACGAGAGGGGCAGGGAATGAGGGAAGGGTGGGAAGGTGAGATGCCTTTCTGGATATAACACGCCAAGGCAACCTGTTGAGGAGCATTATCGTGGCAGTGCTTAGTTGCCGCAAACAAAGACGTTGGGCAAGCATTTGCTGCCGTTGGCGCAAGTTCCGATAGAAACCCAGTTTCCGACACAGACGAGAATATCGTTGTCAGCACCGCAGGAATAGCCGCCAAAGGTGCTGCAAGGAGATCCGGCCTTGGGGTAGCCAGGAGTGGGAGAGGGCTTTGAGGTGGTGGTGGTGGTGGTTTTGGGAGGAACGGTGGTGGTGGTTTTGGGAGGAACACTGGTGGTGGTCGTGATTCTGAGCGTGGTGGTGGTCGTGGTAGGAACAACCGAAGTGGAAGAGGCGGCGGTGGTGGTGGCACTGGTGGTCGTAGCTCTGGGCGTAGTGGTGGTAGGGGCGACAGTAGTTGTGCTGGAGGACCTTGGACCAGCACAAGCAGGAGGGAGGTCCTTGGCATCGACATACGATCCTGCCTTGGCGCTGTAGCCGAGGCCGCGCTTGGCAAAGCCAGTCCAGATCTCACACAGATTGGCGCCGTTGTTGTTCTGCTGGTCGGCCTGGATGATGGCGTTGCGGGCACTCACAAAGTCGGGGTTGCAAGGCTGCAGCTTGAGGCCGTCGATGACCAGCTGGAGAGCAATGTTGTTGCCCTTGCCGCTCTTGGAGTTCTGGATGTCGGGCTCGAAGCCGTACTTTTCGATGAGGTTCCAGGCCACCTCCATCAGCATCTGCGTCCAGATCTCGCCAACGTTGTGGACCTCGGACGACTTTGCGACGGTGGCATAGGTCTCGGGGTTGAGGGTCATGTCGGAGGTGTACGGGTAGTGGCGGATGCCCTTGGGGTTGCCGACGGTGTAAGGAGCAGCGTAGATCGGGGTGTTTCGGTTGTAGGTGGGCTTGAGCTCAAAGATGTTGGCAAAGAAGTCACTCCAGCCTTCGCCGAGACCGCCGGCGGTGGTGGTGCTGAGACAGTTGGCCTGGGCCGAGCCACCAGTGAGACGGTTCGAGACGCCGTGGCCAAACTCGTGGGTGATGATCATGTTGTCCATGGTGCCGTCGCGGTTGGGGGTGGTGGCGGTGAAGATGTACATGCGCATGCGGCCGTTCTGTCCATCGGGGGGAGTGGCAAAGTTGGCTGCAATGTGCGATGTGGTTGATGTGGTTGATGTGCGATGTGGTTAGTGTGGTTGATGTGGTAGGTGTGGTTGATGTGGTTGATGTGGTTGGTGTGGTTGATGGCGGACATGGGGCGACGGCATGGTGGATAACATCAGTTCCAGCATCGTGTGTGTGCCGCCCGTCGACCCACTGCTCATCCCAGCCCACCGCCCACTGCACCACCTCAATGACTCCTGCAGTCCACCACTTGCCCACAGCTTCACTTGTCCCGCCACATGTCAGGCCGACAGACCACGGCCGCCTTGGCTGTGGGCTCGTACCTACCGTTGTTGGTGCCGCTGCCATCCTGGGCATTGGCAATCACATAGTCGCCGCCCTGGCCGCCTTTGCCAAAGTTGTTGGTCTGGAAGTTGCCGCTGGCCTCGTTGAAGCCGTATCGGTAAAAGATATCGTGGGCCATGTTGTTCATGTAGAACAGCTGCGTGATGGCGGCGTTGACGTTGCTCTTGGGGTCCTGGGTGGTGTCGTACTTGAAGTTGAAGTTGTAGTCGCTGCCGACGGTGGGGCGGGTGCCCTGGGCCTCGTCTTGGCCCTTGGGATAGTTCTTCCAGTTCTCCTGGGCATGGACGTTGTTGCCCTTGGTGGTGGGGTTGGCACCGCTGCCGTCGTCGTGCCAGCCGAGAGGCGAGATGTCCTGGTCGGCGGGGTTGGCGACCGGCGTCTGGGGGGTTTGCGAGATGTCGCCGTAGTTGAAGGGGATAACGTTGTAGGTAGTGCTGGGCCCGGCCTGGCTAAACTTGTTGACCCAGTTGGCGACGGCAACGACCTCGCCGGTCTGGCTGTCGACAAAGGCATCGAACCAGTCGTCGCCGCCCTTGGTATAGACGTTGATGTTCCAGACCTGCGAGACACCCGAGGGGCCCTGGTAGTACTGCAGCGAGGCCGTGATGGGGAGCTGGGCAAAGTCCTGGGCGCCGTCGATGACCGAGGTTGTGTTGTCCTTGACGGTCTCCTTGAGCTTGCTGGCGGTGAACTTGATCTTGGCCTTGGTCAGGAAGTTGGTCAGGGCCTTCTTGGCCGAGATTTTGGCGGCACGAGGCTCGAGGCCGCGCTTGGTGAGCGAGCTGTCGACCTTGGCAAAGGTCGAGCCGATCGAGAGCAGGTTGCCGTTGCTGTCGAGGTTGATGTTGGCGACGGCGTTGGCGATGGGCTGCCCGCCGATCAGCTGCTGGACGTGCAGGTGGTAGATGCCGTTGTGGTCATCCTGGAAGCTGAGGCCAGAAGGCACAGGCGAGCGAGCGGGCAATCGAGAGCGAGCGGGCAATCGAGAGTGAGAAACGAGTCCGAGGGAGGCAAAGACCCAGCGGACCACACCAGGCCCAGGTGCCAACGAGCATGTCGGATCGAGAGCGACAGGAGCCGATATGCACAGGACATGGTGCGAGGCACCAGCACGGCGGCAGACCCCGGTGCAGACGACATTGCCCGTGGCCCAGCTCCGCACTCTGACCGACGGCAGTACTCACGAGGTGGTGATGGCAAACTGGCTCTGGCTGACGCCGAGCTTCTTGGTCAGGATATCCACGGCCGTGGACTGCAGCGCTCCCAGGTCCAGCGGCTGGTCGACCAGGTTGCTGACAACGTCGCTGACCTCGAACGACGGCGAGGGCCAGTACGAGTCTGGGAGACTGCCCAGGGCCTTGGCGGCGGCCGAGCTCAGAAGGCCAGCCAGGGCAACGCCCTGGAGCAGGTTGCGGCGGCGGATCAGCACCATGCTGCGGGTCGTGGGAGAGGGAGGGGTTGGTGGATGAGACTGGAAGACGGAAGGTGCTGAGCGAACTGGGCGCTGGCCGTGGAGGGAGATGGAGGATGCTCGAACATGGGGTATTTATCGTCGAGCAGGCCGGGTCAAGCGTATCGTCGGGCAAGCCCATTCCCACCCAAGCTGACCGGCGTCAAGCCCATTCCCACCGAGCAGACCGAACAAGGACGCAGCCCACCCCGTGCTATCCACTGCTGTCCATTGCTGTCCATCGTTGGCCCATGGCGCCGGCAGCTTGTTGACCGACAGCCGTGTGGCGCGAGGTATGGGGCTCACGACCCACCTGCCGGACGCTGCTGTTGGAGAAAGTTGGGCCCCATCCGCCAACAATGCGGCCGGCTTGCAAGCCAGCTGAGCACCTGGGGCACGCCGTGCAAGAGGACACATACGACCACCACCAGCATCCCCCCCCCTCGCAGCCGGTGCGTCAACCACGACCGAGAGCCGGCAGCAGAGGCCCCATTTCGCCCGCTTGTCTTTTTTGTCGCCAGATCGCAGAGGCGCCCTGTCTGCTGCGCTGTCGGCTTTCCTTTCGACTGTCGTCCTTGATCTGCAGCCGCGCGTTCCCACGCTCTTGGACGAGGGGCACTGCATCACGCGGATGCGAGCAACGGCCGAATCTGAAACTTTCGGCCACATGGCCATCCGCTTGCCCTCGTCGCAACAAGGCCCGACAAGAGCCGCACGGCAGCCCTGTGCTGCTGCGGCCCATACACGCTGTATGCTCGCATGACCGGCAGTGGATGGGCCCGGGCAACCGCCCATGGGTGGTGGCCGAGGCAAGTCGCCAGTCCATGCGGATGCACAGATGGATGTCTGTGGGACCTGCCGGTGCTGCCCCATGATCGCAGCCGCCCAACTCTGTCGGCAGGTCGTGCCCACCAGGACGCGGCTGGAGGGGGCTGCAAAGCGTCCGTATGGTCGCCATCGCCCCGCAATCTCGCCTCATATGTGGTGCTCCAGAGCCATCCATGCACGCTTCGCTCCGCTCTGGATCCGCAAAGGCCCATTCCGACCAAGCGAGCACTGGCTCTCGTGGCCATTGCTCTTTTCCTCCCTCTCTCTTCTGATCTGGGCCGACAGTGCTCGTGAGTCGGGCAAAGGATGGCGAAAACTCTAATCGAGGCATGGGCGGATCGAAGGCCACAAACGCATGATCCAGATTGCACCCATGTGGTGGGCACTCGCGCCCAAGCCACCAACCAGCCCCGTGCCTCTCTTCGGGTCCACCTGAAGAGGCTGGCCGTGATGGTCTGAGTCGGTTGGACTCGCCGATCCTCGACCTCGATGTCGGATGTTGATTGCGGTGGAACGAGAGGAGACGGCACCCTCTTATCCACCAGCGATCGAGCTCTTGATCGGGGTTCGAGCAAAGGCGGCGACTGCGACCAGAATCTGTTGTGCCCGCCATGTCGAAAACGTACGGGGTCGTATCGACAATCTCTCCCAGGCCCGAAGCTAAGCGCATCCAACCCTCGCCCAGGCCCCTCCCATCCGAGACGACCCCGAGAAGACCCCGAGAGCATGTTGGCTGCTCTCGCTCTGGATCCAAATTCTTTTCACTATCAATTTGTTCCGCCCCCCTCGCGGCTGCTCATCTCGAATATGAATACACGCTGTAGACCAAGGCGCAGCAAAAGTTGGAATCCGGCCATGGTCGGTTGACGGCATTTGGTATCGTCTTGAGCCGATTGACGGTGGTGGTGGGCGATTGGTGTGGAGGAATGACCAATTGTATCATTGTTGGAAGCTCCACTCCGATTGCGGACAAGAACCACCACCATCTGAATCTCTCTGGTTGGAAACCTAGTCAAGCGTGGCTGTGTGTCAGCGAGATGACATGATCGTTTGGCTATCAGGCAAGACTCACCTTGACAAGATGTTTTCCCACGACTGATTGAGCGAGCGATGTGTTTCTGGATCTGAATCAAGGACGCCACTGCGCAGTATCTCTGCCAGCCCAAAATGCGCTGGTTTTGAGGAGATTCTTTCTTCCCCAAGGGCAGAACCAGCCATCGCTGCTATTTTCTCGCCAGATGGCTCCCCGCAAGAGAAAGACACCACCCAGGCGACCAAGTGGATCCAGAGCACCCACAAGATCCTTGGTCTGCAGCAATGGATGAGCACCACACCGAGCCCCAAGATCCCTGGGTTGGCTTCCTTCCTGTTATACATTCGCCATGTGTTCACTGGAGGCATGCTGGACAAACAGCTGTACTTCAGCCTGACTCGGCGACGGCGATTCAAGCGACTCGATCTCCACAGCAAGCGACAGCGCACCGTCCACGAGATGTGCAAGCAAGTCATCGACCAGGCACCAAGGGAGACCGAGGTGGTGATTGCCTTTGGGAATGCCTCCTGGAAACAGGGGAAGGGATATGCTTCCAGTCCCAGGAGACTCAGGTTTGCCAAGTACTTTGAGCAGTTCCACCACCACCAGAGACGCCAACCAGACCGATCCGTCTCCAAGATCCGTGTGTGCTCGGTGAACGAGTTCAACACATCCCAGGTATGCTCACATTGTCGGGAAGCCAAGCGACTCGAGTCACCCGAGTATCTTGATATCGAGAAACCACACTTTGTCCGGAGCTGTACAAGCTGCCATACGCTGTGGGATCGAGACATCAATGCAGCCAGGAATATGATCTCGGTATGCCAGTCGATCATCGTCACAGGAGATCGACCGGGTGTATTCAAGACTGTGCTCCCGAAACCAACCCAAACCACTCGATTGCCAACCAAGACAGGAGTGCAATGCCATGGCCTGCCCGCTGGGCCTACAAGTCAGTCAGCGGGGTTCAGACATCTGAAGCCTAGAAGGGGAAGTGTCCCGTTTCTTTCTGGATAGACTGTAAGTATCTTGTTCCTTGTGCATTTCGACAGTGGATGCCGGGTCGCCCATATTCTGGGCAGTCCAATTCGGGGTTGCCATCCCTCTTGGGATGGTGATGGGAGGTGTTTGACTCCCTTGTGCAAAGTGTGTGTGTGTGCAAAGTGTGTGTGTGTGACGGCGAGAGGCTTCTCGCCTTCCCTCGGGGGTCTCTCGCCAGAGACTGCTCTTCTCGCCGACCGAGGTGGCTCCGAGAGCGCGTTTTTTCGTTCTCGCTCATTTTATTAACAAGAATTTTTTTCATAGTGTTTGCTCAGCCCCGCGGTTTGGATCGCGGATTTCGGCATTCCGTATTGCAACTTCCCGACACCCGGCCGGCCGGCCCAGCAACCCGATAGCTCGCCATCCCAGCATCCTGATATCCCGCCATCCTGACAAACGGCACCGTTGTCAGCCCGCATTCGGAAATGCTGCAGTCGCCGCCCCAGCCATCGCTGCCGATGCAACAGCAGCAGCAGTCCTTCGAGTTGAGCCTGTTTCTGTCGCTGGTGGCCGGCCTCGGAACCGCACTGGGTGGCCTCGTCTTTCTGCTCCTTGCTCGAACAACCGAGGGAGCTTCCTCCTCGTCTCACTCGCAATCGCTATTGCCACTGCCATCATCGACGCCGCTGTCGTCTCAATCGCTGTCCCCGCACCACAAGGCCGATGACGACATTCCCATCTCACCAAAGGTCTTTGGACGACTGCAGGCACTCTCGGCAGGAGTCATGCTGCTCCTGAGCAAGGATCTGTTCTTTGCCGAAGCACTGCCGGTGACTGGCTGGAGCGCCGCTCTGTTCTGGTTCGCAGCCGGTGGGGTTGTGATGTTGCTTATCGAAAAGGTAGGCGGATCTGACGGCACAGCTGAGAGCACGGTCTCGGATTCGGTCTCGATTCGATCGAACGTCTCGGATTGCATTGATGTCCTGGATTCGCTTGGATGGGGCTGAGCCCCAAGGCTCGAATGCATGATCGTGGCTTGGTTGATCCAGCCGCCGGCTTGCTCGATCCAGAGCGGCCAAATTGGATGGTGCCCCACTCCTGCCCTGTGCAAACATGGAGGGAAGGGGGCGATCCCGATGCCATTCAGCCGACTCCCAGCTTGGCTCTCATCGGCTATGGCTTCTCATTGGCCATGGTTTCTCGTCTGGCAAGCCGACCCCGTAGCTTATCTGACGAGACTGTATTATTCCCGTCTTGCCGCCACTCAATCGCCGGTCGAATCCTCTCCTATCGACGATTGCCAACCATTCGCCAGTGCATCCATGTGCCCGAGCCGACTTCGATCCGCAGTGAAGACGGCGAGCCATTGCATACATTGCTCAGCTCCTTTGACGATCTCGAAAAGCTCAAGGTCGACCGCTTTCCAGACTCGGGCCCTTCGTCAAGCTCGACTGCATCTTCGCACCACCATAGCTCGCTGTTTCGTTCGATTCCGGCGCACCAACTCCTTCGCACCGCGATGGTGACCTTCATCGCGATGGGCATCCACAACCTGCCTGAAGGCATCTCAGTCGCCATCTCGACGACCACAAACCTACGACTCGGAATGAACCTATGTTTCGGCATCATGCTCCACAACATCATCGAGGGCATGGTCGTGGCATGCTCGTTGTGGTATGCTCTCAAGTTGCCCTGGGCAGTGCTGGTGCTCTGTCTGTTCAACGGGCTGATGGAGCCGATTGGCGTCGTTGCCGTACGGATCTTTGGCATTTGGGACATGATCAGCCAGCCGGGCGTCGTCGAGCGAGTGCTTGCCGGCGTTGCCGGTGTCATGGCCGGAATCGCTCTTAGCGAGCTGATACCCGGGGCTGCCATCTGGATTGGCAAAGGCTTTGGCATCGAGACGTTTTCCCACACAAGCTGGCGGCGACTCTACCGATTGGGGCTTCAGGTTGCTCTCTGGACGCTCATGGGTGCGCTCGCCGGGGCCATTATCCTGAAGCTGGCCGATGTTCTTCTCGCAGAGATAGTTTGAACACCCAGGGGACCCTGGCATCAGGAGGGGTGGGCACCTCCCGCGCAAAATATAGCGGCGTTGCCGGGGTGGGCCGGGGAGAAGGGTCTCGGAAAGAAACGGAGGGCTCTGGAAGGCATAGATTGAATAAATGTAGGCGCTGTCGGCAAAACAATGTCAAGATGACACATGATAGCGTAGTCTGTGATGTGCTCGTGTCAAGCAAAGCCATAAAATACGTCAAATCACTTTGGCAGCCTCCGAGTGAAGACCACCGGTCGCTCTCCGGTCTCCACAATCGACTTGCACTGCTCAAAGTACCGAGCAAACCGCTGCCTCCGAGGGCTGGATGCATAGCCCTTACCCTGTCGCCATGATGCATTGCCAAAGGCGATGACCACATCGGTCCGTATCGGGGCGTGCTTCAGGACGGCCTTGCACATCCTGTCGACGGCCACTTGGCGCCTCTTGTGGCCCGTGAAGCGATGGTGACGGGCCTTCTTGCCAAGGTGGAAGTCGAGCTGCACTCGTAGCTCCGGTCGCAGGACATGGGTGAGATGGACCTTGAAAGCCTCCGAGGACGACACCTTGGGCGAGGGGGTGGTCGACATCCAGGTCTCGATGCTGAGTCGATACTTCATGGTGTTGTGCCACTTGGTGTTGGACGTATGGCCACACATGTGCTGGTAGTGGCCATTGGAGAATGAGACCACCTCGTCTTGGTGGCCCGGTGCTTGGATGACCGCCGTGAAGATGGAGCCGACTCCAGGATCGATGCCAATCCAAGTGGTGCGATCGGGGTTTGGGTTGCTAATGTGGGCCTGGATACGCTGTTCGGCAGTCGGAGGAGGCTCGATGGTCTCGGTGCGATCGGTTCGACGCACAAACTTGACGAGGCCGATGGTGCATCCAATGCCATCGGTGCTGATCTCGTAGTTGAACAGCTTCTTGTTCACGTCCCGCTCTTGGAAGAGGGAACTACGCAGCTTGAAGCAACTGCGCCAGAGACGATCCTGGTTGTTGATGCCGTCCTCGCCTTCATCCTTGAGCATGTCCCTGGTGAGTCCAAGGCGCTTCTTTGGACCCAGGAGATTCCAAAGAGTGACCGTGTCAATCTTGACATACTTGGCCCTTGCAGTGCATAGAGGAACCATCGTGCACACGGCCGGAGGAGTGTCAAGAGCGAGCTGCTTGAGTGCCCAGTTGAGTCTGGATGCCAGCTTGTTGATCTTGGACTTGGTGGTGCCGAGCTCAGACTTGGCCTTGGTGAACCTCTTGTCGTCGGAGGGAATGCCTTGGGTAGTGAGCTCGTCCAGCTTGGCCTGGCGCTGCAGCTCGGTGACTCGGAGGGCGGGCATGTCACAGTCGATCCACTTGTGGACATCGTCGACCATCTTGTCCCGGGCGAGGATTCCCACATGGTGTGAGAGGCGATGAAGGGCCCGGAAGCGGTCCTGGTCGTTGCTGTACCGAAACTCGTCCAGGACGTGGCCAAAGTCTGGATAGAGGAACTCGAGATCGGCCTTGGTGGCGACTCGACCCCGATCGCTCTCCCACGCTCAATCAGCCGTGGGAAGACATCTTGTCAAGGTGAGTCTTGCCTGATAGCCAAACGATCATGTCATCTCGCTGACACACCGCCACGCTTGACTAGGTTTCCACCCAGAGAGATTCGGATGGTGGTGGTTCTTGTCCGCAATCGGAGTGGAGCTTCCAACAATCATACAATTGATCATTCCTCCGCATCAATCGCCCACCTTCGCGCCGACACAATCGGCGACGAGCGGGCGGACTTGACGGCGAGGTCAAGATGAGGCGGGATGAGGAACAGGGCGGGCCAGCGGACTGTCTCGTCGACTGGACGGTGATTCCGTTGACAACGCCGCTGGCAAAGTGGGGGCAGGGATGCGATGGATGCGATGGATGCGATGAATCGGCGCTGTCCGTCTGCTGTCCGTCTGTGGTGGACAAGTAGAGGGCATTGCGATGACATGCAGCTCCGTAATATCCAAGACGATATGTGTCGGTTGTGATCGGCAAGTAGACCCCCTCCCTTTTTTTTCTCACTCTTGCCAAACGGGCATGCGATGTGTATCCCTGTCCGGCTCGTTCCAACACCGCCCTGCGACTGTTTCGCCCTGTCCGTCCCAGAACCCAGTCCCCTGGCGCCTGGTCACGCTGACCCACTCCCACTCGCTCTTGTACCCATCGCGAGTCACTTTCGGCCAGCCGGCGCTGGGTCGATCAAGCCAAGAGCCCCCCCCCTTTTTTTTTCGCCTCCGCCGCTATCTTCCTTGTCGGCGCCAGGATTGCAGTCATATAAAGGCCTCCCTCCTCTGTTCTCCAGCCGTCTCTGCCACTCCTTCCATTCCGCCCACCAGCAACAACCAGAGACCTCCCCCACCCATCCACTCTTCGACAACATGCCGCCACTCATGTCCAAGAGCTCCCAGCTTTCCAACGGTCACGGCCCTGTCGCGATCCCCGGCCATGCGAGACATAAGCGTCGACACAGCCAGACGGACGAGATCCTGGCTCGTGGACTCGACGCGAGCGACATGGACCTGGATCATCGCAGCGGGTAAGAGGCAACAGCAACAGCATCGGCAGACCTGGAGTGGGGCCGAGGGATTACAGCGGGGAAGGGATCGCTTTGGGACACGGACTGCATCCAGAGACCCCAGAGACCCAGACCTCAAAGGACACACGACGCTGGGGCGTGCAGTGAAAAGTCTTGGTGGGGAGGAATGATGGCGAGTGTTATGGACAGGACAGTCCCTGACGGCCAGGCAGGAGCCGTAGCCACAACCCCGGAAATCGATGGCCAGACTGGCGCTAACCGTCTTCCCGCCTTCCGTCCTTCCCCGCCTTCCAGTCCATGTATCAAAGCCTTCGCTTCCGAACCTCATCCCAAGCGAATGCGAGAGACGGCACTGACCGTGCCCTTGAGCCCCGTCTACTATCCGATGGAGAGCTGCCTTGACTCACACCTGCTCTTTGGTCGTCGTGCTTCCGATGCCGCCAAGCAGCATCACAACATGGGCTATGTGGAGCGCTGCGACAGCTTGCGTTCGCAAACCATGAGCATGTACCATCGCCAGGAGGAGATGTATTATGGAGTGGCAAGTCTGATGGCCTAACTCTCGGCCACAAACAACTCTCGGCCCGCCGGTACGCTAGGGCCCAGGCTCCAGCGTTCGCTCACTTTCCTTTGATCTGTGCATCGATAGTATCCATTCCTGCGCCCTTCTCGCAACAACACCCACACCAGAACCCTAAGATCAGCGCTATCACCATAGCACATTGTCGTGATCATCAGCTCCGCCACGCCGCATTGCTGCTGCTGCCCATTTCGATTCGGTCCTGCCATCCATCCATCCATCCATCCATCCATCCATCCATCCATCCATCCATTCATCCATCCATCCATCCATCCACCCATCCACCCATCCATACACACACACGACTCCATCTTTCTTTTTGCCCCTGGACTACTTTTGTTTTGCTTTTGGCTGCCCATAGACTCTTGCTGTAGATACCGTAGATACTTTTGCACTCACGCCTTCACGCAAGTGCACTCCCCCCTTATCATCAAAAACAGTGTTCGCAAAATGAACCGGGCCACTTGATTTTTGGGACCAGCGGCCGCTCCCTCTGCTTATCCATATCTCTCTTTCTCTCCCTCTCTCTCTGGATACTGAATACATTGTTGTCCATTCATCGCCATCACTGCGGTTGCTCTCACAGTCGCAGTCTCGAGCACACCGGATGACCTCCATGAACGATGGTGACTGACATGTACCAGAGTCATATGCGTTGATACGCGAATCAGCGGATTGTCGTCGCTCCCTCAGCTACATTCCCAGGAACTAGAGCCTGTATCATTTGCCCTATCCAGCTATGAAAACGAGACGTCCCCATTTCATTTTCGTTCGTTTTTTTTTTCTTGGGGGAGGGGACGGAATGGAAGGATGTAAGAGGCCAGAAACGGCATTTTGTTCTTTCTTTTCTCTCGGAGAACCTTTCAAATGCCTCACGGTGGAAGTGCAACTTTAAGATGGGGGGGGTGCGATGAGAGAAGCAGGCTATTGAGCGGCCTTCTTCTGCTTCTGGTATGAGGCGACATAAGCCTTGAGCTATGAGAGGATAGGAACATTAAGTAAGCTGCAGTGCCACCGGGACCTCGGGATGGTCAACGGAACCATCCTCACGCCCGCTCCCACCACCACCATCACCACCACGGCGCTCAGGATCGATGGACATGGCAACGACAATAACCTACTCGCACAAGCCGATAACATACCTGATCACCGCCAAAAACGATGCAAACCGTTTGCCAGATGCCGAGACCGACACGGGGCTGATGAAGATTGTAAGGGGAACGGGTATAGACAAAGAAATGAGTGCGTGGGGGTGGGTAGGCGAGCGGAGCCCACAAAGAAGCCGCAAGGGTCCTCAGCTCGAGGTCGCAGTCGGCTTCGTCGAACTCAAGGCTGCTCATAGTGCGAGGCAGCATATCCGAGTCTCCCAGTAGAGAGAGGATGCTGTGTGCTGCAAAACCAGTAAAACACCACACATCACCCTCGCAGTGAACTCACGGTGACACCACGGTAAAAGCCTTTGAGACCATTGTTCTTGTAGATCCACTTGGCTGCAGTGGCAATCGTCAGCTTCTCTGGGCGCCCTTCGGTCTTGATCTGGCTCTGCATCTCGACACGGATGACTTCCAGAGGCTGATTCCAGCAGCTGAGGGCGCCTCCTACGGCACTTGCAAGAACTTTCTCGGCCGAAGACAGCGGCTTGCTTCGGTCGTCGCGGGCTCGCATGAACACATCCTCGACAATCCGACTGATGCCGAAGCGCGAGCCCCAGTTGGTGCATTGGCGGAGGGCCTAAATCGGCAGCGTACCGAATCGCCACGAGGATGCCGCGACGGTGAAGAGGGACAGAGGTGTTAGGAGATACAGCATGGCCAAATGCATAACCAACTCCAAGCCAGGCTCGCATGATCCGTGTCGAGAAGGGTCGCACGACAATAGCCTCGGCAGACACGAGGCATCGTGTGAGAAGGAGTTGTCTCGACTTTGCCAGAGTATTCAGCAATTCGACTCGGGTTTTGGTGAAGCCGGCGCTCCCTCAAGCCTTCCCCTCAAAACTCACAGCGCGGACAGCGACGAGACACTTCCACAGAGGGATCATGGAATCAGAGCTTACCACTGCGTTTACGCCTTTGTTGATACCAGCGAATCCCTCACGGGCAAAGATCTCTCGGGCCACCTAATCACGGTGTGAATCGATAGAGTTGGTTAAATAGCAAGACAGCACGCGGTGATCCGATGTGCATTCTTGTGGTGTGAAGCCTCCTTGTCGCTCGCTTAGAGTGCCAGGAAGAGAGTGGATTTGTTTGGAGGCTTAATCTCGACTCAGTCAATCAAAGTACCTGGATGGTGCTCTTGGGTGTCCCGCCAACGCCAACGTCCTTGCTGCGAGTTACCTCGACCGTTTTCATAAAGGTGCAAAAACCCATGGTGGTGTACGCCTGAGAAGGCATCGTAGCGTCAGCGCGACTCCGAGGCAGTGGACCAGACAATAATAAGCGAGACCAAGAGCTCGGTTGACTCGGCTCTACCAAATCAACGGTCGGTGGATATCCTTGGCGAAGGCCACATGGCACAGCGGGGTCTTACCTGCGCGATGCCACCACCTGCGATTCATCCAGAGGTTGGCGAGGAGGTCAACAGGCGATATAGAGCCAAAGGATTGGGATACAGAGAGTCAGCCAGATTCACGCAGCAAAGAGCCCGATGCGTCTGAGCGAGACGGCATCGAGTACAAGTTCCTTTGCCGCCATCGCAACGATAATCTGTGTGCTACTGCAGATAGAGGGCCGATCCCAGCCCTCGAGGTCCAAGTCGGCCTGGTAACATTGGCTTGGACCTACCCATGCCACCGATGATGCCAGCAGCCGTGGCAGATCCTCCTTTCGATAGAACCTGGTACTCGAGTTCACTGGCAGTAAACAGCAAGACAGCGCCTGAAGGGCAGATACCAACCCGGTGGAGGGAGGACAGCAGCGATAAAACGGCCAAATCAATCGGAATGAATCATACGAGCAGCAAAGGAGTCAGCCAAACCGAAGCGAAAGAGATCGCGAGATCCACGAGAGACGGGGTCGTCAGCGAGATGGCAAGAGACCAGAGCGGTATTGCGTCGACTCATCGACGAACGATGGCTGCTCAAGCACGGCAGCGGCGGGACTGGCTTGCTCTCGCACCTTTAGTGGAGCCCTCGATCCAAGCCCACGGAATCAGACCCTGGTAGAAGCCGAGGATGCCGCCGCGCTTGAAGGTCTTTGAGATGGCCGTGAGCATGTTGTCGCCGCGATTGGCAGCCATGTGAGTCTTGACGACCTCAAAGGGTTGGCCAAGCTATGGCGGGACAGCAATCCAGAGGCCGACAAGAAAGTCGAGAAGAGTGAGCAGTTACGAAAGCGAGCAGGCGCATTGGTGAGGCCGAGTGATGTGCCGAGCAAACGAAAGAGCGAGCAGAGCAGGGAGAAATAAAAATGAAAATAAAAAATAAGACTCAGAAACACAAGATAGCCCAATGCCTTTCGACTCGACCAATCCGATCCGCATGATGGCTGGAGGAGATGTCCTGCTCGGCCTTGGCTCCAAACGGCGGCAACAGCAGAGGGCAGCGTCCGATGCGAGATGCCCAACTCGACTTTCCCGGTCCTTACCGTTGAGGCCTCGAAGATCGTGAGACCGGCGCCGAGGGCAAGGTTGGTGAAACTCAAGGCCTTCCTCTTCACAGCAGGAGCCGAAGCCGGTGCAGGGGCGCTGGATGTAGACATGGATGCTTTGATTGATTTGACGAGGAGACTGGCTTGAAGCGGCAGCAAAGACGAGCTGTAGGACAGGGAGACGACGACTACGAAGAGGCGAGACAAGCACAGACCGACTCGTTCGGACGGCGAAGGGAACCAACAGGGCCGAGGGAAAGACCGGACGACAACCAGGCGAGCAGATGGAGGAAAAGACGGAGGGAGGGGCAGGAGGGGAACGGCAGGTGCAAAAGGGTCATGAACGGCGGGAGCACGTGAAGGCCTGGCGAGAACACCACCAACGACATCCAGGGCCAAGATGGGGCCTCCAGATCACTCAGGGACACATTGAGGCACACTCTTCCGCTTCGTTCTGAACATGCTGTATTCGTATCTGGCAACATTTGGTCAACTGGCTTGGCTGCCATCAATCCGGGACAGAGCGATATTTCTATTTCGAGCTCCTGTTCTCAGGCTTTCTGTGTCTGATGCGGTCCTTCTTGCCCATTCTTGTTCCTCCGACTGCATGGAGGCGAGACGGCAATTCCGTTCGGGCATCAAGAAGTGGTGGAGGCTTGAACATCTGTAATCGAGATAAGCTGGCGGACAGTCCTTCCAAGGTTCGCAGTCCTGCACACTTTGACAGATCCAGGGTTCTAAGGCCGTCCATGGCCGCCGGCAGCCCCTCCAGGCGCTCCAGTGATGGTGGGAAGTAGAGCGACACCAGACTCGGCATCGATGGCGGCAGTCCAACGAGACTTTTCAGCTTGGTGCACTTGGACAGATCGAGCGTGTTGAGGCAATCCATGGACGACGGAAATCCATGTAAACTCTCCAAGGAGGAAGGTAGATAGAGCGACCCGAGTCGGGGGAGTTTGCTGGACATACCCGTCAGATTGACAAGGTGCTTGCACCGGACCAGGCTCAGTCGCTGCAGACTCGCCATCGAGTCAGGCATGCCAGCAAGACTCCGAAGCGATGTCGGGAGCACAGCGAGCTTGAGTTGGGGCAGGACATTTGGTAGCCCGCTCAGACTTTTGAGCCGGGTACTTTCTGCCATGTACAGACTCTGGAGGCTGTCCATCGAGTCTGGTAAACCCTGGAGCGTGCCGACCGCCGGAATGCTGAGCATCTGCAGATTGGGCAACTCGGGAGACATTCCAATCAAGCTCTTCACTCTCTTGCATCGAGCCAATGCAAGCCCGCGGAGTAGCTCGAGTTTCGGTGACATGCCGTCGAGGCTCTCGAGATACCGCGAGAGCGTCAAGGTCTCCAGCCGAGGCAGTCTCACAGGCATGCCCCGCAGACTCTTGAGTCTGAAGCAGGCCGAGAGGTCGAGGCTCTTGAGGCAATCCATCGACTCGGGCATGCCCTCGAGGGTCTCCAGGCTTTGCGGCAAGACCAACGTCTCGAGCTTTGAGTGTGTCGACAGCAGCCCTTTCAGGTCCTTCATCTTGGTACATCGCGCCAGCTCCAGTTGACGGAGGGACGGGAGCTGGTCCAAATGCCTTGGGAGCAAAACAACTGCTGCTGGAAGCACGATTGTATGTACGTTCGGGAGCTCTGGAAGCCCGTCGAGATGTTTCAGCCGACTACATGGCGAGAGATCCAACCGGACCAGTCGATCCAATCTTGGCATGCCTTCTAGCGTTTCAACTGCGGCGGACAGCATGATCGTCACCAAACTTGGCAAGTGCGGCATGGCTTCCCAAGACCAAATAAAGTCACCAGAGACTGAGCTGCCAATCTGGAGAGAATGGATCGAGGGCAAGCTGTGGGGCCATCCCGCCAAGGTAGCAAACGACCGATTGGAGAGGATGAGATGACCGCAGGCAGATGACTCGAGGATGTGGAGTTCGTGTGGAAGTAAAGATATCAGCTGGTCGTTCCTGAACAAGGGGTGCTGCTGTGGACGGTGAATGTTGAGCGGCTGTACCGAGCCCGACGGGTTCCGAAGCATCACCGATGAATCCAGACATCCGAGCGCAACTTGGTCACCAAGCTCGGCAGCCGGCGTTCCCTGGACGGAGACCAGCGGATGGCGATGGCATCTTTCGTCGGACGGGAGGTCGAAGGATTCCAAATAGGTTTGGATTCGAGGCCGAAGCATGCTGTTTTGGTGAATCCTCCACCACAGACCAAGCTCCCTCTGATAGCAATCGAATGAGGTCGAATGGGCCTGCAACCGACGGGTAAAGCACAAGAGACCCTCCAGAACAGTCACCAGAGAGGTACGAGGCTCAAATTGGCTGATCCATTCTGCGGAGAGTCCAAGACGCTGGGCCAGAAGGGAAGTCCAGCCCGAGCTGGAGACGAGCTGGGTGATGCTGCGGTGTCGCTTGGAGAGGAGGGGCAGCTTGAGGAGCGACTGGAGACCCAGCGCAAGGATGAATGCGTCGCTGGTGACGAGTATAGCGAGGAGATCGAACTGATTGAGGACATGATGTTTTGCGGCCAGGGCTTGAGTGTCCAGAGGGAGATCGCATGTCAGCCCGGCCTGCATCGTTGAGGCGGAAGGCAGCAGCAGCAACAGAAAGTGCGATCACTGGGCAGGAGCACGACGGGTCACGACGAAACCCGTTTCGGCTCCCGCACCTGGTCGACAACAAGAGTGGCCGGTCGATGCGGCGCAGACACAAGGAGGGGACTGAGGGAGGAACTCTGAAACCTCGGCCAGTGTATTGGTTGTTTGTGCGATGACGACTTGCAGAACAGCTGGACTGAGACGACCGAGCAGGCCCTCGCCCACGAAACAAAGCGGGGAGGTGGAGGTGTTTCATTCACGGACGTTGAGTAAAACGGAAAGCGGAAAAGGGGAAACGGAAACGGAAACGGAAACGGGGTTCAAGAAACGGGAAACCTGATTCGAGGCTCGGAGGCCACGGCAGCCGAATGTCCCACTATCGACCGATGGCGGCCGCCCAGCCAGCACACAGACACATCAGTGGCGGCCGGTGCGGGTGAAGGGACGGACATCGGGATACTCCTCGTCCTTGAGCTCGGTCTCCGCCGCCGTGGGCTGGTCGAGATAGGACACCCGATCCAAGTGGAAGAGACTCTTCCTGACGACCAGCTCGGGCGAGGGACACGGCGTCGGGTAGATCGAGCGAGTGTTGGTGTTGTCGACCCTGAAGGACAGGTCCATCAGCATCCGCATGAACGCAAGCAGGGCGTGGTTATCGGGCGATGGGTTGCGCCAGATGATGGTCCTGAACTTTTCGCGAGTGTCCTGCAGGACGGTCCAGCCAACGGAATCGGCAATCTCAAAGACACGCTTCTCGGTGATGACACTGCGAGTGAGTGAGTGAGTGAGTGAGTGAGTGAGTGAGGGGTGATTGCGATGGCCCACGATGTCCGCCATCAAACATGTCAATCTGCGACCCGCTCAATGCCAAGCACAGCATCGACTGACACTCACACTCACACTCACACTCACACTCACACTCACACTCACACTCACACTCACACTCACACTCACACTCACACTCACACTCACACTCACACTCACACTCACACTCACACTCACACTCACACTCACACTCACACTCACACTCACACTCACACTCACACTCACACTCACACTCACACTCACACTCACACTCACACTCCACTCCACTCCACTCCACTCCACTCCACACACTCCTCACCTGTGCTCCGAGTCGCTGATGTGGAACACAAACTTGGACAGCGCCTCCTCCGAGCTGACAATCTCGGCAATCACCTTGGCAACATGGTCGACGGGATCCATGGTCCAAGTGACGGGACTGGCGTTTGCCGGGCAAACGCCGAGCTTGATGCATCCCTCGATGTATCGCCAGATATAGTCGTCTGTGTTGCACACTGGAGGATGGAGTGAACAGGGTGAGAAACAGTGTCGGTCGATGGATGGGTGCCACTCGACAAACAAGATCATCAACCCATGGCCAAGTCGAGGGAACGAAGGAGGGAATCTCCACCACATCACACATCACACATCACCACGGCTCACCTCCGTATCCGCTGTCGCCAGCAATCATCGCTGGCCGAATGATGGTTGCAGGCACTCCCCTCGATCGTGCCTTGTTGATCAGCTGCTCAGAGACCCACTTGGTCTGCGAGTAGCCGCCCGACAGGTTCCAGTTGGAGTACATTTTCTCCTCGAGCGGCTTGTCGGAGCCCTTGGCCATGGCAATCGTCCCGATGGTCGAGATGTAGTGCACCACCTTGAGATGGTGCGTCGTGGCCAGCTGCAGCACCGTCACCGTGCTGAGGACGTTTGTTGCCTTGAGCGTGTTATAGTTGTAGAGCCAGTGCACCTCGGCGGCGTTGTGCACAATCATGTCGGTCTCTTCGCAAATCTCCTTCCATCGCTCGTCCGAGAGTGCCCATCGCTCCTTGGAAACGTCGCCGCGCAGACCAACCCACCGGTCTCGCACGTCATACCACGGATCGTTCTTGTTCCGCGATGCAATCACCAGCCTCGAGGCGTTGGAGTAGGTGCGGAGGAAGGCCAGTTTCTCGGTCTCGGTTCGTGCCAGACAGTAGATCTTGGCCCGAGGGAACTTGTGTGCCAGCTCAAAGATCAGGAATGCTCCGAGGAAGCTGGTTGCACCCGTCAGGACGATGCCGCGGACCTCCTTGGGATAGACAAACGGAGGGAAACCCTCGGCCGTCACACTCGCATCGTCGAGCTTGGCAGCCTCGGCAGCCAGATCGATTGTCGGCGGAATCACCAGCTTGTCGTCGAGAATGTCGACGACCAGCTGGGCGACATTCTTGGGACTCATGCTGTTCGACAGCAGGATCATTGGCGAGATCTCGACACCGTACTCCTCCTTGATGGCGATGGCCAGGCGGCCGATGCTCAGCGAGTCAAAGCCGACACCGCCAATGTAAAAGTTGCGACCGTACAGACCAGGACTGTCCAGGATCTGGCTGCTGAACTCGGAGATCTTGAAGGCAATCTTGATCAAGAACGTCCTGGTGACCATGAGGGGTGGGTAATCGACTGCCTGGCCGTACTGCTCGATGTTCTCGGCGATGCGCTTGAGCTTCTTGAGATCGACCTTGCCCGAGTCGTTGAAGGGGAGCTCGTGGAGCCTGAGGCAGTTGTGGATGGGGAACTTGGAGACGTTCAGCAGCAACAACATGTCCTCGACGACTCGAATGATATCGGCCGAGATCAAGTCGGGATTGGATCCTTTCTGAAGGACGTAGAGCAAGATGATCTTTCTCTCGGAGGTGTGGATGAAGTAGCAATCGGCGATGACCTGGGACAGGTGCTTGTGGACAAGCTCCCTGAGGTAGTTCAGGTCGACATAGACACCGTTGACCTTGATCTTCTGGTCGAATCTGGAGTGTGAGGTGTGAGGTGTGAGGTGTGAGGTGTGAGGTGTGAGGTGTGAGGTGTGAGGTGTGAGGTGTGAGGTGTGAGGTGTGAGGTGTGAGGTGTGAGGTGTGAGGTGTGAGGTGTGAGGTGTGAGGTGTGAGAATGAGAGTGATAAGTATCCAGCGAGCAAAAGGATCGGAACCAAGAGTGTGGATGGCAGTTCTCATGGATCAGGAACACAATAGTCTCCAGACTCACCTTCCAACAACACTGAACTCGTTCTCACCAACCATCTCGACCCAGTCCATGGTGCAGACTCGGGGCGAGCCATCCACGAGGAAGCCAAAGGAAGCCAGTCTGTCGTTGGGATCGGCGTTGACAAAGCTGGGATGGTCCTTGGCAGGATGCTCGGGATCGACGGCAAAGACCAGAATTCCGCTGTTTGATGATCGTCGGTCGATGATCACGCCTTTCTCGTCAAACAAGAGGCAGCGCACCCCAGGCTTGGCCAACTTGTAGACCAATTTCTCTGGAACTTGACTCTCTGCGGCGATATGCAAAAATGATAGTGCCCCAATAACTCCCGTCTAGTCAGAATATTGGTTAATGATCGATCGATTTTAAAATGATCCATGCTATCAACCATGAACTGTACCTCACTTGATCCGTAGAGCGATTGAATCGAGGCATTTGGGAAGCTCTCTCTCGTCTTGTGAACAACGCTCATTGGAATATGCTCCGAACCCAACATTACTTTCTTTGTTTCCATCCACCTGCCATCCGAGTTCATGGAAGTGGCGGTGCTAATGACGAGCTTCATGAACGAAGGTGTCTGCGGGAATATCAATACCATGAATATGTGAAACATTATTCATCCGAACGTCATGCTATTCCACCAACCAAATAAATATATGCAACGCCGTCGTTTAAGAGTTGAGCGACATTCTTTGCTTTCTCAATGGCATTGAATGTTAGGCTTGGAATCCACAAAGATCCTCTCAAATTGAGCGCACTTGGAAGACAACCGAATGTTGCAACAAATGATGGAGGCTGAGAATCATCAATGTCAGTTGGATAAACTTCGGCCATGTATCAATCCGATAATTCGTGTCCTGCACACTTACTTGCAGAATTCCCATACTACAGTTCAGAATCCCGATGGCGGATCGAGTTGTGATTCCTCCAAAGTGTGAAAACTTGAAGCTAGGATGATAGGAACCAGCGCAGAAGGATTCAGTGGACGAGTGATGATACGATTACTTTGGGAATGTGAACAAGCATCAGGTGCGACACAGAAACAGAATCCACAGAAACAGAATTCACAGCATCAGAAGCCACAGGAGAACTCACGACTTGGGGATGCCTGTGGGAGTGACGAGGAGCCAGGATGCAGGACGAAGGAGTCGGGTTGTGGGTTGGATATGCATCGTCAGCGTATCACCTTCCACATTCACCGCATTCACCACACTCACCACATCCACCACACTCACCATCTTACTCTATCCACCACTACACCATCGGCTTTGCTGCTGGGCCATCACGCTCGACCATTCCACATACCGGTTGTTCCAGAGGTGCACTGGATGGTGACATAATCATCAAGGGGCTCACAGACTTCGAGAGATGGGGGTGGGACGTTGTCCAGCACTGGGAACGTGGTGGCATCGACCAGTGTCACTCCAATGGTGCGACCAGGCTTGTTGTGGTGGTAGAGGATGTACTTGATGGAGTATCTGTTTCGATTGGAGTCAAGGTCGAGTCAGGTTGAGCACAGAGGTCTCTGGGATGTCAATCACCTGAGACACATGCGAGACCAGCACAAGTACAAACCTCTCGCACAGAGTCTTGCGAACAGCGGCAGGGAAGTTGAGAGCGAGGTTGAGTGTTTTCCTGGATGGCAACAAGGGACAGATGAGACTCGATAGTGGCCATGGCAAGGACAAGACCGGTCATGTCATGCACAGGCAGCCAGACCAGACCAGACCAGACCAGACCAGACCAGACCAGGGGTACTCACTTGCCCAGCATCCACACGGCGAGCGAGAAGAACACCCAGTGCGCCTCGCCTTCGCAGAAGGTGCCGACGACCTCGTGGTCGTCGTCGTTCCAGCCAGGAAGCGCCTTGAGAGCCTGGGCGATTGAGTATGCATGTTTCCACACATCGCGGTATGAGTAGCGCACAGACTCGCCGCTCTCGTAGGTGTTGATGCAGAGGGCATCGGGCTCGTCGCGGGCCATCCGGATGAAGGCTTCGACCGGATGGACCCAAGGGTCGAAGGGGTCGGCGGGCAGAGCTGGCTCGGGCTGAACAGGTTCGGGCTCGACTGCGGACACCTCGACCATCTCGGCATCCTCCTCCATCGACTCGATGGGCTGGACCTCGATGCCGAGCATGTCGTCCGAGTCGTGGGTGCTGACGACCATGTCGGAGCCAAGTCGGCAGGGGAGACAACGGCAGCGGGATGCTGTCGGCGAGGAACAGGGACAGGCAGATGGCAAGGAGCCAAGGGGCGAGGGGCAAAGGGGCGAAAGCTGAAGGCGCCGTTGTTGTGGGGAAAGTCGTGTCTGGTTCGAATCGGGTGGCCAACAAGCCACTTGCCCCTTTGTTGGTTTCCATATTCCCGTGGTCAGATGGCTTCAACCACTTGGAGCCAGAAACCAACGCCAGCAACAAGCCTCCTCTCCGATCAAGCATCGTTGATGCATGTCCAGCCCTAGCTCGCCCTGATTAGAGTGAGTCTCTTGCACAGACGGCAGTCGCCACGACAGGCATGTATTTCGGGGCGGTGGGCAGCGAGACATCCACACAGTGCCCTTGAGCGATACCTCGGTCTCGTACTCATTTGCTGTTCTCGCTCTTTTTTCCGTATTATCGGTATGAGGATCGAGTCGAGAGAAGGCAGAGCAGATATGAGAGCAGATGGAAGGCACTTTAGCCCCGCTTAGCTGCGACCTGTGCGCCCCACAATCGATAGCCCGGCATCAACGTCGTCCAGGATCGGACTTGTCGCAGGCCTGGGCAGGAAGCGAGCACGCTGCAAGTAGCGCAGGGAGTTGACGACCTGAGTGCGAGCCGGAGGGCTCTGGACTGAGTAGATCGCGCGGGTATGTTTGTTGTCCATCAGGAAGGATGCGCTCATAGCTGCGTGCATCAATGGGAAGAGGACGTTCTGCTGGGCTGTGCGCGAATCGGCCAGGATGGCCCGGAATCGGTCGCGGGACTCGAAGGTAATGTCCCATCCCAGCTCCTTGACAGCCTCGAAGAGCTCGGCTTCGCTGATGGCGCTGTTGGGATTAAGTGTGTGCACAAGCACAGCGATTGTCAGAGAATAGGGGCCAGCGGTCAGATTGGCCCAAAATAATTCACTGATTCCAGCTTGCGTTCGCAGCATCGGTGTACTGATGCCGTCGGCACTGCATAGCCCGCACGATGGCATCTCAATCCAAGATGCTGTCCATAGCGAACAAAAAGACAGACTACGACCGCCTCGAGCCTTCGTCCAAGTAAGGTTCTTAGGCGCCCTCTACCCTCTGTCTTCTTCCCTCTGCCTTCTTCCCTCTGCCCATTCTCTTTGTATCACATACCTGTTTTCTGGATCGCTAATGTGGAACACAAACTTGTCGAGAGAATCCTGGGCGGCAACAATCTCGGTGATAACCCGGGCGACATGATCGACTGGATCGATGCTAGTGGACAGGGTGCTGCCGAGGCACGGGGCGACGCCGAGTTGGATGCATTCCTTGACGTATCGCCAGATATAGTCGTCGGAGTTGGATACTGCGAGATGTGCATTTCAGCAGAATGAGGAGAGGCAAGCGGTGGTGGTCAATGGAATATCGACGAAAATGGCGTGTGGAAGAGAGTCCATCGGGATTGTACCGTCAAAGTACGATGTGCCCGAAGGAGATTGAGGGAGGAGAGCAGAGAGGGGCGATGGAATTCCATGGGATGCATCTGGGGAGTTGGATAGACGGGCCAGAGTGGCCTCCATCGCCGTGGCCTCATTTCGCTTGGTCTCATTTGTCGCCACGCGCGACTTACCTCCATAGATGCTATCGCCGACGATGCCAGCTGGTCGGATGATGGTCGCGGGAACTCCTCTGGATCGCGTCCTGTCGATCAGCTGCTCCGAAACCCACTTTGTCTGCACATAGCCGCCGGTAAGGTCGTCTGCCGAGTACAAGATTTCTTCCAGGGGCTGGCTTGAATATACCGACTGGGGAATGACGCGAGCCTCCGAGATGTAGTGGATGGGTTTGAGGTGGTGGGCTGTAGCAAGCTTGAGGGCCGTCACGGTGCCCAAGACATTGGGCCCCTTGAGCCTATTATAATTGTGCAGCCAGTGAACCTCGGCGCCGTTGTGGACAATGACGTCGGTCTGCTCGGCTAGCTCATTCCAGAGCCTGTCCGAAAGTCCCCATTTTTCGAGGCCGAGATCACCGCAGATGGGTAGCACGCGGTCCCAGACGTTGTACTTGGGGTTCGTGCCGTTGTGCGAGCCCACAACGACGGTGCTGGCCGACTGTCGGAGGCGCTCCAGGGCCTCGGTTTCGCTCGAGGCGCGGACCATGCAGATGATCTTGGCATCGGGGAACTGGGCCGCCAGCTCAAAGACCAAGAAGATACCGAGGAACCCCGTGGCACCCGTCAGAAGGATGGATCGAGGGGAGCGCGGAAAGGCCAGGGGAGCGAGGCCCTCGGCCGTCACGGAGGCATCGTCGTAGAGCTCAACCTGCTCGGCCAGGTCGATTGTCGGTGGATGAAAGTCCCTGCCGTCGCGGATATCGGCCACGATGCTCGCAACACTCAGGGGAGTCATGCCGTTGGAGAGCAGCACCAAGGGCGTGATCTCGACATTAAACTCGTCTTTGATGGCCAGAGCGAGACGGCCGGCGGTAAGCGAGTCAAAGCCGACTCCGGCAATGTAGTAGTTGCGTCCGTCCAGGGCCTCAACGTCCAAGATATGGCTTCCGAGTCGGGAGATGGTGATGGCAATGACGGCCAGGGCCGTGTCGTTGATATCCAGGGCCGGGTACGAGATCGCAAGCTCGTAAAAGTCAGCCCGCTCGGCGATGCGCTTGAGCTTTTTGAGATCACGCTTGCCGGCATGGTTGAAGGGGATCTCGCTGAGCTCGAGGCAGGTGTGGATCGAGATGTTGGAGAGATTCTTGAGGGCAAAGATGGTCTCGGCCGAGTCCTGGATCTGCCGGGGGCTGAGCGCCGTCGGGTAGTCTTTGCGCAGAACGTACAAGAGAGCGATTTTTTCGTCGTGAGTCTGGACGAGGGCGCAGTCAGTGATCATGGACGAAATGGCGATGCTGAGGATCTCCTCAACCAGACGGAGATCGACCTGCAGACCGTTGACCTTGACGTTCTTGCCATATCTGTTCCAGAGAAGTACCCCCCCCCCACGATGGTCAATGCCTGTCGTCAACCAGCTCTGCAGGACTCTGTGAGAGTCGGACGCTCTTTTGCTGCACCTCCCGCCTCCGTGACCAAGGACAATGTGGCACCTCAACCGGCTCACAGTCAAGGTCGCGGACTTGCTCTGCCACTCGGCGATAGCCGCGCACTTGGTACCCCGCTACCATGCCACAAATAGCTCACCTGCCCAGGACCACAAACGAACGCTCGCCCGTCAGCTCAACCTCGTCCATAGTACAGATACGGGGCGAGCCGTCCTCCAGGAAGCCAAAAGTGGCTAGTTTATCTTGAGGATCGGCAGCGACAAAGTCTGGGTGCTTGCTGACGGGATCGTTCTGGTTGACGGCCAGGACGAGGATACCCTTCTTGGATTCGGTCGGGTCGAGCATCTTGCCGTTCTCGTCAACGACCAGGCATCGGATGCTGGGTCGCTTGATGACATAGACGAGGCGCTCTGGGATGGGCTCAGAAGGATTGATGGTGCATTGGGACTGACCATGGATGACGGCGATCTGTGTAGGATGAGGGAAGGCGATACCGTAGCAAGCGGCTGGCTTAGCACTCTGCGGGTCCATCGAGTTCATGGCTGAGAAACAGAAAACGACGGCGGCTCAAAGGCTGACAAAAGAAATCGCAGGTACCTCACTCGATCCATAGGAACACTCGATAACGGCGTTGGGGCACAGCATCTTGGCCTGTTCAAGCAGATGGGCTGGGACAAGCTCGGCGGCCATGAAAATGCGACGGACGCCCGACCAGTTCTTGTACTCGGTATGGACTCTGTCGAGCTTGAACATCAACCTAAGCAGCGAGGGAGTCTGGAGAAGAGTCTCAAATAAGCCGAGGAACACCATGGCAACAGTGCCAAGGTGACGGAGGGGCAAGTCGCCGAGTCCGAATCATGGATCGTCTTTGCGCTGCGGTATTACTCACACCCTGCAGGATATCCATGCCCAGATTCAGGAGATCCAACACGCCGTTGGCTCTCTCAACAGGGCTGGCCGAGGGTTTAGGGAACCACAGCGAGCCTTTCACGTTTGGGGCGAAGAGCAGGAAGGTGAACATGAGGGCAAAGGACGGCTCCTGAAAGGGTGGGAGGGATGGATACGGGACGTGGACGGATGTCGGTGAAGGTTAGAGAAGAATGCTGTGGGATGGAGTGTATATACGGCCGTGGGTACTACGAAGCCCAACGATGAGCGGCGGACCACACCCAGACCCCATGACACGACATACCTGGTATATGCCGACAGCTCCGTAGGGTACCCCGAGCGAGTTTCGTCGCGGAATGCCGGCCTTGTGGGACACTGCATAGCTGCAAACCGACAACAGTTACGGTAGAGAGTCAGTCATCCGCCACATATATCCTAGGATGCGGACCAAGAGACAAGTTCCACTGGTCGGCTTGCACTTACGCCCTGGGGGTACCTGTGATCGTGCGGAAACGAGTGTAAGGGAAGGGTCCTCATCAGCAGCCAGCCAAGCGTGAGATAGATGGATATGATGGATAGGACAGCCTCCCAGGAGATAGTCATGCCGGTATATGACGAAGCACCTGACCAGAGATTCAAGCGACAAACAAGCCCGAAATCTCACCGGAGAGCCTTACCGGTCGTTCCTGCTGTACTGAAATAGGCAACGAGGTCCTCGAGCGGAGCACACGCGCTCAGCGACGGGACAGGAATATTCTCGAGCTGGGGGAACTTGTCGGAGCCCAAGGGCGTGGTGCCTTCGATGCGTCCAGGAGTGACAAAGTGGTAGAGCACATATTTGATGTTGAGTCTGCGCAGAAGCCGGCCGGAGTGTTAGAGGGTCGAGAGTTCAAAGTTACAACGAGAGAAGTCAAAGCTATAGTGAGAGTGAGAGAGAGCAGCAGCAACAGGGCGGGGGCGGCGGAGGCAGATGGACTCGTGGTAGCGAAACACATACTTTTTTGCCACTTGGTTTCGAAAGTCCGAGTGCCAGTTCAGGGCAAAGTTGAAGACCCGCCTGGAAATGGACAGCGAATCTCGTCAGTGCACATGTCCGATGGCGACTCTACAGGGCGCATGGGCTCTATCGGTAGCCATGAGCCGATTGCCGGATGCGCTTCTTATCGCTGTGTCGTAGCTGGTATCTTTGACCACGGCGAGATCGAGCGGCCTTCCTTTCTATCGTGCTGCTCTCGCGATGCGCCGGCGAGGAATCGGCAAGATTGGGCCGGTCGACCGGCAATCATGTGCGTGTGGCTGCAGCGGGCCGGTCGAGACGGACAAGCACCCACTTTCCAGTGATCCAGATGGCATAGACGTAAAAGACCCAGTAGACTTCGTGGTCGCAGTAGAGTCCAACAGCCGGACTGTCATCACTCCAGTCGGGGAGGGCCTTGAGGCCTTGGGCAATCGAATAGGCGCGTTCCCAGAGCTGGCGGTAGGTGTACTTTTCGGTGGAGCCATTCTCGATGGTCAGAATGGCGATGGCATCGGGCTCCTCGGCAGCAAGCCGCACGACGGCTTCGAGGGGATGGAGCCACGGGCCAAAGGGATCCGAAGGAGGAGGAACCAGCGACTCTGTCGGCGATCGGGCGACAGGACGGGCCGGCTTGGACGACTCGAGGGGCGAGGGGATTTCGACCACTGGCGCCGAGCGGGCGGCCTCGTCGCGTTCTTGCTTGTCGAACTCGGGATCGGTGCCGCAGAAGAGGCAGCCAAAGACCATGGCAGGAGGGATAGGAGGGTGGAAGACGACCGGCAGAGGGCCGAGGATGAGATCGGAGAGACGGAAGGGCCGGGCGGCGACAGGGCAGCAGCGACGGCGAGCGGCAAGGGGGAGGCGGCCGCGAGGGCTTTATGGGAAGCGCCGGGCCCTTTGTGAGAATCGCCACGACGATCTCCTGACGGGCTCGACGGGGAATAAGGATGCGCTCGAGCGCCACAACGACGCGGGCGTGTGCGCTGCTGAGCACCAGCGCTGGTGTCGATATGGCACAGCCTGGAGAAGCGTGCTTGGAGAGCCGGCGCGATATCCGATCCGATGTACGGCGTGGGAATGTAGCAATGCAGCATGTGGGGGGATATGGATGCGATATAGGGGGATATGCGGTGCGGAGATGCAGAACGAATGATATACAGTGCACGATACCGCCATCGTTTGTCGGGATCGTCCGTTGGAGTCGTTTGTTGGAACCGTATCGTCTGGCCGAGTCTGGCCAGCAGGAAGGACAACGCGCGCGGGGCAGCGCAAACAGCGCACAGGTGCGACGGCTGGAGCACCAGCGCGCAGCCCACAGAGGCCCATGGCGGTCCATCGCCGCCCGCGCCAGGCCGGGACAAGGACATGGGCAACAGCCACAACACTGTGCGTGCGGGCCGCGGTCGCCACATCGTCGTCAGGCCTTGCTGCGTGCGACGACCCGATCGGCGATGATGTCGAGTGGTGCTGGCGGGGGGGGGAGAGAGCCTCACCGGCCGCTGGTGCGAGCGCACAAGGGCTTGCTGGACCGGTGCGATCTCGGCAGGCGCGGGAGAATTCGACGGCGGCTTGTTGCGGCGATGGGGGATGTGATATGTGATGCCTGTGATGTGATATGCGATGTGATATGCGATGTGATATATATGATGATATATATGATGTGATATGCGATATATATGATGTGGGTGATCGGGACATGGTGTTTCAACATACAACGGTGCATTATGTGTTATCCACGCAGCATCGCCTGGGACGGACTGGCTTTGGACTGCGGCGGATGAATTGCAGCGAATGGATCAAAGAGCAATTGCAGCCGAGTTGACGCAACCTCGTATCCGACACGTATCGAACATGTAACGACCTCGTATCGAACATGTAACGACCTCGTAACGACCTCGTAACGACCTCGTATCTGACATGTAACGACCTTGTAGCCACCTGTAGCCACCTCGTATCTAACCTGTAACAGCCATATCGCAATCGCATCGCGGACCATTGAGCGACCACCCTCGCCATCCATCGACCCACTCCTCCGGCACCACCCCCCTGCATCGCTGTCCTCTTTCCCACCCGCCAGCCCGCTGCAACACATTCCAGCGCCACACCGCATCACCCGACAGAGGACGAAAGGGCGGAAAGAGACGGGGAGCACATCGCGCAATTCGTCGCAGGATGCATTGTGCAAGTCGTTGCAGCATGCAGATCGGGGTGCCGGGGCTGTCGCTGTTTGCTGGGACCTGAGTGCCCCCCTCATCGATCTATCAGTCTATCAATCTATCGATCGCACCGCGATGCAGTACTTTCGGCTACCGTACGGCCTTGACTCGGACTGCTCAAGTGATCTGTTTGATCGCATACGGCTCTATTGGACGCAAGACATCGAGTTCTATGCCGCCACGCGGGCCTCCCGATTCTCCCTGAACAAAGTGTTCGCCGCACCGGCAAGCCCATCGACAAACCCATCGGCTGTCGACATGATCATCTGCGTCGAGATGGCGCTGATCACCCGCGATCCGTCCGTGGCCACCGAATAGACCGGGCTGGTGTGCCGCGAGACATAGAGGCTCTTGACCAGCCCGAGGCGCAAGCAAGCACCGTTGTTGTGGCTCTGCGATGCAGAGGCGATTACGCCCAGGGCCGAGACCGCATCAAGTGTTGCTTCCATATCCCGACGAGCAGCGCCGCCGCGGGGCCGCACCGAGCGAATATCAAAGATACGGGTGGTCGAGTGGTGCAGCGCCCCGGCCACGATCTTGAAGTATCCGTCGCTGGCGACCGAGCATAGCGCATAGTTGTCGGGATCGTCGGCCTGCACGACGCAGCGAGAGACCATCGGCTGTCGCAAGTCGTAGCCACGGACCACGCCATCGTACGAGACCGACACCAGCACCGAGTCGAGGATAGAGGTGAGCCCGTAGACAGAGTGGCTGGATCGCAGCGAGCCGAGCCGGAGCAGGCCGTGCGGTGCGACTGCGATGAGATCGAGTGTCGAGTTGCGCTGGAGCGCCCGGCTCATGCTGCTGCCGAGGGCAACAGTGTCGTGGCGGGGAATATGGTCCAACGAGAGCGGCCGGTCGGCGTGCAGGCCGGAGAGCGAAAGCTGGTGCAGACACAAGAAGCCGTTTCCGCCGCCCGAATGCCCCCGATGCTTGCGGCGGCCGTGCTGATAGTGCTCATGTTGATGGTGGTCATGCTGATGGCGTTCATACTTATAGTGGTCATGTTGATGGGGATGATCTCGGCGGGGGTGGGATTGTGTCGGGGACCATCGTTCCGGGAATTGCTCCTGCGGCTGCTCGGTGCTTTGGCCGGCCGGATCGAATTGCCACAGCTTCAGCATATGATCGTAGCCAACGCTCGCAAATCGCTGGCCATCGATCGGAGCGATCGCCCGAATCGATCCGCGGTGCGCACGGATTGAGCACCGAGCCGGGGATGCTGCCGCTTCGCCTTGCGTCTGGAACGCCGAGGCAGCGACGGACTCGTGGGAGAGAATCCCGTCCACATCTGCCGCAACCAGGGTCAAAGCGCCGCCGGCCGCATTGGACTCGCAGACGACGAAATCCGTAATATCCGGGCCTTCGAAGCGGACCGTGGCCCGCCCTTGGCAGTGGCGGTAGCCCAGGTCCTTGGTAACGCCGAGCAGCTCGATGCACGAGCCGTACGAGCAGGCTGTGATGTTGTCCGTGAGCCGGACCTTGGGGATATACTGTCCTCTGCGGCTGCCGGTGCGCCATGGTCCAGAAATGCGAGTGTGCTGGATGGGCGAGCTCGCTGGGGGCGACGGCAGAACGTAGAGATCCAGGGTGCCATCCTCGGCCCGGATGGGCTGCGTCCAGTTGTCGTCGATACGAGTGAGCATCGCCAGGCGGCAAGAGGCCGACAGCGGAGGGGCCACCGGAAAGGCCGTCAGCCGAAGCTGCTCGAATCGCACCGACGACGCAAAGATCTGGTGCTCGACCAGGCTGTGGATCCAGCGGGACGTTTGCGCAAGTCGGCCGAGCGATTGTAGCGGCAGGAACCGCACGACCGCAAGGAAAACATCGATCGGCAGGCCGCCCAGGGCCCCCGAGGATGCAACCGCCGGTGCAGGAACAGGCAGCCGATTCGGGGACTCTATGGACGTGGAGGCATGTGTCCGTGTCGGTGGCTTTGCTTTTGACGATGTGTTTGCCGTCGATTCTGAGGATCCTGTCGAGGATTCTGTCGAGAATTCAGCCGATCGCTGAAGCAGCGCCTGCGATGGCTGCTCTACCGGCGGTGCTGCTCGCTTGGCTGGCCGTTGCCGTCGAGCTGGGTTTGCCGGCGATCGAGTATGCGATGCAGCTTGTGGATAAGCGTGTGGTGGCCCATGCTGCCGTTGAGAAGCAGCGCCGATTCCTTCCGAGAGACGATGGGAGGCAGGAACAAACTCGGGGGCACGCACATTCCACGAGAAGAGCTTGGAAGAGTCCGATGGGTTCATGGTGGTGGCCGCCCGACGAGAGGCCCCGAGATGCGCTGATACTTGAGGGCCGCCGTGGTGGAGCCGCAGTGACTGGGACAATCCGGGGGCTCGAGTTCGCGGGCGACGCAAGCTGTGCGCCGCGGAAACTTGACAGAGGAGGACTCGGAGGAATCGAGGAAGGGAAGCCGCTCTCCGTGCTCTCGACAGGCCCGGAAGTTCTGCAAGCTCGGAAGTGAGAGTGAGGAGTGCCAGCGCATCCACGACAATCCCCATGCCTTCCAAGATGCCCAAGAACGTCGTTACATTCGTCTCACATTCTCGATCGGGATGGGGTGGCCAGGATTCACAACCTGGCGATACACTGTGGCGAAGAAAAGATGGGACACATCGTCTCATTCGGACAAGCACGGCGTATTCGGATCATATCACACACCCGGTCAAGCCATTACTCTGGGTGCCCTGGGATGAGGGGAAAAGACGCAGAGCAAAGAGAAAAGTCGCTGGTTTGGGTACCAATCAAAGCCGTCCAGCCAGATCGATCACCGCCATCCGATCCACAAGTCATCTGCGGGTGAAGTTGTCCCGTTTCTCATTTGATTTTGATGTGATGTGATGTGATGTGATGTGATCTGATGTGATTTGATGTGATTTGATTTGATTTGATTTCAAAGACAACGATGTGCCACGTCCCCGACCGCTCCCTCCTGCTCGCTCTCGCTCCGTCAGTCAAAACAGGGCCCGATTCCCGATTCCCGATTCCCGATTTTCGAGCGGACGACCTTCGACAGCCTGTTGGTGTAGTTTGGGATCCATTCTCGTCTCGACAGCGACAGCCAGTGCATCCGAGGGATTCTTTCTCCACTTTTGCCACAATCACCACATGAGCCAAGTGTCCGATACCGGTAGGCCCCAGTTGGAAGCTGGGCTTCTATCACCGGCCAAACATGCCTGGCTCCCTCAGGCTGCTGGAAACACTCTACTGGGGCAGATACTGACCTCCCTCCCCCGGCTTTTGCCTCCGTTTAGCTTCAGCACCATCATTTACCGTTGCCTTCAAAGGCCAGACCATCCCGGTCGATCTCGACCTCGCCTCGACCACGGTTCTGCAGTTGAAAGAGTTCCTCGAGCCGTTCGTCCAGCTCCCGCCGACGTCACAAAAGCTGCTCTTCAAGCGGCAGCTCGCCGACGCCGATCTCCTCAGCGACTATGGCTTGCAGCCTCACTCCAGGGTCATGCTCGTCGGCACCGCCCAGACCCAGATCGAGCAGACCCAAGCCATGGCCAAGAAGGCAGCGTTCCGAGAGGCCCAGCAGCAAAAGGCGCTGCTGAACCAGCGCATCCGGCCGCTCGTATCGGACCGTCTGACGCAGCAGGACCTGCAGCAGCGACAGTATACCTTCCATGCCATCGAGACGCTTCCGCACTATCGTGATGCCCACGTCGCCCGCAGCCTGCTCGAGCGGCTCAAGAACGACCGCGGCATCCAGACGATCATGAAGGCCCACAAATGGTCTGTCGGGCTCCTCAAGGAGCTCGATCCGGCGGTTGCGACCATCCTGGGATTCAACCGGAATGCCGGCATGGAGATTGCCCTCCGACTCCGGACCGACGATCGGGAGGGATTCAGACACTACGACTCGATCCGAAAGGTGCTCCTGCACGAGCTCGCGCACATGTATGTTGAGTGTTCACCACCGGGGGGGGGAGGGTTCCGACGAAACGAACTTGGAGCGTCGGCGGGACATCGAATATCGACTGTCGAATGTCGGGTGTCGAATATCGAATATCGAATATCGAATATCGGGTGTCGGGTGTCGGGTGTCGGGTGTCGGGTGTCGGGTGTCGATTGGCAGAGGATATTGGATATGGATATGGATATGGATATGGATGCTGTTGGATGGTGTTCCGTCTGCCCGAGCGAGACTCAGGGGTGGTGGTGGTACTTTTCAAACACATCGGCCGTCACTAACATCGCCCGCCCAACTCCAACTCCAACTCCAACTCCAACTCCAACTCCCAACTCGAACGCCTTGAATCGGACCGCACCTCACCAGGGTCCATGGCGATCACGACGAGCACTTTCACGCACTCAACCGCCAGCTGAACAAAGAATGTGATGCCGTCCACCGCGAGGCCCATCTCCTCGACGGCAGCCGTCTTCCGTCCTCGGTCTCTGCTCAACAAGCTGCAGCCGCCGATAGTCAAGACGAGCTGTCGGTGCCGTATTTTAGCGGCGGAGCCTTTGTCCTCGGTGGCAGCATCCCTGGCGGCAACCCTGGCAGCGACGGCGAGACCAGCGCGGCGGCGGAGACATCTCAGCAACGCCGGGAGCTCCTTCTGCGGGCGGTCATGAATCGCCTGAGCGCGGAGGAGCAGGAAATCATGGAGTCGTGCTCGTCGACAGAAAGCAAGCCGTCAGCATAGAGCCCAGGCGTCAGTGTCATTGACTCTCTCTCGATGTGTCTCTCGGTGACCATTTTTTGCTTTCTTCCTCTTTGGCTGGACGGTGCCTCGTCTCGTGAACCTGTCTTGCCGTTTGGGCAAACCTGGGGGCTCATGGACGTATTTGATCCTGGCGGCAGCAGGCCCGCCCTCGGTCTGTTCGCCAGCTCCCCCCCCCTGCCCCTCAAACTCTATGTTGTTGTTCCATGCTTGTCCAAGGACCTGATCAACGGCTCTTCATGCAGCGCCCACACCCCTGTTTTCACAAATGTCTTTCTGTCGTCGTTCCCATGACCCTCGGCGCGGGGGTGCGGTACAAGGGTGTTGCATTTGTCCAATAGTACATATATGTTTGACGGCACTGTCGTCGTGAAAGTGCACGCTTGTTTGCCCGATGTTCACCCGAGTCGACAGCGTTTTCGAGCTACACCGCCTCCACCCTTTGCGTCTGTTGATCTGCTGAGGCTGCCGAGGCTGCCCCCCCCCCTTCTTCCTCCCAGCGGGTCCCTCTAGTTCATCATCTTCTTGTGGATAATGTCCGGGTCCTCCTGGTACTCCTCGGACGAGACCCACATCTTCTTGAAGGTGCCGAGCGACGCCAGAATACTTCCACCAATCCAAGTCGAATATTTGCGCTCCGGGGGAGCATAAATCTTGATTTTGACATCCTTGAGGGCCAGCTTCTTGATCTCGTTCAGCAATCGATCGCCGAAGCCTGAGAACAGGCACGATCGGATGTGGAGAAGGGCAGTGAGTGGGCAGTGAGCAAGGCATTCGGGCAGGGGGGGGATGGCGTCCATCGAGAAAATGCGGTCATACCGTTGGTAAGGGTTGATCCACCCGACAGCACAATGTTCGAGAAAAGTGCCTTTCGCAGGTCCATATCGGCCTTGTTGATCGAATCGGCCACAACCTGGTGGATGCCGGCATACTCCAGTCCCACGATTTCGGGGTTGAACAGAATCTCGGGGGCACGGAACCGCTCGGCGCCAAGCTTGATGCTGTTGCCATCGGGCAAGACAAACTCGTCCTGCTTGTTGTTGGCCTCCTTCTCCTCCTTGGCTGGGTTGAGGGCGACGTAGCACGACTTTTCCTTGATTAACCGGACGACCTCGCGCTCGGCCGAAGTGTGGAAGTGGTGACCCGATTTTCGGAGCAGAAGCTGCAGATGATCGGTGACATCGCTACGGCGGATGTTTGGCAGGGCACATGAGAGAGAGCGAGAGAGAGAGAGAGAGAGAGAGAGAGAGAGTGGCAGATGCGAAGCACGAGGCGGAACAGGCAGCATATCAGTCAGGAGAGACTTTGAGGAAAGCCGGGTAGCGCAGACCACGCGGACATGGAAAAAGGTTTGCGCCTCACGCGCTGCATGCAGATAGCCGTGCATCGACAGGCAGTCCGCCACGACACCTGATCCTCGATTCGAGACACCCAATCTTGGGCAATTTCTGGGCGGACCTGCCTTACGACTGTTGTTTTGCCGTGTCCAGCAGCCATAACATTCTATGCATCGATATGGCTGCCGTCTGCGCTTACCGTCCAGCAATATCGACACGGCGAACGGCATGAGGAAGCGCAAAGCCTTCATAGACTGGGACAGCATGGGTGACGCCGTCGCCAGAGTCGAGAACGATACCGGTGGTTCGGCCGGAGGCATATCTGGATGGCGAGGAAAAGATGTGCAAAGGTTAGATGGGTGGCGATGCTCATCGAGATTGCACGCCTGGGTAGGATCTGCCTCTGAGAAGGAGGGGGGGGAAGTAGCTACGCGTGGCAACGGAGAGATACGCACAGGGCCAGGACCGCCTGGATCGACATGAACATCGCCGGGACGTTGAAGGTCTCGAAGAAGATCTGGGCAGCCATCTCGCGATGGGTCCTCGGGTTGAGGGGCGCCTCAGTCAGCAGGACGGGGTGCTGTTCGTCGATGGGTTGCGAGGATTCAATGGTGGCCGACGATTCCGGCGAGCAGAGTGGGTGAACACAGCAAAGATGTCAGTGGCTTGTGGTGGGCATCTGCGGGACAATCGATGTTTTCGTAGAGGATACACAGGTCCATCCGGAGACCGGGGAGGCACTGAGCCATGACACCTGATGCAATGAGATCGAGTGTGTGGGGGGGGGAAAGTAGGGCGTGCCATGTACGAGCAACGCTGAACGACAACGGCGAGGATCCAAGGGAAGAGTGCATTTGTTTGGCGGAGGACGATGGGCACAGAGCGCGGGATCGACGGTCCAGACGTACTTCTTCAGGCAAGGTCTTGAGCTCTTCCGAGTAAATGTAGTTCCAGATCCGCTCCATATCGTCCCAGTCCGTGATGATGCCATGCTCCATGGGGTACTTGATTTTCAGCAGTCCACGGAGCTCCTGAGCCTTCTTGCCGATGAAGTTGTCGCCCTCGACGGCACCAGCCATGATCCGAATGTGCTTCGGGCGGCCGACGCAGGATGAAAAGAAGCACTTGGGCACCGATTCTCCGGCAAATCCGGCTTTGATGACACCAGAGCCCTGGCAAGACATGGTTGCGGTCATAGGAAAGGCACTGGAGGCGTTAGGCCACATGGATGTGGGGCCGGCAGAGGGGGGGAGCCCGCAGATTGCCAAAGGCTCTGCCACGGAAGTGCCACAGGGAGTGCGTGACATGGCCGCATGGACAGGCGGTCGGATAGCACGATCAAATCGACGCAGACAGGCGACGGCCCAATGCGACATTGCGACACAGATCGCCGGCCAGGGTCGAGGGGAGGGGCATATCAACCAGGCCCACCAAGACAGCGAGCGACGGCCAAGCCAACCACGGAGCGAGCAAGGCGAGCCGCGACAAGAAGGGCAAGGACGAGACGTACATTGTCGATGACAACGGGCTGGTTGGTCAGGACGTCGTCGTACTCCATATCTTGCGAGGGGTGCAGCAGGCCGATAGATGACGAGATGAAGGCGAAAATGCAAACAAACGGGAGGCGTTTTTGGGAGGAAATGACGGCGGGCAGCGAGACCAGAGCGAGACGTGATGTGTGGGCGAGAGACAGGCGAGAGCGCAGCGAGACGGGGGAGCGAGAGACTGCATGAGTGGCTGGGCGACGCCGCTGTTTGTGTGGGAGGATGGAGCTGGGGATTGTCGCTGGGTGCGATGTCGTTGTCTCTGTGTGCTGGGCAAGCCGTCGCTGTCGCGCCGAGACTGCCGCCACATGCCCACACAGACTGCTGCGAGACACAGCTGATCGCTGACGCGCGCGTGGAGCACGGCTATATTCGGCAGGTGGCGCGGGTGCGCGCCCGGCGCCGCGGGGGGCGTGGCTGTGTCGCGCCCGGCCTGTGCGACGTCGGCACGGGTTCAGCGCCGCAACCCGCCACCGCCCGAAAAGCCAGGCGCGGAAGGCCGGACTGATCCGCTCGAGTCCTGGTCGTCGACACCAAGGTCGGTGCAGATCGCTTGAGGGGCATTAGCTATCGACACTGGCACTGGCCTATCGACACACGGGAATCGGTATCGACACACGGGAATCAATATCAACATCGATATCGGCATCGACGTCGCCACCACCAACACCAGCGTCGACGTCCACCTCTCCTGATCCGCCTCAGACACCGTCCGCTTCTCCGGCTCATCCGAAATGGCCTCGACCAAGCCCAGGATCCCCATCAACCAGGACCAAAAGTCCATCAAAAAGGCGCTCGACAATCTGCTGGCCCAGCCCGCCAACAAGACCTGCTTCGACTGTCCGCAGCGCTTCCCGACCTTTGCCAACCTCACCATCGGCTCGTTTGTCTGCGCTCGCTGCTCGGGCCTGCTCAGAGAGTTCAACCACAGGGTCAAGTCGTTCACGGCCTCGTCGTTCACCAAAGAGGATCTCCAGCTCCTCAGCGGCGGCAACGATGCTGCGGCCACCTACTGGCTTGCAAGCTGGACACCGCAGGCCTATCCTGTTCCGTCCATCCATGACGACCAGTCCATCAAGCAGTTCATGATCGTCAAGTACTCGACCAGGCGGTACTACAAGTCCTCTGTCAATTCCGCACCTGCAGCGACCGCTGTATCGACCCCGCCAACTTCGGCCCCAGGAACACCCAATCTGTTCATGAACCCGTCCCTTGGCTCGTCGCTGCCACCACCGGCCTCGCGAGCCAACTCGGTCCCGGCTGGACAGTCGTTCTTCCAGTCTCCGGCCCCGGCCCCTGCTTTGGTTGATCTGTTTTCTTCCCAGCCTTCGGCTTTATCGGCACCCACATCGTCCTCGACTCTCTCCTTCAACCATCCGTTTGGCACACCCGCCGCCAGCGAGCTTGGCTCCACCCCCGCTCCCGCCCCTGCCGACGATGACGACTTTGGCGACTTTCAAACAGGCAGCGTTACCGATGCTCCGGCGGCATCAAAGCCCACGACAGATTTCGACCTCATCGGCCGCACGCCGTCCACCAATCAGTCGCCGCCGGCTTTTGGATACCCAAGATCCTCTCCACAGGCGACGCCTGCGTCCCTGCCAGTCACTGCCAACCCCTTGGTCATGAGCCGAACGCCTTCTGAGCAGGCGGCACTCTATCAAAATCAACGCCACTCCCTGATCCAGTCGCTCCTGTCGACCATGTCGGGGTCCGTCTCGGAGAGCAACGGCAAAAGCAACAGCAGCAACAGCAACAGCCACAGCAGCGCCGCTGGCTTTGCGGACTTTGCGGCTTTCAATTCCTCCGGCCCATCCCGGACCAGCAATACCGGCTCGAACATCGCTGGTCCAGGCCATAGCCATGCCCAGAGTGCCGCGGTGGCCCCTTTGATCCCATCCGACGCCTCGATCCCTTCCGGCTCGCTGGGCTTCTATTCGACCCCGACTCCTCTGGCCGCCAACGGCACCGGCACCGGCCGAATCCAGGGAACTGGACAAGCAAATCAGGGATTTGCCAACTTTGGCGCTGCTGCGCTCTCCAGCACTCCCATGACTCCAGGTGAGAGCAAACCGTGCGCGATCGCTGTCGCATGGATGCGTGTGCCTCGCCCTAGTCGTCGGTCTCCAAGCGACTTGCTTTCCGGTAGATGACGTGCTTGGTGTGCTGGTGCTCCTTGCATGTTGGGTATACTGACGCTCCTCCTGTCATCCTACCGCCAGTGGCCTCTCCGCCGCCTTTTGTTGCTAGCTTCTCGAAGGCGCCGGCCTCTGCAGCCGCGGCAACAGCCCCAGCAACAGCCCCTGCCGCTAGCTCCAAGGATGACCCATACTCTGCATTTCGGGAGCTGTCGCTGCGAGATCAGGTCCAGCTGGACGGACATGGACACGGGTTCTATGTCGACGACAAGGCGAACAAACTGGCACAAGAGGGTGAGTTGCATTTTTGTTGTCCAGTTGTGCCTGTCTTGCCAGCCAACAGACGGCCCCGAACTGATACTGCTGCTTCCCTGCCCTCTGCTTCCCTGCCCTCTGCTTTCCTCTCCTCCCGATGCCTGAATCGATTTCTACCAATCCGATCCACACCAGCCAAAAACGACATGCATTTCCAAGGCCTCTTCAACATGGCCAAGGCATCCACCCCAAGCAAGCCCAAGACAACGGCCCTCCCCGGAAGCCAGAGCTTCCCCGGACTGGCCCCGAAGCCCGCCAACGGCGGCTTCGACGACCTGTTTGATTTCGCCGGCCCAACCGTGCAGCCGGCCAACACCTCGTCGGCATTGGCGTCGACGTCTATGAGCAAGCCCAGCGGGGGCGTTGACGATCTGCTGGGTCTCTTTTAGCTCCGAGGGCTGCAAAACACGATGAAGATCTGGGCATCGTCCTCGAGGCGAACCGCCTTGTCCTTTGATGCACATGGGAACCGCCTTGGATACTCGGGGCGCATGGGGGCATCCGCCCGATTTGGCAGCTGCCTGCCCGATTCGGCGGCCTGGTCGGGGGAACCGCATCGCCCACACGCGCTCCCTGGCAAGAGACTGAGACCCTGGCGCCCAAAGGCACGACGATCAGACCAGAGCAGACCGGACCAGATCAGAGCAGACCAGACCAGGCTGGATCCATGCGTGGGAGGGTGTCGACGATACATTGCGATGGACATTGCGATGGACATGGCGATGGACATGGCCGCGGCGTTTGTCTCAAGTTGCATATCCTTGCTGGACGACGCGCCCGCATCAACGACACCGAATGGTCAAAAAACCAGGGTGTCCCGTTTCTTACTGCAGTGGAATACAATCCAACGCAGCGCAGTGCGCCCTGTCCTGCCGGCCGGCTGCATCACGCCAATCATGCATCCGGGCGTCGAGCCCCTTTGGGCATTGTCGCTCTCGCCCGTCGGAGGGCCGCGAATGCAAGCAGTTCGGGCGGTTGCGTCTGGTTTGGCCGGCGTCGATGTCTATTGCCGAGCGAGCGTGCAGGCGACAGATATGTCGATGCGCTTGTGTTATTTTCTGTCGACCCATGCGACAATGCCTGAATCGCTGTTGCTGGGAGTTGTGGCCGTGGGGGCAGCCCTTTCGCCCCCCCTCCTCTAACAGCAACACCCGCCCTTCTGCCATCGCACTGGCAGCGGCTCTCGCCCGCATCTCGCTCGCATCTCGCCCGCATCTCGCCCGCATCTCAGCGCCGTCTCGTCCTCGCTGCCCTCTCGCCCTCCCCCGTCGATTTCGTCTTTGCCGGCCTTGCCTTCAACTTTCCTTCTGCTTCTCTCTCTCATCGGTCCTTCCCAGAAGCGCTTCTCCTCCCGGCCGGTCGAGTCTTGCCTCGTATGTTTGCGGTCGCTGCTGGCAACTCTTGCTGTGGCCCCGCTGCTCGCAGCGCTGCATACCCTGTCCTGCCGTGCACTAGCCCTGCTGACCCTGTCTTCGTCTTTGCTCCCTCTTGTCGATCGTCCCGTCCGCGCTGCAGCCGAGTCCGTCTTAGCCACCCACCTGTCGGCCATCGCCTCTGCTTCCTTTCTCTGCGAGCAAACACCGCTACCATAGGGGCATCGCCACCCTTCGACCACTCCAACTTCTCCCCTACCGGTTTCTGCCGTTATCTTGCTGCGTGGTCGTCTCTGTGATTCTCTCTCTATCCCTTCCACCACCGCCGCCGCCGACCCCACCATCCCTTTTTCCTCCCTTCCCCTCTCCTTCCCTTTCCATCCTCCCGTTCCATCCACAGCAAGCATCATGGCCGAACACTTTTCGCCAGAGCTGTATACCGTCCCCGTCGCGTTTCCGGCCATCTTGAAGGATCTTAACAAGGAGGTCCTGAAGGCCCAACCCGCCGACATTTACCAGTTTTGCGCAAACTACTTCCAGAAGAAGCTGGAGGAGCAGCGAGTCCAGCTAATCCAGACAGGTAGGTAACCCAGCGACGGGCGCCATGGGCTCCCTCGATCCGTGATCTGCCATATCGAGTCGAGTGGCAAGGGAAGGTGAACCAATTCCGACGACGAGGCTGAGATGCAAGGGGAGGGAGGGGCATGGGTGGCCGGGCAGGACCGACAGTGATGCATCCAGGGCAATGGCTGCAATCGCTTGTGGTCGGTCTGTGCCCGAACAGTCTTGAGGAGCAGTTTGCCATCCGGGTGTGGCGACTCTCCTTGCAAAGCTAAGCTGGCTTGGCTTGGCTTGACTTGGCTTCGTTGGCGGTGATTTTGTCTCTCTTGCCCGCGTCTGTGTTTTGCTTGGTGATGCGCTCTGCTTTTCAGCACTCTGGATCATGACTTGTGTATCCTGGCTTTTACGGCTTTGCGATGCGCACCCTGTGCTTCGTCTGCCTGCGGCCTCTCCCCTCCGCGCTCCGTTGCTCACCTCCCGCTCTCTTGACGGGGACACGGCCTTCTTGAGTCTCCGTCTTTGCTTGTCCTGTATTCTCCCTTCACCGCGCCGTCCTCATCGTCGATTAGGCTGCAGTCGTACCGGTGTGATGTGTTGTGTTGAGGCTTCCGGATTGTATTTTGCGCAGGGCATCATTGTCGATCCCTGGCAACGTATGGCTCTCGCTTCTGCGTTCCATCCCCGCCCCTCTCCCTTGTCTCTGTCCCACAAGTTTAAGTGCCGACTCGCATCACCGCCTTTTTCATTCGCTTTTGTGGGTCATGGCTCGTGGCTGCTCGCTGGCGCGGCCTCGTGTTGCCACGATGGGAGAATTGTGGTTTTGTGATAGTGGACGAGGCCTGACTTGAGTCGTGGCTGTGATCGAGTCTCTCGTTGAAGCCCAGAGCGCACCCATTCCTGCCTCGAGTTCAAGTTTGCGACCCTGCGGCTCACCAACTGTTTGCATTCTCGTTGCTGCCTCCGCGCCTTTCGTGAACTCTACAGCTTCTGGAAAAACGCTGGTCCCCGCACAGTCAACAGCCGGAGCCGGGGCTGCACAGTCCCACGAAGGAGATCATGACGATGACGATGCAAGCGATGAAGACCATGACGACGATAACGAAGAAGAAGAGGAAGAGGACGACGAAGAGGACGAGGAGCCCTACGAGGAGCCCACGGCTCCCCCGCAGATGCCCGCCACATACAACCGAGGGCGCCGCACCTCGGTTAGCGCCGAGTCGATGGCACCGACCCTGGACAAGGACTTTGTCAAGACCGTCATCCCCAAGACCGAGGAGCAGAAGGGTCGCATCGAGCGAGCCATCAAGAACAACTTCCTATTCAAGAGCCTGGACGAGGAGCAGTACGTCGACGTTGTCAATGCCATGGCCGAAAAGCGGGTGCTCACTGGCGAGGAAGTCATCAAGCAAGGCGGCATCGGCGACTACTTTTACTGCGTCGAGATCGGAACGCTGGACGTCTATGTGTCGCGCAACGGCCAGCCGCCCATCAAGGTGTTCAACTACGAGGCCGGCGGCAGCTTTGGTGAGCTGGCGCTGATGTACAACGCGCCCCGTGCCGCCACCGTCGTAGCGACCTCGGACTGCGTCCTCTGGGCCCTCGACCGCGTGACCTTCCGCCGCATTCTCATGGAGAACACCTCGCGAAAGCGACGCATGTACGAAGATTTCCTCGAGGAGGTGCCGCTCCTGATCTCGCTCGAGCCGTACGAGCGCCACAAGATTGCAGATGCCCTGGAGTCGGTCACCTTCAACGACGGCGAGGTTGTCATCCGCCAGGGCGAGGCAGGCGATGCCTTCTTTATCATCGAGAACGGCGAGGCCACCGTAACCCAGACCGACGACAATGGCGTTGACCACAGCGGCTTCCCGAGTCTAAAGAAGGGCGATTACTTTGGAGGTGAGCAGCCGGCTTCGTCCCCAATGGTCTCGAGGCTCGGTCAGACCGGGTGATTGCTGGGGCACGATCGCCCGCCCCACAGAGTTGCGAGTCATGACTGCGGTCTCTGTTGGATCTGGATCTGGATCTGGATCTGGATCGCTACTTGCTGGGGTGGGGCTCAGTCCCGAGTGATCGGCTCGCTCGTCGCTGGCATTCTGCATCGCACTAACTCTCGGTCGATATTCATGTCCGCACCTACGCCAGAGCTCGCGCTGCTGACAGACAAGCCGCGAAAGGCTACGATCACTGCCCGCGGCCGCCTAAAGTGCGCCACCCTTGGAAAGAAGGCCTTTGTCCGTCTCCTGGGACCGGTAGTGGACATTATCAAGCGAAACGCCTCCAACTACCAGACCTTCTCGGATCGCATCTAGACGCCTCTGTCGGGCTTGAGCATCAATCCTTCCCACCTCCTCCATCACCCGTCTCGATTCCCTCCTTCTCCTCCACCTGCTCTTCCTCCTCCGTCATTACACAGCTCCGAAAGGAATGCGCCGTGCACCACCCGGGCCTTTTCGATCCATGTATGTGTGTCTGCCATGCCTGCTTGTCAGCTCGCTCGCCAGTTTGCTCGTCAGTTTGCTCGCCAGTTTGCTCGCCAGCTTCTAGCCTTCTCTTCGAGTCCTTGCCCTCTCTCTTCTCTTCGCCTCCTTGGATCTTCCTTCACTCATGCACAGACACATGTAGTTGTCTCGGCCACTCCCCCTCCTCCGCCTTGCCTATAGATTGTAGTCTCCCCTTCAACAGAGTCGCCGCCCGTTCACCGGACTGTGCTTGAGCTGCTATCGTGCCTTCTCACTCACTCACTCTCGTTTCTCTCTCCCTCGTCCGACTCTCTCTCTCGTTTCCGATTCACTCTTTCGACGCTCTCCCCCCCCCCGACACCTCTCCAGACATATATATTGGCTTTTTCTCTCTCTCTCTCTCCCATTCTCTCTTTTCTTTTTTACTATTATATCTCTCCCGATCTCCCTCCCTCACTCTATCGTTGCACTCGCTTGCTCGCTCTTGTCTTCACTCCCATTCGCCCCTCTCACGATCACAATTTCACGCGCCGCTCTCCTGCCATTGCTCCTCCTCCTCCGCCCCCGATGAAAGCCTTCCCAAATATCAATATCAAATAGAGCTTGCTCCGATTGTTCACTGTGCTCGCAACACACGCACATGCAACGAGGGCGGCCCATTGGGGAGGGGGGGGCGAAGTTCCCACATCAACGGATAGCTCGATGAAGAGTGCATGGGTATTGCGACACTCCACGAAACTGAACCAAGTGCGATCCATCTGTATCATTGAATGATCACCGCCCCTCATGATGCATGATCATCGACCACCTGTGGGAACTACGGACACGCAAGATGAAATGGACAACTTTCTCTTTCATTCGAACCTCGTAGGAGAGGCTGGACTGATAACAAAAGACGGAGGGGGGACAAAAAAATTTGCGAGAGGAAAGGGAGGGGATGCCACCACGGATCAAGGGCAATAAAAACTAACACCGACGGCCAAAAGGTCGGCTAAAGCGATGCCTCGCCTCGAGAACGGTTCGGCAGCTGCGGAGGCTTCATCTCCGAGAGCGCCATGTTCAGCAGAGCCGTCATTTTGTCGACGGCCGTGGTGCCGGCCTTGGGGTCGTCCTTGACGATATCGAGGATATGGAACAAGTAGTTTTCCAGGCGCTTGAGCTTGTCGGCCGTCTCTGGAGCGACAAACACCGGCGGCAGGGTCGAGGCCGGGGCGCCTCCAGACGACGACGACGACGACGACGGCTGGGATGGCTGGGATGGAGACGATGATGACGATGACGCTGCGGTTGCGGTTGCTGCTCCCGAGGTAAAGCGGGAGAAGAACGTCGACGGGGGCTGGTTCTCGGAAGTGCTTCGGCCTCCTCGGCCATCGCCGATGTCGCCGTCGCTGGCGGCGGGCACATCCGGCAGCGAGCCATCACCGGTCTCGTCGAGATAGTCGCATTCTTGCTGGAGGTATCGCTCGATGATCTTGAGGTTGCGAATGTTGGGCTTGTAGCTGATTTCGAAGAGCGAGCCGACGACGGGGACGGTGCTGGAAGGCGGTGGGCAAAACTCTGGTGAGCCGACATTGCGCTTGATTCGCACCTCCCAACAACAACAACAGCGAGCGAATATCACAAAATGCTCCCATCCGTGCCCTTTTCCTTCCCTCCTCCTCCTCCTCCTCCTCCTCCTCCTCCTCCCCACTTCGAACCATGCCGCCAAAAAAAAGGCACATACCCGACAATCGCTGTGATCACAATGTTGAAGACCATGCCCGCAACGGCGTACCACGGAAGGTGGAACTGTCGCGACAGCCAAAAGATATAGATCATGATCATGGTCGAGACGGCGTCGCCCACAAACGGAATCATCTGCAGAATGGCGTCGGCGCCGAACGTTCGTTTGGAGCCAGGAATACGGAACTGCGAGTCCATCAGCACACTGAGCTTGCGGATGCGCTCCTGAACACCAGCCGGGTTGCAATATGCATTATCGTCGAGGAGTGGAGGTCGAAGAAGCCAGCCAGAGGGTCAGTTTGTTGGTGCGGCTGGGGCGAGCAATCCACATCTCCATTCCCCCGTTCCTGTCCCCGTCCCCCCAGTGGCCACCAGGCAGGACACAAGTCGAGGGAAGGGGCAAGTTCAGAGCAGTCGGACTCGCTCGGCATCGGCATCGGCATCGACGGCGCCTTACCAGGTGCTCTCGCTTGCGTTCGGGCGAGAGCTCGGTCTGCGGAATGTTCTTCTCCACAAACTCCTGGATGAACTTGTAGAAGCTCCAGGGCGACTTCATGATCTGCTGGAACTCATCCTTGCTCATTTTGTTGCGCTCGACAAAGGCTCGGAGTGCTGGGTTGTTGTTGTAGGATGTGTAGAGGGCATCCAGAACCTTGGTCAAGGCCGGTTTGCTAACGACCGGCTTGCTGGATGCCCAGAGCCACGAGGAATGGAGGGAGGTATGGCAGCGGTCGATGGCCAAGGTGGAGAGCCGACCGACCAAAAGAGTGTGGGCAGAGAGGGTATATCGTTGGCTTCCGGCAGAGGGAACGACTTGGCGAGTGTAAAAACAAGCAGCAACAGCGACGAGGAAGACGGGGGCTTGGTCGTTTCTCGATGCTGACTTACCCGGCTGCTGCTGAAGTCAGTGGGGCTGGGTTGGGCTGGGACTTTGATGACTTGGAGAACATATCGTGGGCCGGGAACAGACACAGCGGTAGGTTGGGCAGGATAGAGCAGCAGGGCAAGAGAGGGAGGGTCGAGCAACACAGCGGTTGTCTGCCTGTGTGGAATGAGTGGGATATGCAGGAAGCGAGCGAGAGACAAAAGTCGAACGACAGCGGCGCTGGCATTGGCGGCGTTGGGATTGTTCATACAACGACACGCCAGGGCCAATGCGGTGCAGGGCGGACCACGGCACCAGCAGGCCCATTCATCATGGCCGCGCTGAAGGTGGGGGGAATCTCCCTGGTTCAAATGGCCAGGATCATGACATCGGGATTGTCCCGCTTTACTGAGCGTCAGTGGGTCTTGTCCATCCGCACCGAGGCACACCGATCCGCATGACATACTTCTCAAGGGCCGACAGAGAGCAGGCCCTGGATGTGCGATGCAGAGACCGAAGGTGCAGCTTGGCCAAGGGCAGCGGATCGCCCGATTCAAGAAGAGCAAGAATGCATCCAAGAGCCGAGTCGACATGATCGTGGGCGGTGGATGGACATATCGCCGCGCTGCGAGCAAGTTCCCAGGCATCCCAGCGACAGTGGCAGTCTTGATTCTTCAAGCCAAGGCCTCAAAGTGCTCACATACGGAGCAGATCACGACGAGCCCGACTTGCTTATCGAACATGAACAGCGGTTGCCCCAGGCACACCTGTCTGGTGGGTGAGAACAGCACTGCTCAGTCGTCACAATGGCCCGCCGATGCGTCGGACGCAGGATTGATGGAATGAACCGGCGAAATGCAATGCCTTTGCCCTGGCCAAAGCAGCAGCTTCCATTTGAGAAGCGTCCAGGTCGCCCTCGTTCGGTACTCACGAGTGGTTGTTGCAGAGCTGCACAACATTGTCGTAGAACCCGCGGGTAGTTTGGGGAGCCTGTCGAGGAAATGGCGTCGTCAGCCGGTCGCTGCAGCATAATCCTCATGAGCAAAGAGACACTCGGCAGACGCTTGCCAAAGATCGCCGACTTACTCCAAAGCGCAGGTCCAGCGGGCACGACGAACATGCAATCTGGTCCTCGGCTAACTGCACCAACTGGCCCCTCTGGCAAGCCATGCAGACAAATGCATCGCCATCGTCGGTCATTTCGACTTGATCCTGCTCGTCGGCTCTTGCGTCCATGGCTGGAAGATGGTGAATTCTACCGGGTCAGTGCGATACGGTGCTCAAGGCGATGAAACGTGCCGCCAACCTCGCGGGACACTTGTGAACGAGCAGTACAGGACAGTGCGGCGAATCGAGGGAGGTAGCTTGCCGATTGAAATAGCAATGTCGATTGCAGAGCATGTGCACAGGGGTCGGCCGGTACTGACCATTTGCCTCTTCTTGCCAGTGCAGCTGCTCAAGCTCACGGAGAATCTCCAGATCCAGTTCGATCCTGTGCAGGTTGAAACGAAGCGTTGGCGGAGGGGCCGGGCGAGCAGCCGTGCAAGCAGCCGTGGTCGAAGTATGGTGCCCTGGCTTTCTCCGGTTGGCAGCGGGACTGAGCTGGAGAACAGCGCAATCGACTGCTTGGTCTCTCGTGAGGACAAGCGATCACTTGCGGCAGGGAGATTGCTGGAGCACTGACCCGTCCTCTATCGACAGGTTGGCAAACTGGTACTCTTCTCTCATGATGCGATACTCGTTCTCAGTAAACGCTTTCGGTGCCGGGGCCTGTATGGCGGGGTTATGATTGCCATTGTTGTCGTTGCCATTGACACCATCATCGTCGGCGATGTTGATATCGGCGTCGGTGTGGTCAGCCCCATCAAGGGATCGAATCCGATGCACCGACGCAATGGTTGGAAGCGGATGCAATGGTCAAAATCCGATGCGGACCATCCCGAAATTGGGCTCTCTTCTATCCAGGGGCTTTGACTGTGGATTCGCAGCTGTCTCTCGGCAGGTCCTTCGCTTTGTTGCTCCTTGCAATGCCCGCCAGACCTTTCCTATATGCACAAAACATGTGGGTACATTACATTCGGGTGGTCCGGCTCAGCCGCAAGGGTTGTTGTCGGCGGTTCTTGATCGAGAGCGGTGTTGCCTGTCCGCAAGCCAGCGAGCCGCTCCTGCCGCGACTGGCGGATCCTCAGCACACACTTTTCCCGGATCTGGTCTCTCCACGACGGTGTGGACGATCCGCTTGTGGGGCTCTTCAGCCGAGTGTTCTTGACGGGCTGGCGGTGAGGCGGGCGAAGTGACATGCTTGCGATTGCTGCCGTGGATGAGCGGGTATCGTTCGAGATGCACCCAGCAAAGCCCGGCTGGTGATCGCCACTCTGCGACCAAAGCAGGCCAGCCAGCCAGCCAGCCAGCCAGCCAGCCAGCCGGGACGGCTCGCGGCTCGATCCGGCTCGAGTGTCCGCGCGCAGCACCGCGCCCAAGCCACAGCCCGCTGCGATTTCATTTGTGGGCGAAAAAAATGCGAAAAACGACAGCGCAAGCACATCACCACATCCAGAGCTCCCTCTCCACCGATCCGCCGCCGATCATCGCTGCTGTTTGTCTCGCCCGGGCATCCGATCGTCACTGCATAGAGCCTGCCAAATCTACCTCCGTTCTGCTTGGATCAAGTCGCATTCGCCCACCCTTTCTTCAGCCAGCATGGTACGCCTCCAATCATGATGCCTGCGTGCGCCAACGTCAGGGCCTCACCTCTTGATCTGTCGATCGCATGAGCCTGCGATCGTCTACAAGTCAGCGCCGAGTACGACGGCGTAGATCCTGCTGCATTGCTGATCCGTCTCTGTTTTCTCTGAACCGCGCGACTGCAAACTATTCCCGACTGCGTATCCTCTCGATGAACAAATATCCGTCGTCTCGATGGGAACCCCGGCCGCCGCTTGGCCACGTCGATGCTGTTCCGAACCACCATCGCAATGGTGCTGCGACCCAACGCTCTGCAACCTCGAACCCAAACTTGGAATCAACCCATCTGTGGCGCAATCGACAAACACGCGGGAATCTGGACCGATCTGCACGATCATGATGGCGGTCACCATACTCAATCATACGGAATGCCGTGTTCGTGGGTTGTCCGTTTCCAATCCTGCAACCACCGCATCTACCGCATCTACTGCATCTGCTGGACCAATCCAAATGCTTGGGCATACGCGGGGACACCACACGTACTGCAGTCCTTTGTCAAATCCACCGCCCGTATCGGATCTCTGTGCCGAGTAACTCTGTCGCAGAGGTACGCTTCTCAAGTGCCGACGCCGTGGTCAAGGGCGGATCTGGATGATTTGTGCCGTCTGCAGAATCTTGGACGCATTCCTCTGGGCATGTGTGGGCCGGTGCTCTGGACCCGAATCTGACGCAGTTTGCCTCCGTCGTCTTGTGCAATACTCGGGACATCTTCGCCGTCGCCAACATCGTCATGGGCAACGCCAGCCTCCGACCATCGATCCGATCCTTCTCTGTCTCTCGCCTGATGAGAGAGGAGGCTGCTGTTGACCCCAAAATCACCAAGATCGTCGACGATATCGCCACCCTGAACCTGCTGGAGACTGCCTCGCTGGTCAAGGCCCTCAAGGTATAGAGGCTCCCGACGGCAGTTTACTGGCTGGGTGTCGATGCGCTGCCTCGACGATGTGCTCGTCTGTTTGTCGTGTGCCATCATCGAGCAAATGCACCCGCTTGTGGCTTTGGTTCACCAGCAAGTGTCCAAGCCGACAGATGAGAGGCGGCCAGTATCTAACAACGCTTCCCTGGCTCGACCTTGATCCGTCCAAAAAGACCCGACTAAACATCCAAGATATTGCCATGCCCGTCGCCGCCGCCGCCGCCCCTGCTGCTGCTGCTGCCGCCCCTGCCGAGGCCGCCGCTCCTGCCAAGGAAGAGAAGGTCGAGAAGACCGAGTTCAAGATCACTCTCGCCAAGGTTGATGCCGCTGCCAAGGCCAAGGTCATTCGTGAGATCAAGGGCCTGCTGCCCAACGCCAACCTGGTTGAGGTATGGGCACGTTGCTCTCGATCAGCGTCTGGGGTTATAGGAATGCATCTGACAGTGTGCGGGTGGTCACGCAAAGCGAGGGCCATATGTCCCAGAACGTCGATGGCTTTGTCTCTTGTTCCGATGCTCGACTCGTTGTGGGCCCTTTGGTGTCCCAGCTGTCCACAAGCCGGCAGTGTCTCACTCGACTGTCAAACGCATCCTTCATACATCGCAGGCCAAGAAGTTTGTTGAGAGCGTCCCCAAGGTCATCAAGGAGAACGCCAGCAAGGAGGAGGCCGAGAAGATCAAGACTCTTCTGGAAGGACTCGGTGCCTCGGTCACCCTGGACTAGATATGCACTGCTGAACGTGATGTCCTACAGAAACGCAACCGATGAACTGGGTTCTTGTCGAGCGGGACGCCCCCGCCCCACCATTCCCTCCTTCCCACTCTTCCCACACGAAACCATCTCACAGTATGACATTGGAACGGGACTCCCGGGATATTGCTGCGTGCTCGTATCTTATTTTCTTTGTTGCTGCCCAATACACTCTCATCTCAATGGCCATCCACAACACGTCCGATGGGTCTGCGGGAACGCCATGCGCTGTGATGGTGTGACTGGTACATATTCGCCCGGCCAACTGCGCGTGCCGAGCTTCCTTCATCTCCCATTTTCACTTCCGGCAAACCGCCATCTGCCTTTGCCATGGCATCGGGCATCCAAAAGCCAAGCGTCGGGGCACCATCGAGGACACCGTCCGAGTCGACCCAAGAAGCTGAACTCCGACGCAGACTCAGATTCAGGCCCCGGCTCTCCACCTGTCCGATTTGCATCGAGGTACCCGCAGTCGGCCAGAGCCCAACAGATCTGTTCCGATCCTCGCTCGGTCCGAAAGCGGTGTCATTGCCGCACAGTCGATGGGCTCTGTCAGTGTGGGACATCGCAACGAATATGGCGAGCCTTTGGCCGCAAACTGACAGCTTGTTGCCTTGGTATATTTGCTCCCCCGCCTCATCTCCGTCCTCCATGCCCAGGGCATTCGCGACAGAGAAATGCTGCCGCACGCCAATCTTGGTGGGTCCGTTTCTGATCTCTCGCTCTCTCTTCCTGCAGCCATGACTGTCTTACTGACCGCGGCCGTGCAGGATGCCATTGCGGCAGCCTCGTTCATCTCGGATGCTTCCTGGACTGGATGACTCATGGCTCGATGAAGTGCCCCTCTGGGTGCGGGATGGACTCGGCGGTAGCATCCGAGCTGCTCAATGCACTGGCACAGGGCGGGTTTGAGTATCCCACAGCCAAGAATTTGACCTGGAGAGAGTGCGCCGAGCGGCTGGCCGAGCAGCGAAGACCCCGAATCGAACCAGTTCTGTTCTCGCTTGCGCTGAGGTCCTCTCAACCATCCAGCGAGGTCGACCAGCATGCCAGCACGTCCCAGCAAGCGCAGCCGTCCGTCTCGAATATGCCATCCAATCCGGACACATCTGCGCAAAATGACGAGGCAGGGGGCTCTAGACACTGCATCCTTCCGTCGGCGCTCGCCCGCAAGCGAGGGAACCCGCTTCCGAGCCCTCCTTCGAGTGCCGGCAAGCGACAGGGCCGACTCCCGATCCTCAGAAACCTGTCGCCGTCCGAGTTTAAGCGACTCTTGCAACAGCAGCAGCAGCAGCAAGTGCACTCAGGCAACGAAAACAGCGAGAGGCTCGAGCTTCTGCTGCAGCGAGTCCGTTGCAGACGGCCCGAGTAGCAAGCGCATGGCCAGAGACTTGCTCGTGGGAAACGGTCCTGGGTGTGGCTGCGGAACGCGACGGACTGGCCACCGACAAAGCCAGGAGCAATGGTGGCTGGCCAGCGTCATACAACGATGCCAAACCCGCTTGATCTCGAACCCGGCTCATCTTGAACTTGGTCCATCTAGAACTTGGTCCATCTAGAACTTGGTTCATCTCGAACTTGGTTCATCTTGAATACCATCGCTCGAACTTGGTTCATCTTGAACACCATTGCTCGAACACCATCGCTCAAACACCAGCTCGGCTACATCCGCACGCACCTTGGATCGCCGACACTCCATCGCCCCGAACACAGCGACCACCCATCCACAATGCGAGTCGTCCGCAAGCCCACCACCACTTTCCAGCCACCCAAGATCACTGCAAAGCACTATCTCATCACCGCGGTGGCATCCTTCTTCATCGGCGTCTACGTCTGGCATCCGTACATTGAAAAGTGGGCCATGGCCGACCCCGAGATGCGCAAGAAGATCCCAGGCTACCAGCAGGAGCAGCAGGAGCAGCAGGAGCAGCAGCAGTCTGCGAGTTCGCCCCCAGCTTGAGCCCGTGCCGATCGATGCTCTGTTTCCAAAGGCACAGAGTCAGCTATTGTCATCGGGATGGCCCGTCGCTGCGAGTGCATGTGTGTTTTTTGTTGTTATTATTGTTGTTTTTTCCCTGGAGCACCGACTCCATCGCCATCTCAACGATCCAACCCTGTCAATATATTGTGCAGTTCATTCCAAAGGGCCGTCCGCCAGGTGCCGTGCAGACGACTCGCCCATTTCCGACACCGATTGCCACCCGCCAGTCCTGACCGGGCTCTTCTCGAGGCCCGTGTCGGCTCAGGCCATGCTGTTGCTCTGGAGGGGCCCGACTGGGGTCTCTTCGCTGGTTGAGCGCCCGGCAGAAAGCTTGATGAGCTTGGCGATAAAGTTGTTGACGACGCAGAACAAGTAGATGTCGACGACCCAGAAGAACGCCGTGACGGCATATCCGATCGTTTGAGTGGGGTCATAGATGGAGAAGATGAGGAAGATAAGATAGACGATGAGCTCGGTCGCGATGGCTGCAATCAGGACCTTGCCCTCTTGCTGGGCACTCTCAAAGTCGGTGCGGCGACCGGGCTTCTGGCTGGTGGTGCTCGCCCGAGACGAGCCGTGGAGGAGCTTGACGGAGCTGTTGAGTTGGTAGAGGCGGTACATCATCAGGGCATGCAGACACACCAAGTTGGCCTCGAGCCCCATGTTGAAGACAAACTGGTAGTACGTCGATACATCCCACGAGGTGATCCCATAGATCATGAGGAGGAAGTAGAGGTCGTTGACGCCGTAGATGATCGGCATGATGCCAAAAATAAAGAGCCAGGGATACGTGGGCTCGTTGTTGAGCGTCATTACTCTCAGCCTCAAGACGTAGGACCATCCGATGGAGGCCGAGCCGACGCAATCGCCCAGGGCAAAGAGGAAGCTTGCGAGCTGCGTGCATGTCCAGTCGTTTGCGCATGGACCAAACATCTGCCCCATGATTCCCACACAGAAGAAGCACGAAAACACAGTGGCGAGAGCCATCAGCGTGTGGATTTGCAGTCCCTGTCGAATCTTGAAGACCCGATCCCACTTGACGAAATTTGTCGAGTGGATGGCCAGGGATGCGGCGGCTAGATACGTGAAAAAGGCAAAGATTTGGGCATCTTGGAGCACGCTCGGGTCCATGTTGGTTCGGGGCTGCGGCAGATGCGAGGCTTCTGGAAAGCAGAATCTGGTCTGATGTGCTGAGGTAGTTGGTCGAAGAGGGACGAGAAAGGTCCGAGGATCTTGAAAGGGACGGGGCAGGGTCGACAGCAGGCAATCATAAGCCCGGACAGACGTCACCACGGCACTCGGGTAAAAGTGTGATTGCCGCCGAGCATTTGAATGTCATTATGCAGGTTCTGGCTAGGGTACTTGGAGACGAGCACCAGGATGACATCATTTTGGCGGCTGAGTCCACTTTCCTCATTGCAAAATGGGATTATGCAATTGACCCGCCATCCTGATTGCAATCGATCCGGAGGGGGCTGTGCTGCCGACCATCGCTCATACATCCCACCCGTCGCTCATACATCCCACCCGACCCTCGGATTACGATGCCCCCGGACATACAGCACAGTCATAGCTCAGACATATATTGAATTAACAAAGTCGCCAAATTTGCAAAGTCGTAACTTGTTCCGCAGAAAAGCGCCTACTTTTGATCAAGAAAAGTGGGAGGAAGAGGGGGGGGGAATGGTGCTGGCATCTGCTCGCATCGGATGCACGGCGAGAAGCGTGGGTCATTTGCTCGAGCTGCTCAGATATTGCTGGTGTCGGCTTGCTTCTCGGTTTCGTCGCTCGCGGGCTCCAGCTTCTCGACCTGCCGGGGCATCAGGAAGGGACTTGCGTACACCAGCTCGGGCAACAAGCTGAGGACATAGAATGTGGCTTCGGGAATGACGGCTGGGGCGGTGCCGACGGCGCCGTTGCTATAGAGTCCGTAGCCGGTTCGCACGATCAGCATGACGACCTGGAGAACCAGGATGGACGAGTTTGCGACAACATACGACCCCGACTGAGCCGGGCGAGGCAGCCGCAGGGCCTCAAGCAGAGTCCAGCCGCAAACAGCGAACTGGATCCAGGTAAAGACGGCGATGCCCCAGGAGCCAGCGAGTCTGAGCGTGGTGGCGGTCGGGTCGACGGGGACACCTGGGGGGGTGTTCAGGATCCAGACGGCACCCGTGATCAGAGCGGTGATGATGATGAAGAGCAGTATCGATGAGGCGCCCTGGATGCGATCGAGCTTGCCCAGCTCTCTGCGGCCCAGAGAGTTGACGCGGTGGGAGGCGGATGCTTGGCCTTGGCCTTGGTTCTGGCCGTGGCCGTGCTTGAGATGGATGATGGACTTGTTGACCCTGACGAGGTTGGCGCTCAGCGTGCGCACCAAGGGCAGCAGAGCCACGCTCATCAGGACTTCGGCGGTGATGAGGAGACCCAGGTTGGACGCAAACGCATCAGTTGTCAAGAGAGCGCGGGAGATCATGCCGGCAGCCCGGAAGGTGGCCCAGGCGATCATGATGTAGAAGGTTGGCCGGGCCGGCCGAGTCTTGCAGCGGACGAGATTGAAGAGCAGGATGAGGTCCGTGGCCACAAAGATGGCCGAGGCGACGACGGCAGGGACAAAGGTCCAGCCGAGATAGTCGGCGTATCGAATTTCGGTGCTTGACATTTGGGCGAACGACTGATTCTGTTGTGGTGGTGGTGGTGGTGGTGGTGGTGGGACTGAGGCGCTTGGGATGAAGGCTGGAAGCAGGCTGGAAGCAGGTTGAGTGCGGGCTGGACGAGATGATGGAGAGGCACAGAGGACGCTGGGCGAGCGGTATATATGCGCGGTCGGGGCGTGGGTCCAAGCGGCCGGGCTTGGCGTGCCCCTCCCACGGCCAGGGAGCTGATTGGCGGAATGCGGGCTTGGCGATCGATGGGTCCGTCGTGCCGGCTGCGACAACGGCTTCCAAAATCTTGGCACGGCACCGGGGCCATCGAGCCGAGAAACAAGGCAAACAAGGCGGGCGGCGCGGTGGAGCGCGGGGAGGGGACGGACGTGTGATTGGCCCGAGCGGGGCGGCCAACGCGGCGTGCATTCGCTCTCCGTTCAAATTTGGATCGGTGGACGGACAAGCAAATGTGTATTCGTCACAGTTGATGAGAACAGAAAAAGGGGTCATTCGATTCAATTTCAAGATGTTTGTCTTTGGTTGTAGGTTGGATGTGGTCAAAGCCGCGGCTGTTGCGGCAGCGGTCCAGGGCCGAGGGGTGCCGCGGCTCCTACGATGGCAGGAAACGCTCCGCTCCAAGGGGAGCGACAGAGTCTTGGTGGATGCGGCCCGAGAGCCCGGTGGTTTGGTTGAATGCCTGCAAGGTTGCAGGTAGAGACGCATTAGGACGGCGCGGATGTGCAGGATGCATCCAGGTGCTGTGACCCAGAGAGCAAGCAGCCGACAACGAAGAGCCACGACTCCACAGAATACCCATCCTCAACTTGCCTGAGCATATCCGTTCTGGAACTCTTGAGCCACGAGCACCACATCGCCGATGTTGAGAGCAAGGCCAGCGGCGTCGTCTCGGGATGTAGCCTTGATGGCGACATAGCGCGATGCGGCTTTGGACTCGTCCGAGGTCGAACTCGGTCCAGGCATTCCGGCCGGGAGATACACCGAAGTGGGCTGGCCAAAACTCTCGGCCGGACGCTGATAGCTGCCGAGCTGGAACTTTTCGTCAACGAAGACGGGCTGTCCGGCCGGAGTGGCCGAAACCTGGTGATAGTTGGGCGGGGTACCCACGTTCGCCGCAGACTGGAAAGAGTCGCGGGGTCCAGATGGGTTGTAAAAGCCGCTGGTGGGTCGGCCGTTGCTATCCAAGAATCCTTGGGGAGATGGATAGGGGGCAGCCGAATAGGACACGTGCGACGGATGGCCCGAGTTCGGGGCGTAGGCTGTGCTCACTGGGTAAGGCTGACCCGCGGGATATGCAGCGTCCGAGGCATATGGGGCGCCGTAGGGTGCAGAAGGATGAGGCGAAGGAAGAAAAGACTGACGAGGAGACTGGTACGGAGCCTGAGGAGACAGCTGCTGGGGCGGCAAGGGCTGGCCCGGGAGAGGCTGGGCAGGAACAGAATGAGGAGGATATGGGTGGCCGGGATGCTGAGGGTGGGCGAATCCTTGGGTCGCAAAAGGCTGGACCGGGGGTGCCTGCGACGAGTACGGCTGGCTGGCTGGAGGGGGAGGAGCACCACGGGTATCGTATCCCTGGTGCGACTCGACGACGCTGCTATTGACGGTCGGCTGGCTCCTGGGCTGGGAAGCGGTACTGGAGAGGGTCGAGGTCGGGCGGGCTTGATCCTGCTTCGGGTTCTTAGAGCCGAATCGGCGCCAGGCTATAATACCACCGACAAGAACTGCGAGCGCTGGAGACGGATCCATGACAAGCCAATGAATATAGAGACCGACCCATGGCAATAACCGCATCGGCGTGCATTCGGGTTTTGCCACACGCTGTTCATCAGACCAAGGGCCATCTGGCTGCACGGCTCCGTATCGGATCTCTGTCGAAGACTTACCGAGAATCCCGCCGACGGTACCTCCAATGATGGCGGCTGAGTTGCCCGAGCTTTGAGTGTCTGGGGACGGGGTCGCGCTGGGGGTCAAAGACGCAACGACGCTCTTGGTTGTGGTCGGGACAACGGTCTGGTTGGGAAACCCCGAGGGAAGGGCCAGCAAGGGGTTGTTGAAGACGCCACCTTCTCTGTAGATGGTGAAGAATGTACCCGAGTCGTTGCTGTCGATGACACAGGTGTTGGAGCGAGTGTCGGTATAGGCAAGCTGGCATGTGTTGCACTTGGAATCGCTGCAGCCGTAGAGCTCGAGCTGGCCGTTGTTGGCGTTTTGGAGGGTGAGGGCGTAGACGCCGGTCATCACCAAGGTGCAGGTTGGGTAGACGGGGATACGGTTGGCGAGGAAAGCCGAGGAGCATGAGGTGTCGCCCATGGAGAAGGAGTAGTAGTAGAAGTAGTTGGTGTTGAAACCCGGGTCCCACAGGCTAGCGGAGGCAAGTACAGCATGGAGGAAAAGTGGCATCCAGCGGTCAGGGCGGCGTTGGCGACAGCGGCCGAGTTTTCGAAGAGCGGGTGTGCGGGGCGATGGCAGGATGGGGCCTTCCAAGGGCTCATGCCAACCGACTCGAGTAGAGCCGAGCCACAACGAGAGCGAGAGCGTCGACACAGGGATAATACTCACGCTGTCGTCGTGTAGTCCGAGGACGAGATGGCGCCGGTGATATAGTTCGAGGTGCACGGGTTCGACGAAGCCGTCGAGAAGGACCCAACGACCTGACAGCCAGTTTTGCAGGTGGCATCGGTGCCGCAGGAGTTGACGAAGGCTGTGTTCGTGGCCGAGGAAACGGAGATGTACTGGCAAGAGCTGTTGGTGGTTTGGGTGGCTGCAAAACAGGCGCAGCGGTTGGAGGCAAGGACGACGTCGCCCAGGTTGAAAATCGCAGTGGCAGGCGATGTGACGCCGACGAGGCACTCGGGCGAACTATAGTTGGCCTTGTGCTTGGCGAGCCATTGGACCTGGGCCGGGTTGATGGGGATGACTGTGGTGGACATGCTGGGAGACAGGCGCGGAAAGCGGACTGGGCCCAGGAGAGGGAGTTTGGGCGATACGGGAGACGCCGGGGGGGGGGAGGAGCAGGATGGATTGCTGCAGAGAGCAGAAACGAGATGGGCGACGAGAAGCCAGCGGCACAAGACGCACACTGACGCGGCATGTCTACTACAGAATGAAATGGGGACACCGTTTCTAACCAGGACAGTGTTTTTTTCTGGAACCTGAATACACCCACCCGCTCATCGCATTCACGGCAAACACAGCACCATCTTGATATCGAGAAACCACACTTTGTCCAGAGGGTCGAGTGAATGCACCACAGTCACACATCGAGACATCAATGCCTCGCGGAACATGATCTCGGTATGCCAGTCGATCATCGCCACAGGAGATCGACCGGGTGTATTCAAGACTGTGCTTCCCAAACCAACCAAAACCACTCGATTGCCAACCAGGACGGGAAACAATCTCACGGCTTGCTCACTGGAGTCTAAGGAAGTTCGGCTGGTTCAGATATCTGAAGCCAGGAAGGGGAAGTGTCCCGTTTCTTTCTGGACCGACTGTACTGGTCGCCGTTCGCTGTGGCCAATTGGTGTCCACGAGCGTCGTCTGTCGATGGCATTCGATCCATGTTCGGAAAGCTCAAGCTGCTCATCCGCCAAATATCCACACTCTGTCGCACATCTGTTCGAGTGCAGAATCGCAGCATCCATCAGAATGATCCCTGTGTGCAAGCCGATTGAGGTAACAGATCGTTAATTCTCAATGACCCCCCCCCAGACACATTTCCAAACACAACCCGGGCTCTGGAGCAAGGTGAAGATCATGATATTCCTTTCGCTTTGCGGGCGTCACATCTGGGGAAACACCACTCACCCTGCCCCTCGGCGAGCGATGGCCAGGGCAACTATATGAACAGCTCTTCGAAGCTGCTGATGGCCCACTCAAAGTTCTGCTCGGCAGCCTTGCGATAGCGGGCGGCGAGGCCAGTATCCTTGGCGGTGCCTCGGCCGCGCTGGTGAGACCAATCCAGCTGGTTCTGGCCGTATCGGTTGCCCTGGTCGGCCGATTTGCGGCACCACTCGATTGCTTTGGCATTGTCGCTCTTGACGCCGTATCCCCAGCCATAGCAAAAGCCAACCATCCACTGGCCGTACGAATTGCCCTGGTTTGCTGCCTTGCTGTACCATGGGAACGCCTTCTTGTAGTCCTCCGACACCCCCCAGCCAGACCAGTAGCATGTTCCCAGCCAGAACTGGCTGTCGCTGTGGCCCTGCTTGGCAAGCTTTTCAAACATCGCTGCTGCCTTCTTTTGGTCCTCTTGAGTCCCGCATCCATTCACCAGGCACACGGCCATGAGATGCTTGCACAGCCATTCATGGTGAGATCCCAACTGGCACAGTTCGAAAAACTTGCGGGCGGCCGGCGAGTTGGACGAGCCGCCGCCATGAGCCAGGCATTCTTTCTCGCCGAGGGGAAACTCTTTCGATTTGCTGTCTCGGATAATCTGGACGCCTTTTTGCTCGTCTCGCTGGGTACCCCGGCCGAGGTAGTGCATCCACCCAACCATGTGGGTGGCGATGGACTTGATGGCGAGGTCGGTGGATTGGGTGCTGACTTGATGCCACTGGCCGAGGGCATCGACGTCGCTCTGCTGGACACCATGCCCGATGAATGAGAACCAGGCTCGCAGGAACACGATACGGAGCCGGCCGCTGTCGCTGCCTTGGTCGGCAGCCTTGGCATACCACTTGATGGCAGTGTTGTAGTCTTGGCCGATTCCTTCGCCGTTCTCAAAGCATCGGCCGAGGGCAACTTGAGCTTGAGGCATTCCTCTGTCCGCAAGATGGCGGTACAATTCGACAGCTCTGGTATGGTCTTGGTTGACGCCCGTTCCGCTGAGACAACACTCGGCCAGATGAAACTGCGCCATGGAGTGGCCTGTGTTGGCTGCATTCTCCAGATGTTGGAAGATTTGCTGTTGTGCGGCGTCCTTTGCAGGGTCGCTCACCGATGTTCCGGCGGCGAGGTCGACTTGCAGGATCCTGGCCAGGAAATACGAGGCGGCAGCGTTTCCCTGGCCGGACTGGGCGGCGAGCCAGGAGCGGTCGGCTGTGTCTTGAACAGTGCACTTCAGAGAAAGGGCAATCATGTCGCTCGGTGTGAGGCCAGCCACCAGCCATCCGTCAGGACGACACAGCTCAGCTTCCTCGCACCAGGTGCGAAAGCGATTCGCCTTGAAGCTCAAGAGAGGCTTGGCCCGCCTGCAAACGAGGAGCAGGGTCTTGATTTCGTCAAGACCGAGGGAAAGCAGGAAGCTATCGTTGAAGCACAGAATCGCGAGGATGTCAGGATTGTGGCTGTCGATGGCCAATGGAGTCATGGCGACGAACGAGGGAAGGGAACTGGTGTTGGTTGTGGTGTGCGATGGCCGGACAAGGGCATATCCAGGCGCAAACGACGAAGGCGACGGGAGGTGAGGATGCGGCCGGGGGGGGGAAATCGGAGAAACTGGTGGGATGGTGGCGACATGCCAGCAAATCGGTCGGAATAAATTAGTCGGAATAAATTGGTTGGTGGATAACGACTTGTGTCGGTGGGGTGGGCGTTGGCAACCAATGCTTCCAAACGTCGGCATGATCTGCGGGATCTGCGGAATCGAGACATCAATGCCAGCCAATGACAGTCGCAAGTGGATCCAAGACGGTGCTTCCCAGACCAACGAACACAACTATCGCCAGCGAAATCAGGTAGGCATTCCCATGGTCTGCTCGCTGGGGGCCACAGATCGCTGCGAGGGACACTCGGAGACACACTGTCCCGCTTCGTTCTGAACAAGCCGAGAGATCAGTGCATGTTTCGTATTTTCATGGATGGAGTGCACGCAACTCGGTCGCTGCAATCTGTGTGCCGAACAACGGCAGCAGCATGGCTTGAACAGCCGGAGTGCAAATCTGGGACTTGGCGATGACTGCTCAGCCGAGTCAAAGAAAGCGTCGCTGTATTGAGTGGCATGAGTGCGATGATGGTGCAATACTCCCAGTCATACTCTGCCAAACAGACAACCGAGACAAGACAGCCGACAAACGAGAAGAACAGCGAGTGGATATCAAGTGGGAAACAGCCCAGGGGAAGGTTGGGGCAGAGATGGAAATAACAAACACAATACAAAGCAATGACAGAAGGAGGAGTGTGCTTGCTGTGAGACTCAGTCGAGGACAGTCGAGGACACTGGATCGATGGTGTGGTCGAACAACCAGGATCTGACTGGTGAGACTCTGGGTGAAGCACCGAGGGCTATCCAAGTGCAGTGCATCAACTGCCACTGCCGGTCACTGCTGGCCATGCCTCAGGGCAACCCATCGGTGCAGCCTGGTCCAGCACATCTGTGCCGTTCAGTTGCGGCCAGTGCGGCCAAAGACGCTGACTTCGGGATAGTCGTCCGTCTGGAGCGGCGAGACAGGCTCGGCCGGAGCAGGGAGGTACTTCACACGGTCCAAGAATCGGAGACATCGCTCGACGACCTTCTCGGCCGGGGGACTCGGTGTCGGATAGATCGAGCGGGTGTTGGGGTTGTCGACCTGGACGGACATGTCCATCAGCATGTGCATCAGCGGGAACAGGGCGTTGGTCTCGACGGAGGGAGCCGATTGGAGCAGGATCTTGAACTGCTCGCGTGTCTCAAACATGACTCGCCATCCCATGGCATTGACGATCTCAAAGATCTTCTTCTCGGCGATGAGGCTGAGCATGGAGTGTCGGTGTGAGATGGGTTGGTGTGCGATGGGTTGGTGTGGTGAGCCGGTGCTGTCCCATCCATTCTCTATCCATGCCCTTCCTTCTCACTCGCTGCTCCCCCAGCATGCCATGAGCCACATCCTCACCTGTTCTCCGAGTCGCTGACATGGAACACAAAGTTGGAGAGGGCCTGCTCCGAGGCCACAATCGCCGTGACGACCTTGGCCACATGGTCGACCGGGTCCATGGTCAGGGTGACGGGGGTTGCATGGGAGGGAGCGATTCCGATCTGGATGCATCCCTTGACATATCGCCAGATGTAGTCATCAACGTTGCATGCTGGTGGCGAGAGAGATGGAGAAAGTGGGTGAGTGTCGGCCGAGGACTCACCAAGCACATCACCACATCACCACATCACCACATCACCACATCACCACATCACCACATCACCACATCACCACATCACCACATCACCACATCACCACATTCACCACTCGCTCACCTCCGTATCGGCTCTCGCCGACGATCGCGGCCGGTCGGATGATCGTCACCGGCACGCCCCTCGATCGTGCCTTGTGGACCAGCTGCTCCGAGACCCACTTGGTCTGTGCGTAGCCGCCAGAGAGGTTCCAGTTCAGCGACATTCGCTCCTCGAGCGGCTGGGCCGAGCCCTTCATCGGCAGCGTGCCGATCGTCGAGATGTAGTGGAGCGGCTTCAAGTGGTGGGTCGTGGCCAGTCTCAATGCCGTCGCCGTGCCGAGGACGTTCGGGCCCTTGAGTGCCTCGTAGTTGTAGAGCCAGTGGACCTCGGCACCGTTGTGCACAATCACATCGCTCTGCTCGCTGATCTCCTGCCATCGCTCGTCCGACAGCCCCCACTTGTCCTGTGCCAGGTCGCCGGGAAGACCCACGATCCTGGGACGGATGTTGTGCTCGAGGTCGTGCATCTGCTGCTGGTTGAGGATCAGCTTGCTGGCCGTGTCAAAGATGCGGTCGATGGCGGCCGGCTCGTCCTTGGCTCGGACCAGGCAGTAGATCTTGGCGCTGGGGAACCTGCTGGCCAGCTCGTACAGCAGGAATGCGCCGAGGAACCCAGTGGCCCCCGTCAGGACGATGCCGCGAGGATTGTCGGGATAGACAAACCGAGGGAGGCCGTCGGCCGTCACACCCGCATCGTCGAACCTGACGGCTTCCTGGTACAGATCCACGGTCGGCGGGACCATCAGTCTGTCGTCGAGCATGTCGATGGCAAGCTGGGCGACATCGGTGGGCGTCATTCCGTTCGACAGCAGGATCAGCGGCGAGATCTCGACATCCAGCTCGTCCTTGATGGCCAGGGCCAGGCGGCCGGCGCTGAGCGAGTCAAAGCCGACACCGCCAATGTAGTAGTTGCGGCCATCAAGGGCGGCCCTGCCCAGGACCCGGCTGCCGATCTGAGAGATCTTGGCAGCGACGCGGGACAGGAGAGTGTTGTCGATCCTGAGGGCCGGATAGACGACCGACGCAGTGTACTGCTCGACATTCTCGGCAAACAGCCTGAGCTTCTTGAGGTCGCGCTTGTTGGAGTCGTTGAAGGGGAATCGCTCGAGCGCAAAGCAGTTGTGGATCGGGACCTTGGCGACGTTCGAGAGCGCAAAGAGCTCCTCGGTCATCAGGATGATGTTGGCGGGGCTCAGGAGGATGGCAGGGCCGGTTTGGGGGACATAGAGCATCACGATGCGCTTCTCGGAGGTTATGACAAAGGCACAGTCGGCGATCGAGTGGCTCAGGTTCTGGTTGACAAGCTCCTCGAGGGCATTGAGGTCGACATAGACGCCGTTGACCTTGACCTTCTGGTCGAATCTGGAGCGGTGCATGTGGAGGGATGATGTGGTGTGATGGGATAGCAATGTGTGATGGGAATGTGAGTGAGAGGTGTGTGATGAGGTCGATACATGGCAATTGGATGAATGATGGATGGGTGGTGGTGAGGCAGGAGATGAATGCCACATCGCAGCCAACATACCGACACAGTGCCTCTGCATCGCACTCACCTTCCGACCACAGTGAACTCGTTCTCGCTGACCATCTCGACCCAGTCCATGGTGCAGACACGAGGCGAGCCGTCGCTGAGGAAGCCAAAGTATCCAATCTTGTTGTCCGGGTCGGCGTTGACAAAGCTGGGATGATCCTTGACCGGGTGGTCGGGATCGACAGCAAAGACAAGGACGCCGCTGTTGGAGAACCTTCTGTCGATGAAGTTGCCGTGCTCGTCGATGATATGGCAGCGGACTCCTGGCTTGGAGAGCTTGTACACAAGTGTGGGAGGGACATCGGTGACATCGGCCGGGAGACTGAAATACGCAGCGGCTCCTATCAACAGAGTCTGACACAACGAGTTGTTTTGAGTCAGTCGAGAAGCAGTCAGTCCTGTTACACCTGTCATCAGATGAAACCTTACCTCGCTGGATGCATATCCAGATTGAATCTCGGCATTCGGGAAGCGGCGCCTGGCTTCACAAACGACGCTTCGAGGCACAATTTCGGACCCAAGCATAATCTTTCGTGTTCTTCGCCAAATGATGTGCCTGTTATCCGACACTCCAACTCCGATGATCAATTTGAGGAACGAGGGAGGCTGATAATATAACAGAGCATCTTGGTTAGTCACAGCTCGATACAAATGGAATACTGCGTAGTTCCCTACATACCAATCCCATGAACTCGAGACCATCATTGAGCATCTTGGAAATGCTTCGGACTTTCTCAACAGGATTCGGAGTTGTGTCTGGAATCCATGCTGACCCTCGAAGGTTCAAGGTTGCCAAGAGCAGACCAAGTGTCAGTGAAAACGAAGGTGTCTGTGGAAATGGAGAAGTAAGTCGATGATCAAGGACGATTCAATGTGCCTGTACAAGCAGCCCATACCTGACAGAGTCCGATGCTGGCATTGAGGATTCCAATCGACTTATGAAGGGTGATTGAACCAAAGTACGAATATTTGTATCTGATACACATTCATGAGCATAGGGTGGTCAGTGATCTCCGTTGAATCGCTTCGGACTGTGCTCAGTACACTGTCTCGATCCACTTACGTCTTGGGGATGCCTGTCGAGGAGCAACAAGAACCACCATGAGCATCATGCATATCCTGTGATGACCCACAGACACTTGCTCGCTCGTGCCATGCCATCAGATGCGCCACTCATCCGATGTATCAAGCACTCCACCCAGACACATAGCTGGCGGATGCTCTGACAGCCATCCATACCTGTCGTTCCAGAAGTGCAGAGATATGTGACGAACTCATCGAGAGGCTCGCACGCCTCAAGCGAGGGCAGTGGGATGTCGTCCAGCATCGGGAATGTCGATGCATCCACAAGAGTCACTCCCTGTGTGCGTCCAGGCTTGACGCAGTGGTGCAGGATATACTTGATCGAGTATCTGGATGGATGCAGCCCTGTCAGCTGCTGTTTATCAATCGACACCCTCTCTGCCGCCATCATCACTTCTGAGGTCGAACTGTCCCACAGACAATAGACATGCCCACAGACGATCCAGACATGCCCACAGACCACACACCTGTCGCACACAGCCTTTCGGGCAGCCGGAGGCAGGTTGAGACCAAAGTTGATTGTCTTCCTGGATGGTGGTCAGGAACGAGCGAGGAGAGTCGGGAGGATCACAGAGCCAGAAGGGAGAATCGCAGAGTCAGGGCATCACAAGCCAGGACAGAGCATGAACGATGGCACTGGATCGACAGTGCTGGTGGCGGATGTGTGGAGCAAGCAAGCAGCAGACGACAGATGCAGCGAGCCTCGCCCTCGATCGCATCCAAGCAGCACTCACTTGCCGAGCATCCACACTGCAAGGGAATAGAACACCCAGTTGACCTCGGACTCGCAGAAGGTGCCAATGACCTCGTGGTCGGCGTCGTCCCAGCCGGCGAGGGCCCTGAGCCCCTGGGCGATCGAGTATGCTCTCCTCCACACCTGGCGATAGGAGTGTCGCTCGGAGGCACCGCTCTCGTAAGTGTTGATCAGGAGGGCATCGGGCTCGTCGCGGGCGCCGTTGATGAGACACTCGATGGGATGGAGCCAGGGACCAAGGGAGTCGGCTGGTTTGGAGGGTGCCGTGCTTGACGGCTCGGGCTGGGTTTGCTGGACAGGGGCTTTCGAGGTTGTGTCATCCACATCCATATCGACATCCACATCCATCGACGACTTGGCCGGGAGACTGGAGCTCGAGGCCATTTGGTGGCGGATGCGACGGAGCAGGGGAGATCGGGGGAGGAAGAGGACGAGGAGAGGGAAAGGGGCAGGCAAGACGAGATGCGGCGGGATGGAGTGGGATGGGTGTGGGATGTGGGATGTGGGATGTGGGATGTGGGATGTGGGATGTGGGATGTGGGATGTGGGATGTGGGATGTGGGATGTGGGATGTGGGATGTGGGATGTGGGATGTGGGATGTGGGATGTGGGATGGCATGCAGATTCACCCCCTTGCCGATCGGAATGGCCATGACTGGTTCGGGGTTCGCGTCTGTGGAACCTGGGGCGAGTGGCCCACCTGCCACTCTGGCATGGGCTGTCGCTGCTCGGCTGTCGCTGGTGGCATCTGTGGGTGTCTGTCTCTGCTCCGATAATGCAGGAGCACCACGGGATAATGCAGTAACACCATGGGATAATGTAGTAACACCATGGGATAATGCAGAAGCACCATGGGATAATGTAGTGGATGGGAGCAAAGTGGAAAGCGCCACCGCACCCCCTTTGCTTCGATCGATGCTCGGCTCAAACTTCATCTCCCCAGCCCAACCCCGATCGCCTTCATCTCTTGACCAACGGTCTTCTCTGGCAACACGTTATGGCGGACCCACGCAGCCACGATATCCTCGCCGTTATGCTCGTCCATGACACCTTTGTCGACTGCCTCGACCTGCAGACTCTTGGTAGGCTTCTGCTGGCATCCAGGCTGGCGAGTTTCCTTCTGGATACCGATCGACGCTGGCTCCACCGCCTGGTGAGGATATTGAGCCCTCCAGGCGCCCTTCTGGACTTGCTTGATCGGTCATCCATCTGCTCCACAGCCTCACGGCCTACTGCTGTCCTGAAGGGACTCTACTGTTATATCCACATGAGGCAGCTGGGGCGTCCTCGATCACCGGCATCCTACCAGAAGGAATTCTTGCTCTGGAGTGAAGCGTACCGCAACGAGCCGCTCCTCGTCGCTCTGCAGCAGCATTTCAAGTCCCTCAACATCATGCACCGGCACCCTCTCTGGCTCTCCGAAGCCCTCGTCAACGATGTGAGATCCCTGGACCAGCTGAGCCAAGACCAGTTCTTCCAGCTGCTCGATGGTGGCCATCTTCTGAATCCTCCCAGTTCCACTCATCGGAGCAGCTTGGCAATTGTTCGTCCCCGACATCACCCGCTGTTTCAGACTTGCCAACTCGCCAGGCTGCTGCCCCATGAGCAGTATGCGATAGCACACCTTGCACAGCTTCATCTACTGCTCGGCGACTGCACCTTCTCAACGGTGTCTGGATGGCCTCGGTCGCTGTCCAACGTCATCCGTCTGATCGTCCGAGAGACGACGGACGCTCAAGTAGCCTGGGATTGGGTATCGGTGCCGGCGATGCCTCGACTGATGCACCTATCTCTCTCGCCCTCCGTCGAGAGTCTGCAAGGCATGCCGCCATTCGGCAGAACCCTCACAGCGCTGGATCTGTCGAGATGCAACCGACTCAGAACCCTCCGCGGCCCGACATGGGAATGTCCCTCGCTTACATATCTGTCGCTCCCTGCGTCGCTGGAGAATCTGGATGGCATGTGGTCGTCGCTGCCTTTGCTCGCGACGCTGGATGCCTCGCGCTGCCAATCGGTCGTCTCTCTCAAGGGTCTGCCTTCCACTCTCCCGCGACTGGAGCAGCTCTTTCTACCATGCGGCTTGGAGAACATAGTCGGGTTGCCGATTTGCCTGGACAGACTGCGGAAGCTCGATCTGACGGCTTCGGTGAGACTCATGAACTTGGCCGGTCTGGCTGCCTCTTTGCCCAGACTCGAGACCCTTGCGCTGTCTCCATCTGTCGAAACACTGCTAGGGATGCCAGTGTCACTCGAATCACTCCAGGCCCTAGACTTGACCGCCTGTCGGCTGCTTACGACTTTGATGGGTCTGCCTGCCGGTCTGCCAAAGCTGGAGCGGCTTGCCCTCCCGGCATCGCTCGAGTCTCTTGAGGGCTTGCCGTTGTCCATGGACTCGCTCAGGCGAATGGATCTGTCTCGCTGCGACAGTATTCGTCGCTTGACTGGATTGCCGACTCATCTGCCTGTTCTGGGATATCTCTTACTTCCAAAGTCCCTCGAATCCCTGGATGGAATGAACATGCAGGGGATGCCGCGGCTCAAGCACCTTCGGCTCTCCAGCAAACTGCGATCTACTGCCGCAGTCCAGGAGCAACTGACCATCCTGTCTCACCACGCAAGTGCTTGTGCTGTGGTTCTCTATACCTCTCAATGAGCCCAGACTTTTCCATCCTTGGCAATGCCTGTGGAATGCAACTACTCTCGATCGCCGTGAAGGGCGCTGGCCCTTTGTCAACCCTCTCGAGTCTTGTACATCCCGACGGAACTTCGAGGCGCCTGTCGCTGGAGACGAGGTGATGAGAGACATGTCAAAGACCCCCATGAACATATCCGCATGACGCACATCGGGTGGCATCATCATGTCATCAACAGATTGTATTCTGCCATCAACGGACAATCCCCTTGGACATACTAAGCGAGCATGTGTATTCACAGCCGAGAAAACAAACTCCGTCATGGCACACTCAAGCAGGTGTGGTTGGCTCATTTTGCCGATGACGTCAGCGCCCAAAGTGTACCAGGGCTGCCCTTCCTTGCCTCGGCTCGGAATGGATTGGCAGGTTCGTTGCGGCTACAGCGACGATGAACCGTCAGGGTATCCTTGGCTGGCCGACCTCCGGCGCCACTCAGCCGCTTTGGCCTCGTCCTGGGCGACGCCCCGACCAAAGTGATAGCAGCAGCCCAGCTCGGACTGCCCCCAAGCATTGCCCTGCTCCGCAGCCTTCCGGAACCAAGCGACCGCCTTGATGTCGTCCGACTCGACGCCACGGCCCCAGTAGTAGCAATCGCCGAGGACGACCTGTGCAATGTCGTAACCTTGGCCGGCGAGTTCCTCGAAGATTGTGGCAGCCCGGCGCCGGTCCTGAGCGATGCCGATGCCCTCATGGAAGCAGCACGCCCACAGGAACTTGCCGAACCAGTGCAGGCTTGCGGCCATGGTGCACCACTCAAAGCACTGGACATGGAGCCTCGAATTGCCGCCAACTGCGCTGATCTCGGACCACAGCCGGCATCCTCGCTTCCAGTCTCGCTTGGTACCGCGGCCGACGAAATAGCACCACTTGAGCAGATGGCCGCCGAGGTTCTTGAGGTCTGCATCGGCCGAGCCGTCGTAGGCAGCTTGCCAACACAGATATGCCTTTTGGTCGCTCTTGGAGACAGCCAGGCCCAAGAACGAGACCCATCCGAGGTGAAACCGGGCCTCGAGATTGCCTGAGTCGGCCAGCTGCCGGTAGATTTGCGCGGCGATCTTCCAGTCTGGGTGCGAGGCCGGACGCTGGCTGTGGACGATAGCGTTGGCCGCCTCAATGTCGAGCCCGATGCTGTCTTTGCCGAGCGAATCGATGCACCGGTCGTCTCTGGCCAGGGCGTGGTCGAGAGTGGCGTGATCGGAGAGCAGGGGGAACTGCTTCGGGGTCAGAGGGCTCTCGACGACAGCTGCCAGAGGGCCGTCGACGGCGTGCGGCTCGATTTGGATCAGGACAGCTTCGTCAACCGGCGCTGCGAAAGGAGGACGGCCAGGGCTGAAGCCCCGGGTCGATCGCAATCGATCGATGGCAAGCAAGTCGACCGACAGGCCAGACCCAGGCGGAGGCGAGAAGGGAGAGACGGTCGTGGGATCGGGCCGGATGGCTGCCTCGAGGAGCCTTGCATCATGCAAGGACGGGATTGCGTGGTTGTCCATGGTCGGCTCTGGCACAGACTCGGGCTCGGGCACGGGCTCCACCAGAATTTGGTCGAGCGACCGATCTATCAGCGTCGGGCCGGAATGTGACGTTGAGTCCGAGGTGCGAGGCAGCGCACTTTGCTGTATCGGCCGTGTGGAGGCCTGCTGGGATGCCTGGGTCCGCAACGACGGGGGCCCGTGCACCGACGACGACGGGGTGATCGGCAGCTCGACAGGCTCATAGGACCGGTACGGCTGCAGAGCAGCAAGGATGGACGAAAACGACGGCCTCAGTGCATCGTCGTCTTGCCAGCACGAGTCGATCAGTGCCCAGATGTCGTCGGGTATGCCATCGGTCCGGCGCGGCCGCCTTCCCTGCATCAGCGACGACAGGATCTGCTGCTGCGTCTGGCTGACGCCCGTCGAGGTGGTCCAGATCCTGCCGTTGTGAAGCACCTCATAGAAGGTGATGCCGAAGGCGTAGACGTCTGATTTTTTGCTTGATCCGGTGGGCTCGTCCTTGCCGACGCCCAGCATCTCGGGCGCCATGTACTCCATCGTCCCGCCGGGGACTTGCTTGCGCGAAGCGCTCGAGGTGCTCTTGGTGCGGGACAGGCCAAAGTCGGCGACGACGCCGTGGCCGCCCGAATCAATAAAGACGTTGTCGCTCTTGAGGTCGCCGTGAACGATGTGATTGCCGTGTAGGTAGGCCATGCCCGAGGCGACATCATACATGAGTCGCAGCTTCTCGGCCAGGGGCCGGGCGGCGTCAGGGTTGGATACATGGTTCCGCAGCGTACCGTTCTTCATGAAAGGCGAGACCATGAAGGGCTTCTCGACGGTGTCGCAGGCGCCGAGGAGGGGGAGGATGTTTGGGTGGTTCAGGCGGTGCCAGACGCTGATTTCCCGGCGGAACTCGGCAATGGCAGCCTCTTCGTAGCTGCACAGGAGCTGCTTGATTGCGACGTCGGAACCATAGTAGGTTGCCCTGTAGACGAGCCCAAACCCGCCTCCGGCAATCGGGTTGGGCGACCAGTTGGTGACGGCGTTGAAGGGAATGCGCCAACTCTCGGGCTGGATGGACCTGGCGACAGCCGATGCGCTCTGGAGGGCCTCCAGCAGGAGAGCGGCAGACGGAGCCATGGCTGGATCGGCATCTTGGACCAGGGTTTGGAGAACGTCGGTGATGCGGCGGATCTGCCACTCGTGCTGTCTGTCGAGAAGGATGTCCATCTCAACAAGAGCAGCAGTGCGGTCCTGGAGGAGCAGATCCCTGAGCCGCTGTAGCGAGAGCCGCTCCTGCTCTTCGTCCTGGCGGATGGCGCTGCTCAGCGCTGTATCATCGAGGGCGGGTTCTGCAGTCGCACCCGGAGGAGATGCAATGCCCTGCAGCAGCCCCGTCAGCTCACCGAGGAAGACTTTGACCTTCCTGCGAACCCGAGGGGCCTTGAAGATTCGCTCACTCTTGGGACACCACCGCACTTGGTCATTGTACCAGCGAACGATGCGCTCAAAGAGGGCAGCGAGCCGATCGGCTCGTTGACGAAACAGAGCTTCATCACCGTCGAGTCCGCTCAAGACTTGCACCGCTTCATAGGACTTGCCCGAAAGGACGGCCCAGACTCGAGGGCTTTCTTGAATACTTGCGGCGGCCGAGGCGAGGGCAAAGGCAGCCTGATACGCCTTCAGCCGCGGATTGTTGGGAGATTGATGCTGAACCAGCGCACCCAGCCTTGCGGCGACTGAAGAGGAGTTGAGGGCCATATCGACAATAGGCGCAGAGCCAGCTCGAAGGAGATGCAGGATAGCAGCGGAAGGAGGATGTGTGGAGGGCGAAGGTGCAGCGGCGGTGCGAGAGCTTTTATGGACTCCGGCGGGCATGCGTTTGGACGGATTGCGCTTGGCCGGGGGGGGGTGCTTGACCAGGGTTGTTTTTGGCTGCTTGTGGATTGCGATAGCTGCTTCGAGACAGCGAGGGGGATCAATCGCCGTGCCGAAGGCGAGCATGTGAGGGATTACTGGCATTGACAACGTCTGCATCGCCCGGACACCGGCCGAGCCGCGGGCTGCTGCGATACAGGCTCTGCAGAAGATACAGGCCACGCAGAATGCCGCAACAGCGACTCTGTGATATGCTGCAGGCGTCGCCATCGAGGCTTGCGGTGGTGCTGCCAAGAAGAACGCAGGCATGCGGGATGCTCACCTGTGGCATGACGGGGCGACTGAGCCGTGGGAACCAGCCATGTTGGCGCTGACCCGCTGGCTGGCTGTTGTCGGAATGGTTTCGGGTGTTTGAGCACGGAAAGGCTGCCCCAGGTCATTGAAGGATCTGCATCCTTTCCCGTGCGGGCTTGGGTGTGAGTTTCGGACGAATGGCTTGGGCTGGCTGTCCAGAGCCGCAGCGAGAGATGACGGCCATGCAGCCGCGCATATGACCAAATCGCAGCGAGCTCGAGTGCTGCGGTGTCTTGTGCTCTTGGCTCTGAGGAGGAGAGGCGAATTGTCGGTGGCCATGTCCGCGGACTGATCACCACGACATGATTTGACGGGCGGAGATGCATAGCCTGAGGGGAGGGGCGGGCATTCAACTCCGGGCGAGGCAAGGGTTCAGACATCATCGAGGCCATGTCGACGCATCCGTCGAAACCATGTCGCTTGCTCCTCCCTTGGGCAACAGACCCGCCGGGATTAGCTTGGAGACATCCAGGAAACGTATCCACCCATCTGAGCTCATACCGCTACAGTTCCCTCGGTTTTTGGGGCCAACCTTGGGGCTGATATGAACAAAATGTTGGTGGCCGCTCAATCATCGTTGCTGTCAGCCGTATGCATGAGTGGCGTCGGGGGAGGGAGGGAGGATTGTCATCCCTGAAGTCTATACAGTCGCCGGCGCAAAACGGCCAGTGCCAATCACAGACATATGTCGCTCGGGATCCGCCCTATCTGCAGACGAACGAGCATCTTGATGTCATCGAAATGAGCGCAACTGGCTTGCGTGGCAGCGGTCGAGATCCTCGGGCCTGATGTCAGCGGACGAGCAGGCTTCAAGTGAGAGAGAAAAAGGGAGGGGGTCGGTGCCCTCAGACCTCAGTTCTTCGTCCTCCAAGCACCGACTCCTCGACCAGTCGAACTTGACCTGGCAGTCAGAGGTATCCAGACTAACTATTGTGCAATCGAAGTAATCGAAGCAAGGGTAGCAGGTGAAGCAATTAGGACCATCGAGGCAAGTGGAGCAATCGAAGCAACTAGGACCATCGAGGCAAGTGGAGCAATCGAACTCTTCTTCAAAACCAAGTCCTCAGTAGCGCCGCACTTGCTCTTCGCTACGGCCACAAACGTACCAGCCATCCGCTCCAGCCATTACTTGCGGCCTCGAGGCAAACTACTCGGTCATGAACAATAACGACGACCTCGAGAGCCAGCACTCAATGGAAAGCAATCGGAGTGTGGACATGACTTCCACTGTCCCGCTTGGCACCCCGATTCTCAGCGCCCCATTCGAAGAGCGTCCAAGAACCCTCTCGAATGGGAGATCACAGCAGCGATTCAGCCTGAGCCATGCCTCCGACGTGGGCCCAAAGAAACCGGGCATGGAGCTCTGTTCGCCACCCCCAGACCGGGTCTGGAACGACAAGGCCAAGCCCCTGCTCAAGTCCGAGAACCGAGGCAGCACCAGCTCGATGCCCGCTGGGAAGCGAGCACACCGAGCCTCGACACCGGAAAACCTCTACCGCGAGCATCCCATCGCTATTTTGATCAAGAGGACAAAGGCCAGTATCATGGACTCGGCGGTCTTCAAGAAAACGATCCTGTTTCTATCGGACGAAGTGACTCGCGTGATATTTTGGCTGGCCATCGCCGTGGTCGCCCATGCCTTGGTTACTGGTGTGTTCATTGTCGCCCTGTACACCGTCATGCCCGGCATCTGGGTCTACAACTTTCTCCAGCTGTTTGTGATTGCCTGTGCCCTGCTCGCCCACCACGCCGGTACCCGCATCTCGGACATTGTTCGCCTGTCGATCACTGCAAGTGAACTTGTCCGCGGCAAAATCACGCTCGCCGAAACGGCCGACTTTTGGGTCAAGGGAAAGAAGAGCCCTGGCTACAGCATCATCCAGATCAGCAACTTTATCGAGGTTGTCTCGGAGCTGATCCTGATTGGATGCAGTATCTCGTTCGTGTGGGACGCCACCGAGACCTTCCTGCTCCAGGGAACATGCAATCCGCCAAACTATGTCGGCTCGGTCCTGTCGCCCAACATTGCCATCCAGCAGTTCATCCAGGGCGACGCCGACTTTGCGACCGTGTACAACTACGGACTGCCGCTGTCGGACGGAATGATCGGCGCCTGGGCCGGCTGGCCGATGAACAACCCAATGAACGCATTCATGATCGAAGGCGAGGGACCAGTCTACATCATCCAGGCCCAGTGCAACAACGGCATTGTCCAGCCATCGGTCGACACCCAAGGCGCCTCCATGATCTCGAGCACCGTTCTCTCGTCAGACAGCCGCGGGTTCATGCTCGAGATGCTCATCACGATGCCGCCAGGCAGCGTCTTTGACGACATTGCCCAGACCGTCGTCAACTCGACCTACCAACAAGAATGCTCCGTCTTTGTCCAGGTTGGGGTTGGGGCGATCCAGTACAGCTTTGTGTCGGACCAGTGGTCGATGGTGACGGGCGGCCGGCTGGTGGCAGTATCGAATCCCTCGGGCTCGTTCTCGGTGGCCTATCCGACATCGATTTCGACCTTTTCGCAGACAGCCCAGTTGGCCTTCCGCGAGACCACCGACACCTATGGAGTTCTGCCGCTGATCCAGCAGAGCGTGCTCCAGTCCATCCTCAACGCCAGCTACTACCCATCCCAAGGCGCCACCTTCTGCAACTACCTCTCGTGGGCAACCTATCCCGACGGATACTACCACACCGAGGCCATGTATCGGGGCGTGACAGCTGGGATCGGGTCGTCGGCGCACTATGCCATCATGCAGTACAATCCGTCGCTGACGGTCGACTGTAACTACTACGGGTTTGCCGGAGCCGGAATGCTCTCGATTCCACCGCTCCCGATCATCATCGCAGCGATCGGCTCGGCAACAGCGATCTTGAGCAAGATTGCCGAGATCATCTACTGGGCGACGATGCGGGCGACCAAGAAGACGCCTGGATTCATTGAGGCTCGCCGAGCGCTCCAGCACCCGATGCGCTTTGCTCTCGATACCGCTCACACGCTCTCCAAAATCCAAAGCAGCGGCTCGGACGACTACTGCAACGCCACGACGCGCCGATCGATTCGGGCGATCGGGAAGAGGGCTCTACGGTATGGCGAGGACATCAATACGTGCGAGAACGAGGTCGGGCACCTCCAGATCGGTGAGGCCGGGTTCATCTCGATGGTCAAGGAGGAGAAGATGTACGGCAGCTTCACGCCAACGCAGCATGTCGAGTGGGACAACTTTACGCAAAACAACTGATTGTCTGGCGGGGACGAGACGGGAGACAGATGGCAAATGCCTGCAGGCAGTATGTCTCGATGTGGTTTCGTTGTTGGCGAAGATTAGAATAGTTTGATGCTTATGTGCGCACCAGGACAGTCTCCTCCGATAATCCCGGCATTCACGAAATAAAACGGGCTGTTCTGCTGCAGTGCGGTTCTGCTTTGAATCGTCTGAGGCACTTGGCTGGTGGCATCGTGAATGATCGTGGGAGTTGGGCACTGCGACTGCGCTTGGGTTGGCCAACCATCCATCTGCCCTAAAAAGGCAAGTCTCGCGCGCCATTCCCTCGGCCGTCCAGCCTCGTTGCCCGCACTGCCCGCATCGCTTGCATCGCCTGCATCACTTGCATCGGCCCCGACAAATCCTGGGCCGGACTCTGGATCCTATCGCCGTCTGTGAGGGCATTCCGCTTGCTGCATCCGCAGGTCACAACGAACATTTCATCATCAAACACTCGGATCGTGGGCCAGGATGACACCCAAAACTCTTCCGCAGCAGCAGCCATCGGTTCGCACCTATCTGACTCGGTCGAGGAAGGCATCGCTGCCGTCACAGGCGGCCGCCGCTGCAGGCCTCGGAAAGCACGACTCTCAGGCCACCAGCGAGTCGCCTCTTCCCCGTCGCAATTTGCGCAAGCGACCTTACGGCGACCTCGCGACCCCGACCAAACTTGTCGACGACTCCCTGTCTGCCTCTCCGGCCCCGAAAGAGTCTCGCGTTCTCAAGCGACGCAAACTGAAGATCAAAGATGATGTCGAGGATGGATCAAGCGAGTTTGCCGAGGACCAGATTCGTGGAAAGGAGCTGGAGGCCCCCAGAGAGCCCCCCGTGCGGTCGAGCATCGTGCCTGCTGCACCGGCTCTCTCCGAAGTATCTGAGGCCCCGCCCGTCCCGCTGGACATCATCCAACGCCAGACCCGCATCGCTCAAGACCCAACGAAACCTGTCCCACAATCACGCCTTCCGCCCGACAGTCCCGTCCTGTCGACATTCGACGGCCCGCCGTCCGTGGCCGAGCCTTCAGCGGAGCCGTCCGTCAAGCCTGTCGAGCGGGCATTGCGGAATGTCAAAGCCAGCGATGCGGCAGATCGAGCCAAGGCCCCAACCGAGACTGAACTTGAGTCTCCAGATGCAGGCAGCATCCATGACCATATTAGCATTCTCGAAGAGAAACGGTTCGTGGCCGACGAAAGCAGGGAACAAGAGCGTACGCGAGGACGTGGAGTAGTTGAGCTCGTGTCGATGGGCTATGGCCCGATTGATTGATGGCTGCAGGTCAACGACTGATCTTCGGTGCACTTTCATCCAGGCTGGCCTATCTCGACCGTCGACTCAGCCTCGACAAATCACTGAGCCGTCAGGCAGCCGCGCCGACCCTGTTTCGGACTGTGGCCCCGACCCATCTCTCCGCGAGTGCATCATCACTCTACACCCAGATCGGCCAAGTCGACAGCAAGCTGAGTCTGCCACCTAAATACGAGGGCCTGGAGCAGCAGTTTTGCGAGCTGGAGCGGGCCCTGGCACTATTTAAAGCTCGGGACAAGGCGGCCAACTTTGAAGACCTGAAAGTCACAATCCGACTTGCCTCACGATCGTACGTATCCCATCGCAAGTATTTTTAAGGGCTGTAGGGCAGTTCGAATGCGCCATGGAGCGACAAGCAGCATGGTCGCGTTATACGATTATCACAACGTGTTCTGGAGGGAGGGAGGTGTGATTGAGGAAGGAGACACACCTATGAACAAGCCGATCGTTGCCTACGGACGCGTGGACGGCGGCTTCCTTGCGTGTGCATGGGCCATGTGGGCTTGATCGCCGTGTGCTCATCCCTTGGTCAACGCTATATTAACATGTGCCGTTGCGATGATGAATACGACAGGTCGTTCGACTTGAAGGAGCTTGGCCAGATACGGACGGTTTATCCCAGCGCCTACACTTATACCCCCATCCGCCTCAGCAAGTCCGGGACGAGCATCTACACGCTGAAGCTTGCCATACCCGAAGCCTCTGTCCGCGGAGAATCGACCTCCGCTGAGATGCGTTCGTCAACGGCGCAGACACTAGTCGATGGGCTCATCGACCAGGCTATGATTCACCAAGCCCTCAAATCATCCAATACAGCCGATCGCCGAATGAACTTTCACCAATCGCTACTTGCGCGGGTGAAGCGATACCACCGGGTATGCAACCGCGACATGTCGATGAGATGGAGTGAAGGATGCGGGGGTAAATCACAACGATGGGCCGGCAGCACGCTGTTCCTCGCGAGTTGCTGATGAAGGTTGGTGTCGCTGATGATTGTCAACAGGAGTATCTGGACTCGCTGAGCCTTGGGCTTTCTCAGCGCGACGAGGATCTGTATCGATGGCATCCAAACTTCAAGCTCGATGATGTCCCGGAGATTCCAAGCGCTTCGTTTCCCGAGCTGACGGAACTCGAGAACAAGACGCGGATGGTGCTGCTCAAGGTAAGGTCCGCACTTCAGGGCGAATCTTGGATATCTGATGGACCAGACCGGTGCACTGGGTCAAGTATGAGTCGGGCAATGGGACTGGAGAGGTTACGCGGAAGGGTTCACGGTCACGGACTGACCGATGCACTCATTTTGGCAGGCACGAGGTCTGTATCGAAATCGAATGGTACTTTCGCCTTCACCATCGCCATCTCCGCGGATACCGCCGTCGCCTGCTGTCGCAGACGTGTCCGTGATGAATCTAGATAGAGACGGTTGCGCGGAGCCTAGCAGTACCGCTGCTACCACGCTTTCCAAAGCGACAAACGATATTGCACCCCGGCCCATCGATGCTTTGACGGCTCGACCTGAGAGCGGAGCAGTCGTTCCGCTGAGCGAAGCCACGAGGAGTCCCTCAAGCGAGTCCCCAAGCGAAATGACTGGGGGCAGGAAGCAGATCCAAGATCGGCACACAGCGATGCTGGAGAGGGTGAGTCTCACCACAGCCAGTCATTGCGGCGATGGTGGTCGGATCTGCAACAGAGGCAGCCCAGAGGGTCGGGCTGACACGACTGTGGTAGGTTGGATCGATTCCGCATTATTGATGCACTGTTCACGTTCAGATCCGCGAAAAGAGTCGCAAAAAGCAGGAAGAGGAGATCTTCAAGCCCGACCCCAAGGTTGCGCGAGAGACCAAGCTGGCTAGCCGACTGCCGGACATGGTGCGGACGCTCAAGAGGTATGCCGTGTGCGTCTGCTAGTCTGTTCGGTGATGGAGCGAGACCCAGCGATGACTGACTGTGATGGTGGTGTGATATAGCTACTTTTTGTCGAACAAGAAGCACACACTGCCATGGAAACAGGTATCCGTGCACCTGATGCAGGCATCCAGGAACTTGATGACGATCCGTAAGTGATGCCACACAGTAACTGCGGCAGATGATGCGGCGATTATGGTGCACCTACTGACGCGCAACTCGTTCTTCCCGACACGATCAGTCGACATCAGCGATGCGATTGTGTTGCTGAACAAAATCGCGCCAGACTATATTCAAAAGTTTGAGCTCGGCATGAGCAAGGAGACGATGATCAAGACAAACAAGGACATTGGGCTGGCTGACATTCTCGAGCGCATCAGCCAGTGGAAGAGGGAGCGGGGCATCGAGACACTGTGAGGCGCTGGGCGAGCGCACGTCGAGCATGGTGTGAGGCCCGCTTGGCTCCGCCGAACCAGACACTGTATCCGATGCTGCTATGTACGTCCCAGGAAGCACAGCTCATCCGAGGACAAGCGAGAAGCCGAAAAGAATGTGTGCGTTGCCGCTGTGGCCTCGCTGGCGCTGAATCTTGCGTTGGGCCTTGCGCCAAGTCCCAGTCCTGATGGATCCTCGTCTGTTTGGCGCATGCCTCGAGTGGCGGTGCAGTTGGCGTTTGTTTGTGTGTGCGCCATTGGACGGCCAATCCGTGGCCGGCCGCGGGTGGTAGCACACACACACACACACACAATAGATCCACAGAAACAGTGCGCGGCAGCACACACGTTGGCTGGAGCCACACAATCCGGCTGCAGCCAGCCAGCCGTCGCGGCCTTTGCTTCGCCTCGCCTTTTGTCTTTGGCTCGCATCGCAACTTTGCCCTCCCCTCGCTTGACTCATCTGCACTTCCCACTCCCCTCCCGCCATGGCTGACGAAGAGCTTCTCCCCACCAACACCACCGGCTACAAGGTCGGTGCCAAGAAGACCGCTGCCGAGCTCGCCCAGCTCGACGCCCAGGATGGTAGGTCGCTCTGGGTTGTCTGTCTGTTGTCCTCCAGTCTCTGGTCATTCCCCGCGGCGGTGTTGTCGTGCTGCAGCCAGCTCTGCTTGTCCGCTGCCATATCTTGGTACCCCTGTTCCCGGGGCGACTGCAAGATCTGTCGCAGAGTCTGCATCGTGTATCACTTTGTCCATCATGCATTCTATTGTTGCACCGCGACCACAACAATCGCTGCTGCCTGGGTGGCGTCGCAGCTGCCTCGGCTTGCACAATCAGTTGATTTGATGTCGTCTGCCTGGCAGCATCACATCGGCGAGCTTGATACCCAGCGCTGTGTGGTATCCTTGCCGGCTTTCTCCTCGGGAGTCGCGTGAACTCCCGTTGCCGAAGCGGATCCAGTTTCGCGCAAGCAGCAGCAGCAGCAGCAGCAGCCCAACAGACCGCTGACCCTCGTTTGCGTCCCACCTCTTGTCTGCCTCAGAGTCCCTCCGCAAGTGGAAAGAATCCCTGGGTCTGGGTGCCGCTGGTGCTGGTAGGTTTGACGAGCCGGCTTGCTCGTCTGGCCGGAAGACCCTGCCTGGGCATGATGGCTTTTGCTGGCGGTCCCATCGAGAGTGGCGCGCTGTCGACACAGTCTGACGATTATCCTCTGTATACAGCCTCCAACGACCCCAGAAACGTCGTCGTTCTCGCGCTTGCTATGGAGGTTGTCGGCAGAGAGGATGTTATCCTCGACCTGTCCACCCCTGGTGAGTTTATCGTGGCGATCGTTTTCGTCGTGGCCCGGGTCGAGTCGAGCTTGCATCGTTATCGAGTCGCCAATCGCTGACTCCCTCTTGTACGGATGGGGGGGGGCGCCAGATGCCCTTGGTCGCCTGAAGGACCAGTCCATTTGCATCAAGGAGGGCATTGAGTACAGACTCAAGGTCAAGTTCCGGTGCGTACCACCGAGGGTCATTGGCTTCTTTGAGCCAAGAGCGCATTGCTATTGATGCCGACGATGTGTGGTGGGGCCCATCGCCGTTGATGTGGGCTGCTGTTGCAACGGCATGTATCCATATATTGATCATGGCTGATTCTTGTGGCTGTTGATAGCATCAACCACGATGTCGTCAGTGGTCTGAAGTACATCCAGATCGTCAAGCGCGGCGGTATCCGCGGTAGGTATCCTTTGGCGCTGAGTGTGATGTCCTGCGGTTGGCTCGCGTGATCCTAATGCACAGCTTGGCTCAATGCAATGCGCCCATCCAGTTGATCGTATGGAAGAGATGCTTGGCTCGTATGGCCCCAACACTGGTAAGCTTTGCTCCTGCTGCCTGATATTTTCGCCAAGGCACATTGATTGAGCGCACCTCTCCCCGCTGGCGTATGGCATCCTGACCTTCCCCAATGGAATCCAACTTGCCACACATGATGCTCAGCTCCCTACGAGAAGAAGGTAAAACTGGAGCTGAGACTACCGGTTTGATGGACTCGGCGGCGCTTGTTCCATCCGTGCTCGCTGGACCGCGCGACAGATAACTGACCCACCACCCCCCCTCCACGGCTTAGTTCATGGTCGAGGAAGCTCCCTCTGGCATGCTCGCTCGCGGCCACTACAACGTCAAGGTGTGTATGCGCTCACTCCCGATGTCGGACACAACCTCATCGTGCTGGGCCAAGCCGACAGCTCCGTGTCGAATGTAGCTGTTTTGCTGGGCAAGCTCCCAGCCCCTGCATGCTGTGCTCTTCTGACAAAGATTTGCCATGTCGTCTCGCTGTCCAACAGAGTGGCTTTGTCGACGATGATGGCCACACCCATCTTGAGTGGAACTGGGTGAGTAGCGCGCCCTTCGCAGGCCTGTTGGTGCTTGCCGATTGCTGCGCGAATGATTCGTAGGCCCAGAGAGGCATGCAGTTGCCTTTCGAAATGCTGACTACTGGTCGAACCTACCTCTGCGTTTTCAGGCTTTTGATATCAAGAAGGACTGGGAATAAGCATCGGATTGTCGAGTCCCCCCCCCACACACACACCGCCAGAATGTACCCGCTCCTCTCTCCCTCCCTCCCTCCGCCTTGCACTATTCGAAAGCCTGCTCTTGGCAATAGCGACAATGGCGGCGATGCTGAGTTTGTCCGGTAAAGTCTTGCCCAAATCTCCCTGTTTTGAATGGGTTGGTTGGCAACGGCGCCAGTCTGGACTGAACCCAAGGCACCGCTGTCGGCGTCGTCCATCCCAAGCGGCATAGCTTGAGCTGTATGAATTTGTAACCCATAAAATATACACATACGAATCCAATCAAACGGATCCCCCGTCCGCTGGAGAGTTGAGGCATTGGAATGGGCTGAGGGTGTCGGCTGGGTCTCGGTCGGCCACGTCTTTGCGCCGACGACGAAATCCTCATCGCCTCCGCTCCTTGGACCAGATCGTGCTTCACAAAAGACTCTTGCAACCCGGCTCCGCTTCAACCAACGCTCAACATGGACGAGACACACCGGGCGCCCAAGAGCAGCTGCCACCCAGAGTCATCGTCGTCCCTGCCGCTTTCGTGGACAGCCGTTTTCTGCGCTTTGCTCTCGTCTTCGTGCTGTGTGATCCAGCTGGCCCTGAATGCCCTCTCGTTTTCGTGCGCTGGGTGAGTTTCGCCATCGCTCGGCTCGGGGAAGGAGCCCCTCTTACCTCCATAGCATGAATCGTTTCCTTGGCGAATGCGAGCGGGCTGGCGGTCTCGTTCGCTTGGCTAGCCCATCCCCCATGTCCAACATCGACTATTGAACCGCCTTCCCCCACGCCGAACAGCTTCTCTGTGTTGACGCCCTATCGAGCGCACTTTGCCTCCCTGGCTGTGGCCCTCCACACACTGCGGATGTGGAGCCCGGCCCGTCCGGGTGGACCGGTCGGCTTCAGATGGCGGTCTCTGGCGCCGCTGGTGCTGTCGGCCCTGCTGATGGCATCTCCTGAGGTTGTGGCCTTCTTCAACACCCACGACATCCAGCCGATTCGGGGCGGACTGCCCAGCCCGTGGTCGCTGTGGACACCGACGGCCCTGGGTTGGCGGCCGCTCTGGGCTCCAACTCCAACAGAGCCGCAAGCTCGTGTTCAAGTTCATTCTCCTTTTTCCATTGCCCCAGAACGTCCGGAAGGAGATGATGCAGAAGAGTCGAGAAACCCGGTCTCACCCAAGGGAAAGCGCCACGAAGAGCAACGGATCCAGCTTCCCGAGTCAAAGCGGCAGCAGATCTGCTGGATATACAAGTTTGCGGTGCAGGGCATCCAATGCGAAGGATGCGCCAACAGACTCAAAACAGGGCTCTATCAAAAGCTTCAGCGCCGGTCTCGCCAAGCGCTGGACCAAACACTATCGGCATCGGCATCGGCATCGGCATCGGCGCTCATGGAGTCCGTCAGGATCGATATTGATCAAGTCCGCGTGCTTTTCGCAGAATCAACGGTCACCGTCCAGACGAGGACAGGCTGGATCAAGACACCGCCATCGCAGCTGGAAGATTCGGAGTGGGAAGAGCGGCTGGACCAGTGGGTCGTTGACGCCGTCGTGGAGGCGACCGCCGAGATTGAGTTTCGATATGTGGTTGCGGCGATGGGCAAGCTGGGGTGTGCGTGATGCGATGGATCGGTGCTGGATCGGTGCTGGATCGGTGCTGGATCGGTGCTGGATCGGTGCTGGATCGGTGCTGGATCGGTGCTGGATCGGTGCTGGATCGGTGCTGGGTCGGTGCTGGATCGGTGCTGGGTCGGTGCTGGCTTCTCTCTCGCTGTCCTGCTTTTGGTTCTTGTGCACAGCGGAAACGGCAAATTGAATCGGGCCAACGGAGAATGGCTTCACGTGACACCATGCCTGCCACGACCAGGGTGCCCAGCTGCCGTGTGGCACCGCGCACGTTGGGTGACAGCCGCCGCCCTGGCGCGCCGGCGCGGGGCCCACGTTCCGCCGGCGACCAATCGGCGGCGCGTCAGAGTGACACAGAACCGGACACGTCACGCGCGCTCGTCCGTCTTCGTCCCTCCGCTTTCCCCTTTGCCTGGTCGTCTCCGACTCCCTCTTGCCACCTGCCCTTTGCCCGCTTCGGTCGCTTTTCCTGTCGCCTGGCTCGCCCTTTTTGGCACCTCGCCATCGATTCGGGGCGTATTCTACTCGGAAGATACCCCATCCAGCCCGCATCGCCCGCATCGCTCAACTCGTCCGTCGTCACCCACCAGGCCCTGCTCTCATGGAAGTTTCGGCTCTTGTCAGCCAGGCAGTGGCGCTCGCCCGCAAGACTCCCCACGGGCCGCTCTCCGCCGCTGTCCAAGAGTCGCTTAGCCTGCTCTCTGGCCTGGCCTTGATTGAGGAAAACACCAGCTCCTGCGGCTTCCTGGCCAATGCTTCCTTTGACCTTCTTCAGACGCTCGTCCGGCTCCCGCCGGAAGCTCCCGCACAGGCCAGTCTGGCCGGCCGCTTGCAGCAGCTTCACGGCCGCATGCTTCAGTTTGTCGCCGGTCTGCGGGCTCGCCCCAGGATCGCAGCTCTGTTTGGCGGCGAGCAAACCCGCAGCTCTATTCGGCAGTTTTGCATCCACCTAGGCTCGCTCTGGGAGGGCATCGCTCCCGTCCTCCCTGCCCAAGATGTCCACAGGATTGACTTGGCCAAGCTCGAACAGGTCCTGAGAGCCGATCAAGTCCTGGAAGCCAACCTGATCGCCAGCATCACCGAGCTCCTCCAGGCAAACGACTCGGCTGCCCTCGACAAGGCCGGGATCACGCTGAACATGCTCGAATGGCAGATCCGCCAAGCGACGCACTCGCTCCTTAACCTTGTTGACGACGACCATGTTCCCGCCGACCTGGTGGAGACCACAATCGCGCCGCTGCTTCAGATGCTCCAGCAACAGTTTCCCGCAGCCCGATCGATGAAGAAAGAAAACTGGCGGATTTCGCCTGGAGACATCACCGACATGTCGCAATACCCCATCGCCCGCGGCGGCTTTGGCGAGGTCTTCAAGGCATCCTACTTTGGCTCCGACGTTGCCGTCAAGCAGCTTCTGGCCAGCTACAGCGAGCGCGAAATTGTCGAGTTCCGCCGCGAGATCGACATCTGGCACAAGCTCAACCATCGCCACATCCTCCCGCTCAACGGGGCCTGCGATATCTCGGAGCGACCCTTCATGGTTTCGCCTTTCATGCCCAACGGCACCCTTCACAACCATGTGACCGAGCCCGGCCACAGCCGTCCCTTGGCCGAGAAGCTCAGATTGATGTACCAGGTGGCCTCGGGAATGACCTATCTCCATGGCAAAAACATTGTCCACGGCGATCTCAAGCCCGCCAATATCCTCCTCGACGTTGGATACCGCGTCGTCATCTCTGACTTTGGCTTGTCTCGCACCAAGTACACATCGTCCACCGCAAAGCGGGTCAAGTCGGATGCAGGCGCCGGGGGCACCTTTGAGTACATGGCACCCGAGATGCTGGATGAAGAGGACCCCTGCGGCGCCAACAAGAAAACCGATGTCTACGCCTTTGCGATCATGTTTTATGAGGTGCTCGGCGATGGACGAAGCATATGGGTTACCAACGACGGCCAGCCGATGCGGGAGAAAGCGATCGCCCTCCGGATCGCCCGGGGCAAGCGACCGCTGCGATTCGATGGCATCCCGGACGAGATTTGGTCGCTCATCGAGCACTGCTGGGACCACGATCCCGATCGCCGCCCCGGTTTCGCCGAGATTCTTGGGGTTCTGGAGGACTACAAGAACGATGCCCCGCCTGATAAGGGCCACATTCGCAACCACCCCTCTGTCGGCAGCTCCATTTGGAATACCCTGTCCCTGGACCGCCCCTCGGATGGCAGCGCATCCCTCGATCGGCCCTCTGGGGAGCCCGCGTCAAGAAATCCTCTCTCTGCACCGGCTTCCGCATCGGTCTCTGGATCTGCCTCTGTGCCTGCCTCTGCTTCTGCCTCTGCCTCTGCCTCTGCATCTGCATCTGCCCCGGCCCCTGTAGCAGCAGCTCTGAGCGACCGCAGGCGTCTCCTCACAAAGCCGTCGTTTCATTCAGACGACTCGTGGGCCAGGAGAACAACCGATCTGTTGCTGGATCTCCAGTCTGATCCCTCGGACTCGATCGCCCAGTCGCCCAGCCGCCCCCCGTCAACGCGGAGCGGGGTGTCGGGCCTGAGCAACACACTCCACCGCGATGGCTCTGCTTGGAGCGATGCCGACTCGATACACGGCAACGAGCAGCCGAGTCGACCCGCTTCAAGCCAGGGCACCGCGGGGCGGATGTACGAGAGGCTTGTCTCGTTCGATGACTCCGAAGCCGGCTTCCAGCTCGGCTGGCTCTACCTCACTGGCACGGGAGTTCAGCAGAGCGACCGGGATGCCTACATGTGCTGGAAGCAAGTCTTCACGCGATCGACCGATCCCATCCACAAACCCATCGCAACCTTTATGATCGGCTGGCTGTACTACCTCGGCCGCGGACTCCGCCAAGATAAGCAAAAGGGAATCGAGTTTATTCGGCAGAGCAAAACCGCAGAGTTTGATCTTGGAGAAGAAGAAGTCATGTCCCCCGAGACTCCAATCTCGTCCAAATCGGCCGCTGCACAGACGCTGCTTCAGCTGTGCCTGTTTGGCGCAGATCAAGACTGGCTCTGCAACCACTTGGCCGCCATATGCCTCGCCTCTGGATTTGGCACCGCCAAAGATCCGCACAGAGCCTTCCAGAAGCTGCAGGCGTTGGCCAGTCAGGATTATGATATCAGCCAGTATTGGCTCGGGGTCTGCTACGGCAAAGGGTGGGGCGTGTGTGCCGACCACGAAAAGTTCTTCCAGTGGTGCCGCAAGTCTGCCAACCACGGCAACGCCTACGCCCAAGACATTGTCGGCCGATGTTACGAGCAAGGCTGGGGCGTGAGCCGTGATCCCTCCCGAGCCGTCGAGTGGTATCAGGTCTCGGCCAAGCAAGGAAACCGCTACGGCCAGTACAGCCTCGGCCTGTGCTATCAAGCTGGGACGGGCATCGCCAAGGACGAGGTAGCAGCCGTGCGGTGGTGCTTCAAATCAGCCGAGCAAGGGTACGACCACGCCCAGTTCAGCCTGGCGATCTGCTATCGGAACGGCCACGGAGTGCCTCGAAGCTTTACCAAGGCTGCCGAGTGGTGCACCAAATCGGCAGAGCAGGGAAACTTGGACGCGCAATGTATCTTGGCCTCGTGCTTCGAGAAGGGCACCGGGGTTAGCCCGAGTTTTGAAACGGCTGCGTATTGGTACGGGAGGGCAGCGGCAAGAGGCCACCGCGCCGCGATCGAGAGACTGCAGAAGCTCCGGATGCGAGGCCTGGTGGTTTAAAATGGATGACTTGACTGTCCAACGTTGACACAGGGAGCCTGCTTTTGTTTCAATAAAAGAGCGAATTTATGCAATCGAGGGGACGTCAAAGCCGCTGCCGACAGTAACGAATATAGCGATGGGTGTGTGATGTACGATGCATGATGGATAGATGGATAGATGGGTAGATGGATAGATGGATAGGTGAACGGACTGCTTCCGTTTGACGAGCCACTCCATGCGCGCAGAATGGATTGAATAGCCTGCGTCGAGGTGCTTCATAGTGCTGAGAGACAACTTGGGAGATATTACAGGAATGCCATCCCTGGGTCAGCCTCCTCACGTGTGGATGCTACACTATATTCAGAAAAAAACGGGACAATATAGCCGTTTCCATGAACATGTAGTATGTGATGGCATGCGTCAAGCAAAGCCACAAGAAATAAAACAGATCACTTTGGCAGCCTCCGAGTGAAGACCGCCGGTCGCTCTCCGATCTCCACAATCGACCTGCACACTGTGATCATGTTGCGCGCCGCGTTGACGTCGCGATTCCACACTGTCAGACAGCTGGGATTCTTGCAGCTCCTGACAAAGTGGGAATTCGCAACACTGGGCGCATCGAGTCCTTCCAACCGAACTGGCTCCAGGCACTTGGAGCACACTTGCGAGGTGTTGAACTCGTTCGTCGAGGCCACCTTGACGCTTCCATGAGGGTGATTGGGCCGGCGTCGGTGGTGCTCGAACTGCTCAAAGTACCGAGCAAACCGCTGCCTCCGAGGGCTGGATGCATAGCCCTTGCCTTGTCGCCATGACGCATTGCCAAAGGCGATCACCACATCGGTCCGTATTGGGGCGTGCTTCAGGACGGCCTTGCACATCCTGTCGACGGCCACTTGGCGCCTCTTGTGGCCCGTGAATCGATGGTGACGGGCCTTCTTGCCAAGGTGGAAGTCGAGCTGCACTCGCAGCTCCGGTCGCAGGACATGGGTGAGATGGACCTTGAAGGCCTCCGAGGACGACACCTTGGGCGAGGGAGTGGTCGACATCCAGGTCTCGATATCGAGTCGCTTCTTCATGGTATTGTGCCACCTGTGGCCACACATGTGCTGGTAGTGGCCATTCGAGAACGAGACCACCTCGTCTTGGTGGCCCGGTGCTTGGATGACCGCCGTGAAGATGGAGCCGACTCCAGGATCGATGCCAATCCAAGTGGTGCGGTTGGGGTCTGGGTCTCCGATGTGGGCCTGGATGCGCTGCTCGGCAGTCGGAGGAGGCTCGGAGGTCTCGGTGCGATCGGTTCGAGGCAGAAACTTGACGAGACCGATGGTGCATCCAATGCCATCGGTGCTGATCTCGTAGTTGAACAGCTTGTGATTGATATCCCGGTCACGGAAGAGGGAACTACGCAGCTTGAAGCAACTGCGCCAGAGACGATCCTGGTTGTTGATGCCGTCATCACCTTCTTCCTTGAGCTTGTCCCGGGTGAGTCCAAGGCGTTTCTTTGGACCAAGGAGCTCCCAGAGAGTGGCCGTGTCGATCTTGACATACTTGGCCCTTGCAGTGCATAGAGGAACTATCGTGCACACGGCCGGAGGAGTGTCGACGGCGAGCTGCTTGAGTGCCCACTTGATCCTGGCGGCCAGCTTGTTGATCTTGGACTTGGTGGTGCCGAGCTCAGACTTGGCCTTGGTGAACCTCTTGTCGTCGGAGGGAATGCCTCTGGCAGTGAGCTCGTCCAGCTTGGCCTGGCGCTGCAGCTCGGTGACTCGGAGGGCGGGCATGTCACAGTCGATCCACTTGTGGACATTGTCGACCATCTTGTCCCGGGCGAGGATTCCCACATGGTGTGAGAGGCGATGGAGGGCCCGGAAGCGGTCCTGGTCGTTGCTGTACCGAAACTCGTCCAGGACGTGGCCAAAGTCTGGATAGAGGAACTCGAGATCGGCCTTGGGTGGAGTCTGCCCTGGTTTCTCGAAGAGCTCGAGACAGGCCTCGATGGCTTCGTGCTTATGCTTGTTGGCTGGGAAGACGGCAGCGCAGAAGCGGCGAAGGAGTCGCCAGTAGGCCAGGTTGAGGTGGGTGGTGCAGTTGGTGGCATAGGCATTGACAGCGAGAGTGAGAAGCTGACTGTGAGCACCATCAGGCAGACGAGGGGCCGGAGGCAGGTCTGCGTGCCGAGTGGACTGGTAGATGCCAAAGGAAGCGACCAGCTTCTGCTCGTATTTTTCATTGTCCCTGGCTGTCAAGAGAGCACCAGCCTGGACGATCGTGAAGCATTGGCGGATGAAAGCAGGGGTGGTCTTGGAGATGACGGGGATGGGAATATCCTGCTCGATGCACCGGAGGATATGTAGGTTGAGCAGCCTGGATGCCTCGAACTGGATCTGGGTCATGGCCTCGACGGTGGCCTGGATCTTGTCGCGGAGAGCGGGATTGAGACAACAGCCATACATCGTCTGCTTGAAGCAGCTGAACTGAGGGGCGGATGACCTTCCATCCACGAGTGGGACGACAGAGCTCTTGAGGGGCCGGTATTTGGGACATTTGCTGGTGTTGCTTCGCTCGTGATCGGTGCCATCGCACTGGCGACATCGCTTGCCGGTACTCGAGGAAGTAGATGGACCAGGCTCGGTGGGATCGACATCCATTGGATCTGCAGAAGCAGTGGTGGTGAGCGACGGAGCAACAGACGACCAAGCATGCGTGGGATCAGAATACGAACCAGAGACAGGCTCCGACTGTGACTTGGCTTTCTTGGGCCTGGGTGGCCGAGGCTGGCCATCACCGGTACCCTTACGCTTCGGAGGCATGGGGGCAGAGAATGCTGGATGCCTGCCAGTGGTACTGGTCAGAGCAGAGACTTTTTTTATCGTACAATGGCGCGATGATCAGATCAAGGCGAGATGAGGGAAGAAAGCAGCAGAGACGAAGGTGGGACATTTATACCCGAGAGCAGGAGCCCGTCTTTGCGGGCTGGTTGGGGAAGTGACCCTGTTCAAAAATCGCCGAGAGGTTCAAGCCAGGGATTTGAGCGTGAAAATGGCGGCTTGATTGGGGAGCTCAACCCCAAAATTGATGGGGACTAAACCCCAAAATGATGGGGACTCAACCCCAAAGAAGTTCTCGATGGGATTGAAGTCGGGTGAGGCAGGTGGGGTGAAGATCACTGACCATCCTCGGCGCTCGATGCAGTCCAGGACAGCCCTTGTCTTGTGCATGCTGACATTGTCCATCACAACCACAGAGTCGTCTGGGAAGGTCGCTCGCTCAAAGAACTCGACCATCGAGTGTGTCTTGAATGATGTGGGGATGTACATGCGATGCAGCACACCAGAGTGGTTGATGGCAAATGCAGCCGAGACAGACTTGTGTTTCATGTGATTGCGCTGGCGAAGCGGAGTACCCTTCGGTGAGTATCCGTAAAGAGGGAAAATGGATCTCCTGATCCCCGTCTCATCGACAAAAACGAGCCGTCGTGGGTCGATGGAGCGGACCTGGTCCCTGAACTGTGCCACTCGCTCATCCAGTCGCTTGGACTTGTAGAGGTGTGTTGCCCTCTTGTGTGAGAGACCTGCTCGGTGGATGGCAGTGTGGCAGAGTGAGAGCGATACTTTCCTCTGGAGGATGGACTCGAGCTTGCATCGCAACACAGGACCAGTCTGGAACGGGTCCTGTTCAATCAGGGTGCGAATGACTGGACATGCCTGCTCGAAGAAAGTGGATCTGCGAGCTGGGACCCGGGATGGGTCATCCAGCTTGCATCCTCGGTGCCATCGATGGATGGTGCTCTTGGATACACTGAATATGGAGGCGACCTTACGCAGGCTATGGATGAGGTCGTAGCATCGCAATGCGGCGGTGCGAAAGTCGGATGTGTGGCGAATGGTCATGGCCAGCGCGCGATAACATTGGGTAACAAAATATTCGATCAATGGTCAAAAACCCGGGTGTCCCGTTTTTTATTGGATTGCCTGTAAGCACCCATGGGATTTCACAGTGGCTCCTTGCTAAATGGACAGTGCGCTTGCATCTCCATCCAATGCGGGAAATCGCCGCCCCGAAGTATTCAAGGTTTCTTAACCAAGCCGACTCCAGATGTCCGAAGAGCATCGATTTGCAGGCGATAAAACATCAGAAAGCATAGCAAGGCAGCAGTGCGGTGGATCAAATTCAAGGTGGATGCCCAAATTTGCATTTAGAAATGCCTATATTGATATCCAAGGAGATGAGCCATAGCGATTCCCATTTTGAAAACATGTGTTGTGGAGTGGAGGAGAGAGGAGTGAGAACGAGGATGCCGGATCAAGAGGAACCCATGCACAGGGAACCTGGGTATATTATCCTGGAGAACTCATTGCCAAGAATGAATGGAAACAGGCAATGAATGGAAGATCTGGCAAGCAGAGAGAGCCAAGAAAAACACCACTGGAAAGTGTAGAGGAAGATAGGAAGGAGAGCAGCCAAAGACGAGCCAGGGAGATAGGAGGATACTTCCGGCGTTTGCTTAAGATAGCCAACAGCTGCAGAAAATTTGGGGGGAGGGGTGGAAGAAGATTGCAGAAAACAAATATATAGAATGGAAAAACACGATGGTCGATGAATCAAGCCAGATTCCTCGAGAAGCGATATTCAGAAAGGAATACAAATCGTCGAAGAGAGGTGTCAGAAATGGAAGATGGAGAAGATAGTGCAATGATGGCATAAGAGACCCGAAATATAATGAAGGAACACTGACTGTGATGATTCTCGAGTCCTGAAGTGGGGACACTCGAGTTCTTGAAAGTTGGGGCAGGGAGATTTGGGGGATCATGGGTGGAGACTGAAGGGCGGCCTGGGGAGGAGGGATGGCCTTCAAACAGAGATTAATTGTGGCCACCACCAGGCGTTTGAGGATGAAGACCAGGAGCCTGACTGTTATCACCAGGAGTCTGGTTGTTGTCACCAGGTGTTTGGTTGTTACCACCAGGTGTTTGGTTGTTACCACCAGGAGTCTGGTTGTTATCACCAGGTGTTTGGTTGTTATCACCAGGTGTCTGGTTGTTACCGCCAGGAGTCTGATTGTTACCACCAGGTGTTTGGTTGTTATCACCAGGAGTCTGGTTGTTACCACCAGGTGTTTGGTTGTTATCACCAGGAGTCTGATTGTTACCACCAGGTGTTTGGTTGTTACCGCCAGGTGTTTGGTTGTTACCACCAGGAGTCTGATTGTTACCACCAGGTGTTTGGTTGTTATCACCAGGAGTCTGGTTGTTACCACCAGGAGTCTGATTGTTACCACCAGGTGTTTGGTTGTTATCACCAGGTGTTTGGTTGTTGCCGCCAGGTGTCTGGTTGTTATCACCAGGTGTTTGGTTGTTATCACCAGGTGTCTGGTTGTTACCACCAGGAGTCTGATTGTTACCACCAGGTGTTTGGTTGTTATCACCAGGTGTTTGGTTGTTGCCGCCAGGTGTCTGGTTGTTATCACCAGGTGTTTGGTTGTTATCACCAGGTGTCTGGTTGTTACCGCCAGGAGTCTGATTGTTACCACCAGGTGTTTGGTTGTTATCACCAGGAGTCTGATTGTTACCACCAGGTGTTTGGTTGTTACCGCCAGGTGTTTGGTTGTTATCACCAGGAGTCTGATTGTTACCACCAGGTGTTTGGTTGTTATCACCAGGAGTCTGGTTGTTACCACCAGGTGTTTGGTTGTTACCACCAGGAGTCTGATTGTTACCACCAGGTGTTTGGTTGTTATCACCAGGTGTTTGGTTGTTACCACCAGGTGTTTGGTTGTTATCACCAGGAGTCTGGTTGTTACCACCAGGTGTTTGGTTGTTACCGCCAGGTGTTTGGTTGTTATCACCAGGAGTCTGATTGTTACCACCAGGTGTTTGGTTGTTATCACCAGGAGTCTGATTGTTACCACCAGGTGTTTGGTTGTTATCACCAGGTGTTTGGTTGTTGCCGCCAGGTGTTTGGTTGTTACCACCAGGAGTCTGGTTGTTATCACCAGGTGTTTGGTTGTTATCACCAGGTGTCTGGTTGTTACCGCCAGGAGTCTGATTGTTACCACCAGGTGTTTGGTTGTTATCACCAGGTGTCTGGTTGTTACCGCCAGGAGTCTGATTGTTACCACCAGGAGTCTGATTGTTATCACCAGGTGTTTGGTTGTTATCACCAGGAGTCTGGTTGTTACCACCAGGAGTCTGATTGTTACCACCAGGTGTTTGGTTGTTATCACCAGGTGTTTGGTTGTTACCGCCAGGTGTTTGGTTGTTACCACCAGGAGTCTGATTGTTACCACCAGGTGTTTGGTTGTTATCACCAGGAGTCTGGTTGTTACCACCAGGAGTCTGATTGTTACCACCAGGTGTTTGGTTGTTATCACCAGGTGTTTGGTTGTTGCCGCCAGGTGTCTGGTTGTTATCACCAGGTGTTTGGTTGTTATCACCAGGTGTTTGGTTGTTACCGCCAGGTGTTTGGTTGTTGCCGCCAGGAGTCTGATTGTTACCACCAGGTGTTTGGTTGTTATCACCAGGAGTCTGGTTGTTACCACCAGGAGTCTGATTGTTACCACCAGGTGTTTGGTTGTTATCACCAGGTGTTTGGTTGTTGCCGCCAGGTGTCTGGTTGTTATCACCAGGTGTTTGGTTGTTATCACCAGGTGTCTGGTTGTTGCCGCCAGGTGTTTGGTTGTTACCACCAGGAGTCTGGTTGTTATCACCAGGTGTTTGGTTGTTATCACCAGGTGTCTGATTGTTACCACCAGGTGTTTGGTTGTTACCGCCAGGAGTCTGATTGTTACCACCAGGTGTTTGGTTGTTATCACCAGGTGTTTGGTTGTTATCACCAGGTGTTTGGTTGTTACCACCAGGTGTTTGGTTGTTATCACCAGGAGTCTGGTTGTTACCACCAGGTGTTTGGTTGTTACCGCCAGGTGTTTGGTTGTTATCACCAGGAGTCTGATTGTTACCACCAGGTGTTTGGTTGTTATCACCAGGAGTCTGATTGTTACCACCAGGTGTTTGGTTGTTATCACCAGGTGTTTGGTTGTTACCGCCAGGTGTTTGGTTGTTGCCGCCAGGTGTTTGGTTGTTATCACCAGGTGTTTGGTTGTTACCGCCAGGTGTTTGGTTGTTACCACCAGGAGTCTGATTGTTACCACCAGGTGTTTGGTTGTTATCACCAGGAGTCTGGTTGTTACCACCAGGAGTCTGATTGTTACCACCAGGTGTTTGGTTGTTATCACCAGGTGTTTGGTTGTTGCCGCCAGGTGTCTGGTTGTTATCACCAGGTGTTTGGTTGTTATCACCAGGTGTTTGGTTGTTACCACCAGGTGTTTGGTTGTTATCACCAGGAGTCTGATTGTTACCACCAGGTGTTTGGTTGTTATCACCAGGAGTCTGATTGTTACCACCAGGTGTTTGGTTGTTATCACCAGGTGTTTGGTTGTTACCGCCAGGTGTTTGGTTGTTGCCGCCAGGTGTTTGGTTGTTATCACCAGGTGTTTGGTTGTTACCGCCAGGTGTTTGGTTGTTACCACCAGGAGTCTGATTGTTACCACCAGGTGTTTGGTTGTTATCACCAGGAGTCTGGTTGTTACCACCAGGAGTCTGATTGTTACCACCAGGTGTTTGGTTGTTATCACCAGGTGTTTGGTTGTTGCCGCCAGGTGTCTGGTTGTTATCACCAGGTGTTTGGTTGTTATCACCAGGTGTCTGGTTGTTACCGCCAGGAGTCTGATTGTTACCACCAGGTGTTTGGTTGTTATCACCAGGAGTCTGATTGTTACCACCAGGTGTTTGGTTGTTACCGCCAGGTGTTTGGTTGTTATCACCAGGAGTCTGATTGTTACCACCAGGTGTTTGGTTGTTATCACCAGGAGTCTGATTGTTACCACCAGGTGTTTGGTTGTTATCACCAGGAGTCTGATTGTTACCACCAGGTGTTTGGTTGTTATCACCAGGTGTTTGGTTGTTGCCGCCAGGAGTCTGGTTGTTATCACCAGGTGTTTGGTTGTTATCACCAGGTGTCTGATTGTTACCACCAGGAGTCTGATTGTTACCACCAGGTGTTTGGTTGTTATCACCAGGAGTCTGGTTGTTACCACCAGGTGTTTGGTTGTTATCACCAGGTGTCTGGTTGTTACCACCAGGAGTCTGATTGTTACCACCAGGTGTTTGGTTGTTATCACCAGGTGTTTGGTTGTTGCCGCCAGGTGTCTGGTTGTTATCACCAGGTGTTTGGTTGTTATCACCAGGTGTCTGGTTGTTACCGCCAGGAGTCTGATTGTTACCACCAGGTGTTTGGTTGTTATCACCAGGTGTTTGGTTGTTGCCGCCAGGAGTCTGATTGTTACCACCAGGTGTTTGGTTGTTATCACCAGGTGTTTGGTTGTTACCGCCGGGTGTTTGGTTGTTATCACCAGGAGTCTGATTGTTATCACCAGGTGTTTGGTTGTTATCACCAGGAGTCTGATTGTTACCACCAGGTGTTTGGTTGTTACCGCCAGGTGTTTGGTTGTTATCACCAGGAGTCTGGTTGTTACCACCAGGAGTCTGATTGTTACCACCAAGTGTTTGGTTGTTATCACCAGGTGTTTGGTTGTTGCCGCCAGGTGTCTGGTTGTTATCACCAGGTGTTTGGTTGTTATCACCAGGTGTCTGGTTGTTACCGCCAGGAGTCTGATTGTTACCACCAGGTGTTTGGTTGTTATCACCAGGAGTCTGATTGTTACCACCAGGTGTTTGGTTGTTACCGCCAGGTGTTTGGTTGTTATCACCAGGAGTCTGATTGTTACCACCAGGTGTTTGGTTGTTATCACCAGGAGTCTGGTTGTTACCACCAGGTGTTTGGTTGTTACCACCAGGAGTCTGATTGTTACCACCAGGTGTTTGGTTGTTATCACCAGGTGTTTGGTTGTTACCACCAGGTGTTTGGTTGTTATCACCAGGAGTCTGGTTGTTACCACCAGGTGTTTGGTTGTTACCGCCAGGTGTTTGGTTGTTATCACCAGGAGTCTGATTGTTACCACCAGGTGTTTGGTTGTTATCACCAGGAGTCTGGTTGTTACCACCAGGTGTTTGGTTGTTATCACCAGGAGTCTGATTGTTATCACCAGGTGTTTGGTTGTTATCACCAGGTGTTTGGTTGTTACCGCCAGGTGTTTGGTTGTTACCACCAGGAGTCTGGTTGTTATCACCAGGTGTTTGGTTGTTATCACCAGGTGTCTGGTTGTTACCGCCAGGAGTCTGATTGTTACCACCAGGTGTTTGGTTGTTATCACCAGGAGTCTGGTTGTTACCGCCAGGAGTCTGATTGTTACCACCAGGTGTTTGGTTGTTATCACCAGGAGTCTGATTGTTACCACCAGGTGTTTGGTTGTTACCGCCAGGTGTTTGGTTGTTACCACCAGGAGTCTGATTGTTACCACCAGGTGTTTGGTTGTTATCACCAGGAGTCTGATTGTTACCACCAGGTGTTTGGTTGTTATCACCAGGAGTCTGATTGTTACCACCAGGTGTTTGGTTGTTATCACCAGGTGTTTGGTTGTTGCCGCCAGGAGTCTGGTTGTTATCACCAGGTGTTTGGTTGTTATCACCAGGTGTCTGATTGTTACCACCAGGAGTCTGATTGTTACCACCAGGTGTTTGGTTGTTATCACCAGGAGTCTGGTTGTTACCACCAGGAGTCTGATTGTTACCACCAGGTGTTTGGTTGTTATCACCAGGAGTCTGGTTGTTACCACCAGGTGTTTGGTTGTTATCACCAGGTGTCTGGTTGTTACCACCAGGAGTCTGATTGTTACCACCAGGTGTTTGGTTGTTATCACCAGGTGTTTGGTTGTTGCCGCCAGGTGTCTGGTTGTTATCACCAGGTGTTTGGTTGTTATCACCAGGTGTCTGGTTGTTACCGCCAGGAGTCTGATTGTTACCACCAGGTGTTTGGTTGTTATCACCAGGTGTTTGGTTGTTGCCGCCAGGAGTCTGATTGTTACCACCAGGTGTTTGGTTGTTATCACCAGGTGTTTGGTTGTTACCGCCGGGTGTTTGGTTGTTATCACCAGGAGTCTGATTGTTATCACCAGGTGTTTGGTTGTTATCACCAGGTGTTTGGTTGTTACCACCAGGAGTCTGATTGTTACCACCAGGTGTTTGGTTGTTATCACCAGGAGTCTGGTTGTTACCACCAGGAGTCTGATTGTTACCACCAGGTGTTTGGTTGTTATCACCAGGTGTTTGGTTGTTATCACCAGGAGTCTGGTTGTTACCGCCAGGAGTCTGATTGTTACCACCAGGTGTTTGGTTGTTATCACCAGGAGTCTGATTGTTACCACCAGGTGTTTGGTTGTTACCGCCAGGTGTTTGGTTGTTATCACCAGGAGTCTGGTTGTTACCACCAGGAGTCTGATTGTTACCACCAGGTGTTTGGTTGTTATCACCAGGTGTTTGGTTGTTGCCGCCAGGTGTCTGGTTGTTATCACCAGGTGTTTGGTTGTTATCACCAGGTGTCTGGTTGTTACCGCCAGGAGTCTGATTGTTACCACCAGGTGTTTGGTTGTTATCACCAGGAGTCTGATTGTTACCACCAGGTGTTTGGTTGTTACCGCCAGGTGTTTGGTTGTTATCACCAGGAGTCTGATTGTTACCACCAGGTGTTTGGTTGTTATCACCAGGAGTCTGGTTGTTACCACCAGGTGTTTGGTTGTTACCACCAGGAGTCTGATTGTTACCACCAGGTGTTTGGTTGTTATCACCAGGTGTTTGGTTGTTACCACCAGGTGTTTGGTTGTTATCACCAGGAGTCTGGTTGTTACCACCAGGTGTTTGGTTGTTACCGCCAGGTGTTTGGTTGTTATCACCAGGAGTCTGATTGTTACCACCAGGTGTTTGGTTGTTATCACCAGGAGTCTGATTGTTACCACCAGGTGTTTGGTTGTTACCGCCAGGTGTTTGGTTGTTATCACCAGGAGTCTGATTGTTATCACCAGGTGTTTGGTTGTTATCACCAGGTGTTTGGTTGTTACCGCCAGGTGTTTGGTTGTTACCACCAGGAGTCTGGTTGTTATCACCAGGTGTTTGGTTGTTATCACCAGGTGTCTGGTTGTTACCGCCAGGAGTCTGATTGTTACCACCAGGAGTCTGATTGTTATCACCAGGTGTTTGGTTGTTATCACCAGGTGTCTGATTGTTACCACCAGGTGTTTGGTTGTTACCGCCAGGAGTCTGATTGTTACCACCAGGTGTTTGGTTGTTACCGCCAGGTGTTTGGTTGTTATCACCAGGAGTCTGATTGTTACCACCAGGTGTTTGGTTGTTATCACCAGGTGTTTGGTTGTTGCCGCCAGGTGTCTGGTTGTTATCACCAGGTGTTTGGTTGTTATCACCAGGTGTTTGGTTGTTATCACCAGGAGTCTGATTGTTACCACCAGGTGTTTGGTTGTTATCACCAGGAGTCTGATTGTTACCACCAGGTGTTTGGTTGTTACCGCCAGGTGTTTGGTTGTTATCACCAGGAGTCTGATTGTTACCACCAGGTGTTTGGTTGTTATCACCAGGAGTCTGGTTGTTACCACCAGGTGTTTGGTTGTTACCACCAGGAGTCTGATTGTTACCACCAGGTGTTTGGTTGTTACCGCCAGGTGTTTGGTTGTTACCGCCAGGTGTTTGGTTGTTGCCGCCAGGAGTCTGAGTTTGGGTATTAGCTGCAGGCTGCGAAGCACTTGTTCCCGTTGAGGAAATTGTATTTGCAACGGTTGATTGTGTGGTGCTTCCTTCCGTCCCGATCGTTGTTCCCGTAATTACTGCCTGTGTTGTGCCTGTTACTGTGGTTGTTACTGATCCCTGTATAGTTGTCTGTGTTCCGGATCCAACTCCACTGCCAGCTGCGCTTGTGGTTGTTGTCTGTGTGATTGCAGAGCTCGTTGGGGCAGTTGTGCTCCCCGATGCTGTCTGAGTTGTGCCTGTTCCTGACGTTGAGGCTACCGTGGACAGTCCGATATCACCTGTGGTTGTCGTGCTGGACGTGGTCGTGGTCGACGTGGTTCCTGTGGACGAAGTTCCTGCCACAATCGTTGAGCTTATTCCTGCCTCTAATCCTATTGTCGTAGTTGATGTCGCTGTTCCAGGCTCGACAGTCGTCGTCGAAGATGTTGTTCCAGGTGTCGTGGATGTTGTCGCTCCAATCGTGGTGGTCGTGACCGGTTCAATAGTCGTCGTACTAGATGGTATAATAGTGGTTGCCGTCGTGGCTGGTATAATAGCGGTCGTCGTCGTTGCAGTTGCAACCCAGGTGCTCGAAAATGCATTGCCGATATCCGTGCTTGAGGAGGTTCCCGATATGTAAAAATTTCCTTTCGAGCCTTGGCCGTCAGTCGTCGTCGTTCCTCCAGACGCTGCAACTGTTCTGGTAACCGAACTGGCTACGGAAGTTCCCCAAGTTGCTGTACTTGTGCTCATAGAAGAGGACCCGTCCTTTGTTCCAGTTGCTGTGGCTAAAGTAGTTGTACGGGTATCGCCTCCGTTGGCCAAGGCGGTGGCAGTCGGCTTGATACCTGTGGCTCTTGAGATCGGAGCGCACTTGAATACGCGGGTACTTCTCTGAATTGGTGTAGAAGCAGACACGGCATTCCCTGACAACCATCACCGGGTCAGTCCCACGTTCGGCCTCCCCTCCCTCCGCAAGAGTATTTTTACAAGCACCAATACGCAGCCATATATCGATCATGCTCTTTCCTTGAGCGCAAGTCTCACCATGATTCTCGTCATAATTGGGCTCGGGTATATAGGCCGCACGAACAAGCGAAGCGGCCAAGAGCGGAGCGGCGATATAGAGTAACTTCATTGATTATATCCTTCGGGTCGTTATTTGATGTGATTATTGACTCGTCGTCTTTACCTGGCAGTTGGAAGCGCACGCAACAGTGGCAAATTGGAGCCTGTTTCGTTCGCCAGTTCTTTACCAAACCGGTGAAGGTCTATCCCTCGATGGAAAGTACTCCCGCATATATACCTCTCGTCCTTTCCTCCAGCCTTAATCCACGCCTGGACTTGGCAGCAATGCCATTGTACTGGATGAAGTGCCTTGATCAGAACCTTCTGATTCGAAGTCCCAGCCTGGACAGAAACCTTGATTGGCTATCCAACAATGCCGACTGCGACCACACAGCGACATCGATTGTCTCGAGCGACCCTCTTTCGTCATCGAAGCTGCAGCACGACAATAGCGTCAAAGACAAGTAAAACTCTCACTGCTGTCAGCGCCGGAACTCGATGCCTGCGTGTTCCACTGTCCGAACAGTTATGGCTAGCTGATGACCTGACAGCCCACCTCGCCGTGGACATCCAAGGGGTGACAATCGAGAGAGGAGAGGAATCAGAAAGCGGGGAGAAAGAGCATTTCTCCCTTTCTCTGGGATCCTTCCTGGTCCGAACCTTCCCGTATTGTCTGGAACAACAAAGCCACTCCAGCCTTCCGAATCATTGTTTTGGGTACTGGAAAGGAGCTCGCGAGATGGAAATGCGCCGCAAAGTCGCCGATTGATATTCCCTTCCCCCTCCCAGGCGGGCTTTGCGGCTCTGTCGAATCAGCCGAGACGAGCACCGGGTTGTTGCTCTTGGGAGCGTTTTCGGGCAATCGACCAGGTTTGTGTTTGGGCCCCGAGCTTTGGATGTTGGAGTTGAGGGGTAGGAACAAGCCCGGCGCACAGGTGGGCGATCAATTCACCTTGGATTAGTTCCAAAGGCGGACCTGACGTTTCAGCATCATTTGGCCATCGCGGCTCCCAGGACCGTTTCGCTGCCTATTTTGCGGCAACTCCGCGCCTTCGGGTTGTGTGGTGCTGTCTACAAGTCCCGATGCATCAGACACGAACTGGCCTTTTGTATCCATGGTAAAAACACCCTCACCCAAATCGTGCCCACCTTCTCTCACTCTCATCGTCGGCGCCGGCTCTACCGGTTTTCTCGGCTCGGCTCGCTGCTCGAGGCTCTGCTTTCTGACCAGGGCTGTATTCAGAATATGGGACACGTTTCTCCTGAACATTCACCGCCATCGACAGGTTTAGGCCATCAAGGAAGGGTGGGAAGAGGCGATGGGGGGGGGAGTTTGCACAGTACGAGTCGCGCTGACAGACAGCTTCATGTCACCGAGATGCGGGACAGAGGACGCAGACGGATTGATGCGAAAGGAGAGCGAGCGGCGTGATAGAAGCGATGGCGGATGATTAGGGGTGGTGGCCGGGGGGTCGCGGTAATGGCAGAGGTGGTGATGGAGGGGAGAGGAGACGAACGCCGGCGACAATACCTATGAACACGATGAGTGGGAGGGAGCGGGAGAGAGAAGGAGACGGGAGAGTAGGTACCCCGCATTTGTTTCAATGCTGACTCTGCAGGCTGAGGGGCAAGGTCGGCTGGCCTGTTCATGCTTGCTGGATGGGTGGACTCGCTGGGGTCGGGAGAGGGAGGGGGATGTCATAAAGCGCTGGCCATAGCGCGTGGATGGAGAAGCTGACTATATGGACTCGAGGCTGCCGAGCACCTGCGACCGACCAGAGTTTGGGCAACGTGACGCCTCTACTTGGTCTCGGGGTTGGGCTTGCCTTCTTCTTCCAGCTTACGATTCAGCTTGTCCTCGGGGAGACCCAGATACTCGACGTAGGCGCCAGGCTCGGGCCATTGTCTGCAATCACAGCCAAAGGGATGAGTTGGTTGCGCGATTCAGGGAGCGGGAAGCGATCAAAGGATTCAGCTTCCCGAAGCCAACAACACACATCACATCAACGTACATCACATCAACGCACATCAAACATGTACCGGCCAAGCACTCAGCTACGCCTCAAGTCAAGCAATGCCTACCTCTGTCCGAGCAGAGCAATCATGTCCTCGCGACTAATGACTTCCTTCTTCAGCAGCAGCTGGGCCACCTTGGACACATCCTCCTTCTTCTCGGTCAGCAGGTTCAAGGTGCGATCGTACGCCTCCTGGATGCGTCGCCGGACTTCCGCGTCCATGATACGGGCCGTGTCCTCGCCAAAGGGCTTCTGGAAGGCGCCCTCCTCGACGTCGTACGAGATGTTGCCGAGGGCCTCGCTCATACCAAACTTGGAGACCTGCGAGTAGGCCATGCTGGTGACCTTCTTGAGATCGTCCTGGGCGCCAGTGGTGATGGATTGGAAAAAGATTTGCTCCGCGACACGGCCGCCCAGGGCCATGCACATCATGTCGTTGATCTTCTCGGTCGAGTGCAGGTTGTCTTCCTTGGGCAGGTACTGCGCGTAGCCGAGGGCACCCAGGCCGCGCGGGATGATCGAGACCTTGAGCAGCGGGTTGGCGTGCTCCAGGTACCATCCGGCCACGGCGTGACCGGCCTCGTGGTGGGCGACGATCTTCTTCTCCTCGGGCGAGAGGACCTTGGTCTTCTTTTCGAGGCCGCCAATGACACGCTCGATGGCGAGCTCAAAGTGTTTCTCGGTGACGGTGTCGGCGAGCTGGCGGGCGGCAATCAGGGCAGCTTCGTTGCAGACGTTGGCGACGTCAGCACCCGAGAAGCCTGGGGTCAGTGCGGCCAGCTTGCGCGAGAGGTTGTCGATGTTTTCGGTGGTCTTGATGGGCTTCAGATGGACCTTGAAGATCTCGACTCGGCCCTTGATGTCGGGGCGGTCGATCTGGATGTGGCGATCAAAGCGGCCGGGACGCAGGAGCGCAGCGTCAAGAACATCGGGGCGGTTGGTGCCGGCGAGGACAATGATGTGCTCCGTGGCATTGAAGCCGTCCATCTCGACGAGCAGTTGGTTGAGGGTGCTCTCGCGCTCGTCGTTTCCACCAGAGAAGCCGCCCTTGCCGCGGGCCTTGCCGATGGCATCGATTTCGTCAATGAAGACGATCGAGGGGGCGTGCTTCTTGGCCTGTGCAAAGAGGTCGCGCACTCGCGACGAGCCCACGCCAACAAACATTTCCACAAACTCGGAACCGGAGACGCTGAAGAAGGGCACGCCGGCCTCGCCAGCGGTGGCCTTGGCAAGCAGGGTCTTGCCCGTGCCGGGCGGACCAGAGAGAACGGCGCCCTTGGGGATCTTTGCACCAAGACGCTCGTACATCTCGGGGTCCTTCAGGAACTTGACAAACTCCATGATCTCCTCCTTGGCCTCGTCCATGCCGGCAACGTCCTTGAACTTGATCTTGATGTCCGTCTCCTGGTTGAACATCTTGGCTCGGGACTTTCCGATGCCAAAGATACCCTGCTGGCCGCCACTGCCGGCGCTAGCGCGGCGAGACATCCAGAAGAGACCGCCGATCAGGAAGAGCGTGGGGGCGAGGTTGAGGAGGAGGTTGGCGGTGGAGACTTCGTTGGTGTAGGAGACGGGAATGCGCTCGTGCTGGGGGATGTTGAGACGATCCTGGGCCTCCTCGAGGTTCTTTTCAAAGGTCTCGATGCTACCGATGGTGAAGTAGAAGTGCGAGGTGCCGGGCGGCGAGCCGTTGCGGGGGACCATAGGAGCATCGCCTCGCAGATAGACACGGACGATGGACTTGTTGACCACGAGGAGACGCTCGACAAAGCCCTTGTCGAGCATCTTGTTGCGGAACTCGTGCCAGGTGATATTGTGGGACTCGTTCACGGACGAATAGAGCTGCCACAGGATGAACAGCGCGGGCAGGCCATAGAGCAGGATGGTTTGGCTGTTGAGCTTGAGGTTGAAGACCTCGAATTCGTTTTCTTTCTTGGGCGGGGGTTTGGGGATCTTGCCTAGATGGGATATATGTGTGGGGTGGCGTCAGTGTCGGTGTCTTGGGGGGGGGGAACAGACTCATGCAACCGAAAGGGGTAACAGGGCGGGAAGCGGTGTGTGTCAACGAGTCCCGTTATATCCGACGCGATCAACGCGAGCCCTGCGGCTGACTGCGGTCGCAGCTTCTGCCGCCGCAACCGAAATCAACTCGGAAGATGCCAGATTTGAAATATGCGCAGGCGAGACAGGGCCGAGAGCGCTTCGCCCCGATGGATAACCCGCGATGAACACTCGTCGGACAGGATGCCCAGGGCCATCACTACTCACCCTTCCGTCCTTTGCCCTCGTTCTCCTCGCGAGACTCCTTCTCAGGCTCTTCCTCCTGCCGGGGCGGCTTCTCCTTATCGCCCTGGTCGTCGTTTTGGTGATCGGAATTGGATTTGTTCTTGTTCTGAGGGTCCGAGGGAGGCTCGTTCGACGAAGGCTGGGTCGATCCCGGTTGGTTTGAGATCTTGGGATGGAAAAAGTTCTCAAATCCCTTCGGGGGCTTGTCCTGGTTGCTCAGGAGCAGCGAGCCGATGGAGGAGAAGGGCCGCTGGTAGATCAAATGCGACGGAGTCGAGGTGTTTGCAGCCAGCGACTGGCGGGCCAAGAAGGCCAGGCGGGCACGGGCGCCGGGGACGAAGGATCGCAGCATGACGATGCGAGGATGAGTGGCCTTTGGATACGGAATCGCTGCGGAATGGAGGGCAGACTGCGCGGGTTAGCGTCTCGAAGCCTTAGCGAGGGGACGAAGACAGGATGGTGGTTGAAAGGCCGGACTTGTTCCAGAGTGATAGCCGGGAGATGAAGAAGCAAGGGGCCCACGGTGCCTGGGTGTGGGTGGAGCTGATGGAGGGCGATCTCGGGTGATCTCGGTGGTCTCAGGGGTGGAGAACAGCCGAGGGATGAGACCCACCTTGGCAGATGGCAAGCAAACGTTCGGGGGAGGGAAACGATAGGCCAGGAGGAAGCGTTAGGCCCGAGGATGGGGCAGAGATCAGACAGACAGATACGATCCGGCGGCCTGATGGAGACGAAGATTGGATGGGCTTCAAAAAGCAAAAACGACAGAAGGAGCGCTGATTTGTCAGGGCCGGACGATGCACTGTCAGTGTGCGCAGCAGCAGCGCCTGCGCACGGCCGCGGTTGGCTTGTTGGCCGCGCTTTGGCCACGTCACGCGGATGGCTGGAGTGTGGATCGAGTGTGGATCGAGTGTGGCTGGAGTGTGGCTGTGTCTCACTCACACAGGCACAGGCACAGACACCGCCGCTTCACCCACTGTGACGGTGCAGCTGTATCCGTTGTATCCGAGCCGGCCGGCTGACCGCCGCGCTGGGCGTTGGTGTGACATTTGCATCGCCGGGTCCGCGGGCAGCAAGGTTGAGCGCGCGCCACACGCACAAATAGGCTGAACAGGCGACGCACACAATCAATGGCGCACTGCCACTGCGCCAGCGCGACAGACACACCGTGGTGGGCTTGTGCAATGCGTGGCGCACACTGCCAAGGGCACGCGCAATGCACGCCCAATGCACTCACAATCGACTCGCAGTGCACTCGCAACGCGCTCACAGCAAACGCGATGCGTGTCAGTCGCACACGCCCCGACGCGCCCCTCCGCGACCGCGTCTGCGCAACAGAGCCAAGTGCAGGGCTGTGGCCCACGAACCCGCACGCCCTGCGTCGCCCCTCGGCCGCGGCAACAAAAACGGCCGTGCAAACCCCTCCTCGTCCATCCCTCGTCCTTCCCTCGTCCGTCCCTCGTCCTTCCCTCGTCCTTCGCTTTCCCCCCCTCTGGCACTTCCGGTCCTCCCGCTGGTCCTGTTGCAATGAAGAACCTGGCCCAGATCGCCCTGGCCTTTGCCGGCATCGCCCTGCTCGGCAGCGCCGCCGCCGACACCGCTCCCGAGTCCCCTGCCAACCTCGCCCTTTTCAGCGAGGGCGTCGAGCACTTTGGCTCCGCTGCCCTCCAGGCCTTTGCTTCCGATCGCCGTCTCGTCGCCGTGAGTAGCACTCTCAGCCGACCTGTGTGGCTGCTGTCTCGTCGCCTTGGCTCTGTATCTCCCCTTACTTCGTCGCCTCGTTCTATCGGGATACTTACCCTCCTCGTCTTTCACCAGAGACAACAAACTACCATCTCCGGTGCCGCTCTCTGCGCCAGCAGCGGCTTCTGCTACGTCGACGTCCACACCTCGCATGTCCGTATCTGCAGTCTGGGATCGTGTGCAGCTCGTGGTGTGCTGATCGACACCGGCTTCGTGTGTCTTCCATTGTTGGCCTCGCTCAACCCCCGATACTCGGCCCAGTCTATCGGCCTGTAACATCCCTTGTTCGCACATGAAACGATCCGCCGCCATCGTTCTTGCCAACTAACGCACCATTTTCCTGCCACGCCACCGCCGATTCAATCTGCTTCACTGGGTGATTGATCGTATGCCCTCCGCTCCTCTCTCTCGGCTGCTTCCTCGCCCAACAGTACTGCTGGGATGACTTTGTCAGCCTCACCTCCAACCTGCCCACCACCCCCCTGGGTCTCCAGCAGGCTTTCTGCACCGAGTGCTGGATCAAGCTCATTCCGTACTTCACCAGCGTCTTCAGCAGCAACGCTACCCTCCTCCAGGACGTCAACACTTTCAAAACCACCATTGGCACCGTCTGCGGCCCCAACTTCCTGACCACGGGTCAGATCACCACTGGCTCGCTCAGCGGAACCTCCGTTTCGTCTTCCGACGTCGTCGTCGTCAGCCCCGGCGGCAGCGTCACCACCAAGCCCGTTCCCCTCTCCACCAGCACTGTCCCCGTCAGCACCCCTATCTCGCCCGGCCCGAGCCCCTCATCCTCCAGCGGCCTCTCGGGCGGTGCTATTGGCGGTATCGTTGCCGGCGCCGTCGTCGTCGTGGCCCTGATTGCCGGTTTTGTTATCTATTCGCGCAAGAAGCCCAACGACAAGCCCGTCGATCCCAATGGATCCTACAACGCTGCCTCGGTTCCCAAGCCTGTGTACAGCGCTCCTGCTCAGGTTGAAACCAGCTATCCCCAGCAAGCCGCTCCCCCCGCCAGCCAGGGCTACTACCCTGCCCAATCCGCTCCCCCCAGCCAGGGTTACTACCCTGCTCAATCCGCTCCCCCGGCCACCCAGGGATACTATCCCGCTCAGCAGCAGCAGCCCCCCGCCGCCCAAGGTTACTACCCGCCTCAGTCTGCCGCCCCTGCCCCCCAGGGCTACTACGCCGGCCAGCAGCCTCCCGCCAGCCAGGGCTACTACGCGGCTCCCACCTCCTACCCTACCGACCAAAAGTTGAGCAACCCTCAGTTCCAGCCTCCCCAGGACGCCTACGCCCCTGCCCCTGCCGCTGCGTACCAGTCGACCCCGAGCCAGTACAGCCAGCCTCAGCACAGCCGATTCGTGGTCATCCAGGCCTACGACACCAAGAGTCCGTATGAGATGAACCTCCATCTCGGCGATGTCATCCAGCTCCAGTCCGACTTCAACACTGCCGGCATGGCTCAGGTAGGTTTCATCGTAGCCCAGGACAGTCCCCAATCATCGTGTGCCTGGAGATACGGAACACTCCCGCAGTGCTCTGCCTCTGTTTGCTCCTGTACCCAGCCAACGGTCCTGCGCCGCTTGATCCGTTCATTGGCGAATGCCGCTACGAATGCCGTCTCTTGCCACCGCTGATCACGTTGCACGATTGGGCGCTCATTTTGCTCTCTCACCACCATCGTCCACCAGGCCTTCAACCAGACCACCGGCATGACTGGCCTCGTCCCCGAAAAGTATCTCCGTCCCTTGACAGATGGTGCTGGATCCTCCCAGTACTAAAGCTGAAGCCTCCCAGTGTTAGAGCTGAAGCCCAAACCCAGAAACCCGACACCGCCACTTTCGACCCGACTCTGTCTCTGCCCGTGCAAAGTGCACGGGCGAGTATATGTTTCTCCATCCCGCTCCCCACCCTGTCGCCCCTCCCATGTACGTCTGTGCGTATGTAATCGATCGATCGAGCCGTCTTTCCTCAAACCTCAACCTCAACCTCACCTGTGAATCTGCCAGCCTTTCTCTTGTTTTGCGCTCAAATGTCTGCTCACTGCTGTTTATTCTTTCATGGTGTTGTTTATTCTTTTTACCTATCCTTGCGTTTGGCGCATCTCGCTCATCCCGATCTCGAAGATTCACATTCGAATGTCATCTTAACGAGCCCGATGCGCCGATCTGAGCCTTCATCCTTTCGACTAGCCTCTTTCTGTCTTTTTTTCTTCTTCTGCCTCCAGGATAATTTCGTTGTGGAGGATGCGCCCCTGCGCACTTGTAGAGCGATCACGAAAAGAAAGAAAAAAAAATGCAACGGGATCCACCCTTCCCCCAAATTTGCCCTCGATTGTGAATGGTTTTGATGCGAATACACACGTCCATCTACAATCAATCACCATCTCTGCTGTCGAAGCGGGACAGAGGGGATATACGTCCATGCGATTCGTTATCCGCTGCTGAGCAGTCTCGTATCGACCTGGGCACGGCATATCCGGATTGATGGGTCAGAGAGCTGTTCGCTGTGGGCCATGGAGGAACCACCCGCGAATACATTTTTTTTTCTCGTTGCTGCTGCGCTTTTCCTTCTGCGCCGCAACGCCTTTCCCACCACCACCACCACCATCACGACCTTCACAACCACCATTCCCGCCGTCGTCGTCGTCGCCATCGTCGTTGTCGTCGTCTGGAAGCCCGCCTGCTCTTCAAGCACATCCCCGCGCACGATCCCTGAGCACCCCCCTGTCTCGACTGGATAAGATCTGCGATCGTCTCTCCGTCCGACTCGCCTTGCATTGTGAGTCGCTCGCCCTTGGCCCCTTCGTCGCTCGCGATCCGATCTGGCTCCTGTGCCTGCCGCAGCACCGCTGGCTGCCAAACGGCCATCCGTTGGCTTTCATCGCCCTCTCATCACATCCAGCATTCTCTCTTCGAGGCAGCTGCTCTCGAGTCCGTACTGACACTGTTCTCCCGATTCTGGCATCCATCGACTCGTCTCTGTTCTTTCCGCTCTTGTTCTTGCGTCGGATCCTCCCTCCTTCGTCCCCACAATCCTGCCGCGCTTCAGTCCGCTCTCGATCTTCATCGCCATAATGAGTGACCCTTCCAACGACGAAAGCCTGGCTCAGAACACCCAGGCCAAGCTCAACATCTCCTCGGGCTCGGCGGCGCCTTCTTCTGGCAAGAAGCTCACCATCCCAAAGTCGTTCAACATTGGCGCCTCTGAGTTTGTGCCTTCGTGGATGTCGTCGGCCCCTGTGCCTGCCCCGACCTGGACGCCCCCTGCCGGTGGAAACCAGCAGGGCTTCCAGCCTCAGCAGTCGCAGCAGCGGGGAGGCTTCCAGCAGGGCTACCAACCGCAGCAACAGCAGCAGCAACAACAGCAGCAACAACAGCAGCAGCAGCAACAGCGGGGCTATCAGCAACCTCAGGCCTACCAGGCTCCCCAGCAGGCCTTCCAGGCCCCTCGACCTGCTTCCCGCGACCAGCCCGCTCCTGCAAAGGCCGCCTCGCTGCCCGTCCCGCAGCCGGCCAAGACGGCCTCGCTCTCTGAGGCTCCCGCCGCTGCTTCTCCCAAGCCTGTGTCGCCTGCGGCTTCGCCGGCTCCCTCCAAGCCCTCGACACCGGCTCCCAAAGGTGCGTATGGCTCCTCTGACAAGCGGGCGCAACAGGCTGCGAATCGATTCTGTCGATTCTGTCGATTTTGTGGATCGATCTGGGCGGCCATGAGCGGGGAGCGTGTCTGTCGGTGAGAGAGATGCGGATTCGGACTGGTGGTTGGACGCATCGCATCTATGCGACGAAAGGGAGAGAGCCGAACACACCTTTGCCCGTCCGACCAGCTCTCTCAACATCATTGGTTTCTACACTCTTTTGCCTTCAATCGATCTCACCTGCCTTCAATCAATTCGATTCGACTCGATTCGACTTGACTCGACCTACGCTCGATCAACTCGGATTGCTGGATCGCCTCTGTGGCTGTTTTGGCTGCGTTGGCAACCGCTACTCTCGTGGGCGGACCTAACACGGCCATCGCGGAACGATCTTGCCACCGAACTGATCCGGCGCAACGGTGTCGTCCACTCGCCGCGCGCTTTGCCGGCAACTATCGAATCTCGGACGGCTGCCTCTGACCTGAATCCGCAATGCACCTCTGTAGCCGAGACCCCTGCTCCTGCTCCCGCTCCCGCAGCTGCTGCCCCTGCCCCCGTCCCCGCTGCCGCCCCTGCCCCCGTGGCCGCTGCTCCTGCTGTCGTCCAGGCTACTCCCTTGAACATTCCCGAACCTGACTTTGACGACATTGGAGATGATCTCAAGAAGTCTGTCAACGTGCTGTTCATGGGTCACGTCGATGCCGGCAAGTCCACCATGGCTGGCCACATTCTGTGAGTGATCGCGTCGGCAGTCATCGCTGTTGTTATCGTTGTTATTGTTTGGCGATGCGTGGAGGATACTGGGCGGGTGGGTTTGCTAGTGTCTCGCCGCCCATTTTCTCGGCCACTGGCGCTGTCTTTCTGCTGCTGCACGATCTGCGCTTTGCCCGGCTCGTACTGATGCGTCTCCGCGACCGTCGCTCCGGTGGACAGGTTCCTCACCGGTATGGTTGACAAGCGTACCATGGAGAAATATGAACGCGAGGCCAAGGAGCTCGGCCGTGAGTCGTGGTACCTGTCCTGGGCCATGGATCTGAACTCGGAGGAGCGCGCCAAGGTGAGTGAGTGGCTCAGTCTGCTGCTCGATCTTGTCGACAGCATGGCTGTGGGTCGACCACAGCACTCTCGACCACAGCACCCCGACCACAGTATTCCCGACCGCACCAATGTCGATGTCTTCTCTGGCCGTGGGCCCCACAACCGACTCGCCCCATCTCACAACCTCAATCCTGCTGCCGTCGCTGTTTTATCGTTTCTCTGCTCAGGGCAAAACCGTCGAGTACGGCCGTGGCTACTTTGAGACCGAGAAGCGCCGTTTCACGCTTCTGGATGCCCCCGGCCACAAGAACTTTGTCCCCAGCATGATCGAGGGCGCCTCGCAGAGTGACGTTGGCATCCTCGTCATCTCGGCCCGCAAGGGTGAATTCGAAACCGGCTTTGAGAAGGGCGGCCAGACTCGTGAGCACGCGCTGCTTGCCAAGACCGTTGGTGTCCAGCGTCTCATCATCGCCATCAACAAGATGGACGATCCCACCGTCGTCTGGTCCAAGGAGAGGTGCGTTAATGTCAACGCACGGGAGGACACGGGAGGAGGGGGGAGCGGCCACAGATGGCGCTGGCATTTGGGAGAGGGTCACTGACAGGAGATCTCTTCGCACCTCGATGTACATTTCCTCGCTGTGTCTCATCAACTCTGCCTTGCGGATCTGTCGGGGCGATAGATACGACGAGTGCATCAACAAGCTCATTCCGTTCTTGAAGCAAGTCGGCTTCAACCCCAAGACAGGTGAGCGGTCGCTATAGGTCGCGGCATGCGATGCGATCAACCGTAGTGTGGCTCCTCGATGCCCGCCGCTGCGCGCTTCAGCCGACATAGCACTCTCGTGCCGATCCCGTCGACCCTGTTGTTCTAACTGCTCCACTCTGCCTTGTCCTGGCCGCGTTCGTGATGCCCAGATGTCGACTTCCTTCCCGTCTCTGGCTTCACCGGCGCCAACATCAAGGAACGCTTCTCTGACTGTCCTTACTACAGGTGCGCATCGCCTCCGTGAGAGGACCTTCCTTGCTTGTCTGTCTGCTTGCCGAGATGGCTGGTGCCGCGTGCATCCGCTGACTGCCAATCTGCCGCTGTGCCTGTCCCACAACCAGCGGCCCCGCCCTCCTCGAGATCCTGGACAGCGTCGAAGTCAAGGACCGCAAGTATACCGCCCCTTTCATGATGCCCCTCGCCGACAAGTCCAAGGATATGGGCACCATCGTGTCTGGCAAGATCGAGTCTGGCCGTATCAAGAAGGGCCAGACGGTGCTCATGATGCCCAACAAGGTACGACGTTGCAATCGTTGAGCACGCCGCTACCCCCGACCTCAGTCCATGACCGTATGATTGGGTGGCTGTGGTGTCGCGGATGTCCAGCCTGGCTCAGCTCGGCAGCTTCCTCGCCGCAAAAGTGAATGTCCTTCTGACCCGGCGTTCCTTGTGGTTTCGACATCCAGCGAGTCTGTGAAATCTCTGGCATTTTCTTTGAAGACCAGGAACTCACCATCGGCCAGAGCGGTGATAACGTCCGTCTCCGTCTGAAGGGCATTGAAGAAGAAGTGAGTGATGTGTGCTGCTTGGTCTGCCGTTTGGTCTGCCGTTTGGCATGCTGTTTGGCATGCTGTTTGGGTATTGACGCTGCCCTTCTGCGGCCTTGTCGCGCTTTGCATCCAGGACATCCCCACCGGCTCGGTCCTCTGCAGCCCCAACCACCCGATCCACACCGTCATTGCCTTCGAGGCTCAGGTGGCCATTGTCGAGCACAAGTCGATCATTTGTGCCGGTTACACCGCCGTCATGCACGTCCACAATGTCCGAGAGGAAGTCACCCTGTCGGTGCGTATCGCGAATGTAGAGGGAAGAGAGATTTGCCACCAGTCGAGCAAGGGAGGGGAAGACGATGAAGCCAAGAGGATTGCCTCATATCGTCCTCAGAGCCTGTCTGGAGCTGCTTCTTCAGCCGATCGTGGGATGGAGGTTGCCTGCCAGACAGTTAACTCCCACCACTATCGTCACCACCACCACCACCACCACCACCACCACCATCGCCTCCACCACCACCACCATCGCCTCCTACAACAGGCTCTTCTCCACTTGGTCGACAAGAAGACCGGCAAAAAGTCCAAGAACCCTCCCAAGTTCTTGAAGCAGGGCGATGTCTGCATTGCCCGAATAGAGACCTTGGGCGGCATGGTTTGCCTGGAGCCCTACAAGGAGTATCCTCAGCTGGGACGCTTCACTCTCCGTGACGAAGGTTTGTTGCTGCTGCGCTGTAGAGCGGGAGGGCGGGAGGGCGGGAATGATCCGCGCATATACGGTCGGTGTTGCTGCTGCTTGAATGGTGCCGATCTGACACAGCTGTCCCTTGGCTGTCCGTTCTCTCTTTCTCGTGCTCTCTCTCTCTCTCTAGGCAAAACCGTTGCCATGGGCAAGGTCACCAAGCTCATCCTGGACGCTGCTCCACCGGCAGAGCAGCAGTAAACGCCACAGGCGAGGAGGGTCTTGAGAACGGCAGTTCGTTGCTGCCCCCCGCCCCTCCCCTTCTCTCTCTCTCTCTATTCCATCCTCGACCAAGCGGGCATGCTTGGCCCTAGTTTGATGGGTGCTGTCGTGAGGATCGACAGCGAGTTTGGTCGAGGGCGACGGAAGGGCAAGGCGCTGATTGTCATGACAAGACCGACTTGTGACACAGTCTTCTCCAAGAATGAATAAAAGATGTATCGCGATGGCGTTATACAAAGACCAGCGTAGCCTTCACTCTTGTGATCGTCAGGATGATGCAAGGATGGGTGGGTGACAGGGCGCAGTCACTAACTCCATCTTTGTGCGGGCGGTGGATGGCACCAAAATATCTGTAGTGGTTTTCGTGCTCGAGATTGGGTTCGGCTCGGGATTGGATTCGGGCTCGAGCGAATTATGCTCCTCCCTTCCCAAAACAGCGAGCAGATCACCGATTGACAAAGGCGCTTGTATTCACTTGTAGATGGGGAGGAGACGGAGGATAATATGGCAGGCAAAAAGGGTGCAAGATCGAGGCATGAGGACTTGCGCCGACCTCGATCAGTCCCTCGTGCGGAACCAGAGAGCGGGAGAGACGGTGAGCGTGGTGGAGAGAGGGAGGTGAATGAGTGAGCCAAGCGTCGAGGTAGGAAGTTGGAAGTTGGAGAGGAGAGAGACGGGAGAAAGTCAAAGAACACCAAAGAGAAAAATCGCTGAGTTGGCCTGGCCGGTAGAGGCTCACGGTAACAGGCAGAACTAGATCATGAGCCAGGTGGAGCAGGATAAGGATAGGAGGAGCAGGACGAAGAATACGGCGGAGGAGAATGGAAGAGAAAGAAGAAGAAGAAAGAGGAGGGGAGGCCACTGCGGAGGCGGATGACATCCAGCATAGGCGAGTGCGCAATACTACTTTTTCCCCTCTGTCTTCTCCAGCATCTCCTTGTAGTAGGTCAGGCTCTGTCGGATGGGCTGGATGATAGCAGCCTCCATGTTCGGCAGGACCTTGGCAGTCAGTTCGTACAGCGGAATCATGACGAATCCGATGAATCTGAGAGGAGCAGATGACGTCGGGACAGAAATGTTGAGAGAGTGAAAGTGTGGGGAGGGAGGGAGGAGAAGTGAGTTTGGAGGGGAAGTGCGGAGATTGGCAAACCCACACCAGTCAAACGACACTGCCGCGATCGCTTCTGCCTCCGTTGCCATGGAGCGGAGCAGCACACAGGGCAGCATGAATCTGCCACTCACCCGACTTGAGCACCGGCCTTGGTGACCTTCTCTCGGTCCATGAATGGGGCCGTGGGAAGCCCCTCGGCCTTTTCGCGGTCAGACTGGGCAAAGAACTCTTCCAGGAGACAGTCAACCCAAGGCTCTGTGTGTGGGCGCCGGACGTCGCAGGCACATCAATAACAAGCAAGAGCATGATCCCAGTCAAACACATGTCGTGGCAGACAAATAATCAGGTTCGGCTAGACTTGCGCGAGCGCACTCCAGAACGGGGGACATAGCGTGTGTGTCGGTATCGCTGTCGACGGCGGGCTTACCGGCAACCTCGGTCGGACGAACTGTGGGTGAGATTGAGCGGATGAAAGCGCCAACGAGTGAGCGAGTGAATGGGGCCGTCGGGTGGGAGAGATCGTCGGGTGGGAGAGGCCGTCGGGTAAGTAGAAGGAAAGATATCAGCCCCGTGTTCTGTAGAGTGGATATCATGAACCTGCATCGCACCGATTCGCAAATGCGACAGCCGGATTTGGATGGACGGCAGCCCAAACGACCGCAACTCACCTTCGTTCGAAATGTCCGCGCATTTGATAATCATTTGAACGAGCTGAGAGATTCACCCAGCCAGATATGAGTTCGTGGCAACGAAACCTCGGATTCGTGCTCTGCCCAGCATTGGTCCTGACAGCGATCGTAGCCCCGGACGCTTTATCGCAATGTGAGCGTGCTCTCCCACGCATAGCTGAACATTCTCACAGCGGTGAGAGCGATCGCCAGCCTTGTATCCTCGACATCCATCACACCCCTTCTTCCCTTCTCTCCCCTCCTCTCTCATTACCAGGTTTCGCTGGTCCTGATCTTCGATGTTGAAGTTGTCCACGTGCTTCTTGAAGGCCGTCATGATCTCGCCATGCTTGGCCATGTCCGTGGCCAGGATGCATCGGATGGTGCCCTTGCGGATCTCGCGGAAGACTGCGTCGGGCACGTTGCTGAGGATGTTGGTCTCGGGGGCTCGCAGGAGCGTGAACAGCACGGCTGGATTGCGCATGGGTGTATGAGTGCATGTGCGAGGTGAGAGGAGATGAAAAGAGGCAGTTGATCAAAGCCAATCAATGATCAAACAGATGGGTGAATGAACAAACGAGCTCGCTCGCTCGATAAAGGTGTCATGTTCATGTATGTTTAGCCAGCTCGCGTTGTAATCCATTTCCAGCCCAGGCTGAGAATATTGCTCCTCACCCTGAGCCACGGCATCGAGTTACAATCCACCGTGTCGTGAGCCGTCGGGGAGCGGAGAGGGGGTCACTTACCCGCATGATGGTTCTCGAGCGGCGAGGTGTCGTTGTAGATGATGGCGAGGTCGGTTTTCGCTGGTGTGGTCAATGCGCACAAGTGTGCGTGAAACAAAGGCGGTCAGTGCTCAAACCGTGGCCACGGACACCGAGAAGCCTCTTCGTGCTGCTTGTTCCTACCATTGATTTGGTATGCATTGTTGTAGCCTGGGAGGAGGTGTGGAATGCGAGGTTCAGCATGGCAGTACAGAGTGTCAGCGACGATGGCTTTGATGTTTCTCGTTTGGTCGACCTGGCCGGCCGGCTCCGAAGTAACCCTTCCCAGTCTCAAAGCGGATGCATTCGCCACCGGCAGCGCAACACATCCCGGTGTGGTGTTGCATTTTGGTTGCCGAGCGTGGTATCCCCCTCAAGGCATCAAGAACTGTTCGCGCAATCCTTGGTGTGCACACATCGTCCTCCGTAGGCTGATTGCGACGCAATGGACATATTACCTGGGTGGTCCAAGTCTAGAGAGCCAGTGGTCGCCATTCACCCCGCCGACACGGAAGAGTCCCACATTTTGCCCGCCGACACCATCGAAGCAGACAGGCGGATGGCATTCGGCGTCAGTCAAATCGGATCCATATCTACGTGCATTTGAGTAACTGGATTGGAGAGCACAGGGTGACGGTCCGGTGCAACTGCAAGGGCCTCACCGTGGCCGATGCAGGAGATCAGGAGCACTAGCTTGTCGATAGGCTTGAGCTTGTGGACAATCTCTGTTGTATGAATGATGCCGTACATCTTTGGGCGGGATGGGATAGGATCGAATGTGAGTCGCGGCGTTCGTCAGTTAAGCGTGGAGCGGATATGGATCCAGCGAGGGATCAAAATGTGCCATCGGAGCTGTGGGATGGCACTGCGCGGGGGTGCATATATGTAATCGGGAGCAGATCGGGGGACGTGCTGCAGGGGCTGCCGCATCGCAGGCAACACTCACCATCTGAGTCACACAAAAGCAGTGTTTGAAGTTGTGGAAGGGCTAGAGACAAGATTGTTTGGTGAGCAAGACGCCAGTGAGCAAAACGCCAGTGAGCGAGGTGGGCGTTGCATGGTCAGAATCGGCGGCTGCTTCACCGACTCGGCACAGACTCGGCGAGGACATTGGTCCTGACCACGTAATGATTCGGCGAGAATTCTCTCGCAAACTGGAGCAGGAATACTTACATTGGCGTTGTAGTTGTCCTTGATGCCCCTCAGGAAACGCTTCAAGGTCGCGACATCGATCTTGAACTCCTCGATCAATCCCATGTCGTCAAACATGAGCTCCAGCAGAGCCAGAGCTTCGTTCTCCTCCCATTGCCAGTTGTCGAAGCTGCACTGCTTGAGGTACTCCTTGGTCTCCTCGGTGAAGACGTATTTGGCTCGGTCGGCGTATCGCGGGTCGATGTTGGGTGCCCGTCGAACCATGGCGTTGGGGCCCTTATGAGGGTGGGCAAGCTTGGCAACTTGGCTGACGCTCTGGCGGACGATGGGTGCGAATGGCGGATGCGAATGGCGGATGCGAATGGGTTACTCTGGGTTCGATGAGCAAACTCTGAACACTGACTGCGATCGAGATGCGATAGGGCGGTGCAAGATGCAGCAAGAAAGACGGATGGCCTTACATCGATCTGGCCCTTGAGCTTCGCGACCGTATTGACGAGCTCGTCGGGATTGACGGAATCCTCCGCGCCCGACTTTAGCTTCTCTGAGTGTCCAGCGAATAGGCAAGTCGATGGAAAAATAAAAAAGGGGTCAGCCAGCCTCGTGGACGGTGTGCCGGTCGAGATAGTTCGTTTGGGCGAATGCTGGACGCGGCAACACCCTCCACGACGCCATCGACGGGCAGCGACACTCACCGGAGACGACTTGCAGGGTGTATCGTGTGTGTGGGGTGTTTGAGGTGAGTTTGGGACCGATGGAGACGAGACATCCGTTTTGCTGCGTCAGCTTCAGCACGACGTCCTTGGTGAGGGTCGACGGAACGTCGGCGGCGGTCAGCAGCACCGACTTGATTTCTTCCGTGGTGGACGCTTTCGGCCACTCGACGGTTTCGTCCCGGTTGTGGACTCGAAGATAAAGCCGCACGATATCGGAGCTGGCTGTCGCCATGGCAGTCAGGATGCAGGCGGTGGCTAGTGGTGGTGGTGTGCTGTGAGGGTGGTCGGTTAGCAGGGCGGGAAGGGACGGGAGCCGTGAGAAACGAAATCAAAGTCACTCGAGGAACTTGTGGCGGAATCCGGCTCACTGGCAGAGCTGTCTCGCGGCGCCTGTGAGAGGCAAGCGCTACCGGGGAAACGAACCAAGTGGATGGGAAGACGAAAGGTGGCAGTAGGCACCCGAGATGGCAGTAAATGAGGGGAGCCTTGTAGGTGATGGAGAGGGAGAGGGCGGATACTCTGGAGACTCAGCCGAGACGACGTACACGTCAAAGACAGATACGGTCGAAAGGGGATGCCCACGGCCAAGGCGCTTGCAGCAACAGCGTCGGCGAAGGCAGCGGCGACGGCGACAGCAAAGGCACTGGGCAGGGGGAGAATAGCGCAGTATTGGAGTTGACGCAATGGGGGTGCGGCCAGCGGGTGATGCAAGATTGGACGAAACAGGAGGATCGGGCGGGCGATGCACAACCTGATTCCACAGACCGGCGCTGGAGGAACAATGCCGAACTGGGCGGGGATGGGTTGGGATGGACTGTGTGGGAAGATGTGGGGAATACCAGAATGTGTGGGAGTATCACAATGTGCGGTGGAGGTGGCAAAGAATAGCGTATGAGGAAGCAGAGCCGAATGTCGCATCCGCTTCCCGAGCGATATCTAGAACGTCTCTCGACAGCCGGAGGGGCCGATTCGGGAGCCAGAGACGATGGTCTTGCAACTGCGCTGCAGTTCAATAAAATGCGCCGATGTGGATCACACGAGAAGCAACCTTGGCCATGCCGGATGCCCAGCGCCGGGACATTCGATGCACATGGGGCCTGGCTTGGCGGGGTGTGCAACGCAGCACGGCCCTGGAGGGACTTGTCCAGACGGAGGTGGCGAGCATGTGAACGCACAAGGGGGAGGAGCGCAGCCGAGTGCGAGGAGCCCGCTGGCATTCCTTGGCGGCGACGATATGCGATGCAGATGGGATGCGATGTGAGATATGATGTGATGTGAGATGTGATGTGAGATGTGATGTGATGTGAGATGTGATGTGATGTGAGATGTGATGTGAGATATCGCATCGATGGATGGAGCGATGAACAGCAACTCATTAACAACTACTCATTAACAGCAACTCGTTAACAGCAACTCGTTAACAGCAACTCGTTAACAGCAACTCGTTAACAAGCAAGTGGCGGATACCCCCACCCTTGATGCCGATCTGGACACTCCCCAGCGCTGCGAGCAAAACACACCGGATGCCAACTGTTGATGCATCGCTGTCTTGTGGTATCCGCTCGTCGTTGCATGGCCATTGCCGGACACCGCCAATGCCGTGCGCTCTCGCTGTGCGCTCTCGCCCCGCTCTCGCCCCGCTCTCGCCTGCCCTCGCCGCGCTCTCGCTCGCCGAGGCTCTTCTTCTGCCCCGCCGCTCGGCCGCCCCCCGGCCTTCTTCGTCGTCTTCATCTCGGCTGCGGGTCTGCTTTCCATCGCTCGTCTCGGCCTCCAGCAACGTCCTCTGCTCCATCTCGATATCGCCACCACTCCCAGCCATGTCCACAGCCGCCGCACCAGCCGCCGCCGCCGCCGCCGCTACCGGCGCCCCCGCAAAGCCCATCCAGGTCAAGCTCGTCCTGCTCGGCGAGGCCGCCGTCGGCAAGTCGTCGTTGGTCCTGCGATTCGTCAACAACGAGTTCCAGGAAAACAAGGAGCCCACCATCGGCGCCGCCTTCCTGACTCAGAAATGCAAGCTCGACGACAAGATCATCAAGTTTGAGATCTGGGACACTGCCGGCCAGGAGCGCTTCCACTCGCTCGCGCCCATGTACTATCGCAACGCTCAGGCCGCCATCGTCGTCTATGATATCACCAAAGCCGTAAGTGTTTGCTCCTGCCTGGAGCCCCGGCCGCGCATTCGGACAGCGAGCCTGCGGCCTGCCTTGTCCTCCCTCCCTCCCTACCCATGGACTTGGCTTTCCTGGCCGAGCATCATCTCTCCTCTTCCAGGGGACTCGTTGTTGTGTCGATGGCGCCTCGTATTGCACCGCCGGGTGATTCAACGACTGTCAAGCCCGCCACAGGCTGATCAGTCTGCGCACCGAATCGCCGGCCGTTGGAGTGCCCCCGTCGTTTCTGCCTTTGCTATGCTTCTGTCCCTCTTCTGGAGCGTCGAGCAACAGCGCCCCGAGCAATGCTGGCTGTGGCTATGGATTTCGGCGACCACCACGAAGCGGCACCAGCTACTACTCTCCACTTGTGGACAGCAGCGGGCGGCAACGGCGACGACGACGGCAGTAGCGGCGGTATCGGATTGCAGCACCGCACCGTGCCTGGCTTGTTGTGGCTGGCCTGATTTCCGCTGCTGTGGCGTCTCCTCCCCTGGATGGTGACGAAGGGCCCAAAGGGACGCCGGCCTGTCTGCCCTTGGATTGGTGCATGCCAATGCCTACGCAGACACAGTCGCCCTACTGGCTGTCGTCGTTGACCATGTCGTCTGCTGTCTCGCCAGCTGTCGGCATCGGGTCGCTGTTTGCCCAAATGACTGGCATTCTTGCCAGCCTCATTCCTTCGTCCGGCCACATCCCATGCTTCTCCCCGAATGACTTGCAGCGTCGCTCCGGCTGACACGGCTTTGCCCTCCGTCTCCACCCTTCCCCCATCCTTCCATCTACCGCTCGTCCACCCTCTCCAGGCATCGCTCGAAAAGGCAAAGTCATGGGTGAAGGAGCTCCAGCGCCAGGCCAACCCCAACATTGTGATCGCCCTGGTCGGCAACAAGCTCGACCTGGAAGCCAGCCGCACCGTCAGCTTCGAGGAGGCCCAAGCCTACGCCGAAGAGTCCGGCCTGCTCTTTGCCGAAGCCAGTGCCAAATCGGGAGACAAGGTCGTCGAAGTCTTCACTAACATCGGTACGTCGCCTCTCCTGCCCATCTTTCCTACATCTCGCGTCGAAAACCGTGATTGCGACCGCCATGGCACCGATCCCGCTGAACTAATGTGTCGTCTTCTTACTTGAACGCTTCTGCAACGGTGTCTTTTCCAGCCAAGCAAATCCCTCTCGACCATCTGCTGGCTTCCCGCTCTCGCCCGGGCGGTGCAAGCTCTGGTGCTCCTGCTGGCGGTAGTGCAAGCGCCTCTGCCGACGGCCGGGTCAATCTCACAAATCCCACCACTCCGCCGGCTGCCGGCTGCAGCTGCTAAAGAGCCACACGCAATCATTTTTGTTCCCGCTTTCACCTTCCACCACCCCTTTCCAGCCTCCCTTGTTTGGTCGTAATATATCATAACTGCCAATTGACGACTTGCCGAACAGCGAGACCGGCTGCTCGAGTAACCGACTTTGCCTTCGACTTTGAAGCTGCTTCGATGGCGCCTGCTGCTCCATGACTCCTAGTCATCTTGCTGCTCAGGCTTTGTCGCTTGGGCCGTCTCCTCAGGGAGAGCCTCAGGTCATGCCCCCACACATCCTGCATATCCAATCAGGCCCTGCGGCGTCGCCCGAATCAAGTCGGCCCCGCGGCCACGATGTTGCGGCCAGGCCACCAATCACTCCATAAGTGAGCAGTGTGGCTGTCCTGTCCACTGATCCGAGTGGCTGCAGCACCCAGCCGGTCTTGCCTCCTGCATCAGTATCGGTCGCACGGCCAGCAGCATCGGCAGTATCAGCAGCATCAGCAGTATCAGCAATGTCAGCGATAGCAGAACTATCAGCAGTATCAGTACTATCAATGGCGTATATACTGCCAATTCCCACCCAACAAACATGCAGACTTGACCGCCCTCCCTCGCCCCCAACCCGACACTTCGTCCTCGTTGGCTTCGCTTTTGCCCCCGTGCCGCCGACCTCTTCTTCACCAGGTGTGCTCTTGCGCCCCTTCGCCTCTCGCTCCTTTCACCGTCTCCAAACGGACTGTTCCCACGCCGATACTCTCCCGCCTCTCCCGCCTCTCACAGCCGGGTCGCTCCACATCCTCCTCCACCACTGTGAGTATACGCTTCCGTCACCAGCACATCCGGCCTCTCAAACTTGCCTGTGCTTTCTTTCTTGCCCTCGCGTCAACATTGAATATTTCTCCGAAGCCCGGCCGAAACAATACCACGATAGCCGCCCCTCCCCTCTGCTCCTGCTTGCTGCCCATCGCCTCCACCCTGCCCTCCCACGATCCATCAACAAGACGCGTTGCCCGTTGCTTCGATAGAGCCGCCAGGGGTTGTTTACGAGAGGAAGGAGGATCGCCGTCTTCTTTCGAGCATCGTCCATCACTTTCTCATTGCTGGCCTTGCCCCGACCACCAACAACCAAAGCTCTCTCTGCCCAACTGTTGCCCAAATAGCGGCATCGTCGCTCCACACGTCCCCACAGCCACAAACACCCGCAACTCTGTCTGTCTCTCCATCTGTCTGTCTGCCTGCCGGGCTTGGTTCCTTTGGCTTGCCTCTGTTCGCCACCACTGCCCGCTTTCTTCTCGTTGCCATATATTTGCTGGTTTCACTCGATTGGCTTCTCCCTCGTCACCCTCGCCTTTCCGCACCCAGTAGCCGCATCGGTAGCGTCGTCGTAGTTCTTGATCTGTGTGATGATCCTTGGACGGCATTTCGACAAGTACTCATCTCGCTGCTTCCTCCCTTACTCCTCCTCCGCTGGACTCTTCCTTTCGCTCGTTTGCAGACTTTACTCATCTTCACTCGACCATCCAACAACGAACAAATGGAAGGGTAAGTCGGACTCTCGACAAACGGGTTCAATTGCCTGTTCGATCCATCAGTTGGTCCTCGATCGAGCATATCAACCGATCTAACTGCTTGATCATCGGTCACCGCCTTGACTCTTGTTTGTTCCTAAATGACACTTTCTTTCTGTTTCCATCCGCTTCGTACCGACTCGCGCTCGACTCTCTCTCGCTCTCTCGCTCGCTCTTGGATTGCCAACGATTATAAGATTGAGCGGCGCCGGAGGTTACTTTGCTCCGCCTGGATCGTCTCCGCCAAAGGCGGGCGCCTTTGCACCTCGGAAAACTGCCAGTCGAGCCGAGCCGTCGAGTATGTCGCTCTCCTTGCTTGCTTCGTCTCCCTGTCCGCTTTTCCATCCAAACAGTCTGCCGTGCTCCGTTGTGCACCGGATCAATCCCCCCCTCCCAAGTCAGACTGCGGCGTTACCAGAATCTACGAATCGCACCAAAGCTTGACGATGGAGGCAATGACATCGGCGCCTGGAACGATTGGCATTGAAGTGGCGCATCTCAGATGATACTGCAGGGCTATAGCTCGCGGAGACTATCTATCTGCCACTCCTTTATGATCACCTCTGTCCTCGTTTTTTCTTCGTCTACCGACCGGGCATCCGCCGATTCCTTCACTGTAGAAGACAGATGGCTGGTTGGGTCTGGGGATGGGCGAATACTGATCCTGTTCGTCGATTGTTTATGTGGGCTGTGATGGTCGTGACATCTACTCCAATGACATCTACCCCAATGACATCTACTCCTGTAACCTCTACTCCAATGACATCTACTCCTGTAACCTCTACTCCAATGACATTTACTTCCTTGACATCCACACCGTGGCTTCGTTTTGACTGCAATCGTGGTCGCTGCAACGATTGCTACTATTTTCTCCGACTTTCTGGCCATGTGGGAACCGCATCGTTGCATCTGAAACGGCATCTGGAACGGCATCAAACTGGACCCATGGCTCGACTCTCTACCCCCGCCAACCATATCCACTTCTATTCCATCGATACTCTCTGTTCGACCACAATGCGCTCCCTTTGTGGCGTTTGCTGACTTCAGAGGAAATCTCGTCTTCAGGCTTCCGAAAGCTCTATGATCGCGGCGACTTTCCGATAAGCGTGAATCACGACGCCAAGGGCAACAAGATCAACTGGAAGGTTAGCACAGCCGGCATTTATCGACGCAGTCGACCCAATTCATCATCTTCGTGTGTGTGTGCCCGTGCTTGGAGCATCAAACTAAAATATGGCTGCGGGCACGGTGCCCGCTGGTTTCTGCAGGTTGACATCGAGAAGCTCGACTACCACCACTACCTCCCGCTGTTCTTCTCGGGCTTGTGTGAGACGGAGGAGCCCTATGCCTTCTTGGCACGCCAGGGCATCCACGACCTTCTGGACAAGGGCGGCAACAAGATCCTGCCGGTTGTGCCGCAACTCATCATTCCGATCAAGAGTACGTCTCGTTTTCTCGTGTGTGTCAGGTTCATCGATTGGGGGATATTGGGCTGGCGTCGAGGTTGGTCGACTAGCCGCAGGAATAGAGCGCCCCGTGGTTGGTGGATCTGCTGGGGAGACGGATCTCTTTCACCTCTCATCGCACTTGCCGCGCCTGGCTATTGGACACCGCATGCCCTTGCCCATGGTCGCGATGACCAGGTTTTGGCCTCTCGCCCGCGCTGCTTGGATCGCCGGTTGTGCTCGGACTCATCCCGATCGTCTCTCCATTCAGAGGCCCTCAACACCCGGAACATCCAAGTGATCACCACCACCCTGAAGGTGTTGCAGCACCTTGTCGAGTCGGCCGACATGGTTGGCGAGGCACTGGTGCCGTACTATCGGCAGATTCTGCCAATCTTCAACCTGTTCAAGAACAAGAATGGTGAGTCCGGTGGCTCTGCGGGCACTCAATCTCCCTGAGGGACTGACTCTGTTTCGTGTGGGACTGACTCTGTTTCGTGAGGGACTGACTCTGTTTCGTGTGGGACTGCCATTCTTGCCACCCGCTCCTTTGTCAGTCAATATCGGCGATGGCATTTACTACTCGCAGCAGAAGCGAGAGAACATTGGCGACCTCATCCAAGAGACCCTGGAAAAGTTCGAGTTGACCGGAGGCGAGGACGCCTTCATCAACATCAAGTACATGGTTCCGACCTACGAGTCTGTGTTGTCGAGAGTGTGAAGCGGATCTCGCCAGGGAGAGAGGGAGAGGTGTTTTATCCATCGTCGATTGCTTGCACCGCCCGTTCTCTCTCATGAAACCCATGCTTCCTTGGTCATCCGCTCCCCACTTCCCACTCCCATCATTTTCTCTTCATCTCTCGACTATCACGACTGCTCTTTGTTTTCCTTCCCCTTACTTCACCATCGCCATCCTTTCGACACCGTTCACAGTCATGTCACTTTCGTATACCAAACATCCCTTCTCCCGTCGCTGTTCCGCCGCGTCTCTCTTGTGCTGAGTCGCCTCCGCTGCCGGTCGAGATCCGCACACACTGGAGACAGCTTCAAAACCAATATAAGCAGAGCCACACCCATCGATCCAAATGGTCTCGTCGTCATCATTCCGACGATGGATCGAGCTAGCGGACACCGCTCCAAAGCTTCCCAATCTCGCGCTGTCGCCCAGGTACTTTGGCGCCTGCTCGGGTTCGTCCTGGGGCAATTGGCTCGGTCGTGTGCAGGCCGGGATTGATCCTATTCGGTACTCAACGAGGTCAACTGCGTCTCCTCAGCAACTTTATTCCATCGACACTCACAGCTGCGATGCGAGCGCAGGAACGAGCACACACATACACACATGCGGATAAAAGTGACCACCAGGAAACAGAAACCACCAAGAGAGAGGGGTCAGCAAGTAGGAAGCCTGTCGCTCGGTGCAAAACGTGCACGTTCGTGTTCGGCCACAGCGGCTGCCGGGGTGAAGCCTCCCGAAAGGCAGTAGCCAGAAGGCACTGCGTCGATTGTGGCTGCCCAGCAGTGCTTCGCTGTACAGGCATGGTTCATTGCCCGCCAGCACGCTTCGCTAAGCCGCCATGCTCACCTCCGAGTCCTCCAGATACTTGTACTCGAACCTGGTTGTGCATTGCGGCAGCCAGAGCGGGGTGATTAGAGCGCCACCGTCTCCGTCTCAGTCTCAGTCCAAGTCTTCGTCTGGCTCCACCTCCATGTCTGACTCGAGTACGATTGCCAGTTCCGGAGAAGCAGCAATCGCGACGCCCCTTGGATCAGCGGCATGCATGCGTGCAGTGCGACACAGACACATTACCTAAACTCGGCCTTCTTGCGCTGGCACCAGGCTCCCTCGTAGTCAAAGTACACGTACGTTCCCAGCTCGAACTCGCTGGTGATGGTCTTGGGCTCCTCGTGGCGCTGGAACCATGTCAGATACTTTTTGTGGAACCGCCATGACTGCTTCTTGAGCTCCCGGGCCGCGAGGTATTGCTGGTAGGTGCCTTGCTGGTAGTAAAAGATGAAGAAGAGCGTGTCGATGTCGAGCTTTTCGAACATGGATGGGTTCTCGAAGACCCCTAGTGGCACTTGCGGATAGTATGCGGGCACAGGATATGGCGTTTTTGGCACGTAGTATTTTGGCCTGCAGGCGGAGCATGGGGAGGAGCAATCAGCGCAAGGAGAGGAGGAACGAGTGCACGGCACGAGCACAAGATCGCCTCTGGCGCTGAGGGTGCCGCAACTCAAAAGGTCCACAGATTCGAGTGCGGTCCCAACCTGTCCGAGTCCAGCGCATCCGGCACAAACTGGAAACTTGTCTCGAGCATGTGCTGCACAAAACTGTTGTTCTCGCGGAGTTGGAGCGCTGTGATAGAGTGATGCAGCATCAGTGAAAAGCGAGCAAAGGGCCTCGATACCGACGTACCAGCTTCGCGCTGTTGCGGCATAGCTCGTGCCCGAGGAGGGAGGGAGGGAGGAGCACACAGATGACAGCCAAAGGCACAGCCCAAGCCGGGGAGGCGAGCCTGGTATCAAAAGCGAGAGCATCCAAGGCAACCTACATCGCTCGCGCGTGGCCTTGAATGACGACACCAGGTCTGCCAAGGAAGGTGGCAGGCGATTGTCGATCGGCTCCGGGGCTGGCGGCGCTTCCTCTCGCGGAGGCTCCGCGGGAGATGCTGTGGGAACAGGCGCTGGGGAAGGCGCAACTGCAGGAGTTGTCGCCAATGATGGTGCGGGAGCCGGCGTTGGTGCAGCGGAGGCAGACGGCGTCGGCGTGGGCACCGAAACGGGTGTCGCTGAGGTGGGTGTGGGTGTGACTGCCGGAGGTTGCGCTGATTTGGGCAGCGGCGTTTGCGCTCGTGACGCCGGGCTCTGTGCGGTCGTTGTCACGGCCGGTGGTGCTGTCCGCAGGTTGGTCGAGGTCGAAGTTGGCGGTAGCGAGGCCACGTTGACGTCGATTGTCGGCCGTACTGTCGAGGATGCAGTTGGTGAGGCATTGTGCGATATTGGCAACAGCCAGGTCGCCGTCGGTGGAAATACGCCACCGCACCAGCAGCAACAAGCCAGACGGGACTCGGGTCGGTGGGATGAGGCAGCGACATTCGGCTGGGACGCTTGGGCCGGCCAGATACATACCTTTGGATTTCTTTTCTTCGGACAGGGCAGTCGCTGCGGCCGCAGCGTATCGTATCGGCGCGGGAGCCGGGACTGGTGTCGGCGCATCCGTCAGTTTCGGTGGAATCGGCACCGAGTTTGCCCGGATGGGCACAGGCGTGGTTTTCTGGGACAGGTTCCCCAGGCCACTTGACGACTTGGCTGTTGAGCTCTTGTCATCCTTGCTATGATGACGCTCTGCGTTGGGGCGGGACACGAAATGCATGCGTGAGCGCGGGGCAGCTACAGCAGCTGCCGTTGGTGGAATGGAGTATAATGGAATGGAATGGAATCATACCCGGAATCGGCCGCACTTTTGGCGCAGGCTTGACGGGCGATGTTGGTGCCTAGAAAATGCGGAGGGGTCTGCTGGTCAGAATCTGGCTGGTAGCGGCATGTGACATATCCTTCCAGAGACTGAAGGCAACCACTGCCACGGCGGCTGCTTGCGGAGTCGCAGAGTTGGTGAAGGTGTGGCACAAAACTGCAAGAGCGCGAGACTCATACAGACCTCCTTCTCCTTCACCGGGGCATCTGTGGCGAAGCACCGGATCGGCGGCACAGCAAAGGGCACAGCAAAGGGCACAGCAAAGGGCACAGCAGACGGAAACCACGAAGGCGCAGTGTGAGAACAGGTGTGTGCTCGACTCAAGCTGACGGTTTTGCCAGCCGCGACCAATATCCCGCACGTCTGCAGACAGCGCTCATACCTTCGACTGATGCTTCTGTGTTGGAGTCATCGTCAATGCCGATGCCCAGCTCGGGGTCTTCCAGCACCAGATCCTCGTACATGAACTCGTTCTCGACAAAGGTGTCCTCCGCGTTGTCGTTGACGTACGCCTCGATCTCGGACTTGAGATCCAGGTCTTTCAGCTGCATCGACGCGATTCGGGGAGCAAGTGGTTGCAGAGAGCACAGTTTAGAGCGGCAGCAGCACACGCTGCAGTGGCAAAGTGAGGTTGGCAGGCTAAACGAGCCGAAGGCCAGGAGACGGCGCAACAGGGTACCTGCTCTAGTGTGAGTCCTCCGTTGCCAAGCATGCGGTTGATGATCTCGAGCTTTCCGATGTGGAACTTGTGCCGGGCGACACGCCGCTCGAATTTCTGCAGCTGTTCCTGCTTCGCCGAGTCCATCTTCCGTCCCTTCTTGACGTTGTTCTGCAGGACCTCCATCTCGGCCTCCAGGCTGTCGATCTGGGTGTTGAGGCTGTCGACCTCATCCGCCAGGAACGAGCAAAAGTCTTGCTTCTCCTGCTCCTGCGGGTCGATTTTTGTTGCGGCGCTGAGGCCTTCTTTCGAGAAGGCTTTCGTCTTGAGCTCCTTTTCACAGGCCTTGAATTTCTCCATTTGCTGATGGCGGCGAGTCGCGCAGACCAAGCATCGTGGCCAGCAGAGGCATTCCATATGGCGCAAATAGGCGTCAGTGGTATTCGGGCCAGAGCCACGTCGAGATGCTCGGTGCAAAGCAGGGATGGGTGCAGAGGCGGGCTAAGGGCTCGATGGAGCGCCTGGCCGGCTCAGTGGTGCCCAGGGACGGATGCTTCCTCAGGCCGAGCGTACTTGATTTTGCATCAAGCCCACGCGGAGACGAGCGAGCGGGTGAGCGGGAGAACGGACGCCTCACCTGCTCGATGAGCTTCCTAAAGGACAGCAACTCGGACTTGTCCTTGATTTCAGGCGAGGAGATCCACTTTTTGATCTCGTCTCGCAGACGCTGGAGCTTTTTGATTTCCTTTTTCAGGTCGCCCTCGAGCTTCTCCTTCTGCGCGGAATTTGATGTCGACTGGATCTTGCCGTAAATCTCCTCGAAAATCTGGACGCCTTCGGTGACCTTTTTCAGGGTCTTGTCGATCTCGGCTGCGTGGATTGAGGTTGAGCCGTGCAGATAAGGGGGGAACGCATGTGCGGAGCAAAGTCCCAAGACAACCGGAAGGGAGTCGAGTCAGGCGATTAGAGACGATGCCGATGCGACAGCTGATCGCGACGCAGCAGCCCCAGCAGGCGAAGAATAAGCGCAAGACGGATTGGATTTGAGGAGAGGCGACCTGCGGAGGGAGGGAGAACGGCCACGGACTCGCAAGCGATCGTGGCATGTCCCGCTGCTGTCGCTGTCGCAGGAGACAGACACATGCGAGGGCGATCGAGGATCGACCCCTGCACCCTGGGAAAGCAATATCGCCGTCTCTCCTCGACGCCAGGTGCAGATGTGTCAGGGGGACGCCGTTCGAGGAGCCTTCGATCCACGCCGCAGTCGACGACAGGTCGCTCCGCGGGTCAAAGACATCTCCTCCACCACCTCCATGTTGGAGATGCAGCTGTCCGGGAGGGGTTTCGTCTAGCAAGTCATCCAGCGGCTCCGCATATCGCCCTTGCCCGATCGCCACCACCAAAGACCTGTGGGAAAGCGGCGATCCCTACTCTGCAGCTTTCGGTTTGCCATTTCTGCACGGGCTTTGCTGGGATGCTTCGGGATGGATGTGGGATGTGCTTCTCCTGGGGGGGCAAGCTGGAAAAGATGGACGCACGGCCAAACGGGGCATTTTGTTTTGCACTGGCTCTCGCTGGGCCTCTCGCCGGGCGAGGGCAGGGCGAGAGCAGAGCGAGAACAGGGCAGTGCTGATGTAAGCATGTCCCTCCCGGTTACGATCAAGCGCGTTCGCGTGACATCAACGAACCAACAAGAGCCGCCACTCCCATCATGCTGGCATTGTGAATGCTCACGCTGGGTGCCCCCATGGATCATGCCCTTCCCAGTTGTGCTGGCAACGGTCAACAGCAAGGCATGTCGAATTCAGCGCGTACAATCATACGTCGCAGGCTGATATATGGTACAGAGCCGATCCTGCCTGGCGGATCCGTCAGAAAGCAGTGTTGGACCTGGGCCTCAGACTACTCTCTCGCAGCCGTTGCGCGCGGATGTTTGGCGAGAAAGTCCTTGAGCCACATGCTGTGCTCTGCCAGGATGGCCTCGGACCGGGTGTGGCTGGCTTCCCAGCGGCTCTTGCTCTCGGGGCTGCTTGCACGCAGACTGTTCTGGAGGTAGGTTCGTCCGCGGCCAGGAGGAAGAATGCCCTCGGAGAAGAGGCGATCCCGAGTCAGCGGTGTTGCGGATCTCTCGTTGTATGGCCGCCTTGGTGAAGCCGTAGCTGTTGAGGGCTCGGATGTGTGGCTGCGGCTGTTTGGGCCAGGCAAATAAGGCCAGCGCAACAGCGGTCAGTGGGTGCCCCACAGCTCATGTTCCATTTGTGTCCCAGCTCGTTGGCACAAGAGTCGCCCGCCATAATCGCATCAACTGCGAACAGTGATTTTGGGAACAGATCGAGCGCACAATATCAAGGAGACAAAACCAACGCATGCTTACCTGGCGCCTCCTGGTTTATGGCGACGATCGAGAACGGGACTGTTGACCTGGGAGGTTTTCAGCATTCCCATCAGCTTCGAGAGCTCATCCTCGATCTCGTCGAGGTCGTACATGTGTTTGGAGTGCTTCTTTGCTTGCTATGGTCGACAAGAGGTCAGATTCCATGATGGTGAATGGCGCAGCGGTTATGTGGCGCCGAGCGACGATGGCCAGCCATGGAGTGCATTACGAACCAAGCCACGGATTTTGAGTGAGAATGAGGCACAGATGGTGCAGAGCATGTGGAGCAGGCAAGCGACCATGGGGAATCATGATGAAGTGCCCAAACTAAACCCGACTATGTGTCCAACCATCTACCATCCAGTACGGACGCATCTCCAGCCAAAGCGCTTCCTACCTCGATATCTCGGGCTCGCTCGTACATCTCCCTCTCCATCTCATGAAGATGGCGCTTGTTTTCGTCAATGACGAAGCGGTCGCGCTGCATTTTCTTTTGATCCTGCTGGATCTTGAGAGCCTCATCCTCCAGCTGCAGACGCAGATCGGAGAGGTAGTTGAACTCCTCGGTGCGCTTGGACTGCGACCGAAAGCGAGTTTCGCCGAGATGGCCATGGACTTTCGTTAGCACGCGCTTGAGGAGGACAGAGCGTGGGTATGATAGCCCATGGCACTGGCGTGTATGGCCCCGGCTGGGAAATCCCACCTGCATCATGTCGTTGACGCTCTCCTTGAACTGCGCCTTCGAGCGGTCCAGGACATGCCCTCTGCTCGCGATGTTGATGCGCTGATCTCGCAGGTACCGCTTGGCCTTCCGGAGCTGGCGCTCCTCCTTCCGAAACTGCTTCTGCAATTGGCGAGTGGGACTCCAAGACTCGCCTCTCGAGCGGCTGGGGAGAACGAGTATGGGATCAGAATGTGTCGCTGGCGGGAAAGGCGGCTGATGATGAGTCTCCCGAGTTGTACCTCAAAAGATGATGTTCATTCGACTCGCTCTCCGAGCTGCCGCTGTCGGAGCCACTCGATGCTCCGGCTTGGGTCTGGTATGCTCGTCGAGCGGTGTACTCTGCTACCCGCTTGACCGGAGATGAATGCCGCTTGGCGCGGACTTCGTTGCGGAGAGCACCGCGGTCTAAGCGAAACAAGGGGACAGTCAGCGAAGGGCACTCCGTAAACCACCTGTCCTGCTGTGGCTCGCACTGCCGGATGATGCTCGCAGAGCCTGTGTGGTGCATCTACCTGGCTCGTCGTCGCTGAGCGGCTCAATCTCTCTCAGCGACATTGCATCGGTCGTGCTCTCGTGGGCTTCGGGATGGCCGCGTGGTGCGCCATCGGTGCGCTCGAATAGCTCAAAGGAAGGCCGCTCAAACGCATGGTCTCTCTGTATGCCAGCGCTTTGGCTGACTGCTGGGCTGCCAGACTCGGCGATCGCTCGCGGCTGAGCCCATCCGGCCGACTCGGCTTGCCGCTTCTTCTGGAACGTAATCTCTCGCTCTAGATCTGCAAGGGCTTGCTTCTCGTTCGAGAGTCGCTGCCGGGTGCTGTTGAGATCGCGCTCGGCCATTTCCAGCTTGATTCTCTCATCCTGGAGATGCAGTCGTCGCTTGGCCATCTCGTTTTCAAACGATTCAAGCTTGTCCTTCTCTGCATCAAGATCTTGACGCCTTGATTTGAGTGTCTTGATCTGGTCGTCCATATCCCGACTCAGGCCTTCCGTGGCTGCCGTCTGGCTGGATGTGGTGGCGAGCGACAGGGAGAGGCTCTCGAGCTGCTCGCGCTTGCTCTTGACTTTGGCCTCGAGCTCCGATGCCTCCCGTTCCAGTTTTTCCTTCTGGACCTGAACCTGGGCCAGATCGCGGCTTTGCTGCTCGTACTCTTGCCGATCGCGGCGAAGGGTCTCTTGGGACCGCTGAATATCCCGAGCTAACTGTTCAAGCTGTGTCTGGCGCTCGGCGGTAAGCTTTGCCTTTTCGCTGGCTTGAGCAGAAAGCTCAGCCAGCTTTGATTCAAGCGACTGAGTCCGCTTTGATTGCTCTATCTCGCGACTCTTACAAACACCATCGATCGCTTGGGCACTGGTGTCCCGTGCCCGCGCCAGCTCATCTTCGTGCTTGACTTTGACGGCATCGAGTCTAGCCTTGAGCTCGGCCTTGAGCTTTGCAAGTTCATCCTGCTCGAGGGCATCAATCTTTTCCTTGGCTGTGCGGCGGATGCGCACGGACTCCTGCTCGAATGTCGCCGCCGACGCTTCTTTGAGTTCCTGCAGCTTTCTATGCGATTCAGCTTGGGCGTCCTTCAGGCTGCGCTCCAGCCTATCAGCCTCATCTTGTAGCGCTCGACTGTAACGCTCCTGGATCTGCGCCAGTTTGGTCTCCAGTTGGCGCTTTTGCTCCTCGTCCATCTGCTTCAGTACCTCTGCGTGCTTGGACTTGCTCGTTTCGAGTGCCTTTTGCTCGTCGATCTCGCGGCTGTGGGCTGTCCTTAGGGCATCGAGTCTCTGCTGGAACAGGCGCTGCTCTTCTTGTTCGGCTTGCTGTTGCTTGTGCTCGTAGTCAGCGTGGAGACTCTGCTTCCAGACTTCCAGCTTGCGATCTTCGTCCTTTTGGATCTGGATCCGCTGGCTCTCTGCTGTCGCTCGGACCTGCTCCTTAATTTTCTCGATGTCGGCCAGAGATGCCGTTTTCAGCTCGGCTTCGAGTGACTTGGTCTCGGCCTGGACTTTGTCGTGAATGCGCTGTCGTGCTTCCTTGGTTTCTCTGGCCCCCTCTTCCTCGAGCTTCTCGATCTCGTCACGGAGTCTCTTTCGAAGCGCTGTAATCGCAGCTTCGTGTTTCTGTCGCTCTTCGACTTCGTTCTGGTCATACTCTTTCTGGAGATTCGGACGACTCGACGGCGTCGTCTCCGCAGCTTCTCCAGATTGAGGAGGGCCTCTTTTGCCATGATCGAGTCCGGGGGCTGGCTCTGATGTCTTTGACGCAAAGGAGTCCCTTTCTGGCCCTGGAGGCTGGTGGTGCATTTCTGGACTCTGCTTCGGGGACGGGTCGACATCGGAATCGTCCGTAAAGTCAAAATCATCGTCGTCATTTCCGAGACGGCTGATGACCTTGCTCTGAATGTCTTTGGCGCTCAGCTTTGCCGCTGGCGCCTCGGTATTCTGTCGGACGGTGTTCTTGGGCTTGGAATCAAAGGCGCTGGCATAGTTTGGTCTGACTGGACTCGAGTCGGGCAGATTGAAGTCGCTGTCGCTTTCCGATGCAGGCTCGCTGTCGGACGCTTTGTGTCCGCCACCATGCTCGCTTTCGTCGTCATCCAGTCCCTGATCGCTCTCTTCAGTCGTGACAGCGCTGGAACTGGGCTCCTTGTCGGCGTCGCCTGGAGACCACGATGGTTTCGTCAGAGGTGAGCCCAGCTTTGGGAGAGTGCTGGGCTTTTTGACAAGATCGGGGAGGGGCTGTAGCTTGTTGGCGGTGCTTTGAGATGCAGCAGTCGAGGATTTAGCGGTTGTGCCTTGAGCAGGGGTCGCCGAGGATTTGCCGGATACAAGTTCCTTGGACTTTGCTGCAGGCCCCTTTTGCTCCTGCAAAGAGTGCGTGGGAATCAAAGGGAGCTCGATGAGTACATCTAGGAATAACTCCGTGCATCCGAGACAGTTTGCAGATGCAAGGGGGCGGGCTTGAAACGAGGTGTCGGAAACGGTGGTTGTTGGGATATCGAGCTACTAACCGGTGCGCTCTTGGATTCGCTGGGGGTGATGCTGATTGTTGGGTTGGCAAGGCCCTTGGCCTTTTCTCGCTCGTAGAGCTTGCGATAGTGCTCGTCGCAGGGATGGTCCCAGATGCTCTCGCCAGTGACAAAATTGAAGTAGTAGATGTTGCCGTCTTCTGTTTGGCTGTGGATGGATCATTGAGTGTCGGAGCGGCGCTGACAGATCCATTTCTCCTTCGGGGCCAGGGTGCTGTCGAGCAAGGGGGTCTTGGACTCTGGGACACTCACCAGGGTTTCCAGTTTGGCGGCAGCGGTGCCTTGAGCGACTCTCTGGCGATCCAGAAGAGATGGCCCTCCCTCTCGGTGTCCATTCCCAGGAACTTTGCATATTCGATAATCTCTGTGGGGGGGGGAAGTGGGATGCGTTATGTGCATTGATAAGAATAGTATGCGGTGCGCCACGAGGGTTCTGTAATTGCGCTTCGCTGTCACTGCGGAGACAACATACCTTCTGTCGTGGGCTCGTAGGATTCGTCGAACCTGGATGGTGGCGTTCAAATCGCGGTTATGGCGATATGCGTGATTTGCTCAGGGTTGCAGCATCAAAACGATCCGATCCTTGGCCCTGCTGCTGGGCGAGCCCTCTCACTCCTTTCGCGAGCCCACCCGACGCGTGCCATTCTCGGCTTGGGACTTACTCTTCTTCCTGGATACCGTTTGGGCGGTGGTTGACAGGGATGTCATGGAAAGACAACGGGATGTGAAATGCAGAGTGACTACGTGAGAACGAGTCTGGTTTGCGGCCATGGCGCTGGGCGACGCGTTGTGGGATCAGGCCCAGGCTCTGCGGCATCGATGTGTTGTGTGCATGGCAAGCCCACCAAGATCGCTGATTTGCTCATTGCTGCGTGTCTCTGGCCTATGCGAGGCGCTGGCGATGGGGTAGCCGGTGTCCTGTTGTCGGCAAGGTCTTGGCAAGTTGATCGGGCAAGTGGCTGACGGTTGCATGGGCGAGGGAGGGGAAACTGGCGCCTTTGAACTGTGGTCGAGTTGGCGGGCAAATCGCAGGGCGAGCCCGAACATACGTCGGCGGCACGATGCATCCATTCTCTCTATCTGCTGTTCGGTTTCATCGCTGGACTGTCGCAACTGGAGTCGCTGGACGCGAGGCTGTGCCTCGGAAAACGGATCGATGCGGCCGCAGCGCTCAAGCAGAGCTTGGATGACAGCGAAACCTTGCTCGCTCTGCCAACACTAAGGAGGCCTGGCGACAAGGACTCGGGTCTGCCCAGGCGGCAGGGGCAGACATGCCATCTCCGAAGCAAGGGACAGCGACAACGCCAGACCTCAAAATGTAAATCGCCGTGCCGTGCTGTGCAGCAGCAGGCGAACACAGGTCGCCAGAGCACGCGCAAGGGGTCTGCTCGCCTCTCCACGACGGGGCATGTGCTCATCGACTCCCCTGCCCAGTGGTGCATCAGCTTCCCACCGTCGGCGGACAAGATCCGCAGGCGCCAGAGTTCGCGTTCGGTACAAGGCCGGCTTTCCCCTTTCGCCTGCCACAAGGCAGCGGCGGGGCGTCACAAGAACGAGTGCGACCCGTGTGGGTCGGGAGCTGCCGGCCTTTAAAGGTGCGGCCGCGGTGCAGCAGCAAGCCGCCGCATCCGCCCGCTCCGTCGCCGCGACAAGTAGTTTATCGAACATCAGCCACTCACCTGCCTCACGTCGGTTGACTTTACCCCTCAGCAAGCTGCCCACGCTCCTGCCAATCCTCCGAACCCGCATCGAATCAGATCTGCTTTTCCCAGCCAGGAGCTGCCTTCTGCTGCCGATCCGAAGCACCACCCAATGGCCCAAGCCCTAGGCTCAACCGCCGAAGACTTCCAGCGCGTGGTAGTTCTGTATGAAGGAGAGTCTGACGCCGCGGCAACGACTAGGACCGTTCGCATCATTGACGAACATGTCGATGATGATGATAATGGCGGCACGTCCAGCAACCAAAGGCAGGGCACTACCCAAAACGCCAAGCATATCGAGGGGATCAGCAGAACAATGTCCCTCAAGATGGTGCGAGAGTGGATCAATCAGAGGGCAGAGAAGTCGGCAATGACTGATGTCGTGCCCAAATACTACTGCTTTAACAGCGGCAGCACCATTTTGCATCCCGACAAAGAATACATGACGCTTGGAGAATACCTGCGTCAGGAAGCTTGGTATCCCCTTGAGCAGATCGGCGATCTATTCAGCCCAAATCCAACTAAAATAACCGCCGTCATTCGAATCGCTCCGACGATCGTCATTTCGATCCCCAACACAATCGAGCTGCGCTCCCCCAGGGATGCCACGGTGAGGGTTCAGCGACTCTGACTGTGACTGTGGTGCGCAGAGGTCTGCTGTTGGTGAGTGGCGCTGGAACTCATCCACACCTCTCCACCTTAGTGGCCGATTCCTATTATATACGCTTCAAGACACAGCGTCCCTGTCGAGGCAAACGAAGCGATCCAGTCAGCCACGCCGCTCTCGCAGCACCAGCATTCGTACCGAGACACCAAAGAGCGATTCGTCGATCTCGTTCTGCGAAAGAGCGATACATTCTTTGCATTCAAAATCGGCCAACGCCGGTCGCTGTTTGTTTTTGATCCCGACGCCACCATCAACCAGATCTGGGATGAGGTCAGTCAATCTCCGCAGCAGGCCATCGAGGACACGATCGCCGCAGTCGACTCACACTTTGCCGTCATGCGCGAACGTGTAGATCCTCAACTTTTACGGCCTTGGTGATCGCGAGCCCAGGTCCATCTGGAACGAAATCTTCTATTCCGGAAAACGTACTGATTTTGATAGTGACGAACAGCTCATAGAGGACTTTTTGGCAAAGAAGTACCAGTCGCTGGATCAGCTTCGTTTCGTCCCCGATCATTCTGACCGTGGCTGGACATTTTCTCAAATACTGGGATTCTCTCCGACCTTCCAAAGCCAAATCGTCGGCAGTGATATCAACATTAGAAACGGAATCATCCACATGCAGTGGAATTGCGATGAGACACGTCCACCAACCGGCCCCAAGTCACTCACATTACAACTCGAAATCGTCCATGTGGAGCCAATCGAGTCCAAAGGTTTGTGTTGCGACTCTGATTGTGGGCAACCGAGATGATAATTAACGCCATGCATCAATGCCTTCATTATAGTCGATGAGGAATTGCTCCAAAAGCTTGCGGATCAGTTTGAAGACGGTCGACTGAACCAGAGTCAAGGGCGCCTCACAGCAGCCAGTGGGTTTCTCGACAAGGTGTCGGAAAGCCTGGACGACCTCCAAGGCAAGAAGGAAGGCGTCAGCAACGCTGTTGAAAACTTGGGGAAGCTGTTCTCCAGCAGCAGCATCAAGCAGCTTTCGGATTTTCTCGATCATCTCGAGATTCTACCATTAATCAACAACGCCATCAAAGTCCTCAGGTATGTCGCAACCCACATCGCAATGATAGCGGAAAACCAAAGCGAGATTCGCGAACTTGGGGAATCGGTTGAGAATCTGAAGTGTGCCCTTGAGTACCGACACAAGGCATACTTCTCGGAGGCAGCGCGATATGTGATCGAGGATTCTACATACGAAGAGAGAATGAAGGAGGCAGTTAAGAGGGCGGTCTGTACCCTCCAAAACTATGTACGGTTGCAGCTGGAATACAAAAAAGCGCCCAAAATCGAAAAGGCGGTAAGTGATCATGAGTAACAAGAAAGGCATTCGTCTTGTAGTGAGCAGAATACTATAATTTACCAACTGGTTTGTCTCAGCTTCGGGCCCAGTACTTCAAAAATCAAATCGGAAGCCACAAAGGAGAGGTTTTGAATGCCTCCATGGCCCTGCTTCTCAAGGATCCGATCCACATCGCCATCGACATATCCGTGTTCCTGAACAATCTCCAGAGTGTCGACGGGCAGCGATTCTGGCGAGAGTACAACCTTCGACGCGAGATTGATGTCCGGTTCTTCAAGAGGGCACTCGGAAAATACCTGGGAGAGTCGGATGTCGATAAAACCAAGCTAGACAAAATAGTCCGAAAGATCGACGAGAGTGCTGACGGGTTGATTTCGATCTCAGAATTCGATCGATGGCTGGGCAAGAAGTCAGTTCTGGAGGCATATCAAGGAGTCCAGGCCGCGGCCAAGATGAAGCCATCAGAAGGAGCAGCAAGCGACCGTGAAATCCAAGACGGAGACTACAGCAAATATTCTATCCTACTTGATCGTCCTCCAAGCATGACCGACGATATTTTGGGCCATCTCAACGCGCGCTTCCAGGATTCACGGAGTCCAATTGTCCGGAAGATATGTGAATGGGTCGAGCAGGTAGACCATAATGCTACCAAATCCATTATACTTACGGCGAAGCCTGGGTACGGCAAATCTATAATGGCAGCGATGGCACATTCGGTCCTCAAAGATAGCGACAAGATCCTCGCATCTTCATTTTTCCTCAGAGCCGACAAGCCAACAAGGGTTGAGGTTGTCACAAGTTTAATGGAGCAAATGGTCAAGCGGAACTTCATCTTGAGAAAGCACATGGTATTTGTCGTCGCTGTATTCAAAGAGAATGATCGTCAAGTCAATTCCAAGCTGGGGGGCACTAAGAGAGAAGCAGCGAAATCGACGGAAAATGATAACAGCGATGGAGAATTTGAGAAGATATACAAGAACTGGATGGAATCAATTCAGTCATTGGTTCTCCACAGAAGTGGTAAATCATGGAATGAATATTTGAAGAACATCAAGTCTGTGGCAGAGCGATATGGAGGATGGCGATTGTTTTTGGACAATTCGACACTTTGGGAACAATATGACCTCCTGATTGGCCTTCCTATACGGCACTTTGATCTCCAAGTTGAACGTATATGTATCATTATTGATTCCCTGGACGAATGCCCCCCATCGATTCAACAACAGCTCCTCTATTTGATCAAGTCGATCGCATCCGAAGATGACCAAGGCGATGAAGAGTCCTCGCAGGACAATACAAGGAAACTGAATGGAGAGAAGAGCACTCAAACGGCCGGAGATCAGTCGGAAGCCAACAAAGCACAGCCAAGCCCCAACAACGAACAGCCAAGTCTCAAGAATCAATCCACTCCGGCTAAAGAGGATGGAGGCGACAGTGGCGACATCCAGTCCTCAAAGGATACATCTGCCTCAAATCGCACACGGGTCGTGGTTGTCACAACAACACGCGAAGAGGGATTGATTTACGGAGAATTGAAATCGATTATGCCACTGCAGATGGTGCCGCTTGATTTCAGGAATGAAAATCCGACAGGCCTATTGATAGCAAGTGAAAGCGGTGATCAAAAGACGAACCTCCCTTCCCCATTCAAATCCCAAGAAATTCACGATTCCAATCAAAGTGACTTGATCGCGTACACCAAATATTTGGCTGCCCAGATGGGACTCGATATCGCTTCTGACATTGCCGAGGACCTGGCATCCATGTCAAATGGATTGCTGTTGTGGGTCAAGCTGGCGATGGCAAAGCTACGCGAGGACATCATTGGCTCGGGGTCGAAGTCCGTATCCGCCGTGGACATCAAAGGCATTCCCCTTCAATTGAGTGATGTCTATAAGCATCTTCTGGACAGGTCGGTAGCAAGGTTGAAGGATACGACAAAGGTCGACTTTGAGAACACGATAACCACTATATTGATCGCGTACGAGCCACTCAGTACACGCGATCTGTTTTACTTGTTTTTCTATGAAATTGGCATCGAAGCCGATGACGGATCGGCTCAATCCTCGAATCATGAGAGCGACTCGACTGGAAGCGATGCTTCCAAGGTCGACCTTCTTGCATCTCCAGCTAGAGCAAACCAAAAGACTCTCATGAGACTCCAGGTATTCCTTCAAGATCTCAAATGTGCCATCTCCCGCCGAGGTCCGTTCCAGGAGGTGACCGAAGAGCCTATAACCGACGATGATTTGGAGGAAGTTTTCCGATGGCTTGACGAAACAGCCGACTCTGGAGCGAGTGGTACGCTCCACGACAAGGGTTGGAGGAGCGACAAGGGACAAGAACGACTGAAGGAATATGTCAAGGCGCAAGAACTATCACGCTCTGATATCCGTTACTACTCGAACGAGCGACTTCGCAAGATCGATGACAGGACTGACTACCTCCTGGAGAGAAGCATGATCAGCTCTGTCTTTATAAACGATCCTCAGGGAGGCTCTTCAACCCAGGGTCGTCAGGACACGGATTTGGAGGAAAACCTCTCGAGGGCCTTTGTCCGCAGCCATAAATCGATATATGATTCAATGGAATCAATGTCCGTATCATCTTCCCTGTATTCAAAGAAGCAAACGAGACCCAAGACATCGCATCCAAAGGATTCGACAACATACAGAAATCAAAGCGATGAAATATCGTACGATATCGTCCTCCGGCACGCCCAAATGACCCTCATATGTTTGGAGATCATGAGCAGAGATCCTCCAGCGATGTATCAAATCTCCAGGTCATCAAACCAAGGTGAAGCGTCAGTTGACCATGCGGCAAAGCACCGCTCATCCCACTCTATGGAGCATGTTCAAGAGCGAGTCATCAGTGAAGCAAGCTCATATCAAAGCCCCCTTGGTCACCGACATCAATATTCCACATCTGCATTCGATCAGGAACTCGATACGTCCAGCTCCGAAGGCACACAAGCTGATTCGAAGTCGAAAGCGACTTTTTCGTCCCAAATGGATATCAAATCCGAACAGCGACATGTGCAATACGCGTACAAATATTGGCTGCGCCATTACTGCCAATGGTTAGGGTATCAGAATCGCCAAAGGGCAGTAATCTCCGGAGAAAAATCACTCAAACAGTCCAAGCAACAGCGACTACTAAAGATACTCGATGAGAAAATAGATCGGATGTTTAGCTCAACGGAAACGACCTTGAAATGGATTCGAGCCAACATGGGGCTGAACAATATGGAAAACATAATTCACGATATCGACATTGCAGCCACGATGCCGGCTTCCTTACAATCTCGCCAAGTAAGGGAAAATCTCGCCAAAATACGCCGCTCGTTGTTGATCTTTGGCTATCCTCTCATATCGAAGGACAGGAAGGATGAAACCAATGGCAAATTGAATCAAGACCAGATCAGTCTCATCGCAGATTGTTCATCGTTCCAAATTGAACTGGACCCGGAATTCACGATCGACGATATGGATACTTCGCAAGATAGAATATTCGGTGACATATGGGTCGACGGAGGGGGCAACTCAATGTCAGTGAAGTATGTACAGCACAAGGATATTGCCAAGGAGGATACAGCTGGGGGCACAAAGGATGATGAGTTTGAATCTGCAATGGAAGAAGCTTATCAAGAAGTCACACAACTAGAGCCAAGTTCCAGTGGTATTGCACAAACACTTTACATATGTAAATGTGAGTTGAAAGAGTTTACATGCAACTCGGATGTTACTTTGGTGAAATCGAATCCACGGTCGCCCCAAAGCTCGAATCCAGGCGATCATCGAGATCGAGGCACCGAGCTCAGGGTTGCGGTGGTCGATGGAATCAGAACATCCCAGTCCATCGAATCCATCCGATTTTCCGCATCCGGTGAAAGCATCATCGTATTTCGCAACTACGACATCGTCATGATCAGGAACTTGCCAAATCCGGCTTCTATCCACGATCATTCCTCGAACCCAACTGAGACGAAATACTATGAAAGAATGAAAGCTTCGGTATTTGCCTTATCAAATAAGGGAAAGCATTTTGCGTATGCCGACAAGTCCAACTTGGCGATAATGAAATTCAAATCGGCATCCGACTTCCCGAAATACTTCCGAAATGAAAGTTCAGATAAAAATGGGGGGAAATCCAAAGCCTCGAAAGGCTCGAGTATAAGTCAAACCAACGGGGCCGTCTCAAATATGGACACCACTACCACCACCACCACCACCACCGCCACCACCACCACCACCGACAGCACGAACAATAACAACAGCAACAATGATATTGATCACGACGCAATGGACCTCGAGTGCTCGGCGATTGTTGCGATGGAGTTTTCACCGGATGACGTTTTGTTGGCAACTGGCTCAAGAAACGCAGATAGCGGAAATGCCATTATCACAATATGGGATGTCGGGCTGAAGGTCCCGCTTATGGAACTAGTCGGTCATGTCTCGACCATATCAGTTATTTACTGGGCAACCAACTTGAATGAAGATAATCCGGAAGTAAAGGAAGATGGTAACTTAGATAGCGAGTCATCGAAGCTCTACACTAGGAGGAAAATATTGGCATCTGGATCAAATGATGGTACAATCATTGTATGGGATATACGAAACGGGAAAGTAATCAAGAAGATAAATGCAGGAAACACTCCAATTGTGTCAATAATGATGCCTAACGAATTCCAGGTCATCTCTGTTGCATCCGACCACACAATCAAGATATGGAGTGTCGACTCAGCCCGTTCAATGGTTGCTGGCTTGGTGGATATCCCAATGACAGACAGTATGGATCTCAGGCTGATTGGAGAAAATCAACTTCTTCGAGTTATGCCCGATGGTGCAGAGATATGGCGCCACGATCCATGGACTCAAGAGCAAGGTATCAAGTCCGAGTTGAACAAGCTACCAATCAGAATCGGGCCGAGCGATAATCCTCAATGCAATATTACAGAGGAATTCGACGGATGGAATGTGAGGATTCTATCATCGAAGACTGATGATCCAAAAGCGAGAAGCTATGTCCTAAAATTGGTGAGTTCTAGTGATATTATGGCATATTTTGATATAAAATTCAATCAACTGACATTCGGGCGTCTACATTAGAGCTGGCTCGATACTTCATCAAACTCAAGCGATTCCCCAACAGTGCCACCCAATCCTCTGACATTACTGGACAAGTTTAAGAAGTGGGAAGAATACAAACCCAAAGCCAATAATCCAGGAGTGACTGAGACACCAGGTTCTGACAAAAACGATCAGCAACCCAATACAAATGAAGAAGAAGCAGGTTCAAAAAAAGTGGAACAGTTAACAGCTAAACCAAAATCATCCTTAGAACTATGGAAGCAAGGAAAACTCCAGATCTCCGCCAAGTTTAAAGAAGATGAGAATCAGAAAGCAGATACGACAAGAATGGCCTTTGATATTGAACCTCAAAGAATCTCCAACCTTGTAAAGGCGGCAGATTTAACAACGGCGATCGCTGTGGACATCTCAACCGGTGTTCCTGACCTTGTACTTGCGGGAACTAAAGATGGCCAGGTGATCTATTCAACGAAAGACAATCCTAAAAACCCCAAATCGATCAAAGTTCATGATGGAATCATCAACTATATTGCCATCTCCTTTGACGGGAATCTTGTGGCAACTTGTGCCGGTGCTCAAGTTCGCTCTCGTGACAAATCGATCAAGATTCTGATCCGATTAGAAATCCAGACGGGAAAATATAGCGCCATCCTCAAGTGGGAATTCGACTATCCAGCAAGAGTTGTGGAATTCACACCAGATAATGAGCATCTTGCGATCGGCACAAGTGACGGTGTTGTGCGTCTGTGCAATATCAAAACGGGTGAAGTAACAACATTCACTGCACACAGCGGAGCGGTTACCGCCCTAAGTATCTCTCAAGATGGCGGTATTCTCGCATCGGGCTCCTTGGACAAGACAATCCGATTATGGAGCTTGGATCAAACCCGCAACCACCTAACCTTGAAGGGACACAAGAAAGGAATCTCCTCATTGGCCTTCGTCCAAGTGAATAGCAAGGAACTACTGGTTTCGAGATCTAAGGACGGTAACTACAAATATTGGGATCCAATAACCGGGCTCAATGTGGAGTCACCAAAAGACTTGAAGGAAAGTGAAGAAAAGTGCATCTTGGTGTCGCGAGGGCAAATCCAGATGAATTCCACTATAGTAAACGTCGAGTGTGATATCAAAATACCAGGAAGTGAGCCCGAAGCCTTGGTTGTCAAACTATCGGATATACAAACGTCAAGTGAAGAAGCTGGATGGGTCATCAAACGCGACGACAACGTGGAAACAAAGCTTGCCTGGATACCATATGTCTACCGAGGTCACAAGACCGAGTATGACGATAAATATCTTTACATCTATGGTCTCGGTGAGAGAGTCACGACCATCGATTTGGGATCGGATCAAGTTCAATTTTATCCAACAGGAATGATAAAGGACGAAGAATGCTCAACACACACTCTCTCCACACGTGATGATCCTGGCGATTCCACCGAATGATTGTTCTCGTGTTCTGATGATCATGTCAAAGTGAAATACAATTTATTCGATAGGAGATATCACAGCTTTGGGTCCACCAGGTCGGTGTGACAAGGAAAGGGTATCAAGGGGAACATACAAGTCGTATATTTGCAGATGCAGTCAATGCATCCCAACACACGAGCACAGCAGCATTCAGTAGCAAGTACACATTAGCGACAACGGCATAGAAGGTTGGTTCGAAGTGGGAGTCGGGGTGGCGAGAACTTGGTGGTCATGGCGTCGAAGCATCATTGTCCGTCAAAGGGCGCAGTCCTCGGGCAGCCACTGGACTGACGGCCAGATGGATGAGGTTTCTCAGTTGCCGCCAGAGGTGGTGAAGCCATAGGTCTGGTCGGTCGAGCCAATGCCGCACTGGCCGTATGCGATCCAGAAGAAGCCGTCAGTGCCCCAGGTGGTGGTCCAGGAGTTCTTGCAGAGCCAGGCCTGGTTGCCCTCGTCCCAGCCGACGATCGAGACAGCGTGGCCGCCCTCCTGCTGGTCGGACTGCTGTGTGTAGATCTGGTTGTTGGAGCAGCAGTTCATAAAGTCTTGGTCTGTTGGGAGCAAGGGAGAGTGTGGTGAGTCGGTGCCATGTCCACCCAGATGCACTGTTGCATGTGCAGGTACTTACAGACAGTGAAGGCAGTCACCACGGCGCCGTAGGTCATGATGTGCTGTTTGATCTCGTCGACGCTGCCGAACGAGGCCACCGAGAGCCCGCTGGTGCGCTGGCAGCTGCTGTCGTCGCACTGCTGATCCTGACCGTCGCCGGCGGTGTAAGGGAAGCAGTCGGCCGAAACGACGCCGTTCTGGGCAATGTCGTTGGCCGCCTGGCCGGTCTGCCAGCCAGTGCTGCAGGAGGCGCCGTCACCCGAGCCAAGACAGAAGAAGAGATCGGCGGTCGAGACCTCGATGCTGTTGCCGGTCTGGCTGAGGAAGGTGCTCTCGACGGTGGCAGCCGAGGAGAAGGCAACGCAGCTGCCGCACTGGCCCTGGTCCTTGATGGACGAGACCCAGTTCTTGTTGCGGGAATCCCACGAGTCGGGGAGCATGGCGGCTCGGACGGCAGCGGTGTGGATATCAGAGGCGTTGCTGCCCTGGGTGGGGAAGACCACAGACGCCGGTCAGTGCAACGGCAGAGCGATGCAGAGCGGGCCGGTATCGATGTGGAGTGTGCCAAGCATCGATCGACCATCCACCAGGCATCAGCTGAACACTCGCCAGGCATCGCAGCAGCAACAGCAGCCACTTGCGGCATTGCATCGGACAGACCACCACTTACAAAGACCGTGGTGGCAAGCGACTCGATGTTGTCATCGGTCATGGTGAAGCTGGCCATGTTCTTCTTGTTGGACTTTGTGTGGGTCTTGACCTTCTTGACGAGCTTCTTGAAGGCGGGGTCCTTGCGCTGGGTGGCATGGGCCTGGACCAGAGCCTTGGCATCCTTGGACATGCTGGCCGTGTTCTCGGCAGAGCCGATGACCTTGTCGAGCGACTTGCGGTACTTGTCCCACTTGCCGCCCCGAGGGACAGTGGCAGCCTCGATGGCTCCGGAGAGGGCGAGGAGGGTGGTGAGAGCAAAGCCGAGGTTGACGAGCATGGTGGAGACTGGGAGCGAGGCCAAAGACAGAGAGGCGAGAGGCTGGTCTTGCGATGGAGGCTGGTGTGCCGGTGGTGGTGATGGTCCAGGACAGGCGGGAGCGGTGTCCTTTTATCCCCCAGCGCACATCGGCGCATCGCCAGAGGGCCTGGGAAAGACCATGAGGCATGGGGGCGCGGATCGAGAAGGCCCGGTCGATGGTAGGATGCGGCTGGAGTGTGATTCTCGAGCACGGTGGTTGTGGAATCATCGGGCAGGTCATGCAGCAGCAGGTGGCTCGTGAGAATCGGAAGGAAACAGCGAGCCGACGACCGCCGTGACAATGCCCATGATCCTGCACTTGGATGGGATGCAAAGAAGACGGTGCCTCCGGGACCCAGATGGAGCCGCCACAATGTCCATTCCGCTGGGTGGCTGGGTCTGGTGATCTGCCTTTCGTTTTCCTTGCTGGTCGAGCCTCGCCGGCAGGATGGCCGGCTGCTGAAGCAATTGGGAGACAGCTGCAGAGGCAATTGAAATGCATCAGCACTGGTATGCGCTGCCCGATACAGCAGCATCGGCCGTGTGAGATTCGCCTGGGTCGTCTGCATGAACATGCACTTCGTGGCCAACTGAGAAAGGGCTCGGGGACGGACCGCCTCGGCCCCAGTCTCCATCTGCTGCGGATGGCTGGTCAGCAGCATTGGCACTTTCCGGCGGAGCTGTGGGCTGACTGTGTCGAAGCAACCGTGGGGCTGGCATGCAGTTGATGGGAAAGACCAAGGGCCATGGAAACGGGCCGCATGACGACGGGGCCACCGAGCGAGAAAGACACTGGCGCATGACCTCGAGCCGATCCAGAGGAAAGCGGCAGGCGAGCCACCGAAAAAGCAAGGCGCATTCGGCTGACATGGCGGAAAGTCGCCAGGACAAGCGGCATCCGGGATCCTGTCGATTCGGCATCTGGCCCCATGGGAGTCTGTGTCCCGAGATCATGCATCGCAGCGGCTGGGCATGTTGATGCCGGTGTCGAGCCCCGTCGGCGCCCCGCACTGGTTCCCATCGTGGAACCAGCCCATCCTCGGATGCCATCGACCTCAGGTGATCAATCTGCCCGTCTGGCGGCTTGCCTGCGGCCTGCCGATGGATGCTGTCGTTTAGCGAGATGTGGTGCTCGGGCAAGACCTCCTTTGCTGACTCGCTTAGAAGGAAATGGGGCTGGTGCCCAGCTGCATATTGCGTGGGCCGCAGTGACAGCCGTGACTTGTGCAGAGGGCAGTCATGAGGCAGAGGGCAGTGGGTTGATGGTTGGTCTGTCTCATCTGCCGTCGCATCCGAGGTATCGGAGCCATTGCATCGGCACCGTGAGTATCGACGAGTCACTTGCTGGCATCGCCCTCGCAAGATCGCTGGTCCGGATTGCACGATGGGCGAATTGTCGACTCGGTGAGCAATGTGGATGGGCAGTGTGAATGGGCAGTGTGGATGGACAATGCCGAGATAGGCGATGGAATGCGCTGGCTTGGAAGTGCAGAGATGCAACAATGGAGGAATCAGCGAGCGTGGCTCATGGCGAGAGACTTTGGTGATCATCAGTTGAGCCTCGATCGTGATGTGCCAGAGGACGACTCTGCTTTGGATTATCTGATGTTCCCAAGACGGAGACTATCCAAACAACCACAGCTATTGGTTCATAAGAATGGAGCCCAGCCAGTGACTCTAGCCGCGATGTGATGTTCTGTCCTCAGCATTGAATGAATCGCCAGGTCTCTTAATCTACTCACGATCCTACAGAGTTTGGAGGACGCCACGTAGTGCGGATATGCGTGAGTCAGGCAGACGGCATGGCTCGACTGATGCATTTCTGATCTGGATGCATTGGAGTACTGACTCGCTTGGGGATAGAATGTGCACTCAGGTTTGGTTTCAGCTGATGATGGCAATGGCCATTGGCGACAGCGAGGATGATATTGGAGTGAGAAGATGTATTCACAGACAATCTGGTGGGAAGACACCACCATGAGTTGCTGGACCAGCGAGCCACGACTGATGAGACAAAGACCGTCGAGACAAACGACAGGGATCAGACTGGCGTGAAGGAGTGAATGGAATATAACACGAGTGGATAGGATATGGCTTGGAGTGTGACAACAATCAGACGATGCGAGTGGCAACGGGGACCAGGACAGGGTTGTTCAATCGATTGATGCCTGACAATCTTGGAACATCATGGAATGCCATTCGCCGTGGCTGTGGATAGTGTCTGTGCAGTGGTGTCGGTGTGGAGAGCCTGGATGAAGTGCAGTGAGATGGATCAAGGCTATGGCAGATGGGAGACACTGGCGTGAGCGAGTGGATGATGATCGATGAGAGACGGAGGAACGAAGGATTAGGCAGACAACAAGAGTAGGAATGTGAATACAGCAGTGGAGTGAGTGTGGCAATCAAAATGGATGGGAACATGGATGGAATGGAGTGAAAACAGAGAAGGGAAGCAAAAAATGCTCCGCACAGGGATCGAACCTGTGACCTTGGCGTTATTAGCACCACGCTCTAACCAACTGAGCTAGCGGAGCGAGAGAATGGTTTCGTCCGGGATCGAACCGGAGACCTTGAGTGTGTTAGACTCACGTGATAACCAACTACACCACGAAACCCCGTGACTTTTGATTACACCGTCTCACTCTATAAAACGATACACCTCTGTTTCGATCATCGAATGTTCCATCAACGGGCTCGACCACAGAGTGACCCAGGATTCCATGCATCCCACGCTCCCACACACGCCGCGGGACTGACCGCACGGATGCCAGTGATATCAGTCGCTCAAGCCCGAAGAATGTTCCTCTGGCGGGTCGGAGGTTTCCCTCCCAAACCTGACGGAGCGTGCAGAAAGCCCGGACCCAATGGTCCCAAAATTCCCGTGAACAGGAAACATGCGTCGGAATGTGTCCGAGCCAAGAACCGTCTCGAGCAGTATGTACATCCTGCGAGGATCCCCGAAGGCATCACGTACATCGACCTTGCAATCGACGCACTCCCCAAACTGGCTCGAGTGCCTGCAAGACCAGCCACCATCGACCAGGAAAAGCTGAGCAAATGGCGAGCCAAACGCGAACGAATCCTCAACAACAGACCAGCGATCTGGCTGGATGTCGTGGCGGTGTTGGATGACAACGCAACTGAATGTCTGTCGTGGACGCCAATCCCTCGGATACGCCACGAACGACAGTAGGAGCCTGAGGAAGTAATGCCACAGGCATACATCAGCACAAGTCTGGACATGGAAGTCGGAGCTGCAGATTCCAAACTGTCACTGGATGGATGAGTTCGGCAAAACTTGACATCGCCGCAGTGACGATTGTAAAATGTCCTGGTTGGCAAAGCCCACACCCAGTGCCAGAGCCCGTTGGAGACGCCTGGAGTCAGAAATGGAAGCTCTTGGAGGAGTGGAGAGCTGGTGGTTTTCTGCCTGCTTTCTCTGGTACCATGTGGCGAGGGATGCTCTGGATTGTTCTCGTTCTTTCCAACAGTTGCAGTTCCAGAACGAGGATCGAGTGTGGTGGTCGAGTTGCTGTTGTCGAGTCATTCTATATTGCTTTCAGTCGATCAACATCAGTGATGGATATGGGACAGCACTGCTTTGTTTAGTCGATGTAATAGATGTATTTACTGTCGAATATACTGTGGGACACTGGTGGCTGGGACGGATGATGGCAGTGCGGTTTGCTTGGCTGTTCTGCTTCAATGTTCAGAGTTGCAGCTTGGTTGTTTGGGAGTGGGGCTCGGAGGAACTCGGGGATCAGGGCCACTTACCGAGATCCTCGAGATTGCCGATGGCAAGTTGGTATCCTTGTTCGGCAGACTTGCGGTACCAGGAAACAGCGGTGTCGATGTCCTCGGGGACACCCCAACCGTTCTTGTAGCAAATGCCGAGATTGGACTGTCCGTATCGATTGCCCTGTTCGGCCGACTTGCGGAACCACTCGAACGCCTCGGTGTAGGCTTTGGTGACTCCGTATCCATAGAGAATGCACACACCAACCATATTCTGCCCATACGAGTTGCCTTGGTCGGCCGACTTGCTGTACCACTCGAATGCCTTCTCGTAGTTCCTCGATACTCCTCTGCCACCAAAGTAGCAATCTCCAATCCACAACTGGCTGTCGCTGTGGCCTTCGTTGGCGAGCTGCTCGAGGATTCCTGCTGCCTTTGTTCTGTCTCGTGTGGCTCCGAATCCACAAAACAGGCACACGGCCATCAGATGTCTGCATAGCCAGTCACGATCCGATCCCAGCTGGCACAGCTGGAAGAACTTTCGGGCTACGGGTGAGTCGGATGAAGCCCAATTGCTGCCAGACATTCATCCTCTCCAAGCTTGAACTCATCCGATTTGTTCTCTCGGATGATCCTGACGCCTTCCTGCTGGTCTTGCTGAGTCCCTCGGCCCAGGTAGTACATCCATCCGATCATATGGGTGGCGATGGGATTGATGACTGGATCGTCGGATTGGGTGCTGACTTCCTGCCAGTGATTGAACGCAGCTTCGTCGCTCTGCTCGACACCATCACCGATGAACGAGAGCCAGCCACGGAGAAACAAGATGTGGAGTCGACCGTCTTCGCTGCCCTGGTTTTCAGCTTTGGTATACCACTCGATGGCTGTGTCGTAGTCTTGGTCGACACCATCGCCATTCTCATAGGATCGCCCGAGGGCAACTTGGGCCTGAGGGATTTCAAGCTCTGAAAGTTCATGGTACAGCTCGAAGGCCATGGTGTGGTCTTGATCGATTCCAAGCCCGTTGCGATAACACTCGGCCAGGTGGAACTGCGCCATTGAATGCTTTGCTTTGGCCGATGTTTCCAGATGGCGGAAGATTCGCTGACGAATGGCTCGCTGCTCGTACCATTTCATTCCTCCTTGGTCGAGATCGACTTGGAGGATACTTGAGAGGAAGTATGAAGCATAGGTGTTTCCTTGGTCCGCCTGAGCGACGAGCTAGGATCGGTCGGCTGAGCTTGGATTCGCGCAGTGCGGCGATAGGGCAATCTTGTCGATCGGTGTGAGCCCGAACTTCAGCTGTCCATCTGGATGACACAGTCCTGCATTCTGGCACCAGGTGTTGAATCGAGGCAGCTTGGAGCTCAGGAGAGGACGGGCTCGCTTGCACACTCGAAGGAGGGTCTTGATGGTGTTGTGATCGAGGGCAAGTTGGAAGCTGTCGTTGCAGCAGATGATAGTGAAGATGTCTGGGTTGTGTTCGAGTGAGAGCTGGTTGATATTGGGCATCGACGAGGTTGTTCTGGCTTCAGCTTGGGTTTGGTGGGTGGTAGATGATGCTGTGGTTGAAGCAGGCTCGTCCATGCTGGCCATGTTGACGGAGACTGGATGGAGACAAGTGGTGACGGAGCTGGACAGGAGTCAGAGGGAAATTGTGGTGAAGCAAGCCAAACCCTGGCCAGCCAAATACTGGCCATTGAGCACACACAAGCCTGGCTCGATCCGATGGTTTGCTGGCTGGAGTCGTTGTTGTACGTGCACTGCCACATGCACTGCCGCATCCATCGAACATGGAATCGATCATGGAATCGAACATCGTGTCGAGTCCTGCATTCTCGCCAAGGCAAGATGTAACAGCCATTCCATCCAGTTCCACATCGACTGTGACACCCTGGCTCCAGCTTGCTGCACCGAGCACCACCAGTTCGCCTCCAAGCCTTCATTTCCTCATCGCAACATGCTGACCGAGGGTATCAAGCAGGCCTTCAGCAAAGATATCTGCCTTTCTCAACGAATGTCACTTCCCACCCATTGCTTCCACATACCTGCCGCTTCAGCGGACTGGTATCAGCAACAAAAGTAGCACAGGCAATCGTATTGCATCACAAGGATTGTAATCGTCTCCAAATGGGTGTTTACCAGGGTACACCATGTTCCTACCAAGCATCTCCTCGGTGCTTACTCTTCGACAGACTCTATGGTCCCAGATGACCGAGGCGTACACTCCCTACCTGGACGCTCTCAAGCTGGCCCATCCCGGTCTATCCAAGTCTGACAAGGACCAGTGGAAAGCCTTGGTCGACGCCATCCCGGTCCCGCATCCTGGCAAGTGCCTCTCCTTCTGCCACATTGTCCTGACCCAGCTCCGTCAGCGCTATGTCAATGCCGGCACCCGGGTCTTCTCCGACAAGCACTGGATCACCACCGATAAGTACGCCTACGACTTCCTCGACGGAATCATCAACGAGTTTGTCGAGAGCCTGGCTTCCAATCTCGCCAAGTGCGCGGCCATGAAGGCCCGTGGCGAGGAGGTCAAGCACTTCCGCCTCCGCTATCTCAGCAAGAAGCGATCCACCTCCGAGTCCTGCTACATGAGGAAGCGACTCTGGGCCCCACTCAGTCCACCTCCAGCTTCTGGAACCGAGTCAACATCCGCGAGTTCCTCGGTGTCGCTCCTCCTGGTGCACAAGACACTCCTGTGCAGCTTCTGCGTCCGCCTCTTCCACAGCCTGTGGATGCTGATGGCGACCCCATGCTGTCCAGAAGCATGAAGAGTGCCACGAGGCCACTCAAGCACAGTCGGATGGAGAGGAGCTTCCTTCCCCGCCTCCGTGCCGACGGGACCATCGAGGATCGCCGACTGCAGCTTCCCTTCCTCTGCGAGACTCGCATCATGCGGACCAGGACCGGCAAGTTTTACATTGTGGTCTCGGAGCCACTTGTCCGTCCGGGCGAAAGCCAAGCCCAGGACACGGGACGAGTACACGAGCAAGACATGCACTCGGTACGGGTACATCAACCGGGACTTGGGAGCAGCCAAGGTGTATCATTGCAGGGAGTGTGGGTTGTTGATAGATCGCGACATCAATGGGGCTCGTAACATTCTGTTGAAGAATGCGAGCACGGAGGACATTCTTGGCGAGGGCATGGTGTAGCCTCGCAAACACCCCTTTGAAGCCTATTTCCACTTTGTGCATTACGGTGAGCTGCCTGACTTTGTCTCTATAACCAGTGCGCTGGGGATGCGGGTATGGATGTTGTTATCATGAATTCAAACAGGCGTGACTTCGGTTCCAATCTTTGGAGTGTTGAGGTGAATTGGCTGTTCAAGTAGGTGGGTTAGATGAGCCGAATAAAGGGATTTCGATTGATAGTTAGACCCACCAGAATTATACATGGCCAAGAGTTGATCATAATGGCTCCTTCAGCTTTGGTGAATAAAGTTTTGTTCAAATTACGGAATAGGGAGAATGGAATTTTGACAGGATGAATGCCATGGCGGATCCACTGGGATTCGCTTCCAATATCAATTTGGATCCAGCCGACTGAAAACAGGGGGCTTGATACCGCCGAGCATTTGGCTGGGATATCGTCGGTCCGAATATACTGCCCTTCACGATAAATCCAGAGATATCGAATACCCTTCTCATCCCGAGACAAAATTGAATTACCCTCAGGCGGTATTTCCACAGATACGACGATCCTTTTGTGTCCCTTGAGTGTGTAATGTTCTTCGCCCGTGGTCGCATCCCACACTTTGATGGTCTTGTCATTGAGCCAGAAGCAATCAACCTTCCATCGGATGAGATTGCAACGGAGTTTACTGTCCCTTTGTGCCCTTCGAGGGTGTGTTTCAGCTGGCCCGTAATGGTATCCCATACCTTGATGGTCTTGTCCCATGAACCAGAGATAATCCACTGGCCATCGTGTGAGATCGCCACGGAGTTCACATCATCTGTGTGCCCTTTGAGGGGGCGATTGACTCGCTCCATGATGAAATTCCATACCTTGATGGTCTTGTCGCTCGAGCCAGAGACAATCCACTTGCCATCAGGCGAGAACACAACCGAGCGTACAGCATCTTTGTGACCCTCGAGAGTGTGGCATAATTCGCCAGTGGTGGCATCGCACACTCTGATGGTTTTGTCCCAAGAGCCAGAGGCAATCCACTTGCCATCGGACGAGATTGCAACGGAGTTCACAAAATCTTGGTGCTCCGTGATACTGCGCATGAGCTCGCCAGTGAGGATATCCCATATTCTGATGGTCAGATCATTAGAGCCAGAGACAATCCACTTGCCATCGGACGAGATGGATATCGAGCGAACTTCTCGTTGGAGGCCTTCAATGGAGTGCTTCAGTTGTCCCGAAATGGTATCCCATACTTTGATCGATACATCGTGAGAGGCAGAGACAATCCATTGGCAATTCGGTGAGATCGCCACGGAAGTCACTCCGAATTGCGCGTTATAAGTATACTTCACCTGGCCTGTGGCGGCATCCCACACCTTGATGGTGTAGTCCATGGAGCCAGAGACAATCCACTTGCTATCGGATGAGATTGCCACGGAGTTCACGCTGCCCGTGTGTCTTTCGAGGGTGTGCATCACTTGCCCAGTAGTGGAATCCCATAACTTGATGGTCTTGTCCCATGAACCAGAGGCAATCCACTTGCCATCAGGTGAGATCGCTACGGAGTTCACGGGACCCATGTGTCCGTTGAATGTGTACTTCATTTGGCCTGTAATAGAATCCCATATCTTGATGTTGTTGTCGGTGGAGTTATATGTCGCACCGGATCCGGAAATAATCGATCTGCCATCAGGTGAGATTGCTACGGAGTTCACAAAATCTGCACGCTCCGTGAGTGTCATCACACACGGATCCCAGGTCGGTGCTGGACCGCAAGTGACCAGGAACGGGATCTTGTCCTCGAGCTGGGTGGCATATGTCTTGTAGATCGCCGTCTCCTTCGGTGTGAATGCATATCCCGAGTTGTACACCTGTGGTGCACTCTTGATGATCGGATCGGCAAACTCGCGGATGAATCGATACGTGTCCTTGACCAGTTCCTTCGTGGTGTCGTCGACGATAGTGCTGGGTGCCTTGTCGATCACTCCTCGAAGCACAGCCAGTTGCTCGATGATCGACTTGACCACATGTGTGAGCGACCCACACTCGAGCCAGAAGAACACATGTGTCTTGACGAACCGAGTGAGCACCGCTGCCACATCGACCATCTCGGCCGACTGCCACACCGGACTCGACTCGGCCGCTCCTTCCACACACCACACAAAGTGTGTGATCCAGTGGGCGACGCTGTATCGCAGCGACGGTGTGATGATTTTGTTAACTCTGTCCTCGAGGTCGCTGATTTTTTTTTTTTGTTACTATAGTCAACTTTATTTAAGAAGACAAGCCATCAGGTCCAACAGGTTGGTACCTGTCATGAACACCCTCTGCCTTTGCCCTCTTCCTTCCTTTACCCTTGCCCTTTCCTTTCTGTTTGCCTGTCTTAGTGCTTTCCCTTCCTTCTGTTTGTTTGTTTCCCGCGCTGTGCTGCCTTGTTGTCTTACCGCAAGCACGCGCGCTGCCTGTGTTCCGTTCCCGCTCCCTTGCTGTTGGTCATGGGTTACGCCCACGACGCCGCCTCGACGCCGCCTGACGCCTTGGCGCCGCCAAGCCGCCGCCACTGACGCCCGCTGACTCACGGATCCCGAGTCACGGCCGCCACCTGCTTCGCTCGCTGCTTCGCCCTCCCCGCCGCTGCTTCGCTCCTGCCCCCTCGCTCTGCAGCGTCGATCCTTGGCGCTCGCATAAATAGCCCTCCGACCAGCCTCTGTCTTTTGCCTTCGTCTTGCCACTTTGTATTTTTAGTATCCTAAGCCTTGGATCTAGAATAAAACTTTGGCTTCACACTTGACACTCTGTGTCCCAGTCCAGTCCCCGCTCCTCTCCCTACGTTCGAGTCTTGCATTAGGACTCTTGCGCACTTCCCTGCTTGCCCCGTTGTCCAGTCTTGACACTTGGCAAGACCTTCAACAACCCCCCACTTGCCCTGCCTTTGCCCCGTCCCCTTCTCTATCTCTTTTACCAATGGCTTCCCCTTCTGGCCTTTCCGAGCCCGAGCTCCAGGCCATCCGTGCGGTCATTATCCAGTCCGCCGAGAACGCCCGTTCTCTCCAGGACTTTTCCAAGTTCCTCCACGATCAGGATGATGCGCTCAACCGCATCACCGATCGTATGGACCAGGTCCTGGCTCGCCGTGAAGAGGATGTCCGCCAAGTTGTCGCCGCCAGTGTCCAGGAGGCCCTCCGCAGCTACCAGGCCCAGCTACCTCCTCCTGCTCCCGCTCCCGCCCCGATCCGTCGTGCAGGTCGCCCCTACCTCGGCGTTCCTGACGACGTCGATGATCCTGCCCAAGACCCCGAGGACAACCCTGCTGGTCGCAACTCTGCCACCAGGCAGATAGGTCCCCCTGATCGCTTCTCTGGTAAGGACCCGAGCCGCTGCAATGCCTTCCTCTCGCATTGCAGACTGGCCTTCGTGTCCAACCCTCCCCTCTTCCAGACTGAAAGGGATAAGGTGTTCTACGCCTTATCCTATCTCGATGGTACTGCTGCAGACTACATGCAGCCGTACATCGATCAGTTGGAGAGAGACCCCGAGTGCTCTCCCCCTGCCATCCGTGACTTTGCCGGTTTCTCCGAGTGGCTCCGTGCTGCCTTTGGCCAGGTCCAGCCCACCATCGCCGCTGCTCGCGAGATGGTCAGGCTTTACCAAGTCACCTCCGCCGCCGCCTATGCCGCCGAGTACCGCCGCCAAGCCGTCCACCTCGTCACTTGGTCCCAAGACCCTCTCATGTTCCACTTCGAGAGTGGACTCAAGCCCTCGGTTCAAGATGAACTCTCCCGCCGCTCCTTCGACAACCTCGAAGATCTCATGCAAGCGGCGATCGCCATCGACAACCGCCAGGAGGACCAACGCTCCCGCCGTCCCAACCACCGCTCCGCTCCTGCTCCTGCTCCTGCTCGTCCGGCTCCTCTCCCTTTCCGTCCGGCTCCTCGTCCCTTCGCTCCTGCTCCTCCTCCTCGCCCCGCTCAAGCCTTCAACGTTCCGCAGCCCATGGACCTCAGCCAGGCCTCCGCTCGCAGGCTGACCGCCGAGGACAAGGCCGCCCTCCGTGCTGCCAACCGCTGCTTTTATTGCAA